GGCAGCCCGGCTTCTGGCCGCACTGTCTGCGGGGTGTGTGTGTGTGTGTGTGTGTGTGTGTGTGTGTGTGTATTTTGTGACCTGACTATTACCCAGCTTTTCATCATGAAATAGACACCATCAGTCTTGCCCCGAGGGGAAAACCCAGCCCCTTGGCCCCGGTGCTTCTCCGCGTGGAGGCTTGGCGGTCTGAGCTGTGCGCTGCTCCGAGGGTGGCTGCCACATCTGCCCAGCTGTTTGGCACATGCCTGCCTCCAGTCACGAACCTCCCTCCCCCGCAGGATCGGGCAGGAGGGGCTGGGAACAGGTTCCCGGGTCGTTGGGGAGCTTGGATCTGGGCTCAGACAAGCCCCGCTTTGAACCCATCTCTGCGGCTTCCTTGTTGTACGACCTCGGCAGCCCTTTTGCCGCCTGGGCCTCGAAGTTGCGTCTATGACATGGGGGTGATAGTAGACTTTGTAGGTTGCTGCACGTTTTTTTCTGAGTGAGTGCATACAAAGTGCGTAGAAGAGGACTGGGGGCTTCGTAAATATTAACCCAGTGGTCCTCATCGCCATCACCATTGCCATCGCCACCAGTGCTGCAGGCAGTATATGGCTTGTGGCAAAGGGCACAGGCTTGGAACCAAACTCGGGCATAGTTCTAAGTTGAATCGAGTCCTCACACAGTTCAAGTCCTCTCTGCATCCTCCGCATGTGACTTTATTTGGAAATGGGGCCATTGAAGATGTCCTGGATTAGGATGAGGTCAGACTGCAGTGGAGCGGGCCAGCGTGCCCGAGGGCCTTATAAGAAGCGAAGGGACAGAGGCAGACCAGGGAGGAGGCCCTGTGACAGCCGGCAGAGTTGGAGGGATGATGTGACTGCAAGTCCAGGAACAGCTACCTTGCCAAGTAGAACCGTGACCGAAATCGGCTCCCTGTGACCCATCTTGATCTTCCATGAAAGGAAGCGCAACAACCTTCAGCCCTCAACTCCCCCAGCAGGAAGCACAGAGACGGCAGAAAAGGGGGAGGGGGTCCTTCCAACTGGAGGACGTTTCATTGGTGATAACCCACAGTCCCAACTCCATTTCTCACGTTGCTGCAAAGGGGGGAGAACGGCTCCAGCGCTGGGAGCCGTCGGGACAGGCTGACATGGATGACAGTTCATGACTCGGGGCGCAGGGCCCCCAGTCACAGCCGCGCCCTGCAGCGCCTCACCCGGTGTGCAGCCCCCCGCAGTCGCTGCTGATTCCTGAGCAGGGTCACGTGAGCAAAGCCGGGCACCAGGATGGTGGTTCCACCTTGGCAGGTGGACGGACCAGAGGCGGGGACCTCTGGGAAGGGAAGACAGTAACAAGGTGACTGAATTTGCAGCCAGTGTCTTTACGAACGGCCTTGTCTTTGCCCCAGACATTCTGCTTACGGGCCTCCCTCCAAGGAAACGAACTGCCGCTCTCATGTGAGGTATGGGAAGACGTTCTCGGTGACATCGTTCGTGATAAAAATTGGAGAGAAGACAAGATGGGATTAGGCAAGCCCGTTATTAGACGTTTATACAAAGGAAGGCCTTGGCAGCCGTCACAGGTGATTTTGAGCCAAGGACTTGGCCTCCTGGAAAGATGCTCACAATATGCTGTTCAGTGGGAAAAAAAAAAGTTAAAAATAGTGTGTTATTTACACTTACATAAAAGTCTGCTTACAGGGGTCTGCACTTATGGAAGATTGTGGAGAGCAGCTAGTGTTTGGGCAGGTTCAAGCCTCGGACTAATGAGAGGGCACAGTCCTCTCATGGCCACGTGCAAGTCCCAGCTTGGAGGGCAGGGCCCTCCCAGCACAATTATAGCCAACAGCTATGGTTGTGAGCTTGAACCTATGGTCCGAACACGTGGCCCCACGTGCCTGAGTGATGTGGGCTCGATAGAGTTCAGGTGCATGTAGTTGAGTAGGATTGAAACCCAGGAGAATGTTGTAAACATCTTGGTCACGCCCTTACTTTGCCTCGTGGATTCTGGCTATAAAATAAAGACACAGCTTGTGGTCCCTGGCCTGTCTCTCCATCTGGGAGCAGCGTCCCATCCAGACCCAGCTTTCTTGTCTGTCTTTTCTCCATCCTTTACCCCCTCGCCCCCTTTCAGGGTCACTGAACCTGGCTGAGCTGGTGCGGCACATAAGGCACCCTGGGACTGAGTATGCCGTGGCTGTGCCAGCTTGCCACTGAAGATATACGTTTACAAATAAGCATACGGGTTTTGAAGGTTAGATGTAAACATGGAAAGGACGATTTCTGGTTGGTGGGATCCCCTAGTTTGCCTGTCCAGGATTTCTGTGTCCAGTGCACAGGGGGTAACTGTCAAGAGCTCAGATTCTGGAGTTGTGCAGACCTAGACGCCTGTCCCAGCTCTGCCGCTTCCTGGCTGTGTGTCTTTGGGCAGGTTCTTAACCTCTCTGGGCTTCCGTTTTCTCCTCTGTAAAATGTGCCTAAGCGTTGGACCTGGGCTGCCAGGGAGGACTCTGTGAGCTCATCCTCAGGACGCATCTCAGCACGTGGCCTGGTACTTAGTAAGTGCAGAGTCACCGTGTCACCAGTGCCACACGTGAATTTACGTGCATTTGTATTATTGTGTCGTAAAGAAATAACAAATGCTGAGTAAAATGATGGCTTTTCTTGGTCAAAGGAGGATTTGAGGACTCATATTGGAGCAGGGCTGTCCTTGCCTGTCTGCCTCCCGTGAGGCTGCGGGCTGGAGCGTGGACAAGAACTTATTCGTGTCAGCAGGGCCAGCCCCACTCGCTGAGCCTCCGCCCGTGCCAAGCTCCCTGCCAGGCGTTGCCCTGCCTCCTGGCTGCACTGCGTCCTCGCGCTGGTCCTCAGCGAGGATGGTATTCTCCGCCTCACGTTGCAGATGGGGAGACGGAAGCCAGGGACAGTGAAGTAAGCGCCGAGAGGCCCCGTGGCCGGTGCAGGGCGGAGCCAGGAGTCCAGGCAGCTCCGTCTGAGGTCAAGGGCCGAGAGCTTGGCTGCAGGCATTGCTGTTCAAGGCGGGAGGGGGCCGGCCGGGTGCAGGGAAGGCTCGGTGAAGTCCAGTGCAGGCACGGAAGGGGGTGCTGGGCGTGATGAGTAAATGCAGAGCACGGAGGCGGGGGCCTCGGGGCGGGGCGGGGGGGGCGCTCTCAGAGTGTACGGCCGGCCGACAAGCTGCAGTCTGGACGCCTCCTCGATGGTGGGTGAATGCTGGGTAATTCCACCGGCTTCCTGCTAAGGTCTGCTGACCAGTTAATACGTGTGGGGACTTTGGGGTGACTGGAATTTAGAATTCTTAAACTAAAAAATAGTCCATTGCTAGAGTTCACCAAGGAATCAAATGAACAATTTTTCTTTTTTTAAAAAATATATATTTTTATTGATTTCAGAGAAGAAGGGAGAAGGAGAGAGATTGAAACATCAATGATGAGAAAGAATCATTGATCAGCTGCCTCCTGCACGCCCCCTATTGGGGATCAAGCCCGCAACCAGGGCATGTGCCCTGACTGGGAATTGAACCGTGACCTCCTGATTCATATGTTGATGCTCAACCACTGAGCCACACTGGCCAGGCAACAATTTCTCAAAGAGATCAGATGTCTGAAAAACTTTGCAAACCCCTATCATCCACATGGCCAGCATGGCCAGTTGAAAGTCTAGTCCTGTTTCTGTGTCTTTCAATTACTGCCATTGGGGGGTGGGGGTGGGGGATTTTTTTTACTAGGAAACATTTCAAATACACACAAAGTAAGCAGAGAGTACAATGAATTCCCACATACGCATCACCCCGCATCACTGAGTATCAGGAAAACGCTGCCATTCTTGTCTATACCTCCTCCCACCCGCCACCCTACCTCCCCCTCCCCCAGGGATCATTTTTATAGTTCGTTTCTTACGAGGTGAAATTTACATACATTGAAATGCACACGTCCCCGCTTCCCATTCTGACACGGATGCAGCCGGGGAACCCACACTCCTATCACAATATAGAACGTCTCCTTTGCGTCTCCCTGCCCCCCCGCCACCCTCTGTCCTGGTTTTTTCACCTTAGGGGAGTCTGCCTGCTCCAGAACGTTCTATAAATGGAACCGTGCAGTATGCATGCTGTGTCTGGCTTCCCTCCTGCAGCGTGACGTCTGTGAGGTGCACCGTGTGGCTGCCTGCACTGGTAGCTGCTCTCTCTCCTTGGGAGCAGCCTGTGATGATGTGAACATACCGGAGTTTGTTTATTCATTCACCAGTGACGGACGGCTGGCTTCTTTCCATTCGGGGCCCTTAGGAGTACAGCTGCTGTGAGCAGTTGAGCACATGTCTGGTGGACACGTGTTCTCATTTCTCTTGGGCGAATACCTGGACGCGGACGGACTGGGTCGCGCGGCAGGTGCACGTTGAACGTTTTGGACATTTCCATCCGTCTCCCGGAGCGGCTGACCATTCTGCGTTGCCACCGGCCGTGGGTGCAGGTTGCGGTTGCTCTGTGTCCCCCCAGCGTTGGGTGCAGGCAACCTTGGTCGCTGGATTCTGCTCCTTTTAAATGAGCTAATATATGGGAGGAGTTTCTGGGGGTGTCCCCCTGGCTGATCAGCGGGGTGTTGCACGGTTGCTGGGAGGTCCAAAACATGATGTGCTCGATGCTGTTTCTTTGTCTTCCCAGAATTCCTTCCCCACCGACGATGAGGGCGGTTCCTGGGGGCATTGGGGTCACAGAAGATGGGGCACTGCGGTTGTGAGGGAGGAGCTGGGCTGCCCGTGTCTCAGCTCTGCACGCCCCTGGAGCTCTGGGCCTGCTTGGAGCACGCAGAGGGCCGAGCGGTCTGCCCCCCTTCCAGGCCTGGAAGCTGTTCCCTCACCACGTCCCATTTTGCAGGGGGGTCTCTGAGGCCCAGACCTCGGCCCCTCTCACCACGGGGGGCACATCGTGGAACTGCTGCCCCAGCCATGGAGGCCGTGCACCTGGGGGTCCACGCCTACCTGGCCCCTCTCTTTCCCCTGCAGACGTTGGCCCTGTGACCCTCACGGAGGACCCAGCGGTGTTCCAGAGGGAGTTGAGAGAACTCTACGTGCAGGTGGGCTGTCCTGCCCCTGGCTGCTGGCTCTCTGGGACTTTCTTCCCGGGCCCTGCCAGAGGCCAAGGTCTTCTCAGACGCCGGGGGGCCAAGATGGGCTTCTGGCAAGGGCTAGTACCTGCCTCCCAGCTCTGCCTGGACCTGCACCGTGTGCCTTAGGGGTCCTTCCTCTTATTCAGTGACCAGGTACCTGCAGGAGGAGGCCCTGTGCCTGGCACATAGTAGGTGCTTATGATTTAGTGAACGGACAGAGGGGTAGCAGGAGCGTGTGGTAGCTGAGAGGATCCAAGAGGTTCCAGTTCAGACCCCAAACCCAGGCTCCAGACCAGGCCAGCTGCCCCGTGGCCACCTGAGCTTCTGTGCTGCGCTGCACACCCTGGTTCGGCATCTGTCCTTGCCCCGCCCCCCGCCCCCCTCCTTCGAGACCAGGAGCTTCCTGAAGGCAGGGACCCCAGGGCCCAGAACAGGGCCGGGACAGAGAGGGTGAAGGTGGGGTGAATGTGTGAGCCCAGGAGAGAGGCGTTTACTGCAAAGGAACCATGTGCAGACGTGCTGCTGGGCTGGGCTGCAGACCCGGGTGGCACAGAGAACGCCCGGCTGGTGGCAGGGAGGGGAGGCAGGTGTGTGTGTGTGTGTGTGCATTTGGGATGCATTCAGGGCAGGGGTACACAGAGGGTTTAGGGAAGCAGTTTTGAATGCTTTCCTAGCGCCCACCTCTCCTCCTGGCCTCCCTTCCCCCTCAGTCCTCCAGGCCTCTGTTGGATGTCCCCGTGGTCCCTCCCTCCTCCCGCATTTGTAACACTCATCACGATGGTAATTAAATCATCGTGTTGTGCTTATTGATGTGGCGTCTGCCTCCCACACCAGAGCCCCTGGGAGGGTCCGTCACTCCTGCACGGCTGCATGAATGAGTGATGCTGAGCATTTGAATGAAGCTGGTGGGTGCTGCGTTGTGTGTCAGGATGGGGCCTGACCCCTGGCTGGCAGGACAGAGGCAGCTCAAGGGATCCCCCCTCCTGCTGGTTTCAGAGGTGCTCCTAGTGGGTCCCCCTAGGGGAGGCGGGCTGCAGCTGCTGACACGCCCTGTCCTCCAGGGAGGCGGTGACTGCCCCGAGATGAGCGTGGGGGCCATCAAGGCCGCCGTGGAGGTTTCCTACCCCGGCTCCTTCATCTTCGTCTTCTCAGACGCCCGGGCCAAGGACTATCACAAAAAGGATGAGCTGCTGCGGCTCCTGCAGCTGAAACAGTCGCAGGTGAGCGAACCGCCCGGGGGCTTGCGTGTGGGGACTCCAGGGGAGCTGGGCATCCCTGAGCCCCGACGACAGCAAAGTCTGGGTGCTTCTCATCCACCACCCGGGGTCCAGCCTCCGCCAGCCATGCCGGCCACCCCCTAGCCCCAAGCTGGTCTGGTGAACTCCAAGTGTGTGCTCATGCCCCGGGTCCCCGCCCGCCAGGGCCTGCGCCTCCCGGGGAGGCCTGTCCTTGACAAAGCCCACACCGCTCTCGCCTTACACACCCTGTCAGCGTCCGCACCATCCGTCTTCCTCCTGGCGTCGCCTCTGCACCCCGTCTCAGGACCTGGGAGCCGAGGGGGCCCTGGCTGGCTGAGGGGAGAGGGAGGGCTGTGGTGGGAACGCAGAGGGCTGCTGCTGGACATCCTGGGGCGGGACAGCTGCTCTGTGGTCCCATCGACGACAAACTCAGTTCTTCTAACTCTGCAGCCTCCGGGGCCCCTCGGCGCAGAGTCGATTTCCATTCCCTTCCTTGTAAGCTGAATAGCCGCTCCGGTTCATGGAGCACCTTCGCGTTCCCGGGCCTGCGCCGACCCCTTGGCCTGCGCCAGTCCTGACCCCGCACCGCCCGGGGGGGTGGGTGCTCTTCTCCCCATTTGACAGATGTGTCACCTGAGCCCAGAGAGGAGAAAGGGCTCGCCCCGTCCCTTCTCCCTGTTTCGTCCCTGCCACTCACGGCCGAGGAAGGTGGTCGGGGAAGCCATGAGCCAGGCTGCGTGTCCCTCTTCCAGGTGGTCTTCGTGCTGACGGGGGACTGTGGTGACCGCACGCATCCTGGCTACCTGGCCTACGAGGAGATCGCTGCCACCAGCTCTGGGCAGGTGTTCCACCTGGACAAGCAGCAGGTGACCGAGGTGAGCCTTCCCTGGCGTCCTGTGTCTCGGGCGCCGGGTCGCCATCACAGGTGAGCGGTGCTGAGTGCGGGGCTGGCCACGGTCCGGACTCACTCAGGTCGGCACCGACCAGGTGTCTGCGTCCTTGTCTTGCTCTCGGACCTGTGTCTGCCCTTCCTGTCCCCCGGGCTCCATCGGCCACCCAGGGCTCCCCCCGCTTTCCCTCTGCCCCGCAAGGCCATTCCTTCTCAGGAGCCAGAGGGGTCCTTCCAGGACCTGCCGGGCAGTTTTCACAGGCGGGAGCAAGAACACTCCCTTCCGTGGTGTAAATCCTGCCTTGGCTCCCTTCGCGCTGTCCCGGGAACTCGCTGAGCAGAGCTGGAAAGGGACGCTCAGGCCGACGTTCTTGAGCCCGTGAGCTGGCTCCAGCATCCCGCTGGATTCCTCTGAAACAGATCCCACACACAGGCCCTCCTGTTGTCCCCTGGGAAGGTGCACACCTTCTCTGACCGCTGCCTCTCTGATCCCTTCACCTGGGTTTGCCCCTTTGCCCGCCGCCCCTGCCCTGCTGGCCTCTGCTATTTCTGCAGGGCCCCTGTCTTTCCTACCCCAGGGCCTTTGCTTATGCGCCTTGTTCTCTGCACTCTGCCTCCTGGCTCCTGCTCATCTTCCCAGTCTTAGCGGAAATATGCCTCCTCAGGGAGACCTTCTGACTGCCCGTCAAGATTAAGTCTCCTTTCCTGCCCTCCCCGTGCGGCTCTGCATCACTGTAATTTTACAACCATGAGCTCCCCGAGGCTGAGCCCGGGTGCTACTGTATCCCCAGCACCTCGTCCAGCCACCGGCGCAGAGCAGGTGCTTGGTAAATGGCCGGGGAGTGGACAGACAGGGTCCCTTGTGCCTGAGGCCCTGGGAGGAGAAGGCAGCCCCACGTCTCCTGCTGGAGAGGGTTTCTTGTCTTGTATATTTATGTTCTGAAGGGAACGGGCCAGGCGTGTTTGGATTAGCGTCTTAACTCCCTGTTGGCAGATGGCGTTCATGGTTCTCTGTGACACATTAGGCTGTGATTTTTGGCTTGTCCGTCTATTCTGGCCCGGAGCTGGCCAAGTCAGGGTGGAAGGCATTTCACAGTGTGGGGATGGCTTGGTCCTGTCCTTGTTTTGGGGGGAGACCTGCTTGGGCAATTGCAGGGGAACTGGGTTCCTGCCAGGGCCACTGGCGGGTAGGCGAGGACGGCTTGCCCAGGTGTGGGGCTGGGACCCCCCGCACCTCCCTGTTCTCTCCCTTAAGGCAGGGAACCTGGGCGAAGCCACCGGCTCGTGGCCACGGTGCCAGATTTCCTGCCCGGGAGCCTGGCTGGGCAGCGCTCGGTGGGACCGCCAACGGCTAGGATTAGCCGCCTCCGGGTAGGGGCCTGGATCCCTCTCCTTCCTGGACACACAGCTCTGCCATTTGTTAGCTTAATGCCTTGGACCTGGTCCCTTCCAGATGTTCCCAGACATTCGGCAAAGCCTGGGAACGCGGCCGGGCAGCCAGGGCTGCGGTCATCCTTCCAGGAGGGGGACGGGGCCTTCGGCCCAGCCAAGGCGCTGCAGCTGGGAGGAGTCGCAGAAGCTGCAGCAGTCCCGCCGTGTGCAGCAGTCCTCCTACCTGTTCGGAGCGGGTCCAGCGTGGCCGGGCGACACCTTCCGCGCTCCCGCCGCCCCTGGCTGACTGTGCACCTGCTATGTGCCAGGGCAGCCGAAGGTGCTGGGCACAGAGGGATACTGTGTCTGGCGCAGGTCCCAGGCTTTTGAGCATGGAGCTTTCTCCAGTTGTGGGGTTAGCCTCACGGAACCAGGGGTCCCCTCCCCCTGGCCAGGGGGATTTGCAGCCTTTGCCATCCCGTAGCAGACGGGGGAGGCAGGCAGCACGGCCCCGGGCCTGTCCTGAAGTAGGCAGTTCTGATGGAGACTGAGCTGGGTCCTGCCTGCCACTTGACCCAGCACAGCTGTCCTCCAGGCTTCCCACCCGCTCAGTACACCGGGTCAGAATCTGTGGGCAGTCCCCTCAGCCTGCAGACTGCAGCCTGCCTGGACCCTGGGAAGCCCCATGCTGGGGACCCAGACCCTTCCCCTGTCTGGCACCAGCAGGTGCTAATATGGAAAGTGCCCAGATTCTGTGCATCCGCTCGGCCAGGGGAAAGGTGAGGGCCTTCTGGGACAGTCAGGGGGTGGGGAGGTCCTGCCCAGGTGGTTCTGATTAACGGATCAGGAGGCACGGGCCCCGGAGATGACTTCATCCTGGACCCTTCCCAGAGGAGGAGGTGGGGGAGCGTCAGGGCCACATGCTGGCTCAGACTCCAGCTGCCACCTGTGGGCAGTGTGCCCCGGAGCACAGCGTGAGCCTCTCTGAGCCTCCGTGTCCTCGCGCGCACAGCGGGGCTATGAGAGCCCCCGCCTGGTGAGACGGCAGTGAGGGCGCAAGGAAGACGCACGCGCGTGGGAAGCCCTGGGCGCAGGGCCTGGCCGCAGGAGCCCTTGGCGAGGGTGGGCGATGGCTGTGACTGCGGCCCTATGCTCTGGAAAGCAGGGCCTGGGACAGATGCCCGGGGCGCCCAGTTGGCAGGGGCTAGAACTCTCCCTTCATCCATGCCCACCAGCTTCCTGAAGCTACAGGGCCCAGGATGGGGCCCTCAGTGTTCCAATCTGTGGCTCTGAGGCCCATTGGGGCCCTGGCTTCCCCTCTCTGCTTCTTCAGCTGCCTTGGCTGTCAAGTGTTGTGGGAGGAGCCATGGGGGACGGCGGATCTGCCTGGAAGGGCTGACCAGCAGCCATCTGGCCAGGGTAGCAAGCCCAGAGTCTTCATTCCTTCCCCACCAGTGACAGAGATGGGCCCCCATGCACTGCTGGCTCCCAGGCCCCCAGTCCCGCTAACATCTGGAAGCCATTGCTTTCACCAAATAAACACCAAGCTTGCTAGATGCAGGCTCTCTTCTCAGAAGGCTCCCTGGATTCCACTCTGAGCCCTGGGGGCATCGCGGGGGCCAGAAGGCCTTGCCCCCAGGCCTGACCTCAATATGGGCAAGAGGGTCAGCCCATCCCCCTCTCCTCCCTGCAACCCCCCCTCCGCCCCTCCAGACCTCCCAGCTCCTGAGTGGTGATGTGCTTACACACAGGCCCCGTGGGCAGGCCGCCTCCTGGCGAGGTCACTGGCATTCTGCCCCATCTCAGCCCTCCCCATGGCTCATAGCCTAAACTCCTGGGCCTCTTCCCTAAACAGAACATTCGAGAATGAGCTTAAAATAACAGTTGCAACACGGTAGCGGTGTGACTTGTCTGGGTAATTGTCCACTGTGCTGCCACCGCCCCCTGGCAGCTTTGCTCAGCTATGATTCCCCCCGACCCCTGACAAGGCCTGGCCCCGGGGAAGACTGGTCACAGAGCCGTTCCTGTGCCGCTGGGGGAGCTGCCTCACTGACCTCGCCAGCTTCTGTCCAGCTGGGAGCCCTGGCGGCGGCTCCCTCCCGGCCGCCCCCGCACGGGTGAAGAATGTTGGTGAAGACAGGTGGGACCTTTTCAAGAGAAACATTACTTCGAAGGCCAGGCAAAACAGATGGAGTAGATCCAGGCCTAGAAACAGATGCTTTTCCAGAACACCGCATTCTTAGCGCGTGTTAACTTAAACCTGGTTATAAAATCTAGGCACACAGGTTCTAGCTCAGTCTAAACAAATCATATACATTTTCTAAACCTTGGGCAATTCTTCCAATTCCGTGCCTTTCCTTGGGAGATCGATGGGAGGCAGAGCTAACGGAGAATGATTCAGAGCAAGCATGGCCAGCAGATAGCATGCGAGACACCACTCTCTAATGTCATATCCATGGCAGACATTGCTAACCAATCACAGAGCTGTTTAAAATTGAGGCAGGATGTGGCTTCTTATTTCTTCTTCTAACAGTATTCCAGGAAGCCGATTCCTATTGATTAGAGTTGCCAAGCAACAGGATACCCCCTGGGTTGCTCAGATATACAGTGGGGCCTTGACTTACGAGTGTCCCGACTAACGAGTTTTTTGAGATATGAGCCGTCTCTCGGCCAATTTTTTGCTTTGAGTTGCGAGCTAAAATTCGGGTTACGAGCCAGCTTCAGGTACCCCACCGCTAGTTGGCGCAGCGAACGTCACAGTGAACGCCACAACATCAGCCTGTCTCACTTGTTCACTTTATGATTTGACATACGAGTAATTTGAGTTACGAGCTCCGTCACGGAACGAATTAAACCCGTAAGTCAAGGCCCCACTGTATAGAAACGGGGTGGGGCAAAAGTAGGTTTACAGTTGTTGGTATGGAAAATAATACAATGTGTATTCTTTATAAGTGGCTTTTACTTTAATAAATTACTACGAGGCCCTGCCTGTTGTGGTTCAGTGGTTGGGCATCGTCCCGTGCATGGAAGAATTGCTGGTTTGATTCCCAGTCAGGGTACATGCTCAGGTTTTGGGCTTGATCCCTGGTAAGGGGCAGCTGATCGATATTTCTCTCTCCCTCTTCCTTTCTCTTTAAAAATCAAACCCTAGCCAGTTTGGCTGGGTGGATAGAGCGTTGGCCTGCGGACTGAAGGGCCCCAGGTTCGATTCTGGTCAAGGGCACATGCCTGGGTTGCGGGCTCAGTCCAATATGCAGGAGGCAGCCGATCAATGATTCCCTCTCATCATTGATGTTTCTATCTCTCTCTTCCTCTCCCTTCCTCTCTGAGATAAATAAAAATATATATTTTTTAAAAAAATCAATAAAAAAAGTCTTTAAAAAATTACTGTGAAAAATGTCAAAGATATAGAAAAATAAAAAGAACTTAGGTACCAGCTAGATCCAGCAATTAACATTTTTAGCTCCACCTGCTTCATTTCTCTGTATACTTTTTGCTGAATGATGACACCTTATCCATAAATAATTCAGCATGGATTTTTAAAAAATAGTCTACAATATTACCGAATTAAGCGTACTTTGCTAGTATCATCTGGTGTTGAGTCCGCATTCAAATTTTCCTCAGTGTCTTTTTGTTGTTGTTGTCAATCTTCACTCGAAATTTTTCCATTGATTTTTAGGGAGAGTGGTAGAGAGAGGGAAAGTCAAAGAGAAACATCGATGTGAGAGAAACACATCGATTGGTTGCCTCCTGCATGCGCCCCAGCCAGGGCTCGGGCTGGGGAGGAGCCTGCCACCGAGGTACGTGCCCTTGACCGGAATCGAACCCGGGGCCCTGTGGTCTGCAGGCCGATGCTCTGCCCACTGAGCAAACCGGCTAGGGCCCTCAGAATGTCTTTATAACCGTTTTTGCCCGATGGGACTTCATCACGGGCGGTGCATGTCGTCTGGTTGTCATGGCTACGGAGCCCTCTTACATCTGGAGCAGGCCACCCTCTGTACATGCCACCGGCTTGTCGACGAGGCACCGCCTTTATCATGTCCCGTGTTCCGGATCCAGCCGATGGCTTCCTTATGGCGTGAACTTCGTCTCCTATATTTCCCCTGAACTGGGGGTTAGCGCTCCACGCCTGTCTAAATGGAGGCCAACATGTTTGGCAGGAATAGTTCATAGCTGGTGCTGTGTGTATTCTCTATTACATCACACCAGCAGGCGAATGTCTGACTGTCCCACTCCTCCTGGAGGGAAGCGTGATTACTGGGTTGGGGTGTCGACAGCCAGCTCTCCGCATCGGAGGCCATGCGTGTCCCGTGTGACTAGGTGGTCTGTGGGGTAGCGCTGGGGCTGCATGCGGCCGTCCAGCTCCCCATTGCCCTTTCATCCGCGGTGTGAGCATCCACTGAGGATGCGCGCCCGGAACACTTATTTCACGAGGGGCTGCACGATGATTTCCTGGTTGCATCATTCCTTCCGCGTTTACCAGCGGGCGCTCTTCCAGGAAGGAGGGCTTTTGCTCATCGGAAGGAAGGATTCGGTTTGTCCGAAGCCCAGCTCCCATCAGAAGGGCAGGGATCACCCTTAGTTCTTTCTCTTTAATGAAGAAGTCGCCTTCATTGGTGACAAGTGAGGTTTTACCGTTTTGAATTCTGCACTTCTTTTTGGAGGAGTATTATGGGCATGTGGGTTACATAATGCAGTGTGTTTTGATCGATGACTGTTACTCTATTTGGGGCTCAAATTTTTCTAAATTTAGCCAATGGGGCTTCTGCAAGCTGGTGGCCGTGTCCTCTGGCTATGTCCCCGTTTGTCTTCGAGGACTTCCTCGCTTTATGGAGTTATCGGCTGCCCCAGGTTTGCATTGTACATTGCCTGCCCCGGACTCAGAATCAGCCATCTCTCCAAGGAACCCTATTTCGGAATGGTATTAGGTTCTAATTCACTCCGCGTGGATTTAATATATATATATGTATATGTGTATATATATATTATTGATTTCAGAAAGGAAGGGAGAGGGAGAGAGAGATAGAAACATCAATGATGAGAGAGAATCACCGATCGGCTGCCTCCTGCACACGCTGGGGATTGAGCCCGCAGCTGGGGCATGTGCCCTTGACCGGAATCAAACCCAGAACCCTTCAGTCTGCAGGCCAGTGCTCTATCCACTGAGCCAAACCGGCTAGGGCTGGAGTGGATTTATAGAGAATTAGACACCTGCAGTTCTGTGTGACACTTGGCTATAAGAGAAAGTCTGGGCTCAGAAAACATTAACCTCCTCAGCGCCGTGCTTTATCCTACAAGTTCCCAGAACAGCCTTGCAGTCACAGTGTGAGAGGCTGTTTCTTTGCAGGTCCCTTTGTCCTCAGTGTGCCCCCCACTGAGCACAGGAGTTCAACCCCTGGGTTTTCAACTCCCTGGAGGTTAATTTTTTCCCTCTGTGGTCATGGTACCCATCTCTTATCCAGTCGGGCGTGTGCCCTGTGTTTCAGTTTTAGGGTTTGCACAGGATGCTTCCTGATGTAACTTGGAGGGGAAGGAAAGGTTCCGACAGGAGGGGCTGCCCCTCTCCCTTTTTCCTGGTTTTCTGGCTGGGACCTGGGAGGCTTGGCTGCTGAAGGGAAGAGGTGTGAGCTGGGAGTGGGTGCTGGTGGAATTGAGGGAGCCATTTGTCTACAGGGTGAACCTGGGGTGGGTGCTGGTGGAATTGAGGGAGCTGTCTGCATCCACAGGGTGAACTTGGGATGGGGGATGGTGGGTGTGGTCTGAGGCCCCTTGGGGGGTGATGGTGAACTACATTGGTCTGGGGCAGTGGTTCTCAACCTTCCTAATGCCGCAACCCTTTAATACAGTTCCTCATGTTGTGGTGACCCCCAATTTCATTGTTACAAATTGAACATAATTAAAGCATAGCGATTACTCACAAAACAATATGTAATCATATATGTGTTTTCCGATGGTCTTAGGCTACCCCTGTGAAAGGGTCGTTCGACCCCCAAAGGGGTCGCGACCCACAGGTTGAGAACCACTGGTCTGGGGCAAGATTCCAGATCTCCAGGGTTCATCTGTGTGTAGGAGGCATCAGGAGGGCTGCCTGGAGGAGGTGATGGGGCCATAGAAGTTGGCCAGGTGAAGGAGGGAAGAGTCTTCCCAGCAGAAGGGCACTCCTTGCTCCTTCCCTCCGAGCTGAGTCCTCTGGATGCCTCAGTTCAGGTGTCACAGCTCTGAGCCCACAGGCTGGAGGATGTGGGTAATGCCCTGTGAATTGGGCCTGGTGGGGCTCAGGGGGGTGTGGGGTGCCCTCCAGATGACCTGGAAAGCCTGTATGCTGCCTGAAACCCATGGGAGAAGCCAGGTTCTGCACACAGCTGGCAGCCTGTTAAGGACCCACCATCAGTGGGCCAGACACACGTAAGACAAGGTAGCATGTTGGCATCAGCTTCTCACACCTGCCTCCCAGGTGCTGAAGTGGGTGGAGTCAGCGATCCAGGCGTCCAAGGTGCACCTGCTGTCCACGGACCACGAGGAGCAGGGCGAGCACTTGTGGAGGATCCCCTTCGACCCCAGCCTGAAGGAGGTCACCATCTCCCTGAGCGGCCCGGGCCCCGAGATCGAAGTCCGAGACCCGCTGGGTATGTGCGCCCCTCCTCTTTGGCCCCAGGATTGAGCTGGGAGTCAGGATGGGACAACGAGAGAGACCTGTGGTGACAGGGGTCTGGACACAAGGCTCCGGGAGCAAGGAGGGTGGGGGGTACCAGGTGGGGGCAGAGAGGGTCCCGTGGTGGGTGAGGAAGCAGGAGGCTGGGAGAAGCCAGGTGAGGGGAATTAAGATGAGGACAGTCCTGGGATGGGAGGCTGCCACGGAGTCCTTCCCCACGCACTCTAGAGGTCCCCACAGTAGCCTGGCGGGTGAGTGAGAGCATGGATTAGTGGCATGTAGCACAGATGGGAAGCTGGGGTTCAGGGAGGTGGTTTGGACCTGGCCACCTGGCTCCCCGGTGCTCCGAGGATGTCATGAGAACCTCAGGCTATAGGCCAGGAGTGCATCCCACACCTGGGGAGGGGGAGGGGGGCGTGCAGAATGAGGGGGAGGCCCCAGCACTGCCAAAGGCCTCTCGTCAGTTTCTCTGGGAAGATGAGGCTGGCGTTTGGAGAGCCACGGGTTCCTGGGGATAGGGTGGGCCTCTGTCACCCCCTGGGAAAGTGTTGGGGGCTGAGACTCACTGGGGCTTCCACAGGGAGGATCCTGCAGAAGGACGAGGGCCTCAACGTGCTTCTCAACATCCCTGACTCGGCCAAGGTGGTGGCCTTTAAGCCGGAGCATCCTGGGCTCTGGTCCATCAAGGTAGGGGGCACTGGGTTCCCGGGCTGTGGGGAGCCCAAGCCACATGGAGTTGGGACACCATCTCCTTCCTGCCTGGCCTGGGGAGCCTGGGATCCTGGGAAGCTGAGGGCTGGAGCTTGGGTAGGGATGTGGGCATATCAATAGAAGTAAAGGGTCAAAAACAGAGGAGGGGTATTCTGCTTTGCAGCCGTGAGTAGAAGTGGAGTGGTTGGGTTAGTTAGGGGGTGTTTATGAAGGACTTGGAGAAATGACTTGAGCGTCCTGAGATGGGTAACAGAGCCCTGTCCAGGGAGAAGGCACAAAAGAAGCAAGGGTGACCTCGGGGGAAGGCTTCGAGGAACAGTCCTGGCGGGTCGGGTCGGCACTCCTGGAGCTGGGGTGTGGGGGTCGAGGGCCCCGGTGACATGGGCCTCGGCTTGTGCTAGGTCTACAGCAGCGGCCGCCATTCGGTGAGGATCACGGGCATCAGCGACATCAACTTCCGCGCCGGCTTCTCCACTCAGCCCTCTCTGGACCTCAACCACACCATCGAGTGGCCCCTGCAAGGTACATGCTCCTGGAGCTGCCTTCTGAGGGGTGGGGCTTGCCCGTGGGAAGCAGTGGGAACGCTGGGGGCCGACTGTGAGTGCGCGGCTGTGGACAGGTGGCCCAGGCTGGGTTTCCACACCACGGGGCCAGGCCCCAGCCCAGGTGACACAGTGGCCATGTCCCTTTAGAACAGTGGTTCTCAACCTCTGGCCCTTTAAATACAGCTCCTCATGTTGTGACCCAACCATAAAATTATTTTCGTGGCTACTTCATCACTGTCATGTTGCTACTGTTATGAATCGTCATGTAAATATCTGATCTGCAGGATGGTCTTAGGCGACCCCTGTGAAAGGGTCGTTTGACCGCCAAAGGGGTCGCGACCCACAGGTTGAGAACCGCTGCTTTAGCACATGCTCCACTGCTGAGTTCACACCTTCCCCTTCTCCTGGGTCAAAGCTTATTTACTAAGAGCCTGGCTCCCCCAGTTTCCCGCTTTGACGCTGCGTAGAGTGGAGGTGATGCAGCCTTGGGGGCCACTGGCTGGATGAACAGTGGCATTTCAGGACCATGGACAGGAGCAAGCCCCCCCCCCTCCTTGTCCCACCCCCAGTGTGAATGTCCCAGGGAAGGGAAGGTGAGGTAGCTGGTGAAGGAGGACCAAGTGGGCTGATCCCTGGCCGATTGACCGATAGACCGAGGGCCGCTCCTTGGGGAGGATCATGGAGCCCAGCACAGATGCCAGCACCTCCTCCCTCGCCCTTCCCTCTGCAGGGGTGCCCATCTCCCTGGTGATCAACTCCACGGGCCTGCAGGCCCCTGGCCGCGTCGACTCGGTGGAGCTCTCACGCAGTTCAGGGCAGCCCCTCCTGACTCTGCCCACGCAGCTGCTCTCCAACGGATCCGCCCATCAGCTGTGGGGTGGGCCGCCCTTCCATGCCCCCCAGGAGCGCTTCTACCTCAAGGTCAAGGGCGAGGACCACGAGGGGAACCCCCTCCTTCGTGTCTCTGGAGTTGCCTATAGTGGGGTGGCCCCAGGTGAGTGAGTGGCTCTTGCCACCCCTAGATTTCTGTCTCAGTTGCCAACCCGTTTCTTCTGGGAGCCCTCCTGGTTAGATTAGATTCGGGAGTGTGTTCAGTGACTTCTGTGGGCAGCAAGCTCTGCAAGGATTATGCCGAGTACTGAGATGCTTCCGATGTAGCCCTCAGCTCAGATACGTAGTACAAAGTCATCCTTCACCCATGCATTCATCTATTTATCCATACATGCATCTGTCCACCGCACTCACTCATCCATCCAAACATCTACCTACCCATCCATTCATCCATCCACCCATCCATCCATCCATCCATCCATCATTCATCCATTCATCCATCTATCCATTCATCCATCCATCCATCCATCCATCCATCCATCCATCCACCCACCCACCCATTCATCCATCCATCCATCCACCCATCCATCCATCCATCCATCCATCCATCCATCCATCCATCCACCCACCCACCCACCCACCCATCTATCCATCCATCCACCCACCCACCCACCCATCTATCCATCCATCCATCCATTCATCCATCCATCCATCCATCCATCCACCCACCCACCCACCCACCCACCCACCCACCCACCCACCCATTCATCCACCCATCCATCCATCCACCCATTTATTCATCCAAATATCCACCCACCTGTCTATTCAACATTTCATTTTGTGTCATTCATAATGTGGACACAGCAGTGGGCATGGTCTTTTGTTCTTATAGTCACTGTATAATCATGATCTTGCTAATACTAATTTAGCCATCATTTTGAGCACTTCCCTTGGGGCAGTCCTGGGCCAAGCTCACTTACCACACATTCACTCCTCGAATGCTTATAACATTTCTGAGATGTGTTTCCATTTTATAGATGAAGAAACTGAGGCCACTAAAAAAAAAAAATTAGAAAAAGAACAAGAAACAGAGGCCCCCCCCCCCCCCAGCGTTGCTTGGAAGGTTCCATAAGCTAATGCACACACAGAGACGGCTCGTGGGGCCGCTCAGGGTCTGCACCCAGGATGTGGGGGTTGTGGACCATGTTGGGTTGGTTCCCACACGTGTTGACTTTCTGCTGGTTTTCTGTGTGTCCGTGAGGTCTCACATCCCGTCTGGAAGCTTCCAGAGGGCAGGGTGGAGTCTCTGGCTGTCCAGCTCTGTCTCTGGGCCTGGCAGGGGCATCTCAGTTCACTGGCCACTGGCTTCCATACTGGGCTCCACTCCCTCCTGCCCACTCCCCCTTCCCATGTGGTGTCCTGGGAGGAGCTCACAGAGGTGGCTCACTGACATTCCAGGTCCTTGCTGGGGATCTCAGCGAGGGGCTTGACTGCTCTGTCCACATCACTGGGGGGGCGGGGGCAGGCCGGGGGGCACCAAGGCGCCCATGGTGAGGTGGAGGACTTGCAGACCCTTCTTTCCAGCCCCCTGCTGGCCTCCACTCCCCACAGTGGTCCCCGGCCACCCCGGCCTTTACAGCTTTGAGAGGACTTTTCAGAAAGAAATTTCAGCAGCAGAGTAACAGCCTGTGCTTCTCTCTCCTGCTCTTTGCGATGGATCCGGGAGTTTGGAGTTTAGCTCTGGCTCTTGGTCGGCACCTCCGCTGTAGATGAAGGTGTGTCTGTGGGGCAGGGAGTGGCATGGCTTGGCCTTTTTGCGTCCTACTCTACCTCCCAGGTTTGGGAGGCTGGCGTTTCGGCTGAGAGCAGGAGGCTCTGGGTTTGGAGACGTGGAGGTGTGAGGGCTGGGCCTGGGGTCGCTGGGCCCTTGCAGCTCACAGAAGAGGAAGCCGAGCCGGCCTTGCAGAGGCTTCCAGTGTGTGTGTGTGCTGGAGGGGTGGCGGGGGTCGGGGGGGAGCTGGCTGCTTTGCACACAGCTGAGAACGCGGCTGGATGGTCCGGCATCCCTCTCCCCTGGGACGTGGCAGGCAGCCTGCAGCATGATGTCACCGCCGCCCTCCCACCCCGGCTCTGTGCTCAGAGGAGGTCTGGCACATTGTCAGCCTGCACAGCATCTCCGGGGGGGACGCGGAGGGGGCAACACAGGGCTGAGCGCATGCCCCATCACCCCGCGAGGCATGGGCGCCGCCAGGGACCCTGCGGGGTGGTTCTCAGACTTCCATTGAAGTAACTCCAATAGCCAAGGAGAGAATGTGTCACCCCCAAGACCAGGGTCAGGCGAGGGGGGCAGTGGTGTCTGCTGAGGGCCCCCAGGGGCTCATCACAAGTTGTGAGATTTCATTGAATTCTCTTATTTTATCTCAAAAATGCGTGTGAATTTTGCCTTTGCAGCCCTGCTCCAACTATGCTTATTTTTGAATAAAAAAAGGCTCCCCTCCAACATCTTTGGGGAGAACGGACCCTCGGGCAGATGAGCAGTTGATGCCCCACCCCCACCCCTGGGGCGCCCCGTCTGGTCTCGGGCCTGATACAGTTGAGAGAATGGGGCACAGACCGGCCCGGCCCATCGCAGCCAGCGTGTCACAAACCATACAGGCAGAGCTTTCGCGGGCGCTTCCCACGCACCTCGCACCTCCTCTCGCCAAGTCCCCATGCCAGCGGCCAGCCCCACTTTACAGAGGCGGAGACTGAGGCTTGGAGAGGCCTCTGCTCCTGGCTCCTCCCTGTGGGTGTGTGGCTGGGCGTAGGGCTGGCAGCTGTGGGGAGCAGGGCGGCCTGCTGAGCGCTGGTCCTTGCCTGCAGGCGGGCCCCTGGTCAGCATGCCCCCCAGGATCCACGGCTACCTGCACCAGCCCCTGCTGGTCTCCTGCTCCGTGCACAGCACCCTCCCCTTCCGGCTGCAGCTGCGGCGTCATGGAGCCAGGCTGGGCGAGGAGCGGCACTTGCAGTGAGTCGCCCATGGGCAGCCCGTTGTCCTCGGCCACTGGGCTCCTGGGGTCCCGATGCCCTCGGGGAGCTGACGGGAGTGGGTGGCAGGAGAGGGACCTGGGGCTCGGTCATACTGTCCTCCAGGGCAGCCCAGCCTGGGCACCTCTCAGTGGGGCCAGGGATGGGGGAGGGTAGCCCCCGAGGTTCCCGCCACTGCTGGGCCATCACGGGGCTGCCTTCGCTTGCAGAAAACTCAACCCATGCAGGGCCTTGCCCACGGGGCCAGGGCATCTCCCCTTTATGGATGGAAGTCCAGAGCTCAGAGAGGGGCAGGGACTTGCGCAGAGCCACACAGCATCCTGTGGAATTTGCATGTCCTTGGCTGCCCGCTCCTCTTATCAGGCCTCCAAGAGGATTTGGCCCCCCACCCCCCGGGCAGGGTTCAGAGGAACGGGGCCCCAGAGGGTGGGGGAGGCGGGGGACCCTGGCTGGGGGCAGTGTGACGGTGTGTGCCCGCCTGTCGTGTGTTCGCAGGGAGTCGGGGAACAGCAGCTGGGAGATCCCGCGGGCCTCCAAGGCCGAGGAAGGCACGTACGAGTGCACAGCGGTCAGCAGGGCTGGGACCGGACGGGCGCAGGCCCAGGTCATCGTCACAGGTCTGTCCCTCCCAGTCTCCCCTCCCCACCCCCTTGCTGACTTTTCCCACCAGGATTTCCGTCCAGGGAGCCTCCGTCTGTGGGGGAGCGTGCCAGCCAGCTGCTGGGGACTGTCCATCACCGAGCCTGGCTGCCGCGGCCCCTGCCCGCTGGCCCCGCTGGGGCTGTCTCACCCCGGATGGCCCGGATGGCGGGTCTCAGTTGGAGAGAGGTTGGGAACCTCGGCTCTGGCCGCGCTCCCTCTGCCCAGCCTTCCTCCCGCCCCTGATTGCTTGGTCTGGCCTTTGGGACTTGCCGGCCCCCAGATCTTTCCGGGGCCACCGTCCATCTTGCAGCCCGACACCTGTGCCTCCACGTACCCACGGAATGGCACCATTCAGCGCAGGAAGGTTGGAAATGCCACCGACCATCCGACAGGAAATTGGTTTTATTTATTTTTTAAAATTATTTTTTAAAAATAAAATTTTATTGATATCAGAGAGGAAGAGAGAGAGATAGAAACATCAATGATGAGAGAGAAGCATTGATTGGCTGCCTCCTGTACATCCCCCACTGGAGATCGAGCCCTTAACCCGGGCATGTGCCATTGACTGGAATCGAACCCGGGACCCTTCAGTCCACAGGCCGATGCTCTATGCACAGAGCCAGGCCGGCCAGGGCTGGCTTTATTTCTTAAACTGTGAACCCCAGCTCTGGGGAAGAGAAGGGAAGGAGCCAGACAGCGTGGCGAGCGAGGCCTTCCGCACCCTCGGATCTTACACAAAGCGGGGCTTCCCGGAGGAAGACTGGGAAACAGGCCGGGGGTGGAGCGGCCTGGCGCCCTCCCAGAGGCGCCCTCCGGAGCGCGTTGACTTGCTTCCTTTCAGACCTTTACCTGCGCGCGCGTTTCACCGAAAATGGGAGACTAGTGTACATACTTACAACAGCCCGAGCTGTTATCCCCTCACAGTAGAGCACGTGAGCACACATGCTTAGGGCGGGAACTAACAAAAATCTGCTTTTTCTAAATGATGGTGAGCAAAGAGAAGTAGAACGGCGTCAGGAAACTTGTCCGGCCGTTACTGAGAGTTCGCAGTGGCTCACCGCTTTCCGTATCTGCTCTCTCTCCTCTCGGCTAAACTATGTTAGACTCAAACTCAGGGCTTCGACTTTCAAGTCCCTGTCTCTGTCTAATGCGCTACAGCCAGCGTCTACTGCTGGTCTCCCCGCAACACACAGGGGCCCCCGTCTGCACGCTGGCATATCGGGGTGCAATCGGCATGATACATTGGTGTAAATTTGTTTAAAGAGAAATTCATGGCCATATTCATCCTGTAACCAGACAGTCAGTGGGTCTGCGCTGCCTGTCACTGTGTGAGCCAATCCAGAGGAGACGGGGTTGAGTCGTTATGAGTGTTTATTCAATCCTGCCGGCAGACATCTCCGCCCCCCACCATAAGCCAGCTGCTCATACTGGGTAGGACAGCGATGACATGGGGAAGTAGCCAAAGGGTGTGCCCAGTGGGCAATTTACAGGTCATGGGGGCTGGAGACCTGCAGAGGCCCGTGGGCATGCAAAGGCTGGGGGTCTTCAAGGGGCTGGCGGCTCTGGCTTCTGCAACAAGGTTTGCTATCTCCCCATGACAACAGGCAGCTTCTGGATGGGGAGGAGGGGCGCATTTCCAGGTGAGCCTCCAGGTCCCCCGTGGAACCCCCAGCCAGGCTGGGAGGTGCCTTCTTGAGTCAGAACAGAGCTTGATTAATATTTCCTCCAGTTCTAGCTGGTCCCCAGGATCCCATTTCTGCCCCTGCCAGCTGCCGAGGTCCGAGGCTCCACTTGCCTGGGCGTCGTGGTCACTGCACATGTGGCCTGTTGGATGCAGGTCCCCCTGCAGGTTCTCAGGCCCACGCCCCTGGTTAGTGGGCCTCTAATCTCGCCACTTCTTGTGGCTGCTTCTTGGCGAGACGGCAGTTTTCTTTGCTCTCCCGTCTCTGGGGCAGAGGCCTCCTTCCTACATTCGTGTGTAATAGTAGCCCTGCTGTTTGCACAGAGCGTGGCTTTTACTCATTAATCTTTCCCTCCTGAGGGTTCATTTGAAACCCAAGCGTTATTCCCAAGGGTGCAAATATTGGCTCAAAGCGGAGCTTTTGTTAGACACCGCAGTTGGCTGCCGGGAGCAGAGCGCGCACTCGCCACGCAGCCCTCGGGGGGTGTGTGATGGCGACAGGCAATGCGCCCTCCCCGGGTGGCACCGTCCCCGATGGTGAGCAGACGCCGGTTAACCTCCCTGCTGGCCGAAGTCTCCGGACGGCCACGGTGCTGGGTTCTGGCATCGGGACCCCACGGGGACCAGCAGGCTGTCCTCCCGAGTCAGCCCCGGCGAACCTCCCATGCGTGTGTCCTTGCAGACCCTCCGCCACAGCTGGTCCCGGCGCCCAACGTGACCGTGTCCCCAGGGGAGACGGCCATCCTGTCCTGCCGGGTCCTGGGCGAGGCCCCCCACAACCTGACGTGGGTGCGGGACTGGCGGGTCCTGCCGGCCTCCACGGGCAGAGTCAGGCAGCTGGACGACCTGTCCCTGGAGGTCAGCGCCGTCGTCCCCAGCGACGGCGGGCGGTACCAGTGCATAGCCAGCAACGCCAACGGGGTCACGAGGGCATCCGCCTGGCTCCTGGTGCGAGGTGAGGCTCTTCCCGCGTGGCTGTGCTCCCAGTTCCACACACTGCCCAGTCTTTATCCCCAAAGCCCGTCCCTCTGTCCCTCTGTCCCTCCATCCCTCCCTCCCTCCCTCCCTCCCTCCCTCCCTCCCTGTGCCCAGACATGGCCTCTGGCAGGCAACCTCAACCCTCCCTGTTTTCTGAACCTTCAGAGAAAGGCGTCTGAGCCTCAGAGCTTATGCCGAGTGGTTCTCACTCGTGGGAAGTTCATCCTCTTATCTAACCTAAATTCCTACTGCTGGAAGCCAAGCCAATTTCACTGTGTCCTGACCTTTTCCAGAGCCATTGAGCACCTGTCTTGCCACCCCCCCCCCCCCCCGCCAATATGGAGGATAGGGATGGAACACTGGCAACTGCTGAAGCCCAGAGGTCAGGGCTGGGCAGCACTGACCAGATAGGGATGGAGGAGACAGTTGGAGGAGCACTTGTCTGGGAGTCTGAGGACCTAGGCATGGCCTCAGGTCTGCCAGGGTTCGGGCAGGGCCGCCCCGCTGGGGTGCTGTATCCCCAAGTGTGAAAGTGTCATAACAAGTGTGTTCTCCGGTGCCAGCGACCCCTCTTGGCGCCTGGGGGGTGTGGGGAAGGATTCTGAGGTCGCCTGGGGGTGTGGGGAAGGATTCTGAGGCCGTGTATGGGACACAGCTATGGGAGGGGCGTGCTCCCACTTCTAGGCGAGGGCCATGAGCTCTGTGGGAGCCTGGCAGGTCTGGCGTGCTTTCTGTGTTTGGGGCCAGCACTTGTGCAGGCCTTGGGTCACTCAGGGTCACCGGAGGCGAGAGCCATCCCAGCCCTGGCAGCTGCAGGGCATCTCCCTAAGCCTCGCTGAGGTGCTCGGCCCAGAGGGGAACTCCAGGGAGCTCCCACCGGGGGCCCTGGGAAAGCAGTCCCCGTGCGCCCTGGGGATGTGCCTGGGTGGCTGCCTGGTCAGCCCTCGTCCCCAGGGAGGCCACTCCTGGGATTCAGGGCCTTTGCCTCCTGTGTCTCTGCCGTCGGTGGCCGTGGCCGTGGCCATGGGAGGGCAGGGTCCCAGGGCTGGGGGCTGGGACGGCCCGGCTGCTCTGACAGGCTCTGTCCTGCCGCCCACTCCGAACCGCAGAGGCCCCGAAGGTCAGCATCTACACCAGGTCCCAGCGCTTCTCCCAGGGCGTGGAGGTGAGGGTCAGCTGCTCGGCGTCTGGGTACCCTGCACCCCACATCTCCTGGAGCCGTGACGGTCACACCCTGCAAGAGGACAGCAGGTGAGGGGCCCAGGGCCTGGGGCTCCGGGACTGGGAACAGGGGGGACCAGGACCCCCAGGCACCTGTCCCAGCCTCAGTCCTCTTACCCCTAAACGGGGAGGAGCATGGTCCTGCCCTCCTCCGGGGATCATGTGAGGCTCAGGAGCCCGTCACTTTGGAAACGTGACGATGCCTCAGGGAGGGCTCCAGGGTCAGGAGCCACAGCAGCAGAGTCCAGCAGACCTGTGCTTGGGTCCCGCCTCTGCCAGTCAGGCTGTGTGACCTTGGGCAAGTCACCGAACCTCTCTGAGCCTCATGAATGAAAATAGACAATGCGTGTATAGTGCTGAGCTCAGAACTCGGCACAGGGCGGTGCGGGGTGGTGGTCCCTGGCGACGTTAGTGAATTTGTTATCAACAATGATGGAGGGACCCTTGCACGGCCCGACCTGATCAACCCCTTGCTGTTGACCATGACTCCAGAATCCACGTGGATGGCCAGGGAACCCTCATCATTCAGGGACTGGCCCCAGAGGATGCTGGGAATTACAGCTGCCGGGCTGCTAACGAGGTTGGCACAGACGAGGAAATGGTCACCCTCTACCACACAGGTACTCGGGCCACGGGCATCTGGGGAAAGGGGCCGGCCTCCCTCCCCCCCTGGCCCCCGCCCGCCCGCCCTCTCTCCCTCCCTTTCTTCCTCCCTCTCGTCCACAAATACTTACTGAGCAGCTGCTACATGCCAGGCAGTGGGGACACAGCCGTGACACAGGCCCCTGTCTGGGGGGAGGCATAAAACATAAGGAAGGCACTTTTGGGTGGTGAGGATGCACAGAGCAGGGTGGGTGGGTGATGGGTGACGTGCAGGAGGTGGGGGGGATGCCTGTCACACACAGGACCCGCTGAGGCCTCCATGAGGGACAGGATGGCAGGCAGAGGGGCCGGAGGGGTCATGAGTCCTGGGTGCTCAGGGGGCTGCCAGAGGCGGGTGTGGGGCGGGGGAGCGGGGCCGGGGAGCGGCTGGCACCCCCTAGAGGGCATTCGTAGGGTTTGGCGGTTCAGTGAGGAGCCTTAGGGGTTGGTCCAGGAGTGACAGCTTTCACTTCCGGTCCTGGGAAGCTTGCAAAAAGTGGGCTGTGGCTAAATTTTCCTGGGGTGACCGTCTCGAGGTGGGGGATGGGGAGGAGGCTGAGTGCTCCGCTCCCCCTCTGTCCCCTCCCCGCCCCCAGCTGTGGAAGCCACATTCTCAGTCTAGGGAGTGTGGTACCTCACTTCCCATCTGCCCCCCCCCCCCCCCCCCCCCCCGCAGACCCACCCTCGGTCTCCGCCGTCAGCGCGGTGGTGCTCGCCGCCGTGGGACAGGAGGCCGTGCTGGCGTGCGAGGTGTCCGGGGTGCCGCCGCCCCGGCTCATCTGGTATCGAGGTACGTGGGGTGGGGAGAGGGCCCCGGGGATCCGATTTCCAGGACAGTCACTGGGGAGGGGGCACTCCGAACGGGCGTCTGGGGAGAAATGGCCCATCTCAGCAGCCCTCGCCCCCCACCCACAGTCCACGCAGCTGATGCAGGGCGGCTCGGGAGTGAGGAGCAGGTTTGGTTCCGGCTCCCTGGGCGCCCGTGGGTGGGGGGCTTGGCATCTCTGAGCTGGCTCCCTGTCGGGGAAGCAGGAAACCCCAGGTGGTTGTGAGGATGAGACGAGTCCACGCAAGCCAAGTGTCTGGAACGAGCCGGCGCTCGGCTGTGCTCAGCGCTCCTAGAGAGGGAGGCGGCGGTGCCGGGGTGGCCTGGGACACGGAGGAACGGCCACGACTGTTCCGAGGCTGTTGGGGTTCGCGGGGGTGGAGTGTGTCCGCGGTGCTGGACGCCCAGCTGGAGGTTGGATGGGCAGGAGCTGTGCTGCACACCCACCGGCGGGCGTGGGTGCGGGGCTGCTGCCTCCGACACGGACTCCTGCTCCGGTGTCAGCCAGAGCCCCGTGGCGCCCCCACCTGGACACGCTCCATCCTTTGCAGCCCCTGTCTGCACCTGGGCTTTGAGAGAGGCAGGGATTCACTCAGATCACCGGCGGGCGAGTGGGCTCAGAGTGTGAGCATCCTGTCCCAGGGCCCCAGCCAGTGGGGGCAGAGGCCGCGGGACCCCTGATGCAGGGCCCACTCCCTGCGTGTTCCCGCCGAGAGCCCTCCCAGCCCCTCCCAGCCCCTCCCAGCCTCTCCCAGCCCCTCCCAGCCCCGCCCTGAGCCGCTTAGAAAGGGGCTCTCTCAGTGGGATGTTGTTTACCCTTAAAAAGGAATGAAGTTCAGGTGTGTGACGATGTGAGGGTATTTAACCCCACAGAAGTGTGCACATAACCGTGGTGAAGATGGTGAATTTTATGTTCTGTGTCTTTTTACCACAGCCTTTTAAATTTGTAAAAAAGAACCAGAAAAAGACAAAAAGAAAAAAGAATGCCATTCTGATACAACATGGATGGTCGTTGAAAACCTTATGCTAAGTGAAATAGGCCAGACACGGAGGACACATCTTACCTGATTCCACGTACATGAGTTCCCTAGAATGTGCTCATCCATAGAGACAGAGTAGAAAGGGGGTCGCGGGGGGCGGGGGGTGAAGCGGGGAATTCGTGTCTGAGGGGCACAGTTTCGGTTTGGGAAGATGAAGGAGTTTTGTGGGTGGACGTGGTGGTGGACGCACCACACTGGGGATGCACTTCATGCCACGGATTGGACACTGAACGTGCATAACGATGGCAAAAATGTGTGTGACGTGTGCTTTACCACAAGTGAAAAACTAAATTACACGTTAAAAGGGGTTCAGAATCAGGGGGTCTGTCAGCCAGCCGCCTGGAGGAGAAATAACGGGGGGCCTCAGAGAGGCAGGCCTGGGGGGTGTGGTCATCTCGGGGTGACCAGGCCCCTCCCAGAGCTGATCCAAGCCTCAGTCTGGACCCGGGGCAGAGGGTGGGGACCCAGTAGGGAGGCCCAGGCAAGGAGTTCTTGGGTGAAGAGCCTGTTACATGGAGGGAGACAGCCTGGGCCTCACTCCTGTTCCACAGAGGGGCTCAGGGGACTGACTGAGTGGTGCTGACTTTAAAAGGTTTAATTGCGGTAAAAGACACAGGAAAAATTTACCATCTTCACCATGTTTAGGTGCATAGTTCAGTGGCATCAGGGACACCCCACCATCGTACAACCGTCACCATCATCCGTCTCCAGAACTCTTTTCCTCTGGCAAAACCACAGCTCTGTCCCCAGACTTTCGGGGAACCTTCCCCCACTGCCCCAGGCCCCAGCCTGTGCGTGGCAGGAGCCTGGGGTCAGGGAGCTGCGCCCCAGCCCCCTACGGCGACCGCGGGCCGAGCCTGATGCGTTCTCCTCTTTGGTCCAGAGGGTCTCGAGATGATCCTGGCCCCTGAGGACTCCAGCTCTGGGGCGCTGCGGATCCCGGTGGCTCAGGAGAGGGATGCTGGCGTCTACACCTGCCGAGCCGTCAATGAGTTGGGCGCCGCCTCTGCGGAAATCCGGCTGGAGGTTGGACGTGAGTGTTGCCTGTCCCCGCCTGCCCGCCCCTCTACCCCACCGCCGAGCCGGGGCGGCGGGAGAGAACCCCTCCAGGTAGCCGGCCAGTGCGGGGTCCCGAGCACTTGGGGACAAGGAGGTCCGAGGGAGATGGGTATGCCTTACCTCTTTTTTTCCTTTTATTTTTTTAAATTGATTTCAGAGAGGAAGGGAGAGGGAGGGAGAGAGATAGAAACATCAGCGATGAGAGAATCATTGATCGGCTGCCTCCTGCACGCCCCCTACTGGGCATGTACCCAGGCATGGACCCTTGACCGGAATTGAACCCGGGATCTTTCAGTCCTCAGGCCGACGCTCTATCCACTGAGCCAAACCGGCTAGGGCTCTTTTTTCCCTTTTTATTAAATTTATTGGGGTGACACTGGTGAACAAGATTCTACAGGTTTTAGGTGCATAATTCCAGAATGCGTCGTCTGTACACGGTACTGTGTGTTCACCACTCCAAGTCAAGTCCCCATCCATCACCATGTATCCCCCCTGTGGCTGTTCCCCACCCCCTCTCCCTGCTGTATTATCTCTCATTGGGTCACAATTGCCCCAAAACTTTGTGGCTTAAAATAATAAACATGTTTTCCCTCTCGGTTCTGGAGGGCTAGTGTTCTGAGAGGGGCTTCGCTGGCGGGCGCATCCCCACTGAGCTCACTGACGTGGCTGCTGGGGGAGGCCTCGTCCTTACCACGCGGGCTTCTGCAGCTTCTTGGGACATGGCTCCCCCAGGAGTAAGGAGGAGAGAGAGAGAGTACCAGGAGGCAGGTGTCACAGAGCCATCCTGGAGGCCGCTTACCACGCAGGCGAGCCTGGGCGTTGTCATCCTGAAGCCTGCACTCCAGGCTCATCTCCATCACTTACCATCTGTGTTTGGTCAGGCCATTGAGCCTCAGTTTCCCCCAGCTGACCATACCACTTCCTTTTTTTTTTTTTTTTTTTTAATTGTAGAGAGAGAGACGGAAGGAGAGGGAGAGGAAGAGAGAAATATTGATGAGAGAAGCATCAACATCAGTCGGCTGCCTCTTGCACACCCGCTACTGGGGATTGAGTCCACAACTCCAGCATGTGCCCTGACTGGGAATCGAACTGGTGACCTCTTGGTGCATGGTCAATGCTCAACCTCTGAGCCACACTGGCCAGGCCAAACTACTTTATTGGGTGGCTGTGAGGTCAGTGACCTCAGGCACATAATGCTTTGCACATGGTCGGCCCATCGTGACTGCTTAGTAAACGAGGGGTGATGGTCCCCTTCTCACAGAGGGCAGTCTATTCTACGTGGCCTTGGCTGTGCGGGCTGTGATGTCTGAGTTCCAGGCCTGGGTCCCGGCATTGGGAGCTGCTTGGAAGTCGTCGACACAGCTCCCTGGCAGGCTGAGCCGGGACGGATTGGGCTCTGAGGGTTTGCTGCAGCCACAATGGAGAGACAGGTGCTGGGAGATCTGGGAGGTGCAGAGAATCTGGAATGTGCTTTTTGGGGCTGGGTGAGTTGGGCTAGGGGCTCCCCCAGGAGATAGAGCCCTGGGTGGAGCAGGCCCAGTCAGGAGGGTCTGGGCCTGGTGGGGACTGTGCGTATCAGGGTTGGGCTCCTCCCAGGTTTGGGGCACCCTTAGCCTTCATTCATTTGTTCCATCATTCATTCCTCCATACGTGGTCACCAGGTGGACCAGGCCCTGTGCTCCAAGGCCGGTGTTGGGGACACAGTGGCATCTACCTTTGGGTAGCTGGTGGGGTCAGTGGGAATACTCAGTGGCATCCTTGGGGGTCTGTGGGTGCCTTGGAAAGGGGGCTGACCCAACATTGGGGGTTTGGGAAGGCTTCTCGGAGGAGGTGATGTCCAAGCTGAGCCCAGAGCGGTCATTCAGGTGACGAGCTGTGGAACATGTTCCAGGCAAAGGGAACAGCATGTGCAGACTCCCCCGTGACAAGAGAAGCTCGGCCGGGAGTGCGACATAGAGAGGGTGGGGAGAGGGGCAGCTGAGGCGGCTGCTACCTGCTGTAGGTCACTCCCGGCCTGGCTTCAGGCGCTGGGCAGGGTCCAGGCTTTGTCCTGTGGGGGTGACGAGAGGTTTTAAGGAAGAAAGCTATGGGCTCAGACCTTCCTGCATGGCTGGGCTCTTGGGTGGGGCAGGGTGGGTGTGGAAAGCCACGGGCTTGGAGCCTGATGATGATACAAGTAGAAGCTAACACTTCTGTGAGTGGCCATGTGCCAGGGCCAGCTCCAAGCAGGGTTCATGCACTCACATGTAATCCTCTCAGCCCTTGGGGTGAGTGCTATCATGATCTCCTTTACCGATGGGGAAAATGAGCACAGAGAGGTTAAGTAACTTGCCCAAGGTCACACAGCTGGCAGGTGGCAGAGCTGGGATCTGAGCCCAGGGTCCCAGCCTTGAGCCCCTGGACTCGATCCTGATGCTCACCAGCAGGGTGAGCTCGGATGTGGTCTCTGAGATGCTGTGTGAGGGAGAGAGAAAGGCCTGCTCAGTGCCACTGTCTTAGCGATTGGCCAGTAGGCTCTGGGTGGGCAGAGAGGCTGCCCTGGGGGTGGCTGCTTTGGCATTCCTGCGGGCATCGTCCTTTGCCCCCTGTCTGATTTCTTTTCAGCAGAGCCTTATTTCTGCGGGGCCCAGGCTGACATGCTGCCGGGTCCTGTCGTTTGCCTGCCGGCCATTGGCCTTGGGGCCACCTCTCCACGTCAGAGAGAAGAGGCAGCTGGCATCCGAAAGGCAGGCTTCTGGGGCACTGTGCCACTGTGGCCTCTGGCTTTGAGGTCAGGGGAGCGGTGGACGGTGGCCCAGCACCTGTGTGCCGGGCGCTTTGGCCTGGCGGCAGTGGTGGGAAATGGAATGTCCTGCCCATCTGGGTGGCAGCTGTGGTCCAGCCTTCCTGGCCAGGCTGGCGGAGCCTTCCCCTGCCAAGCACAGGTGGGCGTCGTGCCCACATCCTGCCGGGGAGCTGGGAACTGCCTTCCTGGTGGCGTTCGGGCGCTGGAGGAGGGGGCCTGGTCTGTGGACCAGCTGCAGGGTTGGCACCGGCTCTGCACCTGGCCTCCCGCAGTCGAGTCCTGCTGCTGATTTGGCCAAATTGTTTACCTCTCGGAGCCTCGCTTTCCTCATCTGTGAAATGGGGACGATAGTAATAGACCTTGCCCACGGGGTCCTGGGAGATTTAAGGAGACGACGGGTTTTGTTCAGGGCTCGCCTGGGTAACATTCAGCGCACGTGCAGTAGGCCGGGGGGCTGACGAGGGCCGTTGAGGCAGAGTGGGGTACACTGATTTGTGCCATGGCTGGTGACTGACTCCGTGGCAGGCGCCCCTCCCCAAGTTCGGTGCCTTTTCTATGACTTTAAAGACTTCGCCCCGCTGATTTCTCTCTAAATGGGTGAGTCCCCACCCTCTCTCTGCCCTCTCATCTCAGTCCCAACCTCCTGTGGGGTCCACCTTGTCATCGGTATCGTCTTCGGGCCTGAGACCTCTCCCTCTCCCTGGTCAAACTGAGTCAAGGCTGACTGTGTACTCCTTCCCACCGACCCTGCCCCCGGGCTCCAGGCCATGGAATGGGGGGTTGGCTGAGGAGACTGGAGGTGGCTACCGGGGCTCAAATGATGAGAAAGCTTCAGAACCTTAAGATATTTGAGCCAGGGTAAAAATAGACTTACCTCTTACAGTGGGGAAACTGAGGCCCAGAGTGGTGAAGGGGTCACCCGGGGTGCCCAGTGGGGCCTGCCCAGGCTGTGGGCCTGCAGGCCGGTGTCCCTGGCCTGGGGACCGAGCGGGAGGAAGGGCAGCTGGCACCTCTCCTGGTTGCCTCTTGGCAGCTGTTGGAACCCATGGGGTCTTTCCGCTGCGAGATTCCTGGAGGGGGAGCGGCCCCAGCTAACAGCACCCTCAGCTCCTCTGAAGATGAGAGGGCGCAGGGGGAAGGCAGGGGGAGCCCTGGAGCTGTGAGGAGGGGGCTTGGAGCCTGAAAGCTGAGGTGGCTGCGCCTCACGCACGGGGCCCTGGGAAGAACGCTGGGCGGCAGCCTGGCCCTCAGCCCGCCTGGTGCTGCGGGACTCAGGCCCCCTGCTCCCTCCTCTGGCCAACGAGGGGACCAGAGGACCTTCAGCTCTGGCATCCGAGGGTTCTGGGGTCCCGCCTTTTGGAGGCTCCAGGTGAGGGTGGGGGACAGCTACAGAGCAGGGTGAGTCACAGTGTCCCGGGCAGGGTCTGAGTCTGGGATTGGCTCCTTTGGGATTCACCCTGAGAGGGGATGCGGGAGCTGGGTGCGGCTCTGGCTGGGGCTCCGCCAAGTTGTCCCCGAGGGCATCCGGGATGCAGGGGTGCGGTGTCTGAGAGCCTGGGCCTTAGCCGCAGCCAGACCTGGGCTCTGCCACTGACTTTAAGTCGTGCCCTGGGGCAGGTTCTTTCACCTCCCTGACCCTCAGTTTCCTCATCTGTAAAATGGGAGTTGCAGTGATACCACTTCCTAAGCCTGTTGAGACGATGAATGAAATCACATTCCTGGAAGCACCGTCGCCATGCCTGTCACTTGGTAGGCATTTGAAATGCTACCCTTCATACGTATTCTTTGTTGATCATGATAAGGATCTGTCCCATCTCAGGGGGAGGTTCGGCCCTCGGAGGAGGAGGAGGAAGAGAGTGCGCCTCACAGTAGCCCAGATTCGGGAGACAAAGTCAGGCTGTTTGGGGTCTAAGGAGGGAGCCAGAGAGAGTAGCTGGGAGGCCTGCCTGGAGGAGGGAGGTTGGAGCCGAGCCCTGCAGGCAGGCTGAGTGGGGTGGAGAAGGCAGGCTTTGGGGGGCGGGGGGGACGGCAGAGCCATGCCCCCAGGCCCAGGCCCCTGCAGGCCCAAGGACCCGTCTGAGACGAGCCTGGGGCAGAGGCTTTCTGGGATTCTGAGTCTCGGCTGCCAGGCCCGTCTGAGGTGGGGTCCAAGACTATCTTCCTCCTTGTAATTTTCCAAATTGTGTTTACATCTCCCTGGAACTTCCCTAATCCCCGAGGCCCGGGGGAGTTTGACGTCATGATTTGGACGGACAGGGGGATTTCTGGAAAGAGATGGAAGGAACCGAGAGGTGGGGTGTTTTCCGTGGAGCTGGATGTGAAGCGTAACAAAAGGCTGGGGGCCTTCTGGCCGTGGGTCTGGGGCCAGGACCCGAGGCCAGGGTCCAGCGGCTGCAGGGCCAGGCCCGGGACCTGGCTGGAGTTGGGCTGCTTCTGGCCTGCTGCAGGGCCGCAAGGGTGGTGAGAGTCTGTTCTGGGAAATAACTCATCTTTCCTCCCCGATTGTAAAATAGGACAACGCTTAGAGAAACCGTTTGGAGGAAACGCTACCATCTATTAGCAGTGGTGACCGTGGGGAGGGGCACGGGCTCTGGGGATTCGAGGGGCAGAAATTAGGGGAAATCCTCGTGTGTGTTTACATTTTTTATAACTCAGGTCAGCAGGGAAGCCTGTGCAGAAATGTTGTCCTGGTGTAATTTTTTTAAAAATTTATTTTTATGCCCGGCCGGCATGGCTCAGTGGTTGAGTGTCGACCTATGAACCAGGAGGTCACGGTTCGATTCCCAGTCAGGGCACAGGCCCGGGTTGCCGGCTCCATCTCCAGTGTGGGGCGTGCAGGAGGCAGACGATACATGATTCTCTCTCACCATTGATGTTTCTCTCTCTCTCCCTCTCCCTTCCTCTCTGAAATCAATAAAAAAATATTTTTAAAAAATAACGAAAATAAAGAATTTATCTTTCTTGTTGAAAGTATTACAGATGTTGCATCCCCCCCCCCCCCATTTACCCCCCGTCCCTCCTCCCCATTCCTGTGCCCTCCCCACTGGTGGTGTTATTACTGCAGCCCCTTTCTCTCCCAGTGTCCCCGTTTGGACCATAGAGCCTAAGGTCACATTATTCCTACAAAGCAGTTTGGTTCTGCAGTAGTGTTTCATATGCTCATTGCAACAAGTCCCGCAAACAGAAAGCCGTAGAGAGGAGATTCAGGATGGCTGCCAACCCCCCACAAAGCCGGCCCTTTGGGGTGGCGGTCACTGAAGGGGCCGTGGAGATGGTTGCTCAAGTCCAGGACACCTGCTAAAGGAAGCTCCCTGTCCCAGGAGCATGGCGACGGCCTCAGAGGCTCCTGCGGCCAGGTTGTGACCTGCAGGCCTCCCAGGGGGGCTTCCCCGAGGCGTCTCTGCCAGGAGCAGGCGGTGGCCCTGTAGCCAGCCCCGCACAGGCCTCTGAGGCGCCCCTGAGAGCGCTCCAGGGTGGGTCCCGCCCAGCTCAGGGTGGCCTTGGGGCCCTGACTCATCAGCCCCCAGGTTCAGGCCAGGCTGGAGGCGGGAACAGTCCCCTGGGGGCCAGGCGGGGCCAGCCCTGATGGTCACCTCCCTGCAGATGCGCCCCGGCTGATGGAGCTGCCCCGGGAGGTCGCCGTGGAGCTGGGCAGGAGCGCCCTCCTGGCCTGTCGGGCCACAGGCCGCCCGCCCCCGACCGTCACCTGGCGCCGTGGGGACAGCCAGCCGCTGGAGCCGGGCCGGGCCAGCAGGACCCGGCAGCCCGAGTCAGGAGTGCTGTTTTTTGAAAGTAAGAGCTTGGAGCTGGGGGAGGTGGGCAGGGAGACAGGGTGGCCCCAGTCTGGGTGGCCGGGAGCAGGACCCTGAGCCCAGCCCTGACCGTGGGTGCTATTTGGGGTCGTGTTTAACTGGGCAACTCTGGTCAAGTCATTTCACTACCCTGAACTGGTCATAGTAACGACGGTGACAGTGTTACCACCTGGGTTTAATATTATGGGTGTTAGCCATCACCATCATCATCATCATTGCCATCACCACCACCAATCACCATCATCACCACCAATCACCATCACCACCACCAATCACCATCACCACCACCAATCACCATCACCACCCCTGCTAAAGCTACACTGTGCTATGTGCGCGGCTGGATGCTGGGCGCAGTGTCCACGTCATCTTATTGACCCTTTTCCCAATCACACTGCAAGGCATAGGTATTGATGAATTAGCCCATTCTACAGATGAGCAGGTTGAGGCCTTCTCACCCTTCCACACCCAGCCATATCCCCCATCCCTCTCCTCTCTGCCATTCCTGCCCTCCCACCTGACCCCTGCAGGGCCAGGCTGTGCCACGGGCTCCCTCTGTGCTGGGGAGCCGAGCCTGCGGGGGCTGGAGCTGTGCCGTGGCCCCCAACACTCAGGCCCCCCTCTTTCCTGCCCCTCAGGTGTGGTCCCTGAAGACCAGGCCCCATATGTCTGTGAAGCACAAAATGTCTTTGGGAAGGTCCAGGCGGAGACCCGGCTCCTGGTGACTGGACACGGTTCGCTGGTGGATCTGGGGAGGGCGAGGAGGTGGGAGGTGGGACACCCAGGGAGCCCCCCCCCCCCCCCCGTGACCACCCATCCTTTGGGACAGATGTGTTCGTGACCAGGTATCCGAGGGGAGCCAGCTTCCTGGGCAGGTTCCCGGGGGCGGGGAGGGTGGAGCCTCTGTCCCCACAGATGCCCACGGGGATCCAGGGTGACCAGCACCCTGTCCTTCCCCACAGCCCCCCCACAGATCGCCAGCGGCGCCCCCACCGTGCGGGTGCTGGAGAGGCAGCCCGTGTCGCTGCCCTGCATCATCCTGGCCGGGAGGCCCTTCCCTGAGAGGCGCTGGCTCAAGGCCGGCCAGCCAGTGAGTGCTGGGCCCTCCGGGGTAGAGGGGGAGGGGGAGGGGGGCAGCGGAGGAGGGGAGGGGGTAGCGGGGGAGGGGAGGTGGGGGGGTGGCCGTCACAGTCACACCTTGGCCTCCGCTCTGCTGCTCCCTGGTTGTAGAAGGTCCTCATCCTTCCTCCCTCTCTTCCCTGCCTCTTTCCAGAACCTTCTCTGATAATGTGCTGAGAGCATTGTCACCCTCTGAAGCAGGGGTGGGGCACCTCTTCCCTGCCATTGGATGTTTATAACATCGTTCGCGGGCCGTACAGCAGCATCAGCTTAAAAACCAGCCTGCTCTGTTTGGCCAGACACTTAATTAACTCGCCCCTCATGCCTTGGCAGGGCCGGACCAAAGGACTGCGTGGGCCTTACGTGGGCCGCGGGCCGGACGTTCCCCACCCCTGCTCTAAAGTCCACCGGCCCCCTGGGAGCTCAGCAGGGGGGTCTGGCCTCCGTTAGCGCTGAGGTCTGGGGAGCGGGAATGTCGGGGGCACAGACACCTCGCACTGGTCACCCCGTTCTGGCTCCGGGCAGAGAAGTGACCTGTGCGGTTAAATACCCGCCTGACTGCCTAGCTCGGTGCTGGGCGCACGGTGGCTGCTGTACCCTGTCTTCTCTTCCCCTCTCCTGTGCACGCCTTTGCCTCCCTTCCCCTCAATTCCTCTGCACTGTCCTCAGACACGGGGGGGTCCTTGTGACTTGGAGGCTTTAAGGCGGTGCCCTCACCTCCATTGAACTTCAAAGCCCCAGAGACGCTGCAGCGATTGTGGGGCTGCTTTTCTGTTCCCGCCGCCCCGGTCCTGGCACCGCTGTCTGGGCCCCGGTGCAGAGCAGACGGTGCTTCTCGAGACGGGGGGGACCTCCCGGGGGAGACCCCCATCGCCCCGGCTTGGGTCGGGCATCTTGTCCTGTCCAGTGGCCATGGGAGAGTGCAGTGAGGGAGGTGCTAGGGGTGAGGCCCACCTACCCCTGAATGAGTCTTTGGAAAGGACTGGGGGCTGAGCAGTCATAGCATCACCCCCCTTCCCCGCCAGCTCCCCCACCTTCTCTCGTCCAGCCTGCGCCCTGCGGGCCTGGCGGGCAGTGTGGCTTCTGAGGGCTCTGCAGGGGCCTGTGCTCTGAGCTGGTTCTTCCCCCCCCCCCCCCTGCTCACAGCTCCCGGCCGGCAGCCGGCACTCGGTGCGAGCTGATGGCAGCCTCCACCTGGACCGGGCGCTGCAGGAGGACGCGGGGAAGTACAGCTGCGTGGTCACCAACACGGCCGGCTCCCAGCACAGGCATGTGCAGCTGGTCGTCCAGGGTGAGTCCTGGGGCCCAAGGTTGTGGGGTGGGGCCGGGGGCTGGCCGGGATGGGGGAGGGTACGTGGGGGGAACTTGATCTTGAATACCTTTGTTTAAAAAAAAAAATTGCACAAGTAGTACATAGTCACTGTAGGAAATTGAGAGACCAGCCAGGTAAATAAAAATACTTCTATAATACGCAAAGCTAAGATTAACCAGAATGACTTTACATTTTAGTATCTTTCATACTGCATACACATGTGAGCTTACACACACACCAATATATATGTAATAAATTGTATATACGTTATATACTTTTAAAAAATAGTTTTATTAATTTTAGAGAAAGAGAAAGGGAGAGGGAGAGAGAGAAAGAAAAAAAACATTGATGTGAGAACGAAACATTGATGGGCTGCCTCCTGCATGTCCCCTACTGGGGATCGAGCCCACACCCCAGGCATATGCCCTGATCAGGAATGAAACGGGCAATTTTTTGGTACATGGGACGACACCCAACCGACTGAGCCACACTGGCCAGGGCTAAGTCACATATTCTTTGTATAAATTATATATGCGAGTGTATTTCTCCCCTGTGTGTGAATTCCTTATAAACACACACACATACATGTTTTTAAGCCACGCTAGGGCCACATCATTACACCGCTGTCTGAGCCTGCGTGTTTCCCATGGCACTAGATTTTATGATGTTTTCTATCAGGAAGTTCCCAGAGTCTCGGCCTAAGGCTGCGTGCCCTGCGTGGATGCGCCGTGAGCCTCTAGCCCAGGGATGGCACACCTATGAACTCATTTTTTTGGTTGATTTTTCTTTGTTCAATGGCATTTAAATATATAAAATAAATATCAAAAATATGTCTTTGTTTTACTATGGTTGCAAATATCAAAAAATTTCTGTATGTGACACGGCCCCAGAGTTAAGTTAGGGTTTTTCAAAATGCTGACACGCCGAGCTCAAAAGGTTCGCCATCACTGCTCTAGCCTGTCCCCTCGCGTGAGCACCCCGGGGTCACCGTCCGTGCCTCCACCTTTGCCCACGGGGCCGAGTGTCCTTAGGATAAACCCCTTACTGTGGAGCTGAGCGCCGAGTCCCGGAGGTGGCCCATTTTTAGGGCTTTTCGGGTGTTTTTCCCAGTTCCTCTCCCACGCACAGCGCCCGAGTCCCGGCTCCCCTTCGCCCTCCCAGCCGGGTACCTCCGTTCTCTTTTGTGTAAGACGAGACGTTTGAAGGAAGCCTGGTTATATTTTGTCACTTACCACGTCTGTTAATACCCTCTTTTAAAAAAATCTTGTTTCATAAAATGCCCACGGGATAGGCGGGAAGAATCCACTATTCTCCATTTTTTAGGGGAAAATCAATGTCCAGGTCACAGGGTCAGCGGGCCAGGCTGCCTTCGCAGAGCGAGTCCCGGGGCGTCGGGTGTGTGTGTGAACATGCTCCGGTCTCCCCCCTCCCGACTCCTCTTAGAGACCCCGTTTCTGTGCTTGCGGATCGGGTGGTGCCCAGGATGGCTGTGGCACTTGTTCCCAAGTCCACTTGATCTGTGAATTCTGTTTTTTGCCATTTCTCATCCGTCCACCCTCAGAGAGTGGGCAGTGACTTGGGGTCCATTTAGTTGTTTTTGCGGATCAAGGAGTATGGGTGCCAAGAGTCGAAACGGTTTATCCAAAGCCCCAGGGCGCAGAAACGGCACGCGGGTTCCCAGGCACGGCTGCCCTCTGCCTGGGGCCTGACCACACGGCAGCGGTGGCTGAGGGACCACGCCTTAGTGTTCCGCTGCTGACACTGTTGTTTTTAAATTGTGTTAAAATCTGCATAACAGAACTTACCGTTTAAAAAATATTGTTATTAACTTCAGAGAGGAAGGGAGATGGAGAGAGGCAGAAACATCAATGACGAGGGAGAATCATTGATCGGCTGCCTTCTGCACGCCCCCTGATTGGGGATTGAGCCCGCAACCCGGCATGTGCCCTGACTGGGAATCGAACCGGTGACCTCTTGGTTCCTGGGTCGACGCTCAACCGCTGAGCCACACTTGCCGGGCCCCATTTTAACCATTTTTAAGGGCACAATCTAGTGTCACAAAGTGGATTTACACTGTTGCCTAACCGTCACCACCATCATCTCCAGAGCTTGCTCATCTTCCCAAACGGAAACTCTGTCCCCATGAAACAGACTCCCACCCTCCCCCAGCCCCGGCGCCCCGCATTCTGCGTCCTGGCTCTATGGTTTGCCCACTCCGGGCGCCGCGGATAGAGGGAGTCAGAGTATTTGTCCTTCTGCGTCTGGCTTATCTCCCTTGGCATCACGTCCTCAAGCTCGTGCCTGGGGCAGCCCCAGACCTTTCCTCCTTGTCAAAGCTGGGGGTGCTCAGCATGGACACACCGAGTCCTGTTCACCCATCGTCGGTTGATGGGTGTTTGATTGTTTCTGCTTTTGGCCAGTGTGGATATGGCTGTGAACTGTGGTTTACAAAACTGGTTTGTTTTTTAAAAGTGCCCCCTAGAATCCGGTCCACTGCCACCCACCACGTCACCAACGAAGGGGTTCCGGCCTCTCTCCCCTGCGTCGCCTCAGGAGTCCCCACCCCCACCGTCACCTGGACCAAGGTAGGCGGAGCCCGTGACCACTGAGGGTAACAGAGGGCCAGGCCCCGTGCATCATGGGAGGGGAGCGATGCACGTTGCCGTGGGTGTGGGCTCCGCTGACGTCACTCACCAGGGACTCCACCACAGGAGACCAGTGCCCTGACCTCCGGCGGTCCCCACTACAGCGTGAGCAAGGATGGCACCTTGGTCATCGCCCAGCCGTCCCCCCGGGACGCAGGGGCCTACGTCTGCACGGCCACGAACAGCGTGGGCTTCTCCAGCCAGGAGATGCGGCTGTCCGTCAACAGTGAGTGAAGGCTGCCCCCATCCTGGGGGTGGGGGGGCTCGGCAGGCGTGGAGTCCGGACCGGGACGCTGACCGTACGGCATCTTCCCTGGGCCCTGATCTACCTGCCCCCACACTCTCCCCAAGGAACGCTCCAGCCAGAGCCGGCCTCTCGGAGCGCTGTCCCTAGCAGTGAGGACGTGCTCAGAGAGCGGCTCCCACTCGCGTAGACGTCAAGTCGTGTGGTGGTTGTCTTCCTCCGTCTCGGCCTTTGTAGCCGGTGTGGGGAAGCCGTCACCCTAACAAGCCTCGGAAAGACACGCAGCCCTACGCGGGGCCCCCGCCCCCCATCTGGGCACCCCCCTGCCAGCCTCTCCTCCTGATGCTCTGTGCCCAGACCCTCTGACTTCCTTTCAGTTCCTTGAAGGGGCCATCGTGCCGCAGGGCCTTTGCACGTGTGGTTCCTTCTGTTTAGGAGGCCCTTCCCCACCTCTTGGCCCAGCCAACTCCTCCCATCCACAGATCTCAGTTCTCCCTGATCCCTCGGGCTGAGTCAAATCACCTTGCTGTGGAGGGTGGACGAGACCCTTCACAATGCCCGTCACAACTGTGAGCACATAAATATTGTGCACGAGCCGTTGGGCACCAGTGCTCCCTGTGGCCCCTGGCGCTCTGAGGACCGGGGCGGGGCCTGGCCTTGCTGCTATTTCCCCGCGGGCACCGCAGAACTGGGCCCTCGGTAGCCGTCTGGCCGACTGAGCAGGGCACGGCTGGTCTTCTATCGCTTACTGTCAGAGCCAGTCTTCATGTTGCAAACATTTTTTTGCCAGCGGGGTCTCTCTCAGCGTCATGATGTATAGGGAGCTACACGCGGGCTCCCTGGGCCTCCACATCCCCAGCTGGCTGGCCTATGTGGTTATGGGTGCCCAGACAGGTCCTGGGTGCCTTCCGTGTATGAGCACGTGGCTGGAAATGGGGGGGCGGCATAGAGAAGGAGGGATTCGGGGTAGTCTCTGCCATCAGGAGCCTCCGCTTCATATGAGAGCCAGGTGTTGGGCACAGGTTAGTGTAAACTCCCGATGGGGTTGGAGGAGGCCAGAGGGAGACTGGGTGTCACCTGGTGATTGGGTGTCACCTGGTGTCTGACGTCCTGGGAGGAAGTGGGATGATCATGGGGGACAAGGTGGAGAGGGAAGAGGTGGAGGAAGGACCTGCCCGAATGTCCCCAGGGAGGGAGCAGCAGATGAAGAGAAGCTAGAAGCTGGGATGGGGGCACCGTGTCCCTGTCATTCTAGCAGAACAAGCTTCCAGAGGGAGGGCGGTGGTGGAGAGATTGGGGGGCGGGGGAGGGACTGGGGAAACCATCGGGTCTGAGCCCACCCCCAAACCTGCACTCCCCCATGATGACAGAGCCACACCCATCCTCTGCACCTCTCAGGAGGCAGTGCCACCTCAGCTTCCTGGGGGAGCTGTCCTGGTCCCCTGGGGCCTCGTCCCATGGCCCCCTGACCTGCTCACAGTTTCTGCCTGTTTCCACCAACAGCCAAGCCCACGATCCACGGGAATTTCTCACATGATGCCGGCGAGCCTCTGAGAGTCACAGCCAAGGCCGGTGATGAGGTGACCCTGGACTGCGAGGCCCAAGGCTCCCCACCCCCACTGGTCACCTGGACCAAGGACTCCCACCCTGTGCCAGCCGCCCCTGACAGGTAACCCAGGTGCACGGGCAGGGGAAGAGCTTGGGGTTTAGGGGGAACCTGGCCTCAGGTGGCCAGTGGCCAGTGACCGGGCGTGTGAGGACGCTGCGGATGCTCCACGGGGTGTGGTTCCCTTCTGCACGCAGCGCTTTTGTCCCTGGTCCCCTGAAGCCACTCTGAGGACCCGCAGAGGGTCCGTGACGCCCAGGGCGAGACTCCTCGGAAATGGCAGGCGCCCCGTGTTTCACACCGCGGCTGCTGGGAGCTGCCTGCAGACTCTCCTGTGATCGGCACAGCAGCCCCCGATCTGAGCTGAACTGAGGCTTCTCCCTAACTGCCGGGTGTCCTGGGAGCGAGAGGGGGCTGGCTTGGGTCTCCTTCAAAGCCAGGCCGCACGCCTCCAGGCTGGGGTGTGGGGGTGGTGGTTCCAGACAAGGGAGCCTTGACACTCCTGAGGCCCTTGACCCTCGGAGGCGGGGGGCGGCTGCGGCTCAGGCCGGTGACATCAGCCCTGGCAAGGCCTTTGAGACGTTCCAGACTAAGGTCTGTGCCGCCCCCACCCCTCTGACACCCACACGTGGGTCTCTATCTCAGAACATCTGTTTGCTGAGCTGTTCCAAACCTCCAGCCTACTGTAGGCAGCCGGGGTCCTGTGCCTGGGTCCCCCCACCCCATGCCCTGTGGGTGTCTCTCAGCTCCAGGTGGTGCGTGGGGGTGGGGTTAGGCAGGGGGGGTCGGGGGGGGCGGGGGGAAGGAGCCCGCATCTCTCCCTGGAGAGCCTGGTCCCAGCCCCTTGGCTGGGCGGTGGGCGGCAGCCAGGTGCTTGTGAATTTACGACTTGCTGCTGACACGGGAAACCGCCATTCCCACGTGCTCACCCCTCTTGTTGTGATGTGCGACGGACCAGCCGGGAGCCGTAAATCTGGGGAGCCGCTTTTGCAATCCTGGGCTCTGCTCTGTTCCTTCCCCCTGCCCTCTCGCCTCTTGCCGGCTTCCAGCTCTCTGAGATTTATGAGCTCCGGGAGTTGATCTCAATGAGGAGGAACACAGGCCCGGGGCGGGCGGGGTGAGGAGCGCAGACCCTGGGGCCCGTCAGCCTTGAGCGCTGATCCCAGCGGCCCGGCGAGTCGTGCGGCCGCGGGCCTCCATCTGCAGCGTGGCCGCGGTTTAAACAGTGCTCCTGCGGCCGGTGATGGATGTGCGACGCTTGGTCCATCCCGAGTGCCCGAGCGCCGCTCCCCCTGACGGTTTCCTGCTGCTGCTCACAAACCGAAGCGTCGCTTCCAGCTTTTAAGAGAGGTCACATCTGTCATCCCGTTTCACTCGCATCCCCTTTGCTCAGTAGAAAAGCTTTACTGAGATGTAACTCACAGGCTGTACAGTTCTAAGTCCGGGTGCGTTCGGAGTTGTGCAATCATCACCGCCATCAGTTTTCATTTCCAGCTTCTCTCCGTCCCTCCCAGAGCCCCCATCCTCACTGGCAGCCACTTCCCCTCCTGCCCCCGCCCCGGCAGCCGCCAGCCTGCTTCCTGCCTTTGGATTCATCTGTTCTGGACGTCCCGTCTGCATGGAATCCTGCCGTGTGTGGCTTTCGCGCCCGGCCCCTCTCTGGGAGCAGCATGCTTCTCAGTTCCTGCATGTTGTGGCGGCGCCAGAGCTTCGCTCCTCTCTGTGGCTGAGCGATGTTCCCCGGTGCGGTGCCCTGGCCACCGTGCGTCGATCCGTGCGCCCTTGGAGGGGCATTTGGGTTTGCGCTTGTTGGTGACTGCGGACGGCCTCCCGACTGCGGATGGCATTTAAGCCGTATGTGAACGTCACTCGCAGCTCCGGGTCCTGTGGTTCCTGGGCCCCCAGAGTGGTTCCTGGGCGCCCCTCTTCCATTTCTGTGAAACGTCCAGCACGCGGACAGCTTCCCCACACAGAGCCCAGCTCAGTCTTCTCACAGACACACAGCCATTTGCCCAGAAACTGGAGATTTAAAAACTGCATGGAAACACCAAGGGGGGCAGGGGTGGTGACGGTGGCGGGTAGGGGACAGGCGTGCTGTCTGCCTGCTCTTCCTCGTCTTCCTCCTTTTCCTTCTCTCTTTTTAAAAAATATATTTTTATTGATTTCAGAGAGGAACAGAGAGGGAGAGAGAGAGAGAGAAACATCGATGATGATAGAGAATCATGGATCAGCTGCCTCCTGCACGCCGCACACTGGGGATCGAGCCCGCAACCCGGGCATGTGCCCTGCCTGGGAATCGAACTGTAACCTCCTGATTCATAGGTCGATGCCCAACCACGGAGCCACGCCGGCCGGGCAATCCTTTTCCTTCTCCGAGGGCGTCCCAAGGCTCAGCTTCAAGGCTGCCACGTGGGGGGTCTGGGCGGCTGCCGCCCTCAGCCACCTGCCCGTGTGCACAGCCCTTTCCCGTGTGTTCACGTGCAGGCGTTTGCGGAACTAAACGTGGCGCGTCTTCTCTTCCGCCCTCATCGTCAACACTGCTCTCCGTTCACCCACTTTCTTGATTCCTCCCAGCCCACGTCACTTGCTTGTCATTTAAAGGACAAAATAACATTCCGGGCGTTTGTCTCTCCAAGTTGCTAAGCTATTCTCTGGGGCACGCGCGTTGCCAGCTGTCGGCGCTAATGAGCGGGCCCTTGGAACATCTTCGCACAAATGCTCCTCGGTCTCCTGGTCACTTCCTTGGGGGATAGCTGCGAGAACATGCGGCGAGTCCGGGGGGGCTGGTCAGTGAGTGCCTCTGACCCTGCAGACAGCTGTGTGCAAACAGCCCGTGCAAGCTGTGAATTCACAGTTGAGGGTGGCACGATTTCATGAGCAACTCTTGTGCCCAGGACTGTGCCAAAACCACGCCGCAGAGGACACGGGCCCGGCTGTGTGAGGTCAGGGCCAGAGACCTGGGGTCCTCTCCCAGCCTCGCCCCCGGCTCGCTGGGTGAACTTGGCCCTCCGTCTTCCTGTCTGAGAAATGAAAGGGTTGGACAGGCAACAGTGGCCAGAGAGCATCTTGCGGCTCTGGTCCCCGGGTCCACCCGGGAATGCCGGGGCGAGGCGGCGTTTCTAGGCAACAGTGTTTGTTTGTGGCTCTGATGTGTAGCTGGGACAGCTGCTAGCTCTCCTGGCCCGGCTCACACTCCCGGGGGCAGCCGGCCAGGGTCCCATACTGGGCCAGATCCAGCCACATCAGGGGGAGCGGAGGGGGCAGCCGGCAAGGGCGGGTGATCTACACGCCCAACCCCTCGCTGGCCCAGTTCCCCCCGACACAGAGGTGGGGGTTGCAGCTGGGCTTCTAGTGACCCGGGACAAAAAGCTATTCCCCCACTGGCATGGCATGGACTGCCCAGGGCCCCTTGTGGGGTCTTCACCTTGGTGGGTCCTCACAGCTCAGCCTGCTGCCCGACCTGGTGGCCCTGAGGTCTTGGTCTTGTCAGCCTATGGCCAGCGGCTCTCTTTCTGGAAAACTTGGCAGTGAGTTAAGCTCTGAGCTGACAGGTGAGGTCACTGCGGTGGCTGGCAGGGCCGTAGCAGAGGGGGGGGTGCGTCCCAGGTCCGCCCTGACCAGCTGGTGGCCGTGGAGGCCTCTGCAATGCTGGCTGAGGGCATAGGACCTGCCTGCGTGCAGGTGTGGCTGTTGGGAGCTTCACGTGAGAATGTCCATGGGGGGCGCTCCGCTGTGCGGGGCACACAGGACCACCCCATAGGCGGCAGCCACCCGTGAGCATGGCTCGGTGTAGGTTTCTCGGGCTCACGGATGGCGCTTCTCCCTCTCGCATATGTTGTCCTTTGGGGGGTCTTGGGCCCCTCCGCCTGGATCCCCAGCTGGCTTTTCCATGCGGGGCTTCCTCATAAGGGTCTGTGATGCAGGGAGGCCCCAGCGAGGAGATCAGGGTCGAGTGGCCTTTGGCGGCTGAAGGCCCGGCTGCCTGGTGCGGGTGGGTGGGCCCTTGCTCTGTGCAGGCTCAGGCCCCGCTCTGGTGCCAGCAGATGGGCACATGGGGGTGTCCGTGGGGAGGGCTGAGCATCCGCAGCCACTGGCCCTTCTTCTGGAAGGGTCTGTGCCAGCGGTTCTCAACCTGTGGGTCACGACCCCTTTGTGGGTCAAACGACCCTTTCACAGGGGTCGCCTAAGACCATCGGAAAACACATATATAATTCCATATTGTTTTTGTGATTAATCACTATGCTTCAATGATGGTCAATTTGTAACCATGAAAGTGGGGGTCACCACAACATGAGGAGCTGTGTTAAAGGGTCGCGTCATTAGGAAGGTTGAGAACCACTGGTCTGTGCTCTTCGGGTGATGGATCCTTTAGAAATGGGGACAGTGGTACCAACAGCATGGGACCCAGCAGGAGGGACTGGGTGCAGACACACCCCTGACTCGAGCAATCTGAGGACGGAGCACTCCCTCAAACCCGCGGCAGCTGGCCCACCTGGCCCCCCTCTTTGTCCAGCGAATGAATGAATGAATGAATGAATGGGTGGATGGATGGATGGACGGATGAGCAATTGGCTGAACTGGGCTCCACGCAGCTCAGCGCCAGTGAAGTGCAACCTGCCTGGACTCACCAGGGAAGGCTCCATGGAAGAGCCGGAGCCGGTGCTGCCTGGAAGGAGTCTGGAGGGCAGGAGAGTGTCCTTGGGCGGCAGGGAACAGTGTGTGTGCAGGTGGGAAGGGGAGCTGTGCGTGGACTGCTGGGATTTGCCGCCAAACATTTCTGGAGCACCCTCTGTGGGTCAGGACTTGTGCTAAGGGCTGGGACACGGCAGGAGCCTGGGCGCGCCTGGCCTCCCCCTCACCGAGCCATCTGACAGGACAGGTGATCACGGGTGTGATGAGCGCCGTGACGGCTCCAGGAGTGTTCACCGGGAGCGGGGCACTGCCGGGGCGGCAGGGTGGCTGCCGGGGCGGCAGGGTGGCTGCCTGAGTGCCAAGGACGAGAGCGACCTGGAGAGTGGCTGGCCGGGGTCGCAGTGAGGTGTGCGCGGGGAGTGCGGTGTGGCCTGGGACGCGCATGCTTCTGGGCACTCCCTCTCAGGTGCCCTTTGGTCTCTCTGGGCAGGTAGGCCCCCCTTGGAGCTCCCAGGACCAGCGGGACCCAGCCCGGTAGTGGGTCCCTCTCAGGTCCACATCCCCCATCTGCGTGGCTGTGTGAACCTTGGAGCTGACAGGCAGCGAAGGCTCGAGCCCGATGGATGTCATAAACAGGAAATTCCCCGAGAATCTGGGCGCCGCACGGAGCCATCTGGACACTCACGCCACCAGGAAGGAGCAGCTGCCGCTAATTACGCCACACACACACCGCAGCACTGTGCTCCCCACCGCTCCCCGCTCCCCCTGGCCCCCGAGCCCACCCCTGGGCTGCAGCCCCCAAACCTGCCGAGTTTCTGGGAACGTGGAGGGAGAGCTGGGTCACAAGCCAGCTGGTGAGGAAAGGGCAGGCAGCTGTGGGAGTCCGCAGGCTGCACCTACCAGCCTTGGGCACCAAGGCAGCCTTCCTGGGGGAGGTGACGTCTAAGTATTGAGGTGTGAGCAGGTGCGGACCAGGTGAACAGGAGGTGGAGGAGTGTCCCAGGCAGGAAGGCAGCATGAGCAAAGGCGCGGAGATGGGAAGGGCCTGGCCCCTGAGGAAGAGCATGGTGCAGTGCTACACTGGGAGGCCAGGTGGGGTTGGGGGACTGGCCAGGGGGTCCGTCCAAGCCGGACACTGTGCTTGGGTTCTGTCCAGCAAGCAGTGGGCAGCCCCAGGGGACGGTGGTTACAGTGAAGCGCGATGTGGCCAGACGAGCACTGAGAGCGAGCACAGGCTCTGTGGGGCCGGCCTCAGCTTGTCCGTCTGGGAAATGGATTCACTTCTTCCGTTTCTTCCTTTGTGCCTAGGGAGCAGGTTCTAGGAAGCGACCTGGGGCTGCTCACAGGAAAGACACATTGTTTACATTTCTGGAAGTTTCTTTTGTATTGTTTTTTGTTTTTTTTTTTTGTCCCCAGGTGCTCCCACTTCCTATTCCGTTAAGGCAGTGGTTCTCAACCTTCCTAGTGCCGCGACCCTTTAATACAGCTCCTCATGTTGTGGTGACCCCCAACCATAACATTATTTTCGTTGCTACTTCATAACTGTAATTTTGCTACTGTTATGAATCGTCATGTAAATATCTGATATGCAGGATGTATTTTCATTGTTACAAATTGAACACAATCAAAGCATAGTGATTAATCACAAAAACAGTATGTAATTATATAATGTTTTCTGATGGTCTTAGGCGACCCCCAAAGGGGTCGCGGCCCACAGGTTGAGAACCGCTGCTTTAAGGGCTTGGTGAGGGCAAGGGGTTCTGTGGTCTTTCGAGTCCCAGAAGGCAACCTCTGAGATAAAGGAGCCTGGAGCTGCCTTTTTGAATATGAAGTCCTTGGGGTTCAGAGATGTTGACCGCTCTGTCTGAGGTTGCACAGCGTGTCTTTAGCAAACACTGGATCTCAAATCCAGAACACTGGCTCCCAGCCCCAACCTCTTTCCACTGACCTACGCTGGCCCTGCTTCGCCAGCTGAGGTTCGCTGAGACGTCCTGGAGGAAACTGCATCCCTGCCCCGAGTGGATGGAGTGTGCGTTTCAGCTTCCAACTGACTCGGCCTTTGCTTGGGGATGTCAACATTAATCTACTTATAAAAGGAAAAAATGAGATGAGAAAAGCCAAGGGGAGAGGGCGCCATGCAGGGGGGAGGTTCGCCTGTTACCGGGACAAATACGGCCCGTGTGGCCTCTTCCCTCACGGTGGACCTGCTCAGGGCTGCCCAGCTTGTGGGAGACGGGCAGGGCCCAGGCAGGGTGGGCGGGGCTCTTGCTAACAGCAGGGCTGTTCCCTGAGCACTTACTATGTCCCGGCACCGTGGGCTTTGCCGGCATCATGTCACTCGGTGCTTGCCCTCTCCTGTGACTCCCGATGGGGACGCCGAGGCTGGGGAGATGCAGTGCTTGGCCCAAGGTCAGCCTGCAAGAGGCACAAGGGTGGGTCTTGCCGGGGCCACTTGCCGTCACAGCCCGGCTCCCATCGGCGCTGCCGTGCCGCTTCTCAGGATGGGGCACTTCCTGTCAATGTTCCCAGTGGACGGTCCCCTGACATCTGTCTCAGAGCCACCTGGGGCCTGGGAATTTGCATGTTTCGCAGATAGCTAGGAGATTCTTTTTTTAAAGTGTATATATATATATATTGATTGATTTCAGAGAGGAAGGGAGAGGGAGAGAGAGATAGAAACATCAATGATGAGAGAAACATCAATTGGCTGCCTCCTTCAGTGCTGCTACTGGGGGTTGAGCCCACAATCCGGGCCTGTGCCCCTATGTGACCTCCTCCTGGTTCATAGTTTGATAGTCAACCACTGAACCATAGCACCGGGCACAGCTAGGAGATTCAGGTGAGACGCCCTGGCCTACAGGTGTGAGTGATGGTCTTCACCTGGAAGTGATGGTGTTCAGGTCTGTGGCCTAGGAGTCCTGCTCCTGTGTGTGGGGGACACCATACAGCTCTGTGCATGAGGGATACCAGACAGCTCTGTGCGTGGGGGACACCATATGACTCTGTGTGAGGGACATACCATGCAGCTCTGTGCGTGGGGGACACCAGATGGCTCTGTGCGTGGGGGACACCAGACGGCTCTGTGCGGGGGACACCAGATGACTCTGTGCGTGGGGACACCAGACGGCTCTGTGCGTGGGGGACACCAGACAGCTCTGTGTGTGGGGGACATACCATGCAGTTCTGTGCGTGGGGGACACCAGATGGCTCTGTGCGTGGGGGACATACCATGCAGCTCTGTGCGTGGGGGACACCATACGGCTCTGTGCGTGGGGGACACCATACGGCTCTGTGCGTGGGGGACACCAGACAGCTCTGTGCGTGGGGGACACCAGATGGCTCTGTGCGTGGGGAACACCATACGGCTCTGAGCGTGGGGGACACCAGACGGCTCTGTGCGTGGGGGACATACCATACAGCTCTGTGCAGAGAGCTCTGGCAGTGAAAGAGCAAGAGGAGGAAAGACGGGAGGGAAAAAAAGAGGAAGGAAAGAAAAATATATAAGTGTTTAAACATCCACCCAATGGGGAATAAATTAAGCACCTGCGGCCTGATCACACAAGGGAATACTATATAACAGTGAAAAATGAATGGGTTAGCCCTACGCACATACACATGATGCCATTATGTGTTTTAAACAATACAAAACTGCACTGTGGACTGTTTATGGATGCACTGTTGTCACCATGGTAACAGCTGACCCCTGTGGCGTCCTAGTCTGTTCCAGGCATTGGGCTGTGAATTAGGTCATTCGTTGTCTGGACAATTCTGTGTGGGATACAAACACTACTGTTGTCTCTGTTTTCCAAAATGAGACAACTGAGGCACAGAGAGGTTAAGTGACTTGCCCAACGTCGCGTAGCAAGCCCATGGCAGGACAGGGTGGCCCGGTCCAGTGCCGGGGATCTCGAGTCCACCACCCAACGAATCATGTACAGTCGTCCTCGGAGGACTTGCCCAAGTGCCTGCTGGATGCTCAAGTGCCTGCTGGGTGCCCCAGACACACTGGGGGAGGGGGCGGCTGGACGGGGGGCCGTTGCCTCGCTTTACAGATGGGGGTGCAGGGGCCCAGCAGGGCAGAGCTGGCAGCCCGGGCCATGCAGAGTGAACCGCAGCAGCAGCGACCTGTTGGAGAAGTGCACGCCCAGCACTTCGCCTGCAGCTGCCTGGGAGATGGGATGACCGTCACCCCCATTTTGCTGGGGAGAAAACTGAGAAAGGGGAGTGGGACCCAGAAACGTGGGCTCTAGAGCCCAGCTGTAGCCTGGTGAGCACAGGCTGGGGCGTTGGCCCGTGGAGTCCCCACCCCCTTGCTGGCCACTTGCACTCGGGGCCAGCCGGGGCCAGTGGCCACAGCTGCCCTCTCTGCTTATGGGGGTAGGGGCCATGAGGAGCCAGCACATATGGTGACATCATGTCTGCATGAGCCTGGCTGGGGGTCCTGGACCCTGTGGGATGGGACTAGGTGACCTCAGCAAGGTGGGCGGGATGGGGGAGGGCCGAGACAGGGCCTCACAGCTTCCTCCTCAGGCCCAGCACAGTGCTGGGCAGTAGAACCTGCAGAGCACCCTGCACTTTGCCGCAGAGGCCCCCGGCTGGCAGATGCTCCCCCAAAGCCATGGGAAGGGACTCTAAATGCAGCCTCCCCCCCCCCTCGCCCCCACTCAGGGGAGGGTCGAGGGGTGGCACGTGTGTGCGTTAGAGGAGGGGAGTCAGCAGGGGTCCAGCGGCGAGCCGGTGCGGGCCCGGGGTTGAGCCAACGCAGGGTCGGTTCCCCAGCCCCAGTCCCTCTTAGCTGCCCATTCTACAGATGCGGAAATGGAGGCTCCAAGAGGCAAAGGGACTTCCTTCGTCCAGCTAGGAAAGGTTCAGAGTTTGGACTTGAACCCAAGCTGGCAGCCGCCTAATTCGGTGCTCTCTGTTTCACCGGTGGGGCGAGACCTGGCCTGGCTGGCAGTTCAGGGAAGTGGAGGTGGGGCAGGGGGAGCCGGGGAGCCAGGAGGGTGGGTGCTGGCACTGCTTTCGTCCTCGCAGGCTTCCTGGGGACGGTGGCTGCTTTGAGTTGGGTCCAAGGCCTGAGGTCGGTTGGGGTCTCACTGGTGCCCCTCACTCCTGCAGGCATCGCCTCCTCCCGTCGGGCTCCCTGCGTCTGGCCCAGGCCCAGGCGGGTGACAGCGGTCTCTACCAGTGCAGAGCCAGTAACCCCGCAGGGTCTGCCGCTCGGCACTACGTCCTCGGGGTGCAAGGTAGGCCGGGCTGGTGGCTCCTGTCAGACCCATGGTTCTGCCCAGACTTCTCAGGCCTGCTCAGTGCCCCTCCCCCAGCTCCCTGTGCCAGCTCTGTCACCTCCTCAGGGCGGCCTCCAGGCTTCCCCATCACCCCTACTTCCTGCCCGTCTCAAGCCACATCTCCTTTCACCACCCCCCCTCCTTTATCCCTCCCACCGCCTCTCCTGTACCCTTGGTTGCTGAGCGCAGGGGGCAGGGCCCAGCAGTGGGAACGTGGGGAGGGACCCACAGAGGGTTCTGGTCCCAGCCCATCGGGGGGCCTGGGTCCCCTTCACAGAAGCCGGCGGTGAAGTCACTCCGCCAAAGAGGCAGGGAGCTTGTCATCTCCAAGAGCCCCCAGGAATCGGGGCGGTCAGCCAACCAAGGCCCTCGGGCCACGCCCAGCCCGCCTGCTGTTTGCATCTGGCCACGGGCGAGCAGAGAAGGGTGTCTCCATTTGGAAGTGCGTGGGGGAAGGGTGATGTTCTGTGACGTGTGGACACTGTATGACATTCAAGTTTCAGGCCGTAGATGCACGTTTTAGTGGCGCGCAGCCTGCAGTTCCTTTACGTCTGGTCTGCGGCAGAGCTGAGCAGTTGAGACAGACCGTCTGGTCTGCAAAGCCTAAAATATTGAGTGTTTGGCCCTTAACAGAAAAAGCCGACCCCTGATCTAAGCTAACTGCCCATTTCACAGGTGGGCAGGCTGAGGCTCAGAGAGAGAAGGGACTCAAGGGTTTGCCGAGGTTTCCGGCCCACGAGAGAGGCAGCAGCAGGGGGCAGGGTGAGGAGCAGGGCCGGTTAAATCCTGACTCTGCCGCCCCCTGGCTGTGTGACCTTAAGCCGCAGCTCGGCCTCTCTGAGCCTTAGTTTTCTTTCCTGTAAAATCCCGGAGTTGTCAGAGGGGTACCGAGGGCATCAGGCACTCAGCAGAGCGGAAGCTGTGACTGTTTTCAGCAAGTGGGGGAGGCGTGGACGGGGCAGGTACCCCCGGTGCCCTGGCCCAGGGGCTGATCTGTGCCCAGGGGCCAGGTTCCCATGTAACGGTCCTTTCTCTGCTCTTCCTCCAAAGCTGGGAGGGAGTGGCTGTTCCTCACCTTCCCCCGAGGGCCCAGAACAGTCCCAGGCGTCCGCTCAGCACCCAGAGCAGGGGGGCCCGTGGAGTCCACGTGTTTTCCCGGACCCGGGGCCAAACCCCCAGGAGGCTGCCTGGGCTCCTGGTCACACAGACCTGGGGCTGGGACCGCTCCAGCTGCGGGTGTGGGTGACTCTGCAAATGGGAACAGCTTACCTGCCCCTGGGAAGGCCCACAGGAGAGGGAGGGGGGACGCCCCGAGAATACTTCTGGGAAGGAGGTGAGCACCGGCAGCCTCCTGAGCTCAGGGCAGGAGGATGGAGATGAGCGAGGGGTGTGCCCGCCAGGCCAGGCCAGGCCGAGCAGCTGTTTCGATCCCTGGCGGCTGTGAGGAGGGGCACGGAGGCTCCGGCCCAGCCATGCAGGGTCCTGTGGCTTCGAGGACAGAGCTGGGATTTGAACCTTCCCCTCTGTGTGTGCTGCCTCCCAACCTTGCCGTCCACCCAGAGTCAGTCCCTCTGGCCCCGGCCTCAACTTCCCATCCAGCACTATTATGTGGGGGTGTCCCCCAAAAAGATATAGACACTTTGATTGATTATACATTCCAGTGGGTTAGATCTGAAAAGAAAGAAGCATCAATTGAGCTATCTGCTGCTAAGTGTATATACATTTTGGGGGGGACACCCCGTATTTCCCAGCTGTTGGTTTTCGAATGATGTTGGGTGCACTTGGGTCTGGGGTGGGACGGAGGGGAGGGGTGAGGGTTGGGGGAATGAGGAGTGGGGAGCATTGAAGGGGGGTGGGAGGGTGGAAGGGGTTGGGGGAGTCCTCTCCATGGATCTGGCCTCTGTGACTCCCCCCCAGGGCCCCTGCCTTGAACCCCTCCCCATGTCCCTGTCAGTCCCCCCTCAGGTGCAGCCAGGCCCACGGGTCCTGAAGGTCCTGGCGGGTGAAGCTGTGGACCTGAACTGCGTGGCCGAGGGCACCCCAGAGCCCAGGCTGAACTGGTCCAAGGATGGGGAGGCCCTGTGGGGTGGGGGGCCCGAGGGCTCCGTCCATTTTGCAGCCATCCGAACTTCTGATGCCGGCATGTACCGCTGCGAGGCTGCCAACAGCGCCGGGGTAGACGCCTGGGAGCTGGAGCTCAGGGTGCTGGGTGAGTCCCTGAACCCCACATCTCACCGTTCCCCACCTTCCCAACAGCAGCCTGGCCTTCCGAGATGCTTGTCTGCTCTTCTGGGCTCAGGACCTTCCTTCCTCCCTCCCCAAGCCTCATTGTAGAGCCTTTGTCAGCCCCATAGGTACTCTGCCCACCAGGAAAGTGATTGACGAGCAGGGCCGGGGCCCCAGTCCAGCCCCCTCCACTTACCAGCTGGACAACTCTAGGCCAGTCATTTACACTCTCTGACCTCCGTTTTCTCACCTGTGAAATGGGTTTGATAATACGTGAGGGGTCAGCGAGGGAATGTGCAAAGCACTGGGTGCATGGGAAGATCTGGGCCAGTGGCTGCTGTGAATTTAAACAAACCTGGAAAGCGCAGCTGGAGGGGAAGCCCCGCCTCTCCAGCCCTCGGGGCCCTGTGTGGCCCTGGTGGCTTCTCCGTAGGCCACCCTGTGGGGGGCCAGCCAGCACCACGGCCCTGACTCCCTCACCCTGAGGCTGAGGGCTGCAGCACAGGGCTTGCACCCCCTTATGTCGGGCTGGGGCTCTGGAGGGGGGGCACCCTCCCCAGTGGCCCTGGACCAAGCTTTGGGCCGGGGGAGTGAGCGTGGCCACATCACCTCCCACCAGAGCCACCGCACTGGGGAGCCGATGAGACCAGCGGGCTGCTGGAGAGAGTGGCAGGAGAGAACGCCAGCCTGCCGTGCCCTGCCAGAGGTGAGGCTGGGCCAGGGTGGGCCCCGCTGGGAGGGGCTTCCCTCCGCACTCCAGTGCCCTGGGTCACACACTGTGGGCAGTGCCATGGGTTATGGGGGGTATGGCAGCCTCACTTCTAGCCAGGGCCACGCCAGGCATCTCATCCCACCCACACCCGATAGGGTGAGATTAGCATTAGCTCGTTCAGGCCTAGAGAGGTGAGGCAGCTGCCAGAGGTCGCTCAGCCAGACGGCGGCTCACACGGCGTGGTGTGACCCAGCCCCTGCCCAGTTAAGCCCTGGCCCCTCTGCACCTGGGGATTGTAGCAGCTGGGGCTGAGGAAGGCCCAAGGTCCTTGTGGATCGGGGCTCGGTGGCCCTGCCTCTCCCCAGGCCCCCGACTTCCTCACAGAGGATGGACTCACAGTCCTGAGCAAACCAGCCCCCCCGAGACCCCCTTTGGGGCGGCAGCTGTGTGGGAACTGACAGCCACTCTGTGGCCACCTGCCCCGCGTTGAACCATCCCGGCTGTGTGCGCGGGGGCCGTGGACGCCTCCTTCCTGAGCCTCAGTTTTCTCGTCTGTAGAATGGGGCCATGCCCGCCCCTTCACGTAGGGCTGCTGCTGGGAGGGCCCAGTGAGGCAGCCTGAGTTTTAGGTCCCGGCACCGTGTCTGGCACATAGCAGGGGCCTGAGGGAAAGTGTGGAGGAAACGAATGTGAATGAATGAATGCTTCACCCTGCCGCACGGGCAGATCTGCGCCCGCCGAGTTGCTGCTCTTGGCTTTGGGCCCTTCTGGGACCCGAGAGGACACGCTGTCGGCCCTGTGCGTGGATGGCGCTCTCAGGAAGGCTGGTGTCGGGGTGTCCGGGGGGCAGGTGGCAGCTCACTGAAGGCCTGGCAGGAGCCGGGGGCTGGTTCTGGTCTCAGCTGTGCTTCCTCCAACCACAGGGCCCAGGGTAGTCTCTGGACCAGGGCTGAGGGGGAGGCCGGCAGGAGGCAGGCACCCCGTGGGACCTGTGGGGTCCTTCCTGTCTGCAGAGCTGCCCACCTGCAGGGACCCAGTGGCCCTGCCCTTGACCATGGCGCCACCTTGTGTCGGTCTCTGGTAATAGCAGCCGCTCTGTGCTCTCTGGAGGTGAGACCCACCCACCCAGCCCTGCTTCCTGTGCTGGGTGCCTCCCGGCTGCCCACAGCCAGGGCCCTGTCCTCTGGGCTGGACTTCGGCCGCATCAGTATAACAGAAGCCCCTCTGGTAAACACTGCCCTGCCCTGGCCGGCACCTGCCCCCCTGGCTGCCCCCTTTTCACGCGGGCGGCTGCCTGGTGGGCCGTGCTGGGCTCTGGCGGTCACCAGCCCTGTGACTGTGGGCTGGAGGGCTCGGAAGCTAAGGGAGCGCTGGTAGCTGCAGTGGGTGGCACCTTCGCCTCCCCCTTGGGTGGATGGGGGTGCTGGCCCCTGTAAGTGGGAGCGGGGAGGTGGGGGGCAGCTCTGAGCGTCCTGGCATCTTCGCCCGCAGTGCAGTTCTGTGTTAGAGCTCTGGCGGGTTAGACTTTATTTTATTTTTGCATTAAAGCTCCACTTCCTCCCCACCCTCCCCTCCCCCTCTAACCTCCCTACCGCCAGCTAGCAGGGCTGCCGTTCTGTGCGCCCAGTGGATCCTCTAGCCTCTGTCCAGCTGGAATAAAAAAGAAAAATAAGTTTCTTAATTAATGGAGGAAAAGTTCCAGGGTTCAAAGCCCACTGCCCCTCCAGGCAGCAGCTCTGAAGTCCTGGTCCTCTGCAGTGGTGGGTGGGAAGGTGGGAGCAGCAGGGGCGGCTGTCGGAGAAGCTGAAGGTGCCGAGAGGGGTGTGTGGTGTGTGGCGTGTGGCGTGTGGTGTGGTGCGTGGCGTGTGGCATGTGGTGTGGTGTGTGGCGTGTGGCGTGTGGTGTGGTGTGTGGTGTGTGGTGTGGTGCGTGGCGTGTGGCATGTGGTGTGGTGTGGCGTGTGGCGTGTGGCGTGTGGTGTGTGGTGTGTGGCGGGGCATGTGTTGTGCTGCGTGTGTTCGTGCACATGTCCCCACAGGAGGGGGCAGGCCCTGGGCAGTGGGACCCTCTGACAGGAAACCTCAGCGATTCCACCAGGAATCAGAGCCCTGGGTGGGGTTAGCTCGCCCGAAGGTGCGCAGAGGGCGGCTGCGGGCCCTCCCTTTGCCCCAGGCAGCCGCAGGGACCCGGCTTTGAGGAGGAGCAGCGTGGAGTGGAGTGGGGCAGGGATGCTCCCGAGAGATGGCACAGAGGGCGCCTGGAATGTGTCGTAGCCTCGTCCTGCCCCACGCCCACCCAAAGGGGTGGCCCACCCCTCCCTCCCTCCCATGGCCCTTCCTCTAAGAGAGACCGAGGGGGTGTGTCGCAAGGGCGCCCGCTGCCAGGGAGGTGGCAGGTGAAGCGCGGGCTGTTGACGATCAGTGTCAGCAGTGACCGCCAGTCCCGCTGACCAGTGGTGGCGGAGGACGATGGGGGGACCAAGGTGCCCAGGGTGCTGACCTGTGAGTTTGGGAGAGCGGCCCCTAGAGGCTCCCCCTCCTCCACAGCACCTACTGTGTGCCAGGCACTGGGCCTGCCTCTGGGGGAGCCGCAGGGAACAAAGCAAAGACCCGGCCCCTGTCGGGAGGCAGACAATAGACAAAGAAACCTAAGGGGGGGACCGATGTCCCAGAGGAAGTGGGAGGTGGTGGCAAACGGACCGCAGGGCAGGGCAGGGACGCGGGCACGGTGGGTGCGGTCCCGGCGAGGCGGGGCTCGGAGGGGACAGGGAGCTCAGCCGTGGAGGGTGTGCCCATGCGGCTGGGGGGGGTGTGGAGGGGGAGAGGCAGGTGTTCATGCTGCTGACCCCCCCCTCCCCCCCGGCCAGGGACACCCCAGCCGCAGGTCACGTGGCGGAAGGGCCCGTCCTCGGAGCCCCTGCGCGGCCGGCCGGGCCTGGCGGTGCTGGACGAAGGCTCCCTGTTCCTGGCCTCGGTCTCCCCCAGTGACGGCGGAGACTACGAGTGCCAGGCCAGCAACGAGGCGGGCGCCGCCTCCCGGAGGGCCAAGCTGGTGGTGCTTGGTGAGCATGGCCGCATGGGGTGGCGGGCACCCACCTCCGCGGGGGCAGAGTTCCCCGCAGGGGCCGGGGTGGGAGGCTGAGGGCGGCGGGCACCCACCTCCGCGGGGACAGAGCTCCCCGCAGTGCCTGGGGTGGGAGGCTGAGGGCGGCGGGCACCCACCTCCATGGGGGCAGAGCTCCCCGCAGGGGCCGGGGTGGGAGGCTGAGGGCGGCGGGCACCCACCTCCGCGGGGACAGAGCTCCCCGCAGGGCCCGGGGTGGGAGGCTGAGGGCGGCGGGCACCCACCTCCGCGGGGGCAGAGTTCCCCGCAGGGCCCGGGGTGGGAGGCTGAGGGCGGCGGGCACCCACCTCCGCGGGGACAGAGCTCCCCGCAGGGGCCGGGGTGGGAGGCTGAGGGCGGCGGGCACCCACCTCCGCGGGGGCAGAGCTCCCCGCAGGGGCCGGGGTGGGAGGCTGAGGGCAGCGGGACAGCGGCGGGCGGCATGGCACCCCTTCCCCAAGAGGCCCCCCAGGAGTGTGAGGGGCGAGCCCGGAGCGCCATCCGCGGCTGGGAGGTGGTCTAGGGGGTGCCTTCCTTTAAGGTGAGCACCGATGGCCGCCTCCACGAGACCTGCACCCCCTCGAGCTCCCCCCCCCCCCCGGGTGCTGTGTGCAGAGGAAAGAGCCCTTTCCCTCCACGTGGCCATCCTGGAGGGGGGGGGGCGTTTTAAGGCTCCTCATGGGCCTCCTTCGGCCCCCCTGTGACCAGCCCCCCAGCTTGCCCTGTGAGGACTTGCCTGGAAGTTTGTCACAAAGACCGATCGAGGAGACTGCACCTCGGGGCCCTTGCAGGGGACCCTGACGATGGGTTGAGTGTAGACCTGGATGGGTCGGCCCTCCAGCATCTTGCAAAGCGGAGTGTCAGAGAGGGCGCCACTGGCTGGGCACAGCCGGGGACCCCAGACTCGGGGGCTGCCTGTCCAGGGGAGGGAGGCTCCTCTACCTCTCCTTGTGCCCAGTGCCCCCCAGCATCCGGGAGGACGGACGCAGGGCCAACGTGTCGGGCATGGCCGGGCAGGCCCTGATGCTGGAGTGTGACGCCAACGGCTTCCCAGCCCCTGAGATCACGTGGTTCAAGGATGGGCAGCTGGTGGGTGTCCCCTGGGGCGGCCCGGGGAGGGTGGGTTTGGCTGGGGTATGGGCTTTCCTGACCGGTATGGCAGGGAGATGTGACAGGTTTCTTTAGGGATGCACTGGGGCTCGGGGCAGGGGAGGACTGAGGTCTCACAGTGAAGCCTGGAGGGCTGCATGGTGGCGGGGGCACGGCACTCTTCTAGGAGTTAGAAGCCACAGGTTCCTGTCACCAGCCAGCTCTGTGGACCTTAGTTCTCTTATTGCTAATGGTCTGGTACCCCGTCACCAGCTCCCTCTGACCTCTCTGCCCAGATCCCCGAGGGGGACAGCCACCGCCTCCTGAACGAGGCCCGGGCCCTCCACCTCCCCAGGATCCAGGCGGGCGATTCTGGCCTCTACTCCTGCCGGGCGGAGAACGCGGCGGGCACCGCCCAGCGGGACTTCGAGCTTCTCGTGCTCAGTGAGTGAGGCCTGAGCCCCTCCCCTGTGAGGCGGGCAGGGGAAGGGGGCGCTGTGTGTGCTGAGAGTAGGGGCACAGAGGGGCCCACACCAGCCCAGCTCCTCGCACAGCTCAGGGCAGACATTCGACAGTCACGTGACTGGCCAAGCAGCCACTGCTGTCACGTGAGTAGTGCAGGCTGTGCAGGGAGCACAGTGGGGGCTCCCAGGCAGGACGTGGAGGGAAGGGCGCACCAGGAGGGGGACCTGCATGGCCAGGGCCCTCGGTGGGCGGGGCTGCAGGCTGGAGCCGTTCCACCCCCTGCCCTTCTTGTCCTCAGTCCCACCTTCTGTGCTTGGAGCCGGGGCTGCCCAGGAGGTGCTGGTCCTGGCTGGTGCGCAGGTGGAGCTGGAGTGCTGGACCTCGGGGGTCCCTACGCCCCAGGTGGAGTGGACCAAGGACAGACAGTGAGTGGCCCGCCTATGGACAGCCCGGGGTGGTGCCCATGCCTGGGCCGGAGGATGGGGGGCTCTGGGGAGGTTGAACTTGGGGGGGGGGCTTGACAGGCATCGCACGTGTCACCAGGGCCCAGGCAGAGGGCAGCGTGGGCACCTCCCACCCCAGCCTGGGGTCACCCAGGTGAGACCCCACTCTCACCCAGCAGGGTTTTCTCATCACTCAGCCTTCCTTTTTTTTTTTTTTAAATGTTTTTGGGGTGAGGGGGAATCCACATAACCTGACATCAACCACCTAACGCCCACAGTTCAGTGGCATTTGGCACATCCACGGTGTTGCACTCTGCCTAGTTCCAGAACATTTCATCTCCCAAGGAGACCCATGCCCATTGGCAGCCACTCCCCCACCCAGCAGCCCCCACCCGCAACCACCCCAGCAGCCCCCACCTGCAACCACCCCAGCAGCCCCCACCCGCAACCACCCCAGCAGCCCCCACCTGCAACCACCCCAGCAGCCCCCACCCGCAACCACCCCAGAAATCCCCACCCGCAACCACCCCAGCAGCCCCCACCCGCTCTCTGTCTGCAGCTGCACCTGCGTTTCCTGCACGTTCCACGCAGCTACACAACAGGGGCCTTTGTGTCCGACTCCTCCACTTAGCACAGTCTGGGCTCACCACGGTGTGGCAGGGTCAGCGCCGACTTCCCCAAGTGCCCCGCCGATCGGACACATTTTGTCTCATCGTCGGCGCCAGGCACTGGGCCTATTGGCACCTTTCGGCGACTGTGACTCTCTCAGCCTCTTTGTCGTCCATGCGGCCGCCCCTGCTCGCCTCGACCCGAGTCGCACTGTCCTGACCTCCTTTCCAGGCCCATCCTTCCCGGGGACCCGCACGTCCAGCTCCTGGAGGACGGCCAGCTGCTCAGAATCACCAGCAGCCACCTGGGCGACGAGGGGCGGTACCAGTGCGCGGCCATCAGCCCAGCCGGCCAGCAGGCCAAGGACTTTCAGCTCAGAATCCACTGTGAGCCCAGCCCCTGCCCGCCCCCTGCCCGGCCCCAGCCCTGGCCCTGCTCCTCCCTGGGCTGCTGGCCAGGCTCCCCTCGGCTGCCCACTGCACAGAGGAAGGCGAGAGCAGAATCGGGAGGCTGGGGAACGAGCCCCAGGCCAGCAATGGTGGGGAGGAGGGGGACAGGGAATCTGGATCAAGGTTCCCAAGCCCCGTGGTCCCATCCCACTTTGCAAGCTGTCCTACACCTGATACTGCGCGGGGCGATCGTTTCTTTAACTTTTTAAAAAAAGTCAAGTCCCTTTCTTTACGTGGAATGAATTTCTTTGAAAAGATATTTACTGTCTCAGCTGTAAGTGGAAGCCAGGCCCACTTGGCCTTCCGGGGAGGGAGGAGGCTACAAAACCCAATGCACTGAAAGGAAGGCCCTGGAAGTGCTGGGGCGCCAGCTGTCTGCAGAGGGCGCTGTGCTGTCTGCTCTCCGTGGTGGAGGGCCTGGTGGAAAGTGCTAGAAAGGTCCAGAGTGTAGTCTAGGAGCCTTCTCCTTTGTGCGATCAGCTGGGAGGAGCTCTGTGAGACGCAGTGTCACTTTACGCTGTGGCCTGCGTCCTGCCCGTGGGAACCCCTGATTGCGTCCAGCCCCTCCTTTTACAGATGGGGAGGCTGAGCCCAGCGAGGGGACGTGACCTACCTGGTCACACAGCCAGTTAGAGGCAGAGTGGGGTCCAGGGCGTCCCCCCCACCTCGTCCGCCTCCTGTGCAGCCGGCAGCTTTCCACGTCAGCATACCCCGTGCCACCTCTCCTGTCTCCCCGACTCCCTCTCCTGCAGCCGAAGCTGCAACGTGTGCAGTGCTTGGGGCGCGGGCACGTGCAAGTCACTCGGGGTGGGGGCGTTGGGGGGAGGACGCCAGCTGCCTCAGGGGCTCCCTGTGACAACCCCCCCCCATTGTCCTCAGCACCCCCTACCATCTGGGGCTCCAACGAGACAAGCGAGGTGGCCGTCATAGAGGGCCACCCGGCGCGGCTCCTGTGTGAGGCCCGCGGCGTGCCTGCTCCTGACGTCACCTGGTTCAAGGACGGGGCCCCGCTGCCCCCCAGCCCCGAGGCTGTGTACACCCGGGGCGGCCGGCAGCTGCAGCTGGGGCGGGCCCAGGGCTCGGATGCGGGCGTCTACACCTGCCAGGCCCGCAACCCCGTGGGCGTCGCGGAGAAGGCCACCAGGCTGGAGGTGTACGGTGAGTGGCCGGGGGTCAGCGTGAGCGGGGTCAGCTGGGCGAGCGGAGGGAGGGACTCTGAGCTGCGGAGGCCTCCTCCTGTCTCCATAGGTCGGCGAGGGAGTGGCTAGAGAAGGGTCACCTCAGTCTCCCTTCCCTCCTATAGGCGAGAAAACAGGCCAGGGTCAGAGGGCCTGTCTCGGGGCCCAGGCAGAGCTGAGCGGAGGACCCCGGGTTCCTCTCAAGATTTAGGGCTTTTCACGAAACCACACCCAAACCCTCTACCAGTAATTAACTTCTCTGAGGGAACCACTGACTGTGAGCCAACCCCCGGGTCCTCACAGCATCAGCTCCTCTATCAGCCGCAGGGACCAGGCCCTCGTCTCTCCACCCACCGATGAGCGCGGTGGGCCCTGGGGCTGGGGATGTGATGGCCCCCAGTTCACACCTGGGGGGGGTTGACCATAAACTTTGCACGGTTAACCTTGGTGATGGCCGCCTCGAGGGGCTGGCTCGGAGGCCCTGCAGAGAACGCAGGAAAAATGTGTGGAGGTGGGCAGGGGTGGGGCTGGGCAGGGCCTGGTGAGGTTTGGAGGGTGGGGTGCAGGCCAGTGGGTCATCCTGGTCCCTAATGAGGAGTCGGCTCAGGAGCTCTGGCCCCCAAAGATGCAGACACTTGGGTGCTGGAGCCCTAGGGACCCCAAAGGACAGTTGGGCTGTGTGGGGTCTCTGAGGGTGAGCCAGATGCAGCCTGGGGACCCTCCCTCTGGAGTCTGAGCCCCTCCTGGAAATTGGTTGAGGAATGCGTGTGTGCGTTTTCATAGGGACTTACGACCCAAACAAGGTTGAGAGGCACATCCTAGTCCGTCGTCGCTTCATGTCCCCTGGCGAGGCCTCTGTGGGCTCAGCACCACGGCGGCCTTCCCCAAGAGGAAGAGAGAAGCTGCCCCCTTGGCCATCATGGGCCGTCTGGGCTGGGTTCTGCCCCAGTCGTCCCGTCTGCTCCCGCAGGCCGGAGGGGGGACTTGTAGGAACAGTGGCTTTGGTCTTAAGCCCGGGGAGCCTGTCGCTTTGAGTGCAGTGGGTACTGAGCCCTACTGTGTGCCATTCCCAGAGACACACAAGCCGTTGTTCTGCTTCTGATGAGCCCGCAGGGGTAGCAGGGTCAGAGAAGATGCCAGCCGTGGGGAGGGGCCACCCAGGGGCAGAGGAGGGAGGGATGCTCCAGCCAGGGGCCTGGGCCAGGCTTCCCGCAGGAGCTGATCTCTGAGCACAGGGCTTCGGCCAGTGCAGGTGGGGGAGGAGGCTCGTCTCATGATGTGGGGTGTGCAGGGGGCTGAACCAGGGCTGGTGGGGAACTCCCGTCCCTGAGCAGCCCCTGCCTCTTCCCTAGTCCCGCCCACCATCGAGGGCGCCAGCCAAGGGCCTCACTTGGTGAAGGCGGTGGCTGGCAGACCCTTGGGCCTGGAGTGCGTGGCCAGAGGCTACCCACCCCCCACCCTGTCCTGGTACCACGAGGGGCTGCCCCTGGCGGAGAGCAACGGGACGTGGCTGGAGGCGGGCAGCGGCCTGCTGAGCCTGGACAGCCTGGGGGAGGCAGCCGGAGGCCTGTACAGCTGCGTGGCCAGCAGCCCTGCGGGGGAGGCCGTGCTGCAATACGCCGTGGATGTGCAGGGTGAGCCGGACCTGTCCTGCCCGAGCCACCGGGCTGCGGGCCCCTCCTCCCACACCTACCACATGCCAGTGCCCGCAGCCCCTCTGGGGAGCTGCCTCTGGTCAATGGGCATTTACCTAGAAATCCCTGAGGCCCAAAGCGGGGTTGTGGGCAGTGGTCCTGGGGACAGGCTGGGAGGGGCCTTCCCCTGGACAGACATCTCTCGGGCTGATTCGGGCCTGGCCCGTGGGGCTGGAGATGAGGAGGGAGCAAGGCAGGCAGGACTCCTGAGCCCTGGGTCTGGTGGTGAGACAGACGTTGAATAAATAGGGCAAGCCTCAGGAGTGGTCCTGGAAGGCCCCCTGTAGGAGGGGTCCTTTATGGGGGAACGTGAATGGTGGGGTGTGGCTTGGGCCTTGTTCTGGGGGCACAGGGGACTTAGGAGGGCGTTAGGCAGGGATTTACTCAGCGCTAACCACCCACTGGGGGGTCCGGCCTGCAGTGCCCCCACAGCTGCTGGTGGCCGAAGGCTTGGGCCAGGTGACCACCCTCGTGGGACAGCCCCTGGAGATTCCCTGCCAGGCCTCGGGCTCCCCGGTGCCCACTATCCAGTGCGTATGTGGGGGGCGGGAGGGTGAAGGCCAGGGCTGCGGTTGGGGTGTGGGCAGAGAGCGCATGCTTTGGAGGTGGGTGGGGTCAAGAGGCACCCCCTTCCCAGAGGCAAGAAAAAGGCCAGAGATGTGCGAGCAGGCGGAGACGCTGCGGGCCTCCTGCGTGTCCTGCTGGCCCTGCCTCCCCTGGCCTCAGGCTGACCGTCCCCCTTCCCACCCGCCTTAGGTGGCTGCAGAACGGCCGCCCGGCCGAGGAGCTGGTGGGGGTGCAGGTGGCCTCCCAGGGGACCACCCTGCACATCGACCACGTGGAGCCGGGCCATGCGGGCCTCTTCTCCTGCCAGGCCACCAACGAGGCAGGCACCGCAGGGGCCGAGGTGGAGCTGTCTGTGCACGGTGAGCGGCCATGGGCAGCCCGAGGCCGGGGGAGGGGAGCCTGGACCGAGGCCATCCGTGCCTCTGGCCGGTCCGGGGGGTCTGGGGGGGACAGGGGGCTGGTCTTCTCTAGATAGTACAGCTGGGCTGTACTTCCCAGCCCCCCAAAGAGAAGAGGCGTGAGAGGCTGGTCTGAGCTGTCCACCCCACTTGTCGTCTGTCCAGTCCTCAGGCCCTCACTTTTCTCCCCAGTCTTCCCTGTCTGTCCACTGACCACCACGCGCTTCATTCAACTCTTTAAATACACCCGCTCTCTCACCTCCGTGCCTGCAAATGCTGTTTCTGTTCCCAGAACATTCTCCTTCTTTGCCTCCTAGCACCTCTTTATTTCTCAGGTCTGTCCTAAAACACCCCTTCCTCCCAGAAGCCCTCCTTGATGTCACTGTGGGGCTAATCCACACTGCCCACCCTCTCTTGGCTGTCGCTCGCCACCCACTGGATTGGGAGTGCTTGTTTGGTTGTCCACCTCTCAGCCCAGTTCTGGGAGCTCTGAGAGGACAGCACAGTGGCCACCATTCCTTGCTGTGTCCCAGTGCCTAGTTCACTCCGGGGCTCAGAGTAGATGCTCAATGATGGATGGATGGATGGATGGATAGGTGGGTGGGTGGGTGAATGGATAGGTGGGTGGGTGGGTGGATGGGTGGATGGATAGGTGGGTGGGTGGATGGGTGGCTGGGTGGCTGGGTGGATGGGTGGTGGATGGATGGATAGGTGGGTGAATGGATAGGTGGGTGGATGGGTGGATGGGTAGATGGATGGGTGGATGGGTAGATGGATGGGTGGGTGGATGGATGGGTGGGTGGATGGGTGGATAGATGGGTGGGTGGATGGATGGGTGGGTGGGTGGATGGATGGATGGATGGATGGATAGATGGATAGGTGGATGGATGGATAGGTGGGTGGATGGGTGGATGGGTGGGTGGATGGGTGGGTGGGCGGGTGGGTGGGTAGATGGATGGGTGGGTGGATGGATGGGTGGGTGGATGGGTGGATAGATGGGTGGGTGGATGGATGGGTGGGTGGGTGGATGGATGGATGGATGGATGGATGGATGGATGGATAAATGGATAGGTGGATGGATGGATAGGTGGGTGGATGGGTGGATGGGTGGGTGGGTGGGTGGGTGGATGGGCGGGTGGTGGATGGGCGGGTGGGCGGGTGGGTGGGTAGATGGATGGGTGGGTGGATGGGTGGGTGGGTGGATGAGTGGGTGGATGAGTAGGTGGGTGGGTGGGTGGGTAAATGGATGGGTGGGTGGATGGATGGGTGGGTGGGTGGGTGGATGGATGGGTGGGTGGATGGGTGGATGGGTGGGTGGGTGGGTGGGTGGATGGGTGGATGGTTGGGTGGGTGGATGGGAGACTTTTTAAAGAAAGGAAAGACCCACCTTGCTGGGTCCAGTCTGGCGCTCTTCCCCAAAGCCAGGTGTCTAGGGCTTGAGTGGGGGGAGGCTAGAGGGCAGCTCTGCAAGGCCACTCCTAATTCCCCAGGCATGAGGGGGCTGCTGGGTACCACTGCACCCTCCTGACCCCGACCTGGTCCTCCCTGCCTCTCCCCCTGCCCAGAGCTCCCATCGGCGGTCATCATCGACGGTGAGAACATCACAGCCCCCTTCCTGCAGCCTGTGACCCTCCGGTGTGCGGGGACTGGGGTGCCTACCCCCAGCCTCCGCTGGTGGAAGGATGGGGTGGCCCTGGCAGCCTCAGGGGGGAACCTGCAGGTACATTTCAGGGGCCCTTGGGCTAGCGGGGCAACCTTGCATAGGAGGCGGAGCCACTTTCTAGGGGCCCTGGAAGCCCCAGCAGGACCCTGGGAGCCTGGGGGCAGGACCAGCAAAGAACCCATTCAGCTGGGAATTCTCAGTGGACTGAAGAGGGGGGGACCTTTAACCTAGTCCACGTCCCCAGAGCTTCAGCTGCCAGAAGGAGAAAATGGGCGGGAGGGGGGTTCCCAAGATCAGGGGGATTCCCTCGAATCTAAGTGTGTGGTTCAGAACTGTACCCAGAGCCAAACTCGTCCCCATGCCTCCCTTCTCCTGCTCCTGGGGTCAGCGCAGCCTGGCCACTTGTCCTGTCCCAGCATCATTCTGAGTGACTCCTGGTTCTGGATCTCGTGCCCCCACCCCCGCCTCCCCGTGACACACCTCTGCCTCCCCTGCCCCAGATTGAGAAGGTGGACCTGAGGGACGAAGGCGTCTACACCTGTGTCGCCACTAACTTGGCCGGCGAGAGCAGAAAGGATGCGGTGCTCAAGGTTTTGGGTGAGGACATGGGTGACGAGTGGGGGGGGACCCTTTGAGGGCCCTCGGGGCTGCTGTGGGGGCCGGGGGGGGGGCGGATGGGATTTAACATCTAGTTATGCACTTGACTTTAGAAGTAGAAAGTCATCTGCTCACTCGGCCGGTGTGGCTCGGTGGCTGAGTGTCTGCCTATGAACCAGAAGGTCAGGGTTCGATTCCTGGTCAGGGCACAGGCCTGGGTTGCGGGTTTGATCCCCAGTGGAGGCCATGGGGAGGCGGCCAATAGATGATTCTCTCACAGCATTGATGTTTCTGTCTCTCCCTCTCCCTTCCTCCCTGAAATCAACACAAATATATTTTTTATAAAAAGAAAAAGGAACGTCCGTTCTGTGGCCCCCATAGGTGGCTTTCTGAGGGGTTTTTAAGGGACACCCTTGTTCGCACCCCTATTTACCTTTGCTGTCTTATTCGGTTTGGGGGTTCCTTTACATCCTCGCATATGTGGGCAGGTCCTTGCACTTGCCACTTGCCATGGCTCTCCGGGTTCCGCCTGCCCACTGGGGTGGGCTGTTCCTGGGGGTGGGTGCTGGGCGGTCCTGGTCCAATTGCAATGAAGACTTATTCTGTGTGTGGTTCAGAAGTGGGGTTCCTTGGTCAGAGGCCATGAGCCATTGGGGGGCTCTTGTTGCCCAGGACCTTTCAGGAAGGCTGGGGAGAGACGTTGGGATGGCTGAGATCTGAGCTACCCACCAAGCGAGGGCGTGCCCTGTCTCCCCTAGTGCCCCCCAACATTGAGCCGGTCCCGGCCAACAAGGCAGTGCTGGAAAATGCCTCCGTGACCTTGGAGTGCCTGGCTTCCGGCGTGCCCCCTCCAGGTAAGCCCCTCCCGGTGAGGGAAAGCCACCTGCCGCCGGCCCCAGGCCCCACCTGGTGAGGTTGCCGGTGCCCAGGCACCGCGCGGGTTGTGGACAATCAGGCTGGCATCCGCGGGCCCTTCTCCCTATTCCTTGCATTTTCCTCTCTTCCTTCCCCACAGCTGTTCATCCAGGGCCCATTAAATGCCTGTCACTGCCAGGCCCAGAGCCTTTGCGCTGGTGTCTGCCCTTGACCTTGGCCTGAAGGCCGAGAAGCAAGTGCCCTGGTGTCTGAAGCAAACCCGCAGGGCTTTGGAGTTGTAACGTCACAGGGCCACTTCAGGGCTGGGGGTGAGGGCCGGGCAACCAAGTTGCCAAGTCGCTGTCTGGCCCCTTCTCTAGACTAACAATTGAGGGAAGGGCTGGGAGCTTGGGGCTGGGTGTGGGTGTTCGGCAGCCAGGATGGGCCCAGGAGGAGGGCCCATTTCCTGTCCCCCGTTTGAACCAGGTCCACCCAGTTTTGCTGAGTAGCGAGCCCTAAGGTTATTGCCCCATCTGATGGGGCAAATACCCTGTCAGGTTCTGGGACGGGCCCTGGCAGGATGCAAGGAGCTAAAGATACAACTGCTCCCTGTTTATGAGGCTGCTGTGTTGGGGTGCTCTGGGTTCTCCTCTAAAGCAGGAGCTGAGGGGGCCAGCCCAGCTTTGACTCTCCTTGCTCTCGGCTGCCCACCCCCTGGGGTTTCCTCTCTGCCCTTGGTCCTATCTCAGGCAACACTGCCCATTACACAGCACAGCCTGAAGGGCTGGCAGGATCCCCAGTGTCTCTTCTCTCCCCAGACATCTCCTGGTTCAAGGGCCGCCAGCCTGTCTCTGCTCGGAAGGGAGTCACGGTGTCAGCTGACGGGAGAGTTCTCCTCATTGAGAGAGCCCAACTCTCGGACGCTGGGAGCTACCGTTGTGTGGCGTCCAATGTGGCGGGTCGCACGGAGCTGCAGTATGGCCTGCGGGTCAATGGTGAGCTGCCCTAGGACCAAGGGGTCCTTGTGCAAAAATTACTTTCCATCTATTTGTCTACAAATCTACTCAGTATCCATCCATTCACCATCTACCCACCTACTCATCCATCCTTCCTTCCTTCTACCCATCATCCACCTATCCATTATCCACTCATCCATCTATAGTTCTTTGCATCCATAATTCATCCATTCATCATCCATACATCTATTCATCCATCCTTTCTTCCTTCCATCCATCATCCATTCATTTTCCCACTCATCATTCATCCATGTATCCATCCTTTCTTCCACCCACCATCCATCTACCCATCCATCATCCATTCATCCATCTACCGTTTTATCCATTCATTATCCATCCTTCTATCCATGCATGGAAATACCCAGCTGTCCACCCATTGATCCAATCATCTGTCCAATTCTCTGCCCATTCCTCCACCCATCTAACAATCCATCTGTCCACCCACCCACCCATCCATCCATTCAGCCACCCATTCCTCCGTCTACCCATCTTCTGTGCAACCACATTTATGAAGGACACGCTCTGGGACAGCAAACCCTGGTGCTGCAGCCCCGAGAAGACAGGCCCATGCTTCCTGCTGGTGGAGGGTGCAGTGGTAGATCATTACCCAGAGCACTGTTTCCTGATGCCGTGACAAGAGCTAGTAAAGGCGAGGTGCAGCTGAGGGCCTGGAACCAGGCTCTGACCTGGCCTGGGGGGTCCGGGAGGCGTCTTTGAGAGCTGGATGCCGAAATAGAGACCGCCTGCCAAGGCCTGTGGCTGCAGAGTCCTGGGGAGTTGAGGAAAGGCAAGGAGGCAGGGGGCCTGGAGCTCACAGAACAAGGGGAAGAGGGGGCAGGCTGGGGAGATGGCCAGGTGGACGCTGGACGGCTCCGGTCTTTGTCCCAAGAGCAGTGGAGGAGCGGGGCAGAAGCCCTGGGCATCCTGGCTGTGGCTCCCAGATACAGTGGACTCACGAGGGGCTGCCTGTAGGAGAGCGTTTGGTCTGATGCCTCGGAGCTGGAAAACAAAGCCTGCCCGGGGTCCTCCGCCCTCACTACCCCACACCGTCCCCATGATATGCTGAGCAGAAGGCCCAGGTTCAGGTGCTGCTTCTGCCGCTTCCTAGCTGGCCAACCTCGGGCTGGTGACTTGCCCTCCTGGAGCCCTGGATTCTCATCTGCAGAGGCCCCAGGATGGTTTGGAAAGGATGAGCCCTGGCTGGTGTGGCTCAGTGGATAGAGCATCGGCCTGGGGACGGAAGGGTCCCGGCTTTGATTCTGGTCAAGGACACCTGCCCAGGGTTGTGAGCTCGATCCCCAGTAGGGGGTGTGCAGGAGGCAGCCAATCAATGATTCCCTCTCATCATTGATATTTCTATCTCTCCCTCTCCCTTCCTCTCTGAAATCAATAATAAAAAAAAAAAGTGTATTAACAAAAAGGATGAGATGAGCAGCCTTGAGAACTGCGCAGGGCTGTGCCCATGTTGAGTGGCTGTCCCTGTGCTTTTGCGTGTGGCCTGGGAGGGGGGTGCCCAGCCAGGTGCCCTCTCTGTTATGTCCCCAGTGGGGCTCAGCCTGTGTTCTGTGTCACCCCCGCCCTGCAGTGCCTCCGCGCATCACGCTGCCGCCCAGCCTGCCAGGCCCCGTGCTGCTCGGCGCCCCAGTCCGGCTGACCTGCAGCGCCACCGGCAGTCCCAGCCCCACCTTGCTGTGGCTGAAGGATGGAAACCCCGTGTCCACGGCAGGGACCTCCGGCCTCCAGGTCAGCAGGGCTGGGTGGCCCGCTACCTCCCTGCCGCCTCAGGGGGTGCTGGGGGCAGAGGCCCGGCCCTGGGAGCTCCAAGCGGAGGGAGAAGCAGTGACCGCCCTGGACGGCTGGTGTTTGGACAGGTTCAAGCCTTGGACTGAGGAGAGGGCACAGTCCTCTCATGGCCACGTGCAAGTCCCAGCTTGGAGGGCAGGGCCCTCCCAGCACAATGATAGCCAACAGCTGTAGTTGTGAGCTTGAACCTATGGTCCGAACACGTGGCCCCACGTGCCTGAGTGATGCGGGCTTGATAGGGTTCAGGTGCATGTAGTTGAGTAGGATTGAAACCCAGGAGAATGTTGTAAACATCTTGGTCACGCCCTTACTTTGCCTCGTGGCACCTGCTATGAAATAAAGACAGGGCTTGTGGGCGTGGTCACTGTCTCTCAGGGAAGCAGCGTCCCACCAAGACCCGGCTTTCATTCTCTTGTCTGTCTTTTCTAAGCCTTTCAGCCGCCCCACTCAGGTTCACCCCTGACCGTGCTGGCGCGGCACACTACAGGGGGCCCTTTTAAAGGACCCATGTGATCGCCCGCCAGCCGGCAGAGGTGCCGAGGCCTGGGGTTCTGGGCGTCCGGAGCAGGCTGCCGGGGCGACGTGCCGTGCAGCAGGGCCAGCTTGGGAGGTGTGGGAGCTGGCCTTGGGGTGCATAACCTCACATGGGCTTCCTCCTGGGGGGCAGGTCTTTCCCGGGGGCCGCACCCTCACGCTAGCCAGTGCCCGGGCCTCCGACTCTGGCACCTACTCCTGCGTGGCTGTGAGTGCCGTGGGCGAGGACTGCCGGGACGTCGCCCTGCACGTCCACGGTGAGTGTCAGGCCCCAGAGGCCACGGCTCAAGAATGTGGGGCTGGGGGGTGTCTGGCCACGTTCAAAGGAAGGGTGGTTGGGTGGGAGACATGCCGGCCTGAGACCGTAGCTGCCTTCCTGTGGGGTCAGTTGGAGTGAGAGCTCCCCTATTATGGACAGGTGGGTGGCCCCTCTCGACCAGGTGACCCAAGTTCAGGGAAGAGGTAGCAGGGGCACGAAGTGGCAGGAGGTGCACACGGCCAAGAGTCAGGAATCGGGCGTTTTCACTCTCCTGGGTCAAGTGCGGTGACAGTGCTATTGGGCAAGGTGGTGTGGGGTGGTGGTTAGGGACCGGCTCTGGAGTGCATGGATCTGGGGTTCAAATCCTGCCTCCGCCACTTCCTGTGGCCGTGACCTTGGGCTAGTCACTTCGCTTCTCTGAGCCTCCGTGTCTTCCTCTGGGAAATGGGCGAAGATGGCACCCACTTCCAAGGTGTCGCGGGGTTCACCACACTCAGAGAACACAGTGACAGTTGCTCTGGTTTTAAAATGTCCTCGTATGGGATCCTGTGGGTCTCTGGAGGTGCACAAGGGAACTCTGGGAAATGTAGAGCCTGGGTTGGGGGGGCCAGTGGGGGAGAAGCATTCCATTCAGCTCTTCCCGTCGCTGGCGTCCGGATAATAGTTCACAGGCACCGTGTGCCCAGGGCTCAGCGACCTGTCATTGCAGTTAATCTCCGGTAGCCCCGCCCGGTAGCCACCCTCCTGATCACAGTGACCAAGTGTCAGGTCACAAGACTCCAGCCAGGGCCTCTGACTCCCGACCCTGCCTTCTTGACCCTCCTCTGGAGGGTTGTTTATGTCTCGGGAGAAAGGTGGCTGGGGTCCTGCTTCTGAAAACACATTTTAAAAAATAAAAATACTGTGAATTTCAAAAAGAGCTTGAGATAATTGTAGATTCACGTGAGCTGCAAGAAATAATACAGAGAAATCCCGAGTCCCTTCCCCCACTGTCCCTCAGAGGTAATGTCTTGTCCTGAAGTGCCGTCAGTCGGGAGGTTGCCGCTGTTACAACCCACCGATCCCCTCGGACCTGGGGCCTTGGGCCTCCTTTTGAGGCCGGTGCAGGAGGTCGTCGAGGTGGGGATGAGAGGGCTGCGGCTCCATCCTGCTGCCCCCCCACCTGCTGAGATAGCGCCCTCCCCCCCCCTGCCCAGTGCCGCCCAGCATCCTCGGGGAAGAGCTGAATGTGTCCGTCGTGGCCAACGAGTCAGTGGCCCTGGAGTGCCAGAGCCACGCCGTGCCCCCTCCGGTGCTGAGCTGGCGGAAGGACGGCCGCCCCCTGGAGCCGCGGCCCGGAGCCCGCCTCTCTGCAGACAAGGCCTTGCTGGAGGTGGGTGAGCGGAGCCCGGCAGGGCGGGCCTGTGGGTGTCCTGCGCCGTCAGTTCAGCTGCATGGGCCCTGCAGGCCCCTCCAGGCCCAACGCCCAGGGCGCAGCCTCCCGATCTGTCGGAGCTGCTTCCAGCCGAATGGGGACTGAGAGCGAAGGCCCAGGACTGAGCCTTCAGGACCCTCAGCCCCGCTGCGCCCCCCCCCCACCCCGCCCCCCAAGCCAGCAGCTCTCTTTCTACTTGTTTTTCACTCTTTGTTCCAAAGCCTCCTCGCTTTTGGGCCTTTAAGCCCCGGGATCAGGCATCTGGCCCAGCAGGCAGGGGGTGTGGGGTCGGGACTCTGGAGTCAGCCTGGATTTAAACTTGAGCTCTGCCTCCAGCTGCGCCTCCCCCCTGCCGTCCTGACACACTGGCCCTGGGTCTCTCACCTGCAAACACACCGGTGCCTCTCTTCTGGGAGGCTGGGAGGGTTCCCAGAGGCAGGCCCGTGAGGCCCCACCCTGCCCCAGGGCACAGCTCATCCACCTCAGCTCGGGGAGTGGCGGTGCCTCTCCTGCTGTTGGGAGAACCTTCCACTCCAGCCTGCTCCTCCTCCTCCTCCCACCCCCCTACACCTTGTGATATGCTCATTCCGACTCTGAGCACCTCCTGTGGTTTGCTCTGTTTGGAATGCCTGCCTCTCCTGCCCTTCATTCTTCAGAGCCGCAGCGTCACCACCATGTCAGGGTCTGACCCCTGAGGACAGGGTCCCCTCCACCCCACCCTTCTTCATCCCCCACCTTCTCCTCTGGGCTGTTCTGTCAGAATGGGGCTGGGCTGCGGATGTGGCTGGCAAGGCTGCCACTTAGGGACCCACAGGAGGCCACCGCAGGCAGCGGCTTCTGGAAACTTCGGGGTGCGGGAGGTGCCAGGTTCCAGGTGGGGAGGTTGAGGCACAGCGAGGTGAAGTGGCTGGCCCACAGTCACACAGTCCGCCCCGGGCACCCCAGCTGTGTGCTGCCCCTGCTGATGGCTCCTGTCGCTGACGGCAGGTGGACAGGGCAGAGGTGTGGGACGCAGGCCGCTACACCTGTGAGGCGCTGAACCAGGCGGGCCGCTCGGAGAAACACTACAACCTCAACGTCTGGGGTGAGGGTCTCTTGGGCTGGGCTGCGGTCCCCCTGCCCTGCCCCTGCGCGGCCAGCTCGCATGCCCTGGGGCACTGCTGCCTTGACTGGGCCCCAGGGTGCAGCCCGCTCCCCTCCCAGCCCTCCACCCCCTCACACCCTCTCTTCTCTTAGTCCCTCCAGTGTTCCCCTCGAGGGAGCCCCGCATCCTGACTGTGACCGAGGGACACCCCACCAGGCTGTCCTGCGAATGTCGGGGTGTCCCTTTCCCCAAGATCACCTGGAGGAAGGACGGTAGGGTTGCTGGCTGGGAAGGGGCTGGGGTGCCCAGCGGACTTGGGGACCGAGCAGAATCGGACTGAGTGTCATTTCTGTAACCAGGACCCCCACCCCTGGGGCTGAAGGCCCACCCATCTCCATCTCCGCCGGGCTCTGGGGTGGGGCCACCCGTCGAGGGCAGGGACAGCCTCCTCCTGTCGGAGTTGGCCGGGACGGTGGGGGGACCGGGAACCAGGGGCTTTTCCTTGCTGCATCCAGGTCAGCCCGTGCCCCGGGAGGGGGCGGGCCTCGGACAGGTGTCGGCGGTGGGGCGGCTGCTGTACCTGGGACCAGCCCAGCCGGCCCAGGAGGGAACGTACACCTGTGAGTGCAGCAACGTGGCCGGAAATAGCAGCCAGGACCAGCAGCTAGAGGTGCATGGTGAGCCGGGCTGGGGTGACCTGAGCCAGGCAGAAGGGGCCGGAGGGTGGCAGGCAGGGGAGACCCCACCCCTGGGATCCAAGCCGAGACAGGAGCAGCGATAATGAGAGCGCTTCCCTGGCCTCAGATTCCGGGCGTCTCCCGAACCGCCCTCCCAGCCAGCTTCCTGCGGCTCCGGCTCCAGGCCTAAGCCGGGAGCGGCAGTGTGACCCCAAGAGCCCCCAGCGGCCCAGAGGGAAAAACACCGCTCGGGACAGAGGCGGAAAGGAATGTAGAATCTCTGTGAAGCCCCTGTGCGTAAGGGAAACCTGAGTCCCGGCTACTCGTCCTGCAGTGATGAGATGAAATAGCTCAGCCTAGGAAATAGGACCAAGAAAAGCATTTTTTCTTTTCATAGTTCAATTTCCGTTTTAATCTATATCACCAGAAAACACTTTTATTTTTACATTTTTTCCCCCTTTATCGATTAAGATATTACAAATGTGTCCTTATTCCCCCAATGAAAAGCATTTTGGAGCGAGGAACCCCGCCCTGGCCGGCCCCCGCGACTGTCTGAGCTCCGGGAAGGCCTGGTTTCTGAGGAAGGAAACTGCCCGCGGCTCTTCAGGGCTGTGCTGAGAGCTTGTTTTCCAAACAGCAGGCCCCTCCCCGGGACCCCGGCATTAGGCAGGCAGGAGTGGAGCGCCGTATGGCCCCTTTACAAGGATGGAACATGGAGGCCCAGAGAGATGAGGTCACCTGACCAAGGCCGCGCGGCCAGGGAGTGGCCGTGGGGAACGTAGGCCAGCTTGGGGCCTGGTGTGAGTGCTTGCTGCCTGGTGGCCACAGCGACTTTCTCCCCACCCCAGTTCCCCCGCAGATCGCTGGCCCCCGGGAGCCCCCCACACAGGTCTCCGTGGTCCAGGACGCGGAGGCCACTCTGGAATGCAACGTCACGGGGAAACCCCCACCCAGGGTGACGTGGCAGCGGGACGGCCAGCCGGTGGGAGCCGCACCGGGCCTGCGGCTGCAGAACCAGGGTCAGAGCCTGCACGTGGAGCGGGCACAGGCTGCCCACGCGGGACGCTATAGCTGCCTGGCCGAGAACGTGGCTGGGAGGGCCGAGAGGAGGTTTGCGCTGTCCGTGCTGGGTGAGGACCCCGGGGCCGGCCGGAGCGGGGCTGGAAGGGGGCCCAGACTGGAGAAGGCAAGGCCGGGTCACGCCTCATTCTCCCAAGAGGCAGGCCTCTGGTGAGGTCTGGTGGGGGAAGCCTTCAGCACGGCTCCCAAATCAGGACTGGCTTCAAATGGCCCTAATCTCCCCCCACTTTTCCCCTCCCTTCCTGTCTGTCCCCCTACTCTGTTCTGGGCACTGTGGAAATGAGCTCCTCTGTCCTGCATGACTTACATGTGATAGGGGAATTCAGGGGCCTGAACGCTGTCGTGGGAAGTCAGGGCAGCCTCCTGTAGGAGGTGGCCTTTCAGCTGAAATGTAAAAGCAGGATGGGAGTTAACCAGGTGCAGGGTGAGGGGGGAAATGTGCCAGGCAGAGGGAACACACCCCACAGAGGCTGGGAGGGGTGGCAGGTTCAGGGTAGCTAGAGCAGCCTTGTGGTTTCAGACTTTTATTGAGCTCCTACTGTATGCCTCAGGGCAGAAGTGAAGAGTGATAGGAGGGAAGATGGGAGAGATGGGCCGTGTGGCTGGGACCCTACCCCATCCGCCCACCCCAGCCTGATAGAGCGGGGCTTCCTTTGCGAGTGGATGCTCTAGACACCACGGAGCTCTGACGTGTGGATCTGGGGGACTCACTTGTGTTCACCTTTGCTCTCGGCCAGTCTCGTTTGCTCAGCATCGGCTCTGTACCAGGCGCTGTGCCGAGAGCTTTACACGGGTTCTTGTTGAATCCTCCCGGCATCCATCTAGAGCAGCGGTTCTCAACCTGTGGGTCACAACCCCTTTGGGGGTCGAACGACCCTTTCACAGGGGTCGCCTAAGACCATCGGAAAACACATATAAAATTACAGATTGTTTTTGTGATTAATCACTATGCCTTAATTATGTTCAATTTGTAACAATGAAATTGGGAGTCACCGCAACATGAGGAACTGTATTAAAGGGTCGCGGCATTAGGAAGGTTGAGAACCACTGCTCTAGGGGCTTGGAGAAACTGAGGCCCAATGTGTCTGCCTGACGCCAAAGCCCCGCCTGCAGTCGCCACTCACCCCTGTCAGTGGGAGCAGCTCTTGAAGCCTTCAGCCCCTCCTGAGTGGGGGTGGGGCTCCTGGGGGAGGGCTGTGCGTGGGGGTCGTGGAAGGAGCACACGGCCCTGTCTGCATCCTGAATAAGGCTGTTTCTCTGTGTCCAGTGCCCCCAGAGCTCATCGGAGACTCAGACCCGCTGACCAACGTCACTGCCGCCTTGCACAGCCCCTTGACGCTGCTCTGTGAAGCCACAGGCATCCCACCCCCGGGGGTCCGCTGGTTCCGAGGGGAGGAGCCCATCAGCCCCAGGGAGGACACCTACCTCTTGGCAGGTAAGGTGCCGACCAGGGGAGTGTCCGATGATCGGGCCTGGCCCTCTGCTTCTGCCTCTGCTCAGCACATGCCCATGACTTCTGACCCTGAGCGGCCAGCCGCGGTGGCATAAACGTTTTGGCTGTTGGTCCCCCAGGAGTATACCCCAAAACACTGGTCAGGTGATGTGCTCCAGGAAACACATTAGATTTGACTACGTTTAGAAAGGCTTCCTGCTCTGCTCCCCTCCTAGAGACTCACAGTGGCCATTTATAGTCAAGGTTCTGATAAGTCCTGCAGCAAAAATTCTCATGGCACTTATATAACATCTCACACACAGTACAGGTGGGCGAACGGACATAGGGTCTAAGCACCTCTGCCTCTGAATAGTCGTCCTCCTCACAAAGTTGGTTTGCGATAGTTCTTGCTGACATACAAATGGGGAAACTGAGGTCCAGGAGGCAGTATCCCATCCAAAGCTTACAAGGACTTCAGGGCCCCCTGAAGCTCACCCTCAGTGACCCATCAGTTGTTCCCTGCAGGGATGTTCTGGTTGTTCCAAAGCTGGGATGGCCAATAAGCTTCCCCTTGTGCACCTCCTCTGAGCCCTTAGTGGGGCTGCCAGATGCATTGCGATGAGGTGGACTCAGGGGCTGCAGTAGGGCCCAGCAGAAAGGAGAGCAGTGATCGATTAGTGATGTCTGCCCGGGGTATAGGAGCAGTCATGTTCACGTGTCCCATGCATGTGCCTTCCCTGGGCTGGTCTTGGGAGAAGGCGGCCTTTTCCAGGGTCCATCAGTGTAGCAGGGCGGTCTGATCTGGGCCAGGCCCATGGCTGTCCTTTTAGCCGTGGTCAGTCTCCAGAAGTGGGGGTAGCCAGGTGACAGATCCGTCTTCTTAAATGGGGCCGCAGGCTTACCCTGTGCATGTCTGATGTCCGGGGGGCTCCAGCCATCTGTTCACCCTCCTGGGCCTCAGTTTTCCCACCTGAGGGATGGGACACTGGGGTAGGCAGGCACATCTGATGGAGACGCCTGGCACGCTCCTCTTCCTGGTGGTCAGCCTGGGCTCAGCTCACGGCCGCACTTGGAGCCCATTCTCCTCCCTCCCCAGGTGGCTGGATGCTGAAGGTGACCCGGACCCAGGAGCGGGACAGAGGCCTCTACTCCTGCCTGGCCAGCAACGAGGCTGGGGAGGTGCGGAGGAACTTCAGCGTGGAGGTCCTGGGTATGTCACAGCCCCGTGTTCGTAGCCCACGAGTCCTTTTCCTCCGGCTGGGGAGCTTACAGGGGGCGGTCCAGGACCAAGAGCTCTTGCTGTAGTAGGAGGTCCACTCAGGAAGGAGGGTGAGGCCAAAGCTTGTTTCCTCATGAGCAGTTCCTACTCTGAGGCCATCATGGAACTTTCTAGAAGCAGCAGGGACTACTATAATCCAACATGGAAAGGAGAAACTATTTCTAACACCACCTTGCCCTGACCAGAGCCTTCTCCCAGGGCACTGGTCCTCCCTCGGCCCTGTGGAAGCAGGCAGGAGGGGAGGGGGAAACCAGGCGCCGGAAGAGAGATGCTCTAGGCTTTCTGCTCTGTGGTTCAGCCTGAGCGAGCCAGCTCCAGTCAGTGACCGGCTGTCTCCCTGCTCTTCCAGTTCCTCCCAGTATCGAGAATGAGGACCTGGAGGAGGTGGTCAAGGTTCCCGAGGGACAGACAGCCAACCTGACGTGCAACGCCACAGGTAAGGCCACACACGGCCACACGGCGGGCTGGGAGAAAGGTGAGAAGGCAGCTTTGTAAAGGGGGGGTGCTGGAGATCTTGCCCAGCCCTCTGCTCCCTATCCCAGCACTGACCACACTGATCCATGGTGGCCTTGTGACACCTGTGTACCCCAGCTGGGCTCTGAGCTCCTTGAGGACCCACGGTCTACCTTGTCGCCATGGTTCCCCCAGTGCCTTAGTTATGCTGTTGAGCTGGGATGGATGGATGGATGGATGGCTGGATGGATGGATAGGTAGGTGGGTGGATGGATGGATGGATCGATAGGTAGGTGGGTGGGTGGGTGGGTGGGTGGGTGGGTGGGTGGGTGGGTGGATGGATGGATAGGCGGGTGGATGAATGGATGGATGGATGGATAGGTGGATGGATGGATGGATGGATGGATGGATGGATGGATGGATGGATGGAAGGATAGATGGATAGGTGGGTGGGTGGATGGATGGATCGATAGGTGGGTGGGTGGGTGGATGGATGGATGGATGGATGGATAGGTAGGTAGGTAGATAGATTGATGGATGGATGGATACTACACTTGATCTTAGCCAAAAGGCCGAGAAGCGATAATGGCTGGCTGGCTGGCTGGCTGGCTGGATGGGGAGGTGGATAGGTGGACAAATTGGTGGATGGATAGGTGTATGTATGCATGTATGTATATATGTATGTTTAGATGGATAAATGGATGGATGGATGGAAGGAATATCTTGTCTTCTATCCGTACCAGCCGTCTCTGTCCACTCCTCAGTAAGGAAAAGGCAGTCAAACCCCTTAGGAAAAGGCCCAGGCCCGTGGTGGCTGCTTCTGTGTCTTGCCCTGCTGCCTGGGCCTCTGAACTGAGAAGGAAAACCCATGTCCCCCACCACCCCCTTCCTGCAGCGACCTCTGCTCCAACCTGGTCCAATCCTGCTGAACTATCTTCCTTGCCTCTCTCCTCCCCACACAGGCCACCCACAGCCCAGGGTCACATGGTTCAAAGACGGCCGGCCCCTGGCTGGTGGAGACACCCAGCATGTCTCTCCAGACGGAGCCCTTCTGCAGGTCCTCCAGGCCAACCTGTCCAGTGCCGGCCACTACTCCTGCATTGCAGCCAACGCCGCGGGGGAGAGGACCAAGCATGTCCAGCTGAGCGTCCTGGGTGAGTGCTGGGCATCTGCTGGCCATTCCAGGTGCTGGCAGGAGGCAGAACCAGGTGACCTGACAGGCAGCTTTCCACAAAGCCCTCCATGTTCAACAACAGCGGCTCTAGTGGTTGAACCCTTAGAGGCCAGGCATATGCACAGGCCTTCCTGGCTGGATCTCCACAGCAACACAGGAGGCGGGCGGGGGGGCAGTGCGCCTGTCCCCATGTCACTGATGGAGCTCTGGGCTGAGAGAGAGGACAAGGCTCCCTCCAGGCCGTCCGCCCCCGAGGGCGAGGGCGAGGGCAATGCAGCACCAGCTGTTTTGTTGGGCTGGAGAAACGGGGATTCGAAAACAAGAGGGGCACGGGCTAGTCTCACAAAATCCATTTCTAAAAGCGCTGGTGGAAAAATGGAAGGTCCCTGCAGGGCCCGAAAGAGGACATTTTAGGGTCAGTGACAACAGAGAGCATCTACTCAGCAGGGACCATCACTCCACCTCCCGCCCCACCCTCCACTCCGGGAGTGACACAGATTGGAAACAAACAGAATTGCGGAGACTCTGGTTAAATTACTAGATACCCTGGATGCTAAGAGGCTGTGGGGGAAGTTGAGGCAGAAATTGTCCAGCTTCCCCTATGACAGTGGTCAGCAAACTGCGGCTCGCGAGCCACATGCGGCTCTTTGGCCCCTTGAGTGTGGCCACAAAGTTTCAATCGCACTGTACGTGCGCGCCCGCACATGGTATTTTGTGGAAGAGCCACACTCAAGGGGCCACCGTTTGCCGACCACTGCCCTATGGTATTGCTCAGTGGTGGAGAGCTGGGGACCTGGGTCACCGAGGCCTGAATTCAACTCTGGCCGCACCTGCCTGGCTCCACTGAGCCTCAGTTTCCCCTGTGCAATGAAAATAGCAGCAGCACAGCGGCTGAGCACCGCGGGTCTGAGGCTTTCCTGGGTCCTTGCGCCCAGGGTTGGCCTCTCTGTTCACGAGCACCCCCCTGGCCTCCCCATCACAGTGGCTCCCTCCATCCTGGGGGTGACCGAGGATGGTGCAGACGAGGAGGTGACCGTGACCATCAACAACCCCATTTCTCTGATCTGCGAGGCGCTGGCCTTCCCCGCCCCCACCATCACCTGGATGAAGGACGGGTCCCCATTTGAGGCCTCAAACAACATTCAGCTGCTCCCAGGTGATGCCCTGGGCGGGGAGCGGGGGCCAGAGGGCGGGGCCGGTGAAGCCCAGCGCATGCCTGAGGTGCCCCTGGCCGCTGCCCCGCAAGCAGGTACCCACGGGCTGCAGATCTTGAACGCCCAGAAGGAAGACGCAGGCCAGTACACCTGCGTGGTCACCAACGACCTTGGGGAGGCCATGAAGAACTACCACGTGGAAGTCCTCAGTGAGTCGGGACCCCCAGGCACTGGTGGGAGGCAGGAGGTGGCTCGGAGCCCTGGGACCCCAGCGCCTACCAGGCGTGGGCAAACTTTTTGACTCGAGGGCCACAATGGGTTCTTAAACTGGACCGGAGGGCTGGAACAAAAGCATGGATGGAGTGTTTGTGTGAACTAATATAAATTCAAAGTAAACATCATTACATAAAAGGATACGGTCTTTTTTTTTTTTTTTTAGTTTTATTCATTTCAAATGGGCCGGATCCGGCCCGCGGGCTGTAGTTTGCCCACGGCTGGCTAGGCCATTCCTGACACCCCCGACACCTTCATGGGCTTGTCTGCTCTGATAGTCGCCAGGCAGCGGGCCGGCTGGGTCATTCCCCATTTTTGGGGCCCAGGACGCTCAGAGGGGGGATGGTGAGCTAGGACTTGGGCCACGTGGATGCCCACCCACTCCAGTCCTGGCTTCTTTCTGCCACGATGCAGTCAGAACCTCCACAACTTGAGACCTGGGGCCCCCAGAGGTCACCCCAGGAATTCCCCTGCCTCCGACCTGCCCTATCCTGTAACCATCGCTGACGGTCTTGCCTTTAAGGCAGGGGTAGGGGACCTTTTATCTGCCAAGTGCCATGTGTTGGTTTTATGTTTTGTTTTTGGTGGTTGTGGTTTTTAAATATATTTTTATTGATTTCAGAGAGGAAGGGGGAGGGAGAGAGATAGAAACATCAATGATGAGAGAGAATCATTGATGGGCTGCCTCCTGCACGCCTCCTCCTGGGGTTCGAGCCCACAACCCAGGCATGTGCCTTTGACCGGAATCAAACCCAGGACCCTTCCGTCTGCAGGCTGATGCTCTATCCACTCAGCCAAACCGGCTAGCGTGCCAATGGCCATGTGGATATTTATAACATCATTTGCTTAATATAATTCACTTAATATAAACTTATGTTGCTCTGAAGAAAGCTCCTAGATTTTTTTTTACTTTAATAATTCTTTATTGTTTAAAGTATTACGTATGTCCTCTACTTCCCCCCGTTGGCCACCTTACGCTCCTAGATTGATTGAATTTCGAGCCTGGCAGGAGGGCTCTGTCCCGGCTGCCTGCCCCCTTTCTCACCACCATCTGACACGTCTAAGCCCCCAGATGGGCAGGGCCAGGCCAAATGATTTCACAGGTCTCACACGGCCCGGCCCACTGGCCGGATGTTCCCCACCCCCGCCCTAAGCGAACGGCCCCAGGAGTGGATCCGTCTCCAGGCCCCTGTTCCTCCACTGTCCGGAGCCAGCCCCCATTCCTGGGCCCAGGTTGAGCGCAGGCTCAGCGCCCCCTCCCCAGGCCGGCTCCTCAGACTCCCCTTTCGATTTGCAGTTCCCCCTTCCATCTCCAAAGACGACTCCATGGGGGAGGTCGGTGTGAAGGAAGTGAAGACCAAGGTCAACAGTACCCTGACCCTGGAGTGTGAGTGCTGGGCGGCGCCCCCACCTGCCATCAGCTGGTACAAGGACGGACAGGTGAGCTGGCCCCAGGGCAGCCTCAGGCTCTCTCCTCTGGGTCCCCGGGCCCTGCTCGGAACCTTCCAGTAGAGACAGGCAAAGCACCTGGCCCCAGAGCTGGGCTGGGCCCTGCCTCGCTCTTTACGTGTTAATAGGAAATCCCACTCTTTTAAAAGGGAACAGGTCTCATTAACATTAAACTTTATATTCACCCATTTAATTCTCTTCCGACTGTTGTCATCCGGGTTTGGTTTTACCAAGTTTTCAGGGTGTCCTCCCATTTTGTCGGGTGTTTAAAACCTTGTTGGAATCTACGTATACTTGTCCGGGTGCTTACCCCCATTTGTGATCCCCGTCTCCGCCTCTTCCCTCCCCGCAGCCCGTGGCCCCCCACGAGCGGCTCCGCGTCCTGGGCGAAGGGCGGCTGCTACAGATCCAGCCCACGCAGGTCTCAGATTCGGGGCGGTACCTGTGCGTGGCCACCAACGTGGCCGGCGAGGACGACCAGGACTTCAACGTGCTCATCCAGGGTGTGTGGGGAACAGCAGGGCCTGGTGGGGGCAGGGGACCGTGGGACTGGGCGGCAGGGCCGGGGGCGGGGGTGTCTGCTTCAGAGTCGCTGGCAGGAGGGCTCTGTCACGGCTGCCTGCCCCGCCCCCCCCTTTTAATATATTTTTGTTGATTTCAGAGAGAAAGGGTGAGACAAAAGAGATAGAAACATTAATGATGAGAGAGAATCATTGATTAGCTGCCCCCTGCACATCCCCTACTGGGTACCGAGCCCACAACCCGGGCCTGTGCCCTGACTGGGAATTGAACCCTGACCTCCTGGTTCATAGGCCGATGCTAACCATTGAGCAACGCCAGCCGGGCGGCCTGTCCCCTTTCTCACCACCGTCTGGCGTGTCTGGCCCCCAGAGCCTGGCCTGGGCTCTTCCATTCACTGACTTTGTGACCTGGGAACATCACTGCCCCTAGGCCTTAGTGTTGCCTTTGTAACATGTGGGTGGCTGAATGGGGTGGCCTGGAGGGGCGCCTCAGTTCTGAAAGCCCATGATTTTATCCTCTGGGCTCCAGTAAACAGGCTGGCTAAAGCTCAGGATCTGGCTCCCTTCCTTGAAAAAAACCACCTTGTCAGAAGTCTGGCGTCCATTAGACATGAGCTGCGGTGGGCAGGAGCCTCGTTCCAGTGCCCAGCATAGTCATTGCTCAATAAACACTCATTGCAAAAAATAAAAAATAAAATAAAATAAAAAACCACTAGTTAAAGGGATGAGTGAACTTTAAAAACGCCTTGACCTACGGGATGGGCTCAAACAGTGCAATGTCCACTCCCAGGGGAGGCTGGGACGGGGTCCTTTGAGCAGAGGTCCCTCTCCATCCCACGCTGTGTGTGGTAATGCCTTTGTCGCCCCTCCCCAGTGCCCCCCATGTTCCAGAAAGTGGGTGATGCCAGTGCCACCTTCGAAACCCTGTTCCGGGAGGAGGAGGCCCGGGGCGGGGTGACGGAATACCGGGAGGTCGTGGAGAACAGCCCCGCATACCTGTACTGCGACACCAACGCGGTCCCGCCCCCGGAGCTCACCTGGTACAGGGAGGACCAGCCCCTCTCGGCCACAGACGGGGTGTCTGTCCTGCAAGGTAGGCCGGGGCTGCGCGGAGAAGTCGGGGCATTTGCAGGCAGGGACCGGGGTCACACCCGCATCGGAGCTGGTCCTCTCAGCTGCCCTCCTGCCGGTCCTCTGAGTGCCCCCGCGTGCTGCTTGCTGCGTGGCCTCGGGCAGGGCCTTTGACAGGCTGGGCCTTCGCCGCCTCTGTAATCTGGGGCTGGCAGTTCTCTGGGCTTTGAGATCTGCGATGCCCGGAAATAAACCACTAACGTTGGCGTCTTTCTTAGAGGGAGCCGCTGCTGCTGCTGCTTTTTTTCTTCTAATTGATTTCAGAGAGGAAGAGAGAGGGAGAGACAGAAACATCAATGATGAGAGAGAACCATTGATCAGCTGCCTCCTGCACACCCCCTAGTGGGGATCGAGCCCACAGCCCGGGCATGTGCCCTGACTGGGCATCGAACCGTGACCTCCTGGTTCATAGGCCGATGCTCAACCACTGAGCCGCACCAGCTGGGCAGGAGCCGCTTCTTTATTGGCATCTTGTGATCATCCCAACAGTGGACGAACCTCCCACTGGGCTGAGGCCACACCGGGGCCAAACTCAGGCCCTTGTGACCTTTGCTTTCCTTTTACTGCTTTATATGTTTGTTTAAGGTGATTTCGTTTTTTTAAAAAAAACAACCCTTTTATTTAGAATAGTTTTTTTTCTGTGGAGGATTTTGAATTAAAAGGCTCCAAATGCCTGGCTTCCCTGGCGGCTGGCCGAGCTCCCTGGGGTAGAGCAGACCTGGGAGAAGTTCCAGGCACAGAGCCCTGTTGTGTCTCAGGGGGCATTCGGTGGTCTCCCGGCTCAGGATTTGCCCCGGGTCCTGCCAGGCGTGGGCAGTGCTGGGGCCGGTGCGGGCGGGGCGAGGGAGGTGAGGTGGGGCACGGGGTGCTACTGAGCAGGGTCACCCCAGGGCATGTACTTTGGCTCTTGCAAAATAAGGTGGCCTCAGAGATCCGAGAGGGGCAGCACTTGCTGACAGCTGTTTGCTCCTGTCAGAACCCCTGGATTGACCCCCTCGCCTCCTCTCGGACCGGGACACTGGCCCCAATCCTGGGTACACAGAGACCTCAGTCACATGCTGCTCCCTGGCCACAGCCCCCGACCCTCTGTCCTCGCCATAAACCTTCAACCCCACCTTGAACTCTGACCCTGGCCACTGACTCCCAATCCCGAGCACATAGATTAACCTCACACATAAATGACCCTGACAGTGGCCGCTCCCTCCCTCCTTAATCATGACCGCTGTCCCCTGGCTCTGCATGTAATGAGCTCCTAGTTCCAACCCTGGTCACAACCCCCCCACCCCCACCCCACACACACACCCAGCCTGGGCCAGCGAGCCCCTGACCGAGAATGTGAGCACACAGTGACCCTCCCTTGGCCCCTGCTAGAGACCAGCTCCAGCCACCAGAGATGCCAGGGTCTGGCCCTGGCAGGCTCTGGATCACAGAGGATCTCAGATGACAGCTGCTAGCAACATCCACCCCCAACTGCCACAGTCCCCAGCTGCCTCTTTGCCTCCCAAGAGCCTCTGCCCAGCTCTCTGGCCCTTCCCTCTGCCCTCATCAAGGAGCTGGGCTCAGCACTGCGGGGTGTTCTTGGGAAGCCTCGGTTTTTCCATCTGTGAGATGGAAGTGTTTCCAGCACCGAGTCAGAGAGCAGGGAGGTGCGGCCAGGCCTGGTGCCCAGCCCCGAGAGCTGGGCGGGGCGGGCAGATGCTCTCCATTTCACAGATGGGGGTTGGGGGGGGGGTGATGTGTCCCAGGTCCCCTACGAGGAAGGAGCAGGTTTCCTCACCTTTGCTCAGGCCTCTGTCCCCCCTCCCCCCCCATCCCTCTCCCCACAGGAGGCCGGGTCCTGCAGATCCCCCTGGTGCGCGCGGAGGATGCTGGGAGGTACTCGTGCAAGGCCTCCAACGAGGTGGGCGAGGACTGGCTGCACTATGAGCTGATGGTGCTGAGTGAGTGGCCGGCCTTGGGGGTGGGAGGGGGTGTCACGTCTGTAGGCTCCGTGAGCCACCCCCCCCCCCACCCCCCCAGGAGTCACAGTGGGGAACATGGTCTGGCAGGACTTGGAGGTTGATAATGTAGGGTTGTGAGCTTGGGCTCTGAAACCAGACAGGACTGGGTTCAAACTCCAAGTGAGCTGCTTCCTAGCTGTGTGACCTTGAGCGGTTAGTTCACAGCCCTCTCTGTGCCCCAGATTCCTTAGCTGCACCAGGGCCTGGGAGGGCTGGGGGAGTGGGGCACAAGGAGCCCCAGCCAATGCCTGGCACCAAGCACTGCTCTCACCTCCATGCCTACCTCCCCCGCCCCCCTGCCCCAGGGACCTTTCCCAGGGAGGCTGCCTGCTCCTCACCCTCCTCTCCCCGACCCAGCCCCACCTGTGATCCCGGGGGACACCGAGGAGCTGGTGGAGGAGGTGACCGTCAATGCCAGCAGCACTGTCAGCCTACAGTGTCCAGCCCTGGGCAACCCCACGCCCACCATCTCGTGGCTCCAGAACGGGCTGCCCTTCTCCCCGAGCCCACGGCTGCAGGTCCTGGAGGACGGGCAAGTCTTGCAGGTCAGGGCGTCCCCCGCCGTGGCTAAAGGCAGCAGCTGCCGAGGCTCAGTGGTGCTGTCCCGGGACCAGGAGCTGCCGTTACCTGAGCCAAATGAGGTCCCTGCCCGAGAGCCTGCGGGAGCTCCGGGGCTTCATTCACCCCCCCAGATGCGTGTCCACCACCACCACGTGCCTCGCGGGCAGGCACGGGCGAGCGTAGCGCCTGGAAATTCTGCTGATGTCACACCTACAGCCAGCGCGGCTCAGGGCCCTGGGCAGCACCCTTGGCCACCCAGTTTCTAGACACAGCTGCCCGGGACCCTTGCAGCTCAACACAGTAGAGGGCAGCCTCCTCCGGGCGGGGGGAGACCATCGCGTTTGCTATAGGGGGTCACCCAGCCCAACCTCACACCCCCCTCCTGAGTGTCACAGAAAGCCCTAGACCTGCGGTTCTCAACCTGTGGGTCGCGACCCCTTTGGCGGTCCAACGACCCTTTCACAGGGGTCGCCTAAGACCATCCTGCAGATCAGATATTTACATTATGATTCATAACAGTAGCAACATGACAGTTATGAAGTAGAAATGAAAACAATTGTATAGTTGGGTCACAACATGAGGAACTGTATTTAAAGGGCCAGAAGGTTGAGAACCACTGCCCTGGATGGGCGTGGGGTGTGCGTGCCCATCAGTGGTGCCCCTACACACTGCTCCATGTAGACAGGTGGCCTCCTGCGGGGTTCCTCCTGGCGCCCGCCGTGCCTGGTGTGGTGAGGGGGTCCCTTCCAGTGGTTTCTGGGAAGGGGGACCACAGCCACCAGGCGCCCTCTCTCTGCACCCACAGGTTTCCACGGCAGAGGTGGCCGATGTTGCCAGCTACATGTGTGTGGCCGAGAACCCGGCGGGCTCCGTGGAGAAGCTCTTCACACTTAGGGTGCAAGGTGAGCTGGGCAGGGCAGGTGGCCCCCTGGGGCTCCCTGGCTGAGGAGGGGCTGGTACTCGGGCCCACTTGACCTGCTCCGTGGCAGGCACAGCACCTAGTCCCTCCCTGAGGGCACCACCTCGTGCTTCCTGTGTCCCAGGCCCCGAGGCTGCACCCAGAGGTTAGTCATCCTGGCCTGGCACCAGCCACATCCCAGGACAGAGAGGATCTGGGGGACCCCGATCACCCAGGGCCATCTCCAGATGACTCTAAGCCACTTTGGAGGTGGTCGGGGAGCGGCTCTTCTGGCCTTACGGCACCATGATTAAGCACTTACTGCGTACCTGGCCTGGGGCTGACTCCTTCCCGCAGAGCTCAGAGGCTAGCCCAACCCCACAGCTGCAGAGACAGAGAGGTCACCCAGTGGGGGTCCCCGCCCCAGGGCTGGCCCTCTTGACCTCCGCATTCTTGTGACGCATGCCCCTCCGTGGCTGTGTGCTCGGCCTCCAGCTGTGGCCTCGGGAACAGAGGGGTGACAGCGTTGAGCACTCAAGGTCTAGGACTCAAACCTGAATTGATATTTGGCTCTGGCACTGGCCGGCTGAGTGGCCACGGGAAAGTGACTGTCCCTCTCTGGTCCCCACGCCCCGTGCTCCCATCTGTGAGCGGTGGTGGTGAGCAGGCAGCTGCACGGCGTTGCTCGACAGCGCGGCCCGCTGAGGCCGGGAGCTGTGCGTCCTGTGCTGCAGCTGTCGCTCTCCGCTCCCCCGCCGGGCGCATCCTCAAGTGTCTTTCTTTATCCGGTGGCCACGGGGACAGTCCCACCGCACATCACAGGCCCGGACTCAGAGCAGGTCACCGCCACCCTCAACAGCAGCGTGTCCCTCCCCTGCGACGTCCGTGCTCACCCGAGCCCCGAGGTCACGTGGTACAAGGACGGCCAGGCCCTCTCCCTGGGCGAAGGCGTCTTCCTCCTGCCTGGTGGGTAAACTGAGGCTTGGGGTCCAGCTCTGAGGGGACCAGGCTGGGAGTCTGGGGGCAGCCAGTTGCTGGTGCAAGGGGCTGACACCCCTCCTCCGGCAGGCACCCACACGCTGCAGCTGGCCCGGGCACAGCCGGCAGACTCCGGGACGTACATGTGCGAGGCCCTCAATGCCGCCGGCCGAGACCAGAGGCTGGTGCGGCTCAGCGTGCTGGGTACGTCCTGTCTGTCCCCCCCACCGGCACCCTCCCCGCTCCTTCAGGCAGCCCTCCGCCCCCACCCCTCAGGCAGCACCGCCGGGGGAGGACCCCAGGGAGCCTGGGGTGCCAAGCCTCCTGCAGCGACGGTGTCCAGCTGCAGACTTGGGAGGTTCGGGTCAGGGTCTGCAGACGGGATGCACTTGAGTCTGAAACTCAGCTGTGCACTTACTCAGTGACCTTGGGCAGGTCGTGTCCGCTCTCTGAGCCTCAACTCTCATCTGTAGGTGCCAGTTGGCATAAGGACTAATGGCAGTGGTCGGCAAACTGCGGCTCGTGAGCCACATGCAGCTCTTTGGCCCCTTGAGTGTGGCTCTTCCACAAAATACTGACTTCTGCGCATGGGCCACGAGTTTCAATCGCACTGTACGTGCGTGCCCGCACGTGGTATTTGTGGAAGAGCCACATTCAAGGGGCCAAAGAGCCACATGTGGCTCACGAGCCGCAGTTTACAGACCACGCGACTAACCGATGGGATGGGAAGTGAGCGCTTAGCCCCAGGCCTGGCCCATGAGCTCCCATGCCTGACTGACCACGGGGTTCTCCGCAGGGAGCCTGTCTCAGGCTCCTGGTCTTCAGGATCCTCTGGGGGAAAAGCTGGCCCAAGATGTCCTGAGCAGGACTCGCTGGAAGATTCTTCCTAGGCCCGGGGCTGGTTCATCCATTTGTGTGTTCATCTGCTCTGTGGTGGACACTGCCAGGCCCCGTGGGCTCACAGCTGGCAGTGGGGCTTCTGCCTGGGTTTGCTGGAGGGACAGGCTGTGGGGACCCAGAGGGGCTCTAACACAGGGGGCCTGCCCTGTGTGGGACAGGGCCCAGGAGGCTGAGGCCCAGAGAGGGCAGGCGCTTTTCCCAGGTCACCCAGCAGGTCGTTGGCATGCTGCCTGGTTCTCTTCCTGACTCCCTGGGTCTGAGCCCTCCCTGGGGTGGGGTCCTTGTGGCCCTTGTGGGCTTCCATAGACTGTTACGGGGGCCGGGGCTGGGGAGGACACGGGGGAGGCGCGGCACTTACTCTGCTTGTCCCCTGGCCCAGTTCCCCCCACCTTCAGGCAGGCTCTCGGCGGCCCCCAGGATGGGTTCCCGGTGAGGGCAGGGGACAAGGCCGTTCTGAGCTGTGAGACAGACTCGCTCCCTGAGCCAGCCGTGACCTGGTACAAAGATGGGCAGCCCCTGGTCCTGGCGCCGCGGACCCAGACTCTGCAGGGTGGGCAGAAGCTGGCGATCCTGGACACCCAGGTGAGCGACCCGGGGGTATGGGCAGTCGTGGGCGGCCATACAGTGCCACCTCCTGGTCCTGGCGGGGGGCTGGGTGGCAGGACGTGGGGGCTGCTGCCTCCTCAGCCTGCAAGACCCCAAACCAAGTTGATTGGCAGCCTCTGGGTCTGGGGAGTGGGAAGAGTGCAGGGCTCCACAGGAGCTCGCAGAATGACCTTGAGCAGGTCCCTTCTCCGCCGCCTGCCTCAGTTTCCCCAGGATCTGGAAGCTTTTTCCAGGCCCTTCACGTTCTAACTTCCTGGGAGTCAGTTCTGCCCACCCCCTCTGGTGTTGGCTGCTCCTGGGCTCCTCCCTCCTGCTCAGCCCCATCCCACAGCGAGGGGGCCTTTTCCACCAGGCTTGGCTGCACGCAGGCCCGGGAAGGGGTGGGGGTCTGGAGCCTGTCTTTCGCCTTACGGGGGCTCTCTTGCTTCTTGAGGCTCTTGGGAAAAGTCAGAGGGTCAGGTCTCCCCTTGACTTCCCAAGCAGGACCAGCATATCTGGGGAGTCCCTGCCCTGCAGGTTCTGGGACCTGGATGTTTTGGGGGAGCCAGAGGAACCCAGCCCCATGCACACTGTGTGCTCTCCGTCCCAGGTGTCAGACAAAGGTGTGTACAGCTGTAAGGTCAACAACACGGCTGGAGAGGCCATGCGGACATTCGTCCTCACCGTCCAGGGTAAGCTGGGACCCGTCTGCGAGCGATTTCATGGGATCCTTAGCAATACACAGGCTGCTGGGGATGGGAAGGGCAGCAGCTGGAAAGAGGTGGGGCTGCCCAGTGTTGAGGGAACAAGACCTGGAATTGAAAAGAGGAGGATCAGAATGGGGCTTACCTCTCTCATCTATAAACCCAGACGTGAGTGGGGGTAGCTGGGTTCCATGTGGAAATTTAGAGGCCCAGGATCCTTCCATCGTGTTGCTCTCCTGTCCCTAGGGTGTTATCCCTGTCCATGTGGTTGAAATTGGGACACAGTGTATCTTGTCCTAGCCCACAGGAAGCAGAAAAGAGCAGAAGTAGAATTGTTCCCTCTGCTTGCATTCTATTTGGTGAGAACTTAGGCAGCTGGCCACAGCAGGCTGCAAGGGAGGCTGGGAAATGTAGTTTCCACTTGAGCAACCATGTGCTCACTACAATTGCTGTGCAAGATGGAGAAGACAGGTTGGGCAGACACCAGCTATTCTCCGCAAATAGCCAAGCAGTAGCGTCCCCACCAGGGGAGTAGTGGGGAGATCCAACCCTGAGCCATATTGAATGCCATTATTATAAACTATTGATACCATGCCTGCTGCTCAAAGCTCACGCCCCTTCACCTGATGGCTACCTTGGTGAATGGTGGGCAGGGGGCGATGTCTGGTCCCTGAGGGCAATGGCATTTCACCCTCAGCACAGCTGTCTCTGTTCCAGTGGTGGTGGCGGCTGCCTGGGGTACGTGACTTCCTCCTGGCTGAGCAGGAGAGTGTAGGGATTGATTAATGATGTCTGTCCTGGCATAAGCTAGAACTGCTGAGCCATGAGCCATGCACTTACCATCCTTGGGCTAAGCAGACCCTTCCTGGACTCTGCTCTGTAGATGTTTTGGACCAGCCAGCTGCGGGTTCCACTTGTGAATAAACCAGCGCACATCCCCATCAATGGCAAAGCCTAACATACCAACTCCCGGCCGTGGGCAGGGCTTTCTCAAACATCTGAGAGGAAGGGAGGGAGGGCAGAGCCTTAAGACTCTGGGCATCTGGCCTTTCTCCTGCAGTGCCCCCAACGTTTGAGAACCCCAAGACGGAGACAGTGAGCCAGGTGGCTGGGAGCCCCCTGGTGCTGACCTGTGATGTCACCGGGGTCCCTGCCCCCAGGGTCACCTGGCTGAGGGACAGAATGCCCGTTGGTGAGTGCATCCGACTCTCCTTATCTTTTTAGTGCTAAGTACTCCTTTAATGAAATGACAGTGAAAGCCGGGGGAAACCCCATACCCACTACCCTTCGCTCCCCATTTCCCTCAGACCGCCCCCACCCCCACCCCCAGCTGTAGACAGCCACTTCCTGCTTCTGTCTGTGGGTCTGCCTCTTCTGTCCATTTCACACAAATGGAAGCACACAGTGTGTGGCCTTTCGTGACTGGCTTCCTCCACTCAGCGTCGTGGGTTCAAGGTTCATTTGTGTTGTAGTGTGGGTCAGTTCTTCATTCTTTAAGTGAAATTCTGTTCTCCCTCCTTTTTTATGAATGACTATTACGTTGGCATGTCCCGTTTTCTCTGTCCATGCGGCCGCTGGTGGACCGGGTGTTGCCACCTTTGGCTGTGATGACGCGTGTGCTGTGAGCATCCGTGCACGCGTGTTTGGGCGGCACGCACCTTCCTCCCTCGGGTTTCCGCCTGGGCGCGGGATTGCCTGGGCCCTGTTCTCTCTGACCTCCAGCGCTTGGCAACGCCGTTTCCTCCCTGAAACACCCACCCCGACTCCCCTGCCCACCTCCACTGTCGCCTGGCTGGTTCTTACTCACCTTCACGTCTCAGCTGAGACACCTCCTCCAGAAGGCCTGCCTGATTGCTCCTGGCTCCACCCGGGATGGTGCCTGTGTCCCGTCTCTGATGCCCTGAGCACTCCTTGAGGACAGGGACTGGTTGTGCATCTTCCATTCCCAAGCTCACAGTCGGACATGCAGTAGTTGCTCAATTTTGTGCTGAAGGGCTGGCCGGACAGATGATCTTGGGCAGGCGCAGTTAGAAGAGGCTTCAGGGCAGAGGCGCAGCTGGAGAGAGTGAAGGGGCAGCCTATTAAGATGGAGGTGGGCGTGCAGCCTGAGCTGGGGACCAGGGAAGCCCCCAGCTGGCCTGCGTCGGGGCAGTGAGTGGCTGGTTCACCGTGATCAGAAGCCTGGCTCAGTGGGAGGGGCGGGTGGAGCTGGAGGGAAGGTGGGAGGTTAAGTGGGCCTGAGCCGTGACAGAAAGAGGACCAGCACCCGGCCAGTGTGGCTCAGTGTTGAGCACTGACCCTGAATCAAGAGGTCACAGTTCGATTGCTAGTCAGCGCACATGCCCCAGTTGCGGGCTCGATCCCCAGTGTGGGGCGTGCAGGAGGCAGCTGATCCATGGTTCTCTCTCATCACTGATGTTTCTCTCTCTCTCCCTTCCTCTCTAAAATCAATAAACATATATTTTTTTAAAAAGAAAGAACGAGGACCAAGTCCCAGACACTAAGGAAGTGGGGTCCCTTGGGAAGAACTGTCCCGGTGGGAGGCAGTCGGGAGGGGCTGTCAGGAACAGAACCAGGACCAGGCTGAGGAAAGTCATGAGGTGGATGGGGGGAGCCCTGCCTCTGCCTGGGCCTCAGTTTCCCCATGAACACAGGAAGCGGTGAGTGGCGCAAGGATTCCTGGGGTCTTTCCAGCTTTGTGTGTGTGTGTGTGGGGGGGGGTATGGACACCTCAGGAAGTCACATGACATTTGTGTCTGGGCCCAGCGGCAGCACCTGGGGTGGCGGGTCCGCGCAGGTGACAGCCCGGCCCGCCCGTCTGTCCCGCAGAGAGCAGCGTGGCGCACGGCGTGGTCTCCCGTGGGGGCCGCCTCCAGCTGAGTCGCCTGCAGCCGGCCCAGGCTGGCACCTATACGTGCGTGGCCGAGAACGCGCAGGCCGAGGCCCGCAAGGACTTCGCGGTGGCCGTGCTGGGTATGTGTCCACCCTGCACCCTGCCCCTGCCCTCCCCTCACGCTGCCCCTGCCGCGGCCCGGGCCTCACCACAGCCCCTGCCGCAGTGGCCCCCCGGATCCGGAGCGCGGGTGCCCCACAGGAGCACAGCGTCCTGGAGGGGCAGGAGGTGCGGCTGGACTGCGAAGCTGATGGGCAGCCACCGCCCGAGGTGGCCTGGCTGAAGGACGGCCGCCCACTGGGCCAGGGCGTGGGCCCCCACCTCCGGTAAGGCCTGGCCTGTGCCCTCCCCGCCCCAGCAGCAGGGGGCCACCCCTCACGCACCTGCTCCCGGCTCCCCCTCCCCGCACAGCTTCTACCTGGACAGCAGCTCCCTGGTGCTGAAGGGCCTGATGGCCTCGGACTCGGGCGCCTACACCTGCGTGGCCCACAACGCGGCCGGGGAGGACGCCCGGCTGCACACCGTGAGCGTGCTGGGTGAGCGGCGAGGGGCGACGAGAGGCGGGCGCCGTGGGGGCCTCCCCGGGCTCTGTCCAGGGCATCTGGAGGGTGGTGCGAGTGTAGGATTCGGGAGGCCTGGTTCAAGCCTCAGCCATGCCCACCTGTGAGCCCGGGCACGTGTGACCTCTCTGGGCCTCGGCCGCGTCCTCAGACCAGAGGCGCCACTGCAGCCAGGGGTCAGCGGGGGGCTGGGGGACAAAGGATGGTGAGAAGGGAGCCCAGGGCAGGGGGTGGGGTAAGACGGTGGCCCCCAAGCCATGCCCTCATTCCTGCCCCGGGTGGATGGGGCAAAAGTCTAGGCATTGTCGCCGCCTCCCAGACCCTCCTTGAGAGAAACCCCTGCCCTCCCCAGAGCCCCTCTGTAGACCCCTCACTGCCCCTTTTTTCTCTCCCCACCCCCAGTGCCTCCCGCCATGGAGCAGGGGACAGAGGGCGCAGGGCCCCTGGTGCACAGGGCCGGGGAGCTGGTGACCATGGCGTGCCCGGTCCGGGGCTCCCCGCCCATCCACATGAGCTGGCTCAAGGACGGCCTGCCCCTCCCGCTCTCCCAGCGCACCCACCTCCACGGCTCCGGCCGCATCCTCAGGTGAGGGAGCAGCTCCTGGCCGGCCGGCCGGTGGATCGCAGGCCCGACACCTGCCGGCAGCTGGGCCTTGTTCAGAGTGGGAGGCAGCAGCACGTACCAGTGAGAGCGTAGGAATCGCTCTTCAGGACGCACTGATTCAGGCAGGATCCCCGAGAGTGTTCTGTTAGGAGGCAAAGGCGATGGGTATTTCTGAGAAAGGGAAGGGGAACAGTACGCCATGGGGGGAAGGCGTCGCGATGGGCAACAGCGTAACACGGGGATGTCAACGCTAAACTGTTTTTACTTTCCAGCCCAATCGTCACATAACTGTTTTCTTATCTTCTGCAAACAGTGTTGCCCCAGGCCCAGTCCAGAGGTACCTTGCCCTGTTTAACACCCCAAAGATTTGAGACAGAAGACACGCAAGGAGCCAGTTTCTCTGGCACAGCCGCTCCGCTTGGCTCTGTCTTAAAGTGGCTCCTCTTATATTGTTGTTTACAGGCTTTATAGAAATTATATAAACATACAGTTTCATGAGGGGCAAAGTGAGAGGACCCCACCCCCAAATGAAACTCCAGAGATGAAAGGGCCTCTGTCCAGAGGCTCTCACAGCCCAACGGGGGAGGCACAGATCCAGGGCAGGACATCTGGTTGTGCCCGACCCAGCCTGGCCTGGGGTGGAGGAAATCAGGGAAGGCTTCCTGGAAGGAGGTGCATGAGCAAAGCCTTCGTGCATTCAGCAAGGCTTGCAGATGCTTGCTGTTCCAGGCATAGCTCTGGGCACTGAGATGTAGTGAGCAGGATAAAGGCCCTGCACCTGAGGTTTTGGAGGTGGAGGGAGATGGAAATCAAACATCCTATCTAATAATAGACAAACATGGTAATTGACCGTACCTTTGGCTCCCATTGGCTAATCAGCGTGATATGCAAATTAACTGCCAACAAAGATGGTGGCTAATTTGCATACTGCAGGCAGGGCGGGACAGCGCCATCCTGCCTGCCCCGCCACCATCTGGGCCTGCTATTTGCAACCCGGGGTGGTGGGGCGGGACAGCGCCATCCTGCCTGCCCTGCCACCATCCGGGCCTGCTATCTGTGACCCAGGATGGCCGGGCAGTGCAGCAGCGGTTGGCCGGCCCGCCCGGGTGTCCTGTGTGTGACCCGCCCTGGGGTGGCGCCCCAACCCCCGGATCGGCCCTGCTGTGTGCACGACCCAGGGAGCGGGGCAGTCACCGATGGATTGGGCCTGGCATCTCCCACCCGGGGAGCGGGCCTAAGCCAGCAGGTGGTCATCCCCAGAGGGGTCCCAGACTGCAAGAGGGCACAGGCCGGGCTGAGGGACCCCCCCCCCTCCCCTAGTGCACAAATTTTTGTGCACCGGGCCTCTAGTATAAAAATGAAATCTCACAAGGGACATGTACTCTGAACAATAAGGTGAGGATGGGAGGTGTCACGGAGGGTGCTGTTTTAGGGGGTCAGTGAAAGGCACTCAGATAGCGTGCCACTGGAGCAGAGACCAAAGGAAGTGAGAAGGCAAGGCGAGAGGACCTGTGGGGAAGAGCGTCCAGGCAGAGGGAACAGCATGTGCCTGTGTATTCCAGGCACAGAGGGGAGGGGTGCGGGGGAGGGAGGTCAGATGACCTGGGATCTGCGGGTCCTTAGGAAGATGTGTCTTCCTGCGGAGAGGGAATGCCGAGAGGCAGCGAAGCATCATGATGTAACGTCCTTTCTTGTGGAAAAATGCACCTGATAGGAAACTTGGCCTTTGACCATTTTAAGTCTGTCATTGAGTGTGCGGTTTTACCCGTATTGAAGTACGGAGTGGCATGCAGGGCATTCACACTGTCGTGCCACCATCACCTCCATCCATCTCCAGAACTTCCTCCTCTTCCCAAACGGAAACTCTGTCCCCATGAAGCAGTCACTCCCATCCCGCCCCCCCCCCCCCACCCCGGTCCCTGGCTCCCACCGTCTCCTTCCTCTCTCTCTGGATTTGGCTCCTCCAGGCCCCTCCCATGAGTGGAGTCAGACAGTATTTGTCTCTGTGTCTGGCTCATGTCACTCAGCATCGTGCACCCCCACCCGGCTGCACATCGCGATACCCCAGTAGCTGGTGTCAGGATCCCTTCCTGTAAGGCTGAGGGACGCTCACTGGGGGGATGGACCACATTTCGCTCCTCCATCACCTCTCGGTGGACACTTGGGTTGCTCCCACCTTGGCTGCTGTGAGTGATGCTGCCGTGAGCACAGGTGTACAAGTATCTCTTCGAGTCTTCGTGTCAGTTCTTAAGGGTGATGACTTGGGTTTTTACACGGTCCTTCTGGCTGCTGTGTGGACAGCAGGCTGTGGGGTCAAGGGCAGAGCAGGGAGGCGAGACCCAGTGCGGCCTGGACCAGAGCCTGCGGTGAGGCGGGCAGAGGTGAGCGACAGGGAGGAGTGGACTTGATCCAAGGCTCCCATCGGGGACCCTGTGCTCTGAGATGGGCCCGCTGTGGAGGGACAGGTGAGGGGAGAGAGACCCGAGTCCTGCTGGAACATGGCGGGTTTGGGAGGCTCTCGGGCGTCCGGCAGGATGGTGACCAGGCGTTTGTGGAGAGAGCCGTGTGGGACTGTCGGCAGCAGGTGGTGTTGGGAGCCAGGACTGGCTGCGGCCCCGGGGCGAGGGTGGACTGCACCCCCGGCCACCAGGGTGAGCAGTGGCTGGAGGAGTGGGTGAGGTGAAAGAGGGCTCGACAGAAAGTGGGGGACAGACAGTGGATGACTGGTGAGTCCTGAAGATGAGGAATTATCTAGAAGAGAGGGGGTGGAGGAGTCCCGGCTGGCGTGGCTCAGTGGTGGAGCGTAGACCTATGAACAAGGAGGTCCCGGTTCCATTCCCGGTCAGGGCACATGCCCGGGTTGTGGGCTCGATCCCCAGTGTAGGGCATGTAGGAGGCAGTTGATCACTGAGTCTCTCTCATCACTGATGTTTCTCTCTCCTCCCTTCTTCTCTGAAATCAATAAAAATATATTTTTTTTAAAAGAAAGAAAAGGGGTTGGGGAGGCAGGCCGTCCTAGGAGGGCAGTGGGCTCCGGAGGGGGAGGAGGCAGCCGGCTGTGGAATGAGATGGTGGAGGTGGCATCAGGGCCAGGCCGGGGCGTCTGGGCCTCTATTCTGAGAGCACAGGGAGCCAGGAAAGGCGTTGAAACAAAGGCTGGACCTGCTCAAGTTTGTGTCTCAGAGCCGCCCTTTTGACTGGCAAGCCTTTGGGAGGCAGAATGAGAATGGGGGAGGGGAGGGACCTTTGCACTGAGCCCCCCTTCTCTGTCCTCTCTCCCCCTTTTCTCGAGGGGCTCAGGATTTCCCGGGTGCAGTTGGCAGATGCCGGCGTCTTCACCTGTGTGGCTGCAAGCCCCGCCGGCGTGGCCGACAGGAACTTCACCTTGCAGGTGCACGGTATGGAGCAGCGGCGTGCCCTGGTCTGTCCTCGGCCTTGGGGTGTAAGAATGAAGGCCTGTGTGAGCAAACATGGCGACTCGGTCTGATCTGTTCACCTCCCGAGTAATCGCTGGACACCGTGGGGTGCCAGGAACTTGCCAGGCACTGGGGTACAGCAGTGAGCAGAGGTGGCCACTGCCACTAGGCGGGCAGGGCAGGACACCGCTCTGTAAAGAGGCGACCACAATCCCAGGGGACTGGTGCTGCAAGGGGAAGGTCAGGGCGCTGGGGGAGCACAGAGCGGGCGCTGCACCCGGCCTCAGGCATTCCAGGAAGGCTGCCTGGAGGAGGTGAGGCCTAAGGCGAGGACTGGAGAGGAGAAGGGATTGTCCAGAGCGATGGTCCAGGGGAGGGCCACCTGGCACAGGGTGAAATAACGCGTGCCCACCCTCTGCCCTGCACAGTGCCCCCTGTCCTGGAGCCAGCGGAGTTCCAGAACAATGTGGCAGTGGTCCGTGGCTCCCCGGTGGTCCTCCCCTGTGAAGCCCACGGCAGCCCCCTGCCCCTAGTGTCATGGATGAAGGACGGGGAGCCCCTGTTCCTCCAGAGTCTTGAACAGGGGCCGGGCCTGCAGCTGGAGACGGCGGGAGCTGAGGACTCGGGGACCTACTCCTGCGTGGCCATGAGCGAGGCGGGGGAGGCACGGAGGCATTTCCAGCTGACGGTGATGGGTGGGTCATCTGCCCCCAGCGCCAGCATCCCTGGGCCAGGGAGGGGCGGGCGGGCCTGGGGGGGTGGAGGGGGTGCTGGAGGAGGAGGAGAGGGAGCCGAGTGCCCCAGGGGCCTGGAGCAGGGCTTGGGGAACAGGCAGCGGGGATGCTGCATTCTCCTGGGGCTGCCTCCTCAGTCCTGTCCCCAAACCATGTAAAGCAGAGGCAAGAGCCGCTGAAACCTGGGCGGGAGTGGAGTCCTACGTCTCAAGCACAGGGGTTCTCCAGTGCCGCTGTGTGTTAGAAACACGTGTGCCCATTGTGCCTGCTCCACAGTGTGTCCTTGTTAGTGTTAAAGCAGGAGGAGCTGTCCCAGGCAGATGGGCCATGGTTTCTCCGTTCTTAGGGCCTCCCGCACACCCCGCCTGCCTGTTTATGGCTCTGCCTGCTCTGTCCACTGCCAGCACCTGGACGGTAGGGGCGGGGGAAGCACCCTGGCTCCCACTTCTCCAACAAGGGCCCCACCGCTGATGCAGGCATGGCGTTTCACAGATCCCCCCCACATCGAGGACTCGGGCCAGCCCGCAGAACTGTCGCTGACCCCTGGTGCCCCCTTGGAGCTTCGCTGTGATGCCCGGGGCACCCCCTTGCCCAACATCACCTGGCATAAGGATGGGCAGGCCCTGAACAGCCAGGAGGACAGCAGAGGGACTGGGCAGCGGCTCCGGGTGGAGGCTGTGCAGGTGCTGCTGTCTTGCCTGCTGTTGGGGGAGGGGGAGAGAGGGTCACAGCAGCATCTGGCAAGGTTTGGCTGAGCTCCTCCTCTGTGTGGGGTAAGGATGTGGAGATGACCCACCTGGGCCATGCCCTCAGGAGCTCCCATCCTGATCAGAGCCAAGGCTGATGCAGAAACCATATAACCAGAGGAGGGCTGGTGCAGTCAGGGGGGACTTCTTGGAGGAGGCAGGCTTTGCCCTAGCCCAAAGCAAGGGGGAGATGGAGAGAGAGAAGAAGCATCCCAGGGAGGGGAATAGGTGGGTTGGAAAGTTGGGTGGCAAGCTCAGCGGGGTCCTTAGTTGTAAAGGCAGGAGTCCAGGAGGTAGGCAGCCTGAGGCCAGGGATGGCTGCTTACCCTGCTCTGTCCCCAGGTGGGCGATGATGGGCTGTACACTTGCCTGGCCCACAACCCTGCTGGCGAAATCGAGAAGAGCTTCCGGGTCAGGGTTCAAGGTAGGGGTGTCAGGGGCGGGCAGGAGAGGGAGGCAGGATGGGCCCTGCAGGGGAAGGTCCATCGCTCATGCTCTCTCTTTGCCCCCAGCCCCTCCAAACGTTATTGGGCCCCGAGGCCCCCGCTCTGTGGTTGGCCTGGCCCCGGGGCAGCTGGTTCTGGAGTGCTCCGTGGAGGCGGATCCCGCCCCCGAGATTGAGTGGCACCGAGATGGCATCCTGCTACAGGTGGGTGCCAGGCTGGGGGCCCAGGGACCCCTCCTTCTGTCCCGCTCAGGCCCAGACCCTGACCTGCCTGCACCAGCACTTGGCACACCTGCCCTGCTGCTGTTCTCCCCGCTGCTATTGTCCCCACATAGTGGATGGGGACCCTGAGGCAAGGCTCGGGTGTGGGCGCAGGGCTTCTGATGACTCCCGTGTTCTTCCCATTGCAGCTTTGAGCGACACTGAGTGCTGTGTGCCCCGGGCCAGTTACTGAGCTTCTCTGGGCTCACCCCTGAAACGGGGGGCTCGCTGCTGGGCACCCAAGGAGTGTAGTCCTGGTGGAAGGTCCCACTCCTGTATGAGCATAAGCCCCCCCGCACCCTCCCAGTGGGCATCAGGCCAGGGCTACAGGCCAGCCCACAATGGCCGAGGCCACTGTCCGCCACCCGCCCCCCCCATTCCTGGATCCTCTCTGGCTGGTGCCTGGGGACATGCCCGGTCCAGCCCAGCACTGACCAGGGTCTCTCCACCCCGGGGGGTCTACAGGCAGACGCCCACACCCAGTTCCCAGAGCAGGGCCGGTTCCTCCAGCTGCAGGCCCTGAGCACGGCCGACAGCGGCAACTACAGCTGCACAGCCCGCAACGCCGCGGGCAGCACCAGCGTGGCCTTCCACGTGGAGATCCATAGTGAGTGGGCCTGCCCCACCCACCCTGCCCACCCCCCTCCGCGTCGCTGGCTCCCGGAACCCGCCCCCTCTGTGCCCCTCCTCCAGCGGTGCCCTCCATCCAGCCGGGACCACCAGTGGTGAACGCCTCCGTGAACCAGACCGTCCTGCTGCCCTGCCAGGCGGAGGGGGCCCCGCCACCCCTCATGAGCTGGCGGAAGGACGGGGCCCCCCTGGACCTTGGGAGCCCCAGGTGAGAGTTGGAAGGGGAAGGTCTCAGGTACCGCTTTGCAGGTCATAAACAGAAACCCACCTGCACGGTTAGAGCAGAAGGTGACTGTGTATCGTTGGGCCACGGGTGTGCTCAGAACCCAAGGATAGGCATGCCTGTTTGTCAAGAGCGTCTCGAACCCCTGGTGGCTGTCTGTCTGTCTGTCTGTGTGGTTTGATCCTTTGGTGCTCATCTCTATTTCTGTGGGTGAGGGCCGGGGGGGCTTCCTGCCCCTCTCTCCCTCTCTCTCTCTCTCTCTCTCTCTCTCTTTCTCATAATCAATTTTTTCTGCACCTTCTTTCACAGAGATGGCTCCCTGTGGCCCCCAGGTTAGAGTCCTCAGTTCACACAACCTGCAGAGCCTAGAGAGCTGTCTGGGAGCCCCAGTTCCAAATTCCCAGGGCAGGGAATTCCATTGGCTCAGCCTGAGTGACGTGTTCCTCCTCAATCCAATCAGCTGGGGCTGGGGGCGGGGTAACACAGAACTGACATGACCCCTTTCGAAGGGGCCGTTCTTAGATCTAGAGGCCATTCTCAGACAGGTGGGTGCCTCTGCCTGCTGACTCTCGGGGAGAGGCGAGGCCCAGGTAGAAACCCAGGAGGCCCAAAGCAGCCTCTTGCCCTTCCTGATGCTGGGTTGGGGGGTGCACAGCTGTGGCCCCGCTAACCTCAGCCTCACAGATGCGGGACTCGGGGTTGGGTCTCCATGGCAACCCCTCCCTCCGGTTCCAGATTGCAGGTTCTGCCCGAGGGTTCCCTGAGGATCCAGCCAGTCCTTGCCCAGGACTCTGGCCACTACCTCTGCCTGGCGTCCAACTCTGCGGGCTCCGATCGGCAGGCCCGTGACCTCCGGGTCTTCGGTAGGTGGACAGGGGAAGGTGTGTTCCTTGCCTTCAGCATCCACCCTGTGATTGGAACCGGTCCTGCTTAGTGTCTGGGTCATTCTAGCGTCAGCAGCCAACAGCAATGGTCTCCAAATGTTTCTGACCACGAAGCTCATTAGTAAAATATGCTCAAAAGATGGATTTTTATACATATGTTACATACACTCACTATTATGCTATTATTTTTATTGATTTCAGAGAGGAAGGGAAAGGGAGAGAGAGAGATAGAAATATCAGTGATGACAGGGAATCATTGATCGGCTGCCTCCTGCATGCCCCACAATGGGGATCGAGCCCGCAACCCGGGCACATGCCCTTGACCAGGAATCGAACCGTGATCTCCTAGTTCATAGGCCGACGCTCAACCACTGAGCCACTGGGCTATGCTATTACACTGAGCGTGATAAAACACACAAGATATAAAACATTTGCAAGGATAAGACTCAGAATCGCCGAACCGGGCACTCTGGCCTGCTTTCCCACTCCAACCCATCCCCTTGGAGGCCGTGTGCGGGGGCCCCGGCCTGGGCCAGGCTGGTGGGGGCTGTGACAGCCTGGAGGTCTCTTCCAGGACAGGCAGTTAGGGGTCGCCAGCCTCTGGGGTGAGCAAAGGCCCATCACCCAAACTTTGGGAGCCCGTGGGAGTTCCCCAAGGGGCTTTCCTTCCGCCTCCTCTCCCTGCTTCCTGGGGGGTTGAGGTGGTGGGGTCCCCGGGCCTCCCCCGTCCCGCACACGGTCTCCTGACACTGCTCTCTCCCCAGAGCCTCCCGCCATCGCCCCCAGCCCCTCCAACCTGACCCTGACAGCCCACACCCCCGCCTCGCTGCCCTGCGAGGCCAGGGGCTCCCCCAAGCCCCTCGTGGCCTGGTGGAAGGACGGACAGAAGCTGGACTTCCGCCTGCAGCAGGGCGCCTACCGGTACTGAGCGTCCTTCTGGGAGCACCTGAGCCGCTCGGGGTGGGGAAGGGCATGCCCATCTCAGAGGGCCGCCGGGTCAGGGACGTGCTCCGGGCTCAGCAAAGCCACCACCATCCTCGGGGGGGGGGGGGGGGGTCTTGGGGGGAGGGGAGCCTTCGCAATGAGATGTCCAGCAGGGCGTGGGGGCATTTGAGACACAGCCAAGCAGAAAACACGCGACCTTTAAAGCCATGACAGTCACAGCTTAGACACATTCCTGAAGCCCGAGTTCATGCTGGTGAGCCGGACCCAGGGTCCCCGCTGGAGCCTGGGTCTCCCCGCTTCTCGAATGTGGCTGGTGCGGGAGTGGTCGCTGGGGGCGTGGAAGGGGCCAGCTCACCAGGTCACTGGCCAGGCGTTCTCTGTGCCCGGTGCCAGTCACCGCGGAGGCCTCCGCTCGGCAGGTCTCAGGAGACACGGCGGGACGACCGGGGGGGGGGGGGGGGGGGGGGGCGGCTGCCGTTAGAGAAGCTGTCGCCACGGGCAGGCAGCATGGAGGTTATAGAGGAACAAGGATGAAAGCGGAAACGGCCCCCTGACTAGGCCTTTGGAGGTGGAAACTTCTCAGAGAAACTTCTAGAACCAGGGCTAGGGGCCAGAGACAGGAAAGGAAAATAGTCATGAGACACCCCCCCCCCCACCCCCCACCCCCCTACACACCCCTCAACCTTCCAGATTCGCGGGACAGGGAGACCATGGCTGGTTCGTCTCAGGTCAGCCAGGCCTGTCACTCAGCAGCCAACCGTCTGTCTGTCCGTCCGTCCCAGGCTCCTGCCCTCCAATGCCCTACTCCTCGCAGCCCCCGGCCCCCAGGACGCAGCCCAGTTTGAGTGTGTGGTGAGCAATGAGGTGGGAGAGGCCCGCAAGCGGTACCAGGTGACCATCCACGGTGAGTTGAGATGGGGGCACGGGCCACGGGCCACCTCCTCCAGGAGGCCCTCCCTGATCCCACCCTGCCTACACTGACATAACCCCAGCTCCAGCACAATCCCTGGCACGTTTGAGCTCGCAGGAGACACCCCTTCTGATCCAAAATGTTCTAAACCCAAATCTTACCTCGTCAGCACCTTGGTTAAAATCCCCCCTCCACTGCCCCCTGTCCTCATAGAATTCGAGGTGTCACCCTGGCCCTCGAGGCCCACTGACTCCTCCCCAGGTTAAGCTCGCCCCATGGCCTGCCTCCTTCTGGGACCCAGTCTGCTGGGTGGCTTTCTGTTCCTCACCCCTGGGCCTTCACACATGCTGTTCCCTCTGCCGTGAGCACTGTTCCCTTCGCCCTTCACCCAGCGGACACCTGCCGCTCCAGGCTCAGGTTAAATGCCACGCCCCCTGCTCTGAGCTGCCACCAGCTCCCGCTCCCCGAGGTGCCTGGCTGGTGTCTCTACAGAAAGCAGTTCATAACCATCCCTGTGCCTGTCGAAACATTGGTCCTGAGTGAGCGAGTGGGACCCCCCTCTGCTGCCCTCCCTCCGTGGCCCTTCGTCACTCATCTCACCATGGGTCCTAGTCTCCGCTCATGGCTTCCCTCCACCTGGCCTCGCCCTGTGCTCCCCGGGACCGCGGCGGGGCCTCACGCCTGCGCTTGGGTTTCAGTGCCCCCCACCATCGCCGACGACCAGACGGACTTCACTGTGACCCAGATGGCCCCTGTGGTCCTCACGTGCCACAGCTCCGGCGTGCCCGCCCCCACGGTGTCCTGGAGCAAGGCAGGCCTCCCTCTGGGGGCCCGGGGGAGTGGCTATCGTGTCTCGCCTTCGGGTAAGCAAGGGGGACCCCAGGGAAGCTGCTGCTGAGGGGAGGCAGGGACCTGGGCAGAGAGGGTGATAGCAGCCCCTGGGGCCGTGTGCGGCGGCCTGGCTCTGCCATTCCCTTGCTGTGTGACCTGGGAGAAACCCCTGGCCCTCTCTGGGCCTCAGTCTCCCATTCTGCACACTAGGGTGCTGCTGTCCTTCCGTGACTCTCTGATGACAGTTGGCAAACGAGTGCTGCTTCATGGCAAAGCGACGTCACCCGTAGCGACGAGCGTTTGCGCGCAGCCAGCTTGATCTCCTTAGCGAGCGTGTAAACAGACGAGGCATGCAGCCCACTGGCCACGCGTTTGACATGCTTGCCTTAGAGCGCTGTCCTTTATGCAGAAATTGTGCTTCTCTTAGCTTTTCTTTCTTCTATGGCAGTGGTTCTCAACCTTCCTAATGCTGCAACCCTTTAATACAGTTCCTCATGTTGTGGTGACCCCCAACCATAACATTATTTTCATTGCTACTTCATAACTGTAAATATCTGCTATGCAGGATGTATTTTCATTGTTACAAATTGAACATAATGAAAGCACAGTGATTAATCACAAAAACAATATGTAATTATATATGTGTTTTTCCGATGGTCTTAGGCGACCCCTGTGAAAGGGTCGTTCGACCCCCAGGTTGAGAACCGCTGTTCTATGGAATTAGGGTGATTGCAGATGGTGACTTATAAAATATCTATTTATCAAAAAAGAAAAGTTGGCAACTTTATGGGGATTGAAGTGAAATGCACTTGCTGGTTAGTTGGTGAAATCCTCGAGTCAGAACCGCTGGCCGGGTCTGTGGCTTCTAAGCTCTCCCGGAGTCCCAGAGGCCCCCTCAGGCCGCGTCACGGGAAGCCGGCCTGTGGGACAGCCCTGGTGCCTGGGGGCGGGGCCGGGGGAGCTGGGCGTCCTCTCCTCCCCCCCCCCCCCCCGCAGGCTCTTAGGGCTCATGGGACAGTTAGAAACCACTTCACGTAACTGCTCAGGGGCAGCCTGCGGTCTCGAGAGGGAGGACAGGGGAAGCGGCAATCCAGGACACTTCCTGGAGGAGGCAAGTGCTAGGGCCTGGGGAGCTGTGGGTGGCCAGGGATTCCAGGTGGGCAGTGGCCAACCCTGGGACATCACAGCCAGAGGGTCTAGAGCACATCCCGATGCCTCATTGCACATGTGGGGAAACTGAGGCCCTGAGAGGGGAAGGGACTTGCCCACAGCTAGGCTTTGGGCAGGAGCAGAGGCAGGCCTGGACCCAGGTGCCCCAGGCTGCTTACCTGTGGGCAGGGAGGCAGGCCGACTGGCCGGGACCAGAGACACCGGGTCTGGGTATGGAAGACGGGCTGCCTCCGTCCCTGAGGACTTGTTTCCAGAACCCTCACCTCTGCGTGCCCCCTTCCACCTCCAGGCGCCCTGGAGATCGGGCAGGCCCTCCCCGTCCACGCCGGCCGCTACACCTGCACGGCCCAGAACTCCGCAGGCGTGGCCCGCAAGCACGTAGCCCTGACCGTGCAAGGTAGGGTGCCCGGTCCTTCGGCTCAGACAGCTGTAGCCCTGGGGGCAGGTAAAGAGCGAGAAGCAGCTGGGGCTAGGGGCGGGGTGGGGGGGGCAGGGAATGAGGACCCAGGTCCGATGCCCATTCCTGCCTGTGTTCTCATTCCTGGTGGGACTCTGGGAGGAAATCAGCCCTCCCATGTCTTCCGTGCCCCAGTTTCCGGAACCTCCCGTCCTTTCTGGAGTCCTCTCTCTCCAGTGCTCGGGGCCCCTGGACGGAGGCCTGGGTGTGAAGGGTCCCCAGCCCTGTTCCCTTTCAGCCTCGCCCGTGGTGAAGCCACTGCCCAGCGCGGTCCGGGCCCTGGTGGAGGAGGAGGTGCTGCTGCCTTGCGTGGCCTGGGGTGTCCCCCGGCCCAGCATCGCCTGGCAGAAGGAGGGGCTCAGCATCCCTGAGGGTGAGTCTGCACTGAGCCCAGAGCCTTAGGGAGGAGGGCAGAAGGGGCTGGGGTCCTCCTCCCCCCGGGCTTTCTGCAGGCCTGCCCACCCCCCTTCACCTCCTGCACCCACAGCCCGAGACTGGGCCTGAGCGCTCGGTGGCTGGGCTGGAGGTCGGAGAGGGGACAGCCTGGCTGGGCTCTGAGTCCAGCTTCCACACTCCCTCTGTCCCCACATCACCCCGTGACCGCGGTGTGTCACCTGCTGCCTGACCTGACGGAACAGCCCAGGCCACCCTCCTGCCCTTCTCAGGGGTCCTTCGGCCCCAGCCCCAGCCAGTTTCTTCCCACCCAATCCAGGAAAGGGTACCCAGGTCCTACCCAGCGGACAGCTGCGGATCACCCACGCCCGCCCAGAGGACGCCGGGAACTACTTTTGCATCGCCCAGAACAGCGCGGGCAGTGCCGTGGGCAGAACTCGGCTGGTGGTGCAAGGTGGGCCCGGGGAGCGGCTTTGAGGCTCCCAAGGGCCCCTCGCTTCTCCACTGGCTCTGATCCCGGGGGGAGAGGGAGAGGGGTTATCCCCGTGTCTTCTCCGGGGGCACCCCAGCACCGTCTGTGGGTCTAGAAGGAATTCGGAGAAAATGTTGCGCCCAGGTCTGACTTCAGATGGTAACTCGGTGCCCCTGACTCCCAGCCTCTGATGGGACACGAATCTCGTCAGCCCTCGTTCGTTCCTGTAGCAACAGTCACTTCTGTCCCTTCTCCTGCACCAGCGCCGTTGCACGTGTGCTCGCCTTAGTCTGATGATGGTGGTCTCCAGAGATAGAGGGGGCATCGCTGGTCCCACATCCGCACGGCAGCCGGGACTGTTCGGTGTGGGCCGGGCCTGCTGTAACCCAGCGCCAGCTCTGGGGGCGGCTTGGGGGCTGTCCCTGTGGGCGGCTGTGCACAGCCGGGGTCGGACGTTGGCTGGGAGCCCCGAGGGGCGCCTGGCTGCAGGCCTCCTCCCTAGCCTCCTTGCCCAGTGCACTCCTCTTCCCTGCGCCTCAGAGCATCACTGCGGTCACTAGAGGGCCAGGCACCACGCCTGCCGGGCCAGTGACCTGCCCCCTGCCCCCTGCCCCCGAGTAGCTCCTCCCCAGGGAGGAAGGCGCCGGCAGAAGGGACCTGCGCCCACGTGCAGCCTGGCCAGGGAGGCCTCTGTCCGGAAGCTGTAGTCACTGCATGTGTGTGAGTGTGGTATATGCGCACGTGCATGTGTGTGCAAGGAGGCCACCCTCTCACAGCTCTTCTGAAAACTCGAGCCCCCAATTGTCCAGACCATGGGCCATGGTCTGTGCCCAGAGAGTTGGTGGAAGCAGCAGATGGGGGTGAAAGAAGGGACTGAGGGGTGTGCCAAGGGCCCGGGGGCAGGAGCAGCCCACCCTCACCCAGCCCAGTCCCCGAGTGGGCCTGCCTGTCCCCACAGTTCCTCCCGTGATCGAGACCGGCCTCCCCGACCTGGCCACCACCGAAGGCTCCCACGCCCTCCTGCCCTGCACCGCCCGGGGCAGCCCCGAGCCGGACATCACCTGGGAAAAGGACGGCCAGCCTGTGTCCGGAGCTGAGGGCAAGTTCAGCATCCAGCCATCCGGGCAGCTGCTGGTGAGGAACTCAGAGGTGAGACTCCGGCCTGGCGCACAGAGGGGAGCCATGGCAACAAGGGGAGCGGTGAGCATCGGCTGCACCCCCAGCTCGTCATGCCGAGCGCTGTGCAGTCTCAGCCCAGGATCCTGGGAAGATAGGTGTCGCCGTCCCCGGGAGCCGATGAAGACACTGAGGCTCTGAGTGTCCCCAGGTCACGCTGTTCCCAAGCAGAACCACGGTTTGAACGTGGACCCCCTGACGAGCTCCCGGGGAGGGAGGGAGCCCGGACGGGGGCAGGGTACGGCCATGGCTCTGCGTCCCCAGCCTGCGCCTGGTTGTCCTCAGCCTCCTGTTGATGTTGACCGGGGGTGGGGACCCCGCCCGGGTGGGGACCCCGCCCCCTTCCCCATCGGCACTTCTCGGATTCTGTAATTACAAAACGGGCTGCTCTCCACATGTGCGGCTGCTCAGACACACCTGTGGGGGGAGGGGGCTCAGGGCACCACAGGCCCTGCCCCACGGGAGGCCGGGTGGTGCAGTGGTGAGGCGCCGGCCCTGCTTCCTCTTGGAGAAGTCGCCAAAAGCAGGAGCTTCCTAGGGACCGTGTTAGCATGGATGGCGCTGGTCCAGGGCACGTTCTGAGCACAGAGCTCTGCACGGAGTAGGCGCTCGGTGAATGGAAACTGCCGTGATGGCGCGGTCAGGGCTCGGAGGAGGAAGCTGCGGGGCCGCAGGGGTGCAGCGAGCCCTGTGCCAGCTGAGGGACCTCGGGCAGCTCGCCGCCTCTGGCTGGCTGCCCCGTGGGAACCTGCGGGGCCCAGGCAGTTCTCGCTGACCCCTCCCTTTGCCCACAGAGCCAGGATGCTGGTACCTACACCTGCACAGCCGAGAACCCCGTGGGCTGCGCCCGCCGCCGGGTGCACCTCACCATCCTGGCGCTGCCCGTCTTCACCACCCTGCCTGGGGACCGCAGCCTGCGCCCCGGGGACAGGCTGTGGCTTCGCTGTGCGGCCCGGGGCAGCCCTACGCCCCGCATTGGCTGGACCGTCAATGACCGGCCAGTCACAGGTCTGGGCCAGCGGCGGACTGGCGGGCAGCACGGGGCCCTGGGAGGCGGCGGAGGCCCAGCAGGGGAGCCCACGCTGGCAGGGAGGTAGAGGGTGTGAGTCGGTGCGGTGGGTCCTGGGTCTCCAGACTTGGCCCTGGGCAGGGCGGTTGGGGCAAACCCGTGTTTGGCCAGAGATGACTTGTCACGCGTCAGACCTGGCAAGAAGCCACCTGCAAAAAAAACTCCACCATGGGGACCTCGGTCCAGGAGTGGGCCTGTGCTCCACCCAGGGCCATGGCGCCCACTGTGGGCCCACAGCAAACCCCTTTCCTGAGGGCTCTGGCTCCTACGGGGCCCAGCTGATGTTTAGGGGCCTGAAGGCTGCATAGTAGGTGCTCAGTAAATGTCTGCCGAATCGCTGAAATGCAAAAAGTCACTGCAAAATGACATTCCAGGCCCTCCTAAGCCAGGAGACGGCTTTATCCCCCCCTAGACCCTCCCGCTTCCTGGGTGGGAGCTGGGGCGAGTGATCCAGCCTCTCTGAGCCCAGCTCCTTCCTGTGAAGCGGAGATAACAGGCGTCCGCTGGCGCCGCGTCCATGCAGAGGCCCACAGGAACAGGCACCCGGAGACCTGCCCTGACCGCTCACCCAGCTCACAGTGTGGACCTGGAAATGAGAAAGGCGGCCCCTCACCCACATCCTCTGAGGCGGCCTGTGCTTCCCCCTTGCCAGGCGCCCCCAGGGAGAAGGGCCACCGATTTCTGTGTCTTTACTAGGCACCTGCTGGGTGCTCAGGCCGGAGTTCAGGGCACCCTGAGAGGTCTCTTTCTTTGCCACAGAGGGCGTGTCCGAACTGGACGGGGGCAGCACGCTGCAGAGGGTGGCGGTCAGCAGGGAGGACAGCGGGACCTACGTCTGCTGGGCTGAGAACAGAGTGGGCCGCGTGCAGGCTGTCAGCTTCGTCCACGTGAAGGGTGAGGCACGAGCCCTGGGCTTTTCGCTCGAGACCGGCTGGACTCCCTCTGAGACTGGCCTCCTGACCTTGGAACTAGCAATTCTCCACCCTGGCTGTACATAGCACCCCCTGGGACTTCATAAACTCAGAGGCCCAGGTCCACCCTGATTTAGTAGCCCTGCCTCCCTGGGGCGGGGCCCAGCAGAGGGATTTTTAATCCCCCAGACAGCCTGGCTGCAGGTGGAATGGGGATCTGACCGGTCAGCCTGCAGGATCCGACTGAGCCGCTAGAGAGGGCCCGTGTGGGAGGCAGGCCCGGGGGCCAGGGCACTCTGGCAGGAAAACACACGAAGCTTGCCAGCCCGCCCGTGGTCCCCTGTGCAGCCAGCAGCGACACAGTAACCGGTGCTGGCCATGTGTTAATTTGCTCAACCTCAGGATGGGTAGGGTGGGGCTTGACGGAGGGCAATGAGCAGCCCCGGCACCAGGACACAGCGGCTGCTGTTGGTAGAGTCACCCTCAGGAAACCAGGAAGGGGAGGAACCGGTACAGCCATTCACGAGTGGCTTAAGGTTGGAGTGAGATGAGGACCAGGGATGTTTTGGTGTTGCTGTGGACAGCAGAGGTGTCCTCGTGACCACGTGGTCCTTGTTTTCCAGAGTCCCCAGCAGGCACCCTGCAGCTGGGGTAATTAGTCCATAAGAGCGGCTATATGACACTCGTTGCATTGCCTTCCCTCCCCTCCTGCACCTGCCTCAGACATCACTAATCAATCACCACACTGTTCCCACTCGGCTTCAGATCTTTCTCAGCAGCGCTCCTGGCAGCCGCTGCCAGTCTGTTTCACTTGACCCATCACGTGGGAGCTGTTTGCCGTCCCTGATGTGTTGACTGTACTCGGCCCTCCTGGGGTCTGAGGACAGGCCTCTGGGGACAGGATTACGGGAGGCTGAGCCTGAAGGGAACTTCCTCCCTGACCCCTTGTCTAATGTCACACTGTGCAGAGGCTCCTGTCCTACAAGGAGAAGCCTTCTCCTACCTGGTGGAACCTGTGGGGGGCAGCCTGCGCCTGGACTGTGAGGTCCACGGAGACCCGGCGCCTGACATCCACTGGATCAAAGACGGCCTTCCGCTGCGGGGCAGCCGACTCCGGCACCAGCTGCAGAATGGCTCGCTGACCATCCGCAGGACGGAGGCAAGGAAGGGCCTGGTGCTCTAGACGGGGACATCTGGGACAGCCCTGGGCCTTTTCTGACTGCTCAGAAGGGTTCTTTAGGTTGGCACCACCCTCTACAGTCTGCAAAGCGCTTTCCTGCCCGTTGTCCAGAGATTCCGCCCTCCTCCCCTCACTAGGATGACCTCCAGCCAGCGGCTTCACTTCTCTGTGCCTCAGCTACACCACCCATTTGATGGGGCTAACAATCATTTCTCCCTCACAGCTTTACAATCAGCAATCAGTGCGAGGACCCCTACCAGGCATTTAGGAGTGACTGGCCCCTCGGTGATGACAGTAAAGGTTATTAATGACAACAACCCCATGGGGCAGGGTAGACGGGTAAGAGTGCCCCATTTTACAGAGGAAGATACCGAGGCTCAGAGAGGCCCACAACCAGGAAGCCCCCGAGGCAGGAGCATACCCAGCTCTCCTGACTCCTACTTCATGCCGTTTCCAAAGACTGTGCGCTGGGCAGCCCCCACTTCCCTTCCTTCCGCGTCCCAAGCCCCATGGTCAAGCGGAAATCCACCATTCACTCCTGTCAAGCTCATCTGAGGGGTCCTTGATCTTGCCCCTTTGGGAGCCTGTCCCTAGATAGTGATAATCATAGGACTGGTACTGACAGCGCAGTAGCTGTAACCGCAGCAGGAATAATGGCTGCTATGACCTGAGGCTGTACCACATGCGCACCAGGCACCGGATGGCTGTGATTTCTTTTGATGCCACAACAATCCTAGCAGTTGTTATCCCCATTTTAGAGATGGGGAAACTGAGGCCCTAGAAACATGGTGATGTCTAGTAGTGGCTTCAGCATAGACCCGAGATTTCGTCCCATATGGGTCTGACCCCCAAGCCTACACTTTTAACTGTGTGCAGGCAGGTGTTGCAATAGTGCCCACTTGTGGATATTCTGAGAACAGCACCCTGGTAATGAATTCTAGGAGTCTGAGATCAGCTATGCCTCTCAGTCTCTAGAGCCGGACAGTGTCGGACGCTGTTTCTGACTAATTAGATCAGGCAAAGACCCAAAGCATCCAGAGGCCTCTGCCTGCAGACTGAAGTGCTGGATTCAGTCTTAAGTAGCCCTCAGGCAATTGTCCACAGGTGTGGTGAGAGGTTTTCTAACAGGGTGGGGCAATTGCTTCCGCCTGGAGGCTAATGGTGATTCTCAGTCTCTTAATGGTTCTCAGAAACTCCACACAGCGGGGCTAGGTGTGTTTCCAATAGGGTAGGTCCGTGGTTGGCAAACTCATTAGTCAACAGAGCCAAATATCAACAGTACAACGATTGAAATTTCTTTTGAGAGCCAAATTTTTTAAACTTAAACTATATAGGTAGGTACATTGTTATTAACTTAATTAGGGTACTCCTAAGGCTTAGGAAGAGCCACACTCAAGGGGCAAAAGAGCCGCATGTGGCTTGAGAGCTGCAGTTTGCCGACCACAGGGGTAGGTCAACTGTCTTCCCCTGCCCCCCACCCCACCTGGGGCAAAGCAAAAACCTCCTGGGCAGCAATGGTCTGCCGGAGAAAGATGCACTCCCCAGCATGAGGGAATGACTCAGCACAGGAAACGGAGGTGTCTGCCTTCTGATCACTCACTTCAGGGGGATTGTTTTGTAATTCAGTTGAAATTCCAGTTTGGTCCTGGGACCTTGTCTGTGTAGCATCCACTTGTTCTGTTAATATGGGATTATGCGCAATAGCACCCCCTTTGGACATTCGGAGAACAGCACTCTAGTCAGGGAGTGTTTCAATAGCGCCCTCTGGTGTGTATTCTGGTAACAGCACCTAGTAATGAATTCTGAAAAGAAAACCCAGTGGACAGGCCTAGAGGGCTGTCACCCTTGCAGGGTGTGTTGAATGGGGCCCTCTGGTGGACAGTCCCTCAGGAGCGGCTTCTGTGGTGTCATCTCTGGGCATGGACTGTGGCCACAAGCCCCCTGAGCTCTGTCCTGGGGCAGAGCTTCCACTCAGAACTGAGCTGTCACCATCCATGGTCGCGGATGCCTGTGAAAACAGCTTCCCTGCCACTCAGTGGGGAAATGCTGCCACCCGCCTCCTCCCTGGGGAACTGGCAGTGCAAATGGGCCCGTAAACGCCCTGAGAAGGCCTGCCGCTTGGATGCCTTCTTGCTCATCAGTATTCTCACACTTATCGATCATGGACCTCTTCTTTCTAAAAGGGCCCCTCAGCGTGCACCATAGAGTGATAATACCTCAATGTACACGTTTGGGAGAGGCACCCTAAGTCATCTTTGCCGCACGCAACTCCCCAGTGAGTCTATGGCCTCAGTCCTCCCCTCCCCGCCCCCCAGGTTCCAGGTGTGATAGGGGATGGATTCGCTTTGGATGTCCGCTGAGAAGTGGCCACAAAGGCCCCTTTGATGCGACATTGTGAGGAGTCTGTGAGCCCCTGGCTGGTTTAGACTCTAAGCTTCTTCCTGGTTCGATGGGCCTGGTTCCAGACACCCCTTTCTGTGCCCAGCTGCTCCTCCCCGCTCGTCCTGCTGAACACCGTGTCCCCCTCTTGTGCCACCTGCAGATGGGCGACTCGGGGCGGTACCAGTGCCTGGCAGAGAATGAGGTGGGCGCCGTGGAGAAAGTGGTGGTCCTGCTGCTGCAGAGTGAGTGCCTGCCTCCCCGCTTGGCGCCCTGGGCGGGCGGTGTGAGTGGGCGTCCAGGGAAAGCTGCGCCAAGGCCGTGGCTTGTACGGGGCGAACCCCGTCACGTGCTCCGTGTCACGCTCCTGGGGCACAGGCGTGTCGGGGAGACTGCCCAGGGGGTCAGTGTACTCATGTCCGTGGCTGCATTTCCTCTCCACAGTGTGGTCAACTAGAATGTGTGTGTGTGTGTGTCGCACAGGGAGGCTCCAGTTGGGGCGGCTGGGACAGTGCGGGGGTGGCGTTCTCATGCACGTCTGTGGTGAACACGCACAGGCATCTCTTTCCGGGCATCGACCCGGGGGGCACTGCTGGGTCACACACCACACGCGTGTTCGGCTTCAGGGGACACTTCCCGTGGTCGGCTCCTAAATGGCTCCCAAAGATGGCCCCATCCTAACCTCCCAGACCCGGGAGTGCGACCGTGTCTAGAGAAAGGACCTTTGCCGATGTCGCTAAGGATCTTGAGATTAGGGGGCCGTCTTGGATGAGAAACCGAGGGTGAAGCAGTGACCTGGTGAGAAGCGCTCGCCAGGGACGGAGCCGCGTCTGCCCGTTTCATGTGGCATCAAATACAGGCAGCACTGGCAAGGGTCACCCTTTCTTTGGAAACCACCCGAATGTCCTACGATAGGGCACGGCTAAGGGAGCCATGCTGGAGCCAACCACGCAACACCGTGCAGCACCCGGAGATGAACATTCAGTGACATGAAAGGGAGTCATGATCTATGCTAGAACAGGAGGAAGGAATGGAGAGAGGGAGGGAGGGAGGGGGAGGGAGGGAGGAGGACACGGTGGTCACATTCTTTTCTTTTTTAATATATTTTTATTGATTTCAGAGAGGAAGGGGGAAGGAGAGAGAGAGGGAAACATCAATTCTGAGAGAGAATCACTGATTGGCTGCCGCCTGCACACCCTACACTAGGGATCAAGCCCGCAACCCGGGCATGTGTCCTGACCAGGAATCGAACTGTGAGCCACTGAGCCACACCGGCACTATGGTCACATTCCCACAAGGAAACAGTGTCTAGAAGGCAATACGGGAAGGGCATTGGCCTGGGGGATCATCTGTGATTCTCTCTGCCTTTCTGCCTCTATGCTTTCTCTTCTGTTGAAATGAGCTTGAATATCTGAAAGGAATAAAATGTTCCTAAAAACTGCCTGGGCCTCCCACAGGCGCCCCGGTGTTCCAGGTGGAGCCCCAGGACGTGACAGTGAGATCCGGGGACGACGTGGCCCTGCAGTGCCAGGCCATTGGTGAGCCGGCGCCCACGGTGGAGTGGCTGCGTGCGGGGCAGCCCTTGCGGGCCGGCCGGCGGCTGCGGACCCTGCCGGATGGGAGCCTGTGGCTGGAGCGAGTGGAGACGAGGGACACGGGCACATACGAGTGCGTCGCTCACAACCTCCTGGGCTCTGCCACAGCCCGAGCGTCCTTGGTTGTGAAAGGTACGAGGCGTCCCTGCCCAGACTGTGGGCCAAGGCGGGATCTCCTGCGAAATGGGGATCTGTGTGTGGTTTGTGGGGGACCTGGCCCCCCGCCCTGCTAGCTCCCCGACTCTTCTCTTTGCTGAGAGTCGCAAACATTGAACGAAGCAGCTGGGAGGACCTCATGGGTCATGGTGTCTGCCCTGCCCTGTGCGGTCAGAGAACCGAGGGTCTGAGATGCTCCGTGTTCGCAGCTCCTGTCGGACCAGGGACTCGGGCTCTTCCAGCTCCCCTGGCACAGACCCAGGTCCTCTCTTTGGACACTTTGCAGCTCTGCCTGGCCGGGTGGGTGCCCAGTAACCACTGCTGCTCCCAGCGGCACCACCCCTGCCGGTCGGCCTCCTCAGTCAGCGTCCTTCTCCCGTGGGGCAGCCCAGACTCTAAAACGGAGAAGATGACTATCCGGAGAAACCATAGCATGGCCCAGCCTGACTGGTGGAAAGCCGCTGGGTATTATTTCTGGGCGTCTGTTGTGTCTGTAAATACTCCACATTTGTGGCTCTGTATCTCCGGCCCGTCCATGGCAGACATCACTAATCGATCGCTGCACACGATGCAGATTCCTTCCCCACAGAACCCTGTTCCAGGCAGCAGCTGGGGACCACTTAGAACTGGGACTTGACACTTTGCCACTTGAAACCCACTTACTCTGCCGCCATTTAGAAAAACCCAACAAACCTTTTTAGGGGGACATAATGGCCTCCTTACCTTTTTATTGATATTTTTTAAAAGATATTTTTATTGATTTCAGAGAGGAAAGGAGAGGGAAGGAGAGGGAAGGGGGGGGGCGGGAATATCAGTGATGAGAGACAATCGTTGATCGCTTGCCTCCTGCACGTGCCCTACTGGGGATCGAGCCCAAAACCTGGGCATGTGCCCTGACGGGGACTCGAACTGTGACCTTCTGGTTCATAGGTCGGTGCTCAACCACTGAGCCATGCGGGCAGGGTCTCCTTACCGTTTTAATGGAAACAACTGCTTTTTACTTCATATATGTTCGTTGTAGAAAGGCCTGGTAATTTAGAAAAATCTGTGAAGAAAAAGGAATGATCAATCATCTCTCACCATGCAATGACCACAATGGCTTTGGCCGTGGTTATTTGGGGTATATCTTTCTACTCTCTTTTTCTCCAAATATAAAGAGAGAGGCTTTTCTTTCTACGACTGAGATCACACGGACAGGCGTCTTTACGACCTGCCGTGGCCCCCGGGCGTCGGACGGCATGCCATGACAGTGAGCCCCGTCCACACCCTCTTCATGGCTCCATGCCATTCCACGGCAGCGTTTCCCAGCGTCATTGCTGTGGCTTTGTGGAATAGGCCACAGGTTTGTTCCCAATGCCCCCCCCCCCCCCAAACCCACACTCTGTGCACACCCTGTGTGCTGGCCCAAATCTTTCTACAGGATAAATTTCTTCAAGGGGAAAAAAAAAATCTTCAAGCAGCATGGCTTGAAGGTAAACGGTGTGCAAAGGCTTTGAGACCCCCTCACTATGGACTTGTCTTCTCTCCCTCCTTTTCCATGAGTCTTGGGGGGCCCATCCTGGCCTTGTGGGAAACGAGGCTGCTGAGTCACTCCGTGTCTGAGAAAGTGGCCAGTGGCTTGTCATTCCTGTCCTCCAGTCCCCCCCACCACCCCCTTTTAAAGCTCCCAGGGGCCATGCTGTTGCTCTCTTACCTGCAGCTCCCACTTTCTGCCTCAGCCCCTCATGACAAGGCCAAGGGTCGGTTCATGCCTCCTCCTGGCCCTGCCATGAACTCGGGGCAGCAGGTACTGGCCAGAGACATCCCTGCTGGGCGTCATCTCCCCAGACCCCGGCTGTGGGCTGCAGGACACGGCGCCGCTTCCTGGACTCCAACATTCACCAGCCCCGAATTCACCCAATTAGGAGCCTGGCGGTTCTGGTTGATGTTATGTTTCTGGACAGATCGTAGGCAATTTGTTGCTAATTTCCCCGGAGAGCTGGTGAGCGCCGAGGCAGGCTACCTTCTGTCTCTCTCCCCCTGGAATGCCATCTGCCGAATGAGGCATCTGGCCCATTAGCCAGAGGAAGCGGCCCCTGTGCCCACGCCGTCCAGCCGATTAGTGCGGAAGAGCGTCTGCTTGCAGACAGCCTGGCGGCTCCTCCAAACCCAGACCCCCGGCCCCCCCGCACCCCCCATCCACCGCCAGCCAGGTCCGCTGCAGGGCGGCTGGAGCCAGGGCCACTGTTGGAATGGGGGACGGTCCAGTGGTGGCATTCAGCACCTGGCTCGGTGCCCTGCCCCTCAGCCTGGCTCCTCCAGCATGCCAACAGGTTTGGGGCACATCTTTGGTCCCACCCCCTCATTTGATAGACAAGCCAACTCAAGTGTGGCTTGGAGGCCTGGCTAGGCCAAGTTTCCAGGAAGGCGATGGCGGAGCCAGAATTCGAAGCTGGTACCATCGCCCCTCAGCTGGGTGCCCTTGGGCAAGTTACTTCACCTCTCTGAGCCTCAGATTCCTCCTTTGGGAAACAGGTACAGTAGCTGCTTATACTGAGGGCACAGAGGCGGGTAATGTCACAGTTGTTCTCTTCCTTCCTCCCAGGGGAGCCCCGGGGGGGCCGGGGCAGCATGATCGGGGTGATCAATGGCCAGGAGTTGGGCGTGGCCACTCTCAACGCCAGTGTGCAGCAGGAGGCGCGCTCAGGGGTCACCACCTTCCGGAGCAGCATCGGCCACCTCCCTGCGAGTGTGGGTAAGGGGGGACCAGCCGCCCGTGGTAGAGGCAGGAGGAGGCAAAGCCTGGGTTCCGGGGCTGCCCTAGGCCCGGTTCCCAGAGGAAATCCAGCCACCTCTAAGAGCCAAGTCCAAGCCAACCGGAACCCCCAAATAAAACAGCAGCAAGGGGGTGCACTTGTTTCATTTTCAACTCGGCCCAGCGCCCCCATAGAGGCGGTCTGTGCAGGCCCAGGCTCCGTGGTGACCTCATCACCCCCAGTACTTGTGGAACCGAGTTAAATGTCAACAAGTTCCATGCGCGTCTTTGTATAAATGTTCTGCTCATTTCACAACCCCTCCAAGACGGAGCTATTGGGCTTTACCACTTGGTTCTGATCCAATCACTGGTCCAGGGAATCTTGGGGCCAAGCGCTCCTGAGGGCCATAGGGAGTCACAGAGGGACCTTGAGCAGGAGGAAGAGTGGCTGCCCTCAGCATCTGGCCTCTCCACCCTCCCGCCCTCCATCCAGGGCCTCTGATGCGGGTACTCGTGGTCACCATCGCCCCCATCTACTGGGCACTGGCCGGAGAGCATGGCGACGCCCTGAACGGCCACTCCCTGACGGGGGGCAGCTTCCGGCAGGAGTCGCACATGGAGTTTTCTACAGGTGCGTGGGGGCTCCCCCAGGTGGGCCAGGGGGGACTGGGGCCCGAGCCCAGGGCCTCTCCCCCGTGGTGACTCCCAGCTGGATGGGGCTGGGTTGCAGGGGAGCTGCTTACGATGACCCAGGTGGCCCGGGGCCTGGATCCCGACGGCCTCCTGCTCCTGGACGTGGCGGTTCACGGCGTCATCCCCGAGAGCCTGGCTGATGCAGATCTCCAAGCGCAGGTGCGGGCGAGCCCAGGGTGCACAGAGGGGTGCATGAGAGTCAGTGGGATGTCCTGCCTGCGGCCATCCTGACTCCCCAGCAGGGGTTGGGGCGTGGCCTAGTCTTGGACTTCAGGGGGGATGAGTAGGAAGATACTCTGGGCCCAGCCTCTTGGCCCCTGGGGGTGTTCTCCAGTCCCATAGCAAGACCGCCTGTGACCTGCCCTGTGACAAGCCGAGGCTGCCCAGTGGTGGGAGGCAGCGCTGTTTGGAAGTTGCAATTCCAGATGTTCTCCCTCCCCCCTTCCCTGCTAGGACTTCCAGGAGGACTACGTGCAGACGGGCCCCGGCCAGCTCTTCGTGGGCTCCACGCAGCGCTTCCTGCAGGACAGCCGGCCCGTGTCCCTGCGCTGCAACCACAGCATCCAGTACGAGGCGGCGCGGGGCCCGCAGCCCCAGCTGGTGCAGCACCTGCAGGCCTCGGCTATCAGCGCGGCCTTCGACCCTGCGGCTGAGGCCCTGCGCTTCCAGCTCACCACAGCCCTGCAAGCCGGTGAGGGCCCTGCCCTGTCCCCACCCCACGCCCCAGCTCACAGTGGGGACAGCCTCGAGTGCACCTGGCTGAAGGCCCAGGCGACAGCCCACCACCTGCACCCCCTGACCAGAGACTCAGGACTGAAACAGCTCACCCCCTGTTCCCGTCATCCATCCACACCCCAACAGGGCACAGCTGTCCAGGCCACTCCTGTTCAAACTCTCGGGCCTCAAGGTCAAGGTCCACACCACCCCCATGCTGATGGTCAAGACTTGAGTCATCCCTACCCTCCTCCCAAGGTGCCGGCACCAGAGACCCCACCCAGGGGCCTGGGAGCCACTCTTCGAGCCCCTGGCGGCCTGTGTGAACACGGCATATAGTCTCACTCACTGGAGGCTAAAAATGTGCCTGTTAGCATGGTTTAACCTTGAACATGGGGCCATGGTAAGCATAGCTTTGACATCAGGCAGACCCTGGTTCAAACCCAGCCGCCCCACTCCAGGGCTGTGAGACCTTGGGGGCAGAGCCTGGCCCTCCCTAGGCCTCCGTGTGCCCATCTGTGAAATGGGCATGGCATCGCCTGCCTTGCAGGGTGCGGGAGTAGAGGTGCTGTCTCTGTGACCCCCACCTGGCACCCACTGGCTGCTTCATCAAGGGTGCTGTCCCTCCGATCGCTAAGGCAGTCCGGTCTCCCACCCCCAGAACACAGTCTGCGCGCACCCTGCCTCGGGCTCGCTGCCCCGTCCGATGCTCACTTACCCCAGCAGAGGCCAGGCCCCTCCTCTGCGTTGTCAGGACCGCAGCTTCGCCTGTGCGGTCTCCTGCTTTGTACTTAGCAATGATTTCGGTGTCTGCCAGCCACGGTCGGGCCAGCCCGCGTGAGCCCCTCATGACACGACCCACAGCCAAGGCCTGGGCTGGGAGTGGGCTTGCTGACGCTGGGTGCCGGCCTGGCTCAGGACAGAGGCTGAGGGCGCCTCGGCCTGGCCCAGCTGGCGGGAGGGAAGGACGAGCCGGGGCTACGGCCAGGGCCGCTCTGTCCCTCCATCCTGTGTCCTCAAGGTCTGTCCTGTTTGCCCTGCAGAAGAGAATGAAGGCTGCCCCGAGGGCTTTGAGCTGGACTCCCAGGGAGAGTTTTGCGTGGGTGAGCACCCTGTCCCTGCCCGGGCAGAGGGGAGGGAGGTCCCTCAGCCTGGGCTGAGTATGCCGTCGGGCAGCTGTCAGGAGGGCCTGTGCGTGCAGCCCACCAGCTGTCCCGCCGCAGACGGGGACGAGTGTGCCAGTGGGCCCAGCCCCTGCTCCCACTCCTGCCACAACGCCCCTGGCCGCTCCTCCTGCGCCGGCCCGGCTGGCTTCGCCCTGGCCGGGGACGACAGGCACTGCAGAGGTGGGTGGCCCTGCGCACAGGCTCTCCTGGGACCTGGCCCAGGTGTGAGTGGGTGGGGGTGGGGTGGGGGGTCATTCTAGGGCAGTGGTTCTCAACCTTCTGGCCCTTTAAATACAGTTCCTCATGTTGTGACCCAACCATACAATTATTTTCGTTGCTACTTCATAACTGTCATGTTGCTACTGTTATGAATCGTCATGTAAATATCTGAGATGCAGGATGGTCTTAGGTGACCCCTGTGAAAGGGTCGTTCGGCCACCAAAGGGGTCGCGACCCACAGGTTGAGAACCGCTGTACTAGGGTCACCAAGGGGATGGTCTGTTCCGGGGGTCACTGGATGCCAGCAGGGTGTTCTGATGCCCTATTCCCACTGGCACTTCCTGTGATGAGGGCCGAGGTGGAGAGGCTCAAGTGCTGGGGGTGCTGGGGGTCCCCAGAGACATACACATGACCCCCTGGGCTCAGGGCGCTCGTACCCGCTGAGCCTGACAGCCTTGCCAGCTTCCCCTCGCACGGCAGCCGTTTCTAGTCACCTGGGGTTGGAGGTGAGCTGACCCCTGCCTCCCCTGCTGGCTCCGCCTGTCCCCCCGGCCAAGGTGCTAGACACCAAATCTGACCCTGAGACACTGTCCGGATGCTGACCCCCGGATATGTGTCCCCCCACTCCCACCATCAGGACCTGGCATTGCTGCATCTCGTTGGGTGCCCATAGGGCATTGTCCAAAACCTCCCATCAGATGCAGCCCTCCGGTCCCGGGGCGGGGGGGGGTGGGGGGACTCTGTGTTTGTGGGGGTGCCAAGGTGACAGAGCTAACAGGAGGGGTAGGATCTTCGTCCCTGGGGTTCCTGGGGCTGGGACTTAGCCTTTGTGGGGAGGCTAGACCAGAGTTGGGGTTGGGGGGCCTGGGTTCATGGGGCCCCTGTCCCTGTCCGCCCCCAGATGTGGACGAGTGTGCGTGGCCTACTGACCTGTGCCCGGAGGGACAGCGCTGTGTGAACCTGCTGGGGTCCTACCGCTGCCTCCCTGACTGTGGGCCTGGCTTCCGGGTGGCCGCCGACGGGGCTGATTGTGAAGGTGACAGGGGCACGTGTGGGGTTGTCCAGGATTTAGCAGACGGGGAGCACTGTGTCCCTGGGCCTTCAGGGAAAACGGTACCCTCTTGACAAGCAGCACAGCGAGGCCAGGGAGGGAGCCTGAGCCTGCGTTGGGCCTGGCCTGGCTGCTGGCACCTGGAGGATCTCTGACAAGGGTCTTCTTTCAGGGCCTCAGGCTTGCCATCTGTCCAGTGAAGGGGGACCAGGTCAGGGACGGCGAACATGTGCCATGTCCGCTGCCACTTCCCCTGTCCCCCCTGCTGGACCCTGGCCCAGCCCAGAGACAGCCTCTGAGTCCTCAGCACAGCTTCTCCCGCAGCCACTGGGAGTCACGGGCAGTTGGCCTGTGAGATGACGCCCCGGTGCCACCCAGCCAGGGTGACTGCGAGGGTCCTTCCTGCCCCCATTCCGTGGTCTCGTGATCTCCAGCAGAGGCCATCCGTGGAGGGACAGCAGGCGGCACTGAGCTCAGAAGAGGCAGTCGTTTGACTTCAGTGGCTCATGGGCCTTCAGCGCCCTATTCATTGAGCTCCCTGCCCCGCCTTCCTTCCGCCCTCCCTCCCTTCTCCCACTAACATGTGCCAGGCCCCTCTGCCCTTCACATGCGTGATCCGATTTTCTCACCATGGCCCAGGAAGAGGTCTTGTCCCACCCCTATTTTTTTTTTTAACATATTTTTATTGATTTCAGAGAGGAAGGGAGGAGAGAGAGACAGAAGCATCGATGATGAGAGTGAATCATTGATCAGCTGCCTTCTGCACGCCCCACACTGGGGATCAAGCCTGCAACCTGGGCATGTGCCCTGGCTGGGAATCGAACCCTGACCTCCTGGTTCATAGATCAGTGTTCGACCACTGAGCCACACCGTCCAGGCCCACCCCTCTGTACAGCGGAGGACACTGAGGCTTGCTCAGGGACCAAGAGATAGGGCAGAGCTCGGCCCACCCCCAGACTCCTCCAAAGCCCCTTTCCTGTTTTGGACCCATAACCTCCTTACCTTCTGGAGCTGGTATGAGCGGGAGGCCCTGAAGTCGGAGAGGGGGCAGGATGAGGCCCAGATGTGCAGGGGCGTGGGATGCCCCTTGGGGGTGGGCTCGGGGCTCATCCCCGCCCCTGCCCACACCCCTGCCTCCCCAGATGTGGACGAGTGCCTGGAGCAGTCTGACGAATGTCACTACAACCAGATCTGTGAGAACACCCCGGGCGGGCACCACTGCAGCTGCCCCAGGGGGTACCGGACCCAGGGCCCCGGCCTGCCCTGCCTGGGTGTGTACGGGACACCACGCCTGGCTCACAGGCAGGGAGTGGTCACCACAGAGCGATGTTCCAGGAATAGCCAAACGCAGCCAGGGCTGTCGTGCACTCGCCATGCGCCCAGACCCCTGCCCTGCTATCCCCCAGACCTCACCCCTGCCCTGCAAGTCACCTTCCCAGGGAGCCCAAGGGGAGGAGGGTGGAGAGACGTGGGTGGGTCTCCAAGAAGCTTAGGAAGAAGGAAGGGCCTCCCCAGGACCCTGAAGGAGAGGCTGCGGGACGGTTGGACTCTGGGATTCAGCTCAGAGCTGGGGGGCAGGGGGGGGGGTTGAGGCCTCTGAGCAGTGGGGGGATGCGGGGGAGGAGGGGAGAGGAGGCAGCTGGCTTCTGGGGAAGGCCAGGCACCTGTGCGAGCCCTGAGCCTCCCTTGGCCTCTGCCCCGCCCCCTCCTAGACATCAACGAATGTCTGCAGCTGCCCAGGACCTGTGCCTTCCAGTGCCAAAACCTCCAGGGCGGCTACCGCTGTGTGTGCCCCCCGGGCCACAGCCTCCTCCCGGATGGCAAGGCCTGCACCCCGAAGGAGCGGAGTGCCCAGAATGTGACCACCGTCAGCCACCCGGGCCGCTTGGTGCCCTGGCTGCGGCCCCGAGCCCTCCTCCCCGGTGGTGCCTACCACGCCTGGGTCTCCCTGAGGCCACGCCCCAGGGCCCCGAGCAGCGTGGGCCACGCCTGGTGCCCCCCGGGCTTCATCCGGCAGAACGGCATCTGCATGGGTAAGACCACGCTCCAACCCCCCCACGGGGACGCACCCCACTATGTTGTCTCGGGCTCCCAGGTTAGGTGTGTGGGCACCACGCCCCGTGTTCAGAAACCCAGGGCTCGTGGGCAGGTGTGCAGGGTGGAGGGGGGGTGCTCTCAGAGCCCTGGCCATGCGAATGTGCAAGGGGCTTCCAGAAGGGGGTGGGGGATTTTCCAAACCATTTAAGCTCAGGACACGTTGCCTAGTGTCCCAGGAACCCACTTTGAGAAACAGTCCTCTGGCCGCACGGAGGCGGCGCCGCAGGGAGGGAGGTTTGCGGGACGGGGAGTGTGTTCCAGGTTGACACGAGGAGGCGGACAGGGACCGGTGGGACCCGGTCAGCGCCTGGCTGCAGAGGCCAAGGGCAGTGGCCTCGGGGGCGGACGTGCTTAGGGGCTCCTGCCTGGATGGTGGGCTTGGCTGGGGGTGGTGCCCCCCCGAGGCCTTGAGGTGGACAGGACAGAGCTCCCCCTCCCCGAGTCCGCCAAGCCCCGGACCCTGCTAACCCCCGAACCCAGAGTCGGGTGGGGCAGGGCAGGGAGAAGGCGTGGGCCACCTAAGTCACAGCGGGCAAGAAAGTGGCCACGGGGGTGTCTGTGACTCAGCCTGTATCTCTGCCTCCACCACCACCACCACCAATGCCCCGGCCAGACCTGGACGAGTGCCGGGTGCGGAGCCTGTGCCAACACGCCTGCCGGAACACGGAGGGCAGCTACCGGTGCCTCTGCCCCTCGGGCTACCGCCTCCTCCCCAGTGGGAAGAACTGCCAGGGTGAGCTGCTGCCCAGACACCGAGGGGCCAGGCTTCGTGGGCAGGGGCGTCCTCACGCCGCCCACTCGCTCCAGCTCCTTCTCCACCGTCTCGTGATCTGAGGGAGGGGCAGGTGACAAGCCCACAGCCGGCTGGGCCCCGCACGCCGTGCGGAGCTGAGATTGCATCGGCCGGCTCTCAAAGCCCTGGGGGTCGGCCGCAGCTCTGCTGTGTGTCCCTGGGCAACTCACTTCCCCTCTCTGAGCCGCAGCCTCCTGGTGAGGGGGGCTGACACAGGCCTCCCCTAAGTGCCCGGATGAGACCAGGCAGGTGGGCTCAGAGCCAGTGCTCGCAGCAAGGCGGCTGCTGCACGCAGGGTCAGGGAAGCCCTCCAGCCCCCAAGTCAGCGCATGTCCCCTGCCACTCGGGCGGGGCCGGCCATGCTGCTCCCCTGCCAGGCTGTGGGGGGTCTGCCTGCCCGCCTGTCGCTGTCCTTCCCTCTCTGTCATGGGGTCAGGGACTGTCCTCTGAGAAGGCTGGGACACCCGCCGGCACAGACAAGGATCGGGCACTCTGCCCATGGACAGTGGGCACTCCAGGTCTGAGGGCAGCCTCATCTCTCCCAGGCTCAGGTTCCCAGGGTGCCCACCGCCATGCCCTGGGCAGATGGGGGTGCCAGGGGCCTGTGGACGGCTGTCTTGGGTCAGGCTGGCCGGGGACAAGGAGAGAAGGCTGCCCACCTCCACAGGCATTTCTCTCCCACTCAGCCCCCCGTGCCTTCCCTGGGGCCTGCCTTCTGCCCTCCCCGTTGCTCCATCCTCTCATCCCCACCTCCCCACGCAGACATCAACGAGTGCGAGGAGGACGGCATCGAGTGCGGGCCCGGCCAGATGTGCTTCAACACCCGCGGCAGCTACCAGTGTGTGGACACGCCGTGTCCCGCCACCTACCGGCAGGGCTCCAGCCCCGGGTAAGCGCTGAGTTGGCTGGGGAGTGGGGGGCTGGGGAGCTTACACACTGGCTCCTATAGGCTGGACCCCTCCTCCAGGCCACGTCTCAGGCACAGGCCCTCCTACAACCAGTGGGGTCAGCCCTGCCTGACCTCCAGGGCAGCGCCTCTGTGCCCACTGGGCAGGGTGCCCTCGTGCCATGCACCTGCCTGCGGACACTCTGGGTGCCAGCTGGCCCAGACACGGTGGATTCCTAGAGGGATGCGTCAGAGGAGCAGGGAGCACTGGGGACCCGGAGAGGCCAGAGCTGGGCAAGGACGGAGGGCCGGGAGGCGGGACCATGTACACATATGGGGACACATGAACACACACACAGCCCTGGACCCAGGAACACACACAGACACACACACGCCACCCAGAAACACAGTCCCAGGACTCAGACACACAGACACACAAACACAAACACGTTTCCACCACCGCTGCGCTTGCTGGGCTGCCCTGGGGGGTGGGCTGGCCAAGGCCATGGCACGGACCTGCCCCAGTGTGAAAGGGCATGTCTCTGGCTTCCCTGGGCCTTCATTTGCTGATCTCTACAATGGGCTGACAGTGGTACTTGTAGAGAAGGCATTTGGGGAGCAGGGGGTGGCCGCAGGGGCGAACTGCGGGGGGGAGAGGGGGTGTGGGCAGGCAGTGCTGGATGGCAACCGAGTCTGTGCGTCTGTCCCCCCCCCCCCCCCCAGGACGTGCTTCAGGCGCTGCTCGCAGGACTGCAGCGCCGGCCCCTCCACGCTGCAGTACAAGCTGCTGCCGCTGCCCCTGGGGGTGCGCGCCCACCACGACGTGGCGCGCCTGACCGCCTTCTCGGAGGCCGGCGTCCCCGCCAACCGCACGGAGCTCAGCGTGCTGGAGCCCGACCCGCGGAGCCCCTTCGAGCTGCGCCTCCTGCGCGCGGGCCTGGGCGCCGTCTACACCCGCCGCGCGCTCACCCGCGCCGGCCTCTACCGGCTCACCGTGCGCGCCGCGGCCCCGCGCCGCCAGAGCCTCTACGTCCTGCTCATAGCCGTGTCCCCCTACCCCTACTGAGGGGCGGCTCGTGGCCCCCCTGCTGTTGCGCCAGCCGGAGCCTCCGGAGAGGGGTGGGAAGGAGCTAGAATAACCCCCCTCGCCCAGGCCCTTGCGTAAGGGGTGTCATCTTCTCCCGCCTCCATGCGTCATCGGACTTTCAGTCAACACGACCCCGTGTGCAGCCTTGACCCAGGACAGCAGGACCCGAGCTGCCCCTCCTCTCCCTACTCCCCGTGGGGGCGGAGGCCCAAAGGCCGGTGACAGAGGCTGCCCATAGGCGGCAGAGCCCACAGGCAGAAATGGGGTGAAGCCTGCAGGTCTGACCGCCCCAGGCTTGCCCCAAGCCCCAGGAGCCTGGGCTGGGTAGGACACAGCGTCCAGGCCAGCCCGGGGCAGGGGCAGGGGCAGGGGCAGGCCCTGGGGATGGCAGCAGCTGCCACGTGCCCACACCTGCACTGTCGCCCGGCCCCGGGGTGTGTATGTGTACATCATAAAAACGCTTGTTTTTAACCAGCTCGATTTCTTCATCCAGTTCTTTGCTTGATAAGGAGGGGCTGTAGAACTCCACCCGCTGTCCAGGGGCACTGGACTAGGAGCCCAGCAGCCTGGCTCCCTCTGGGTAGGGTGGCCCTCGTCCAAAAATATGAATATGACAGGAGCCACCCAACCCCCCAGAGGGCCGGGGGGAGCATTACATGAGAAGGAAAGGCATTGCCCGGGTAGCAATAGGGGTTTTTTTTGTTTGGTTTGGTTTTGTCGTGTTTTTGTTAATCTTTCTTTACCCGAGGGTATTTTTCCATTGATTTTTAGAGAAAGTGGAAGAGAGAGGTAAAAGCAGAGAGGAACATCGATGTGAGAGAAACACACCAATTGGTTGCCTCCCGCAAGCCCCCAACCAGGGCCCTGGCCTGGGAGGAGCCTGCAACCGAGGTATGTGCCCTTGATCAGGATCGAACCCGGGACCCTTCAGTCCACAGGCCAATGTTCTTTCTGCTGAGCCAAACCGGCCAGGGCTAGGGGGCAGTTTTTAACAGACCAGTCAGGGTGGGCCTCGTGAGAAGGCAGTGTTTCAGCTGAGGCCTGGAGAAAGTGAGGCAGGAAGCCGGCGGACATCTGGGAAGACTGTTCCTGGCAGAGGGACCCGCACACAGCAGGCTCTCGGGCGGGTGGGTGCTTGGTGGGGGAGGTCTGACCAGGAGGTGGGAGGCTGCAGGTAGGGAGGCTGGATAGGAGGTGAGGGGGTGGGGGAGAGGGAGGTGCCATCCGAAAGGCGCAGATCCTGTGGCCTTCGGGCCGCTGTAGGGACTTTGGCTTTGCAGAGTGAGTTGGGGAGGGACAGGATAAGAACACCTAGTGTGCACTGACGTGTCCCCAGTGCGCGGGGACAGGGTCTGAGTCCCAGCGTGGCTTCCCCCCCTCCCCGTCCCCGCCCTCCTTCCTGACCTGGCGGCACCCCTGCGTCAGCGACCCACCACCCTGCGCCAGCTGCCCCTGGATAGAGGCTGTCTTTTCTGCACGTGTTTTGGAGAGGAAGGATCCTTTCTCCCTGCCCCACAGGCTCCGTGTGGCACTGTCACCTCCCCTGGCACCCCCAGGCTCTCATCGGGTCGATGACAAGGGCAGCCGTCTGTCGTTTCTTCTTAAGGGATCCATGGCGATCAGACTGTCCCGGCAATATGGGGTAAACAGAGAGGAAATCGCTGTGCCCATTTTCCAGATGGGGAAAAGGAGCTCAGCGAGGAGACGGGCCCTGGTGCCTTGCCTGATAGGTGACTGGTTAAAGGTTAGGCCAGTCCAACTCCTGACTCCAGCCCAGCAGCCCGATGGAATCTTCCCCAGAGCACGTGCGCCTTCAAAGCTGGTTTCTTTTCAACCGGGAGTCTGCAAGCATTTTCTGTCAAGGGCCAGATAGTGAATAGTTTGGGCTTCGCAGAACATAGAGTCTCTGTCGAAACGACCCCCCTCACCATTGCGTCACCAGAGCAGCCGCAGTCAGCACGCGGACCAATGGAGTTAGTTGCTTGATGGACACTTACATTTGAAGTTCACATAATTTTCACAGGTGGCGGAATCATCTTCTTTTGACTTCCCAACCATTTACAAATGCAAAAGCCTTTCTTAGCGTGCAGGTGGCTTACACCACAGACGTCTCTGCTGGTGGAATTTCAGGCTGGGCGGAGGGGAGGCTGGGGCAGTTGGAGAGAAGTGGGGGAAGGGTGTCCCAGGCCCTCCACACCCCTCTGTCCGGGGCCCCACTGGGAGGCCCTGCCTTGGGTGGAACAGGCCCCCTTGTGCAACCCTGGGGGCTCGAGGGTTCATATTGTGACCTATGAACCCTGCCCTCTGCTGGGCTGTTAATTTTTTATGGAGCCTGGGACTTGCAGCCCAGGAGACTTGCAGCAGAGGCGAGCCCTGCGGAGCAGAGGGACCGACTCCTCTTTCGCCCCTACCCTCTCTGCCTTCCTCTCCCCAGTCTCACCCTGGCCCTTCGTGATGGCAACACCACCATTTGTTAAATGTCCAGGGCTCATGGATCTGAGTTTAGTTTATTTAATACAGGAGCCCCCGTAGTTCCAGAGACAAAAAATAGGATGCCCATTTCACAGATGAGAGAGTGGGGCTCAGAGAAGGTGAGCCACTTGTCCCAGCTCCCACAGCCTGGAGGAGAACAGGAGGACTCAACCCAGACCCACCTGCCTCCACAGCCCAGGGCTCCAGCCTCCAGGCTGCCCTGCCTCCACGCTCTGAGGACGGAGGCGAGGGAGGGCCAGGGCAGGATGAAGAGGAGGGACCACAGCAATTCAAGACTCCCAGGGGAGTGCTGGCCAGTCTGACCTCCCTCCTCCACACCTTCTCCTAAATCTCCCATCTGCGGCTCTGACACGGAGGCCGGTGGAAGAAGTGATTGCTCAAGTCACACAGGAAGCCAGTGGCAGCCTTGGCCTTGAATCCAGGCTGTGATACCCAGGTTGAGGCTCCCCCTCCCCGTCTGCCCCACCCGCTTGCACAGGGACCGTCAGCCAGTACAGGAGCCAGCTCCGAGGGGTGTCTCCGCTTCTACTCCGCCAGGGGCTGGCGGTCATGGGCCAGGGCCCCAGCCAGCGGCCCAGCCCCCGGGCCACCTGACCTCTGAGGCTGTTCCGAACCATCAGGGCTGGAAAACAACCCTGCAGGTCACTTATTAAACTCCATGATGCAGCTTTTCCAAGAACCCAATGACGGACTCCGTGTTCCTTCTGGGTGGGGTCTCGGGCCAGTTCAGCCGGGGCAGTGGCAACACGGCTTCTGGTGCCAACCGTGAGGTGGCTGCAGGACACGACCTGCAGGTGCAGAGCCCTTGAGTGGCCGCGGAGAGACAGGGCCGGAGGCGCCTGCTCCATGGGCTGCTGCCCAGGCAGCATCTGTGTCCGTTGGCTGCCAGGGGATTCGGTGAGGTCACGTCCACCGCGTGCCCTTCAGCAGGTGGACAAGTAGCCACACACGTCAGCGCCAACCCTTAGAAAGGCCGCTGCTGCGGTGTGCAGGGGGGACTGGAAGCGGCGGCGAGCCCAGGTAGGAAGACAGGGAGGTGTCCCCTGCAGAGGTACAGGCGAGAGGAGACGGCGGCCTCAGTGAAGACCACAGCAGTGGCAGAGAGAGAAGGAACGAGAGCCGGCATGTCCCTCCATGTTATTGATGGAAACTACAGGCATCCGCCCCCCCGCCCCCCCACCCGGCCAGCATAGGAGAGGAGCGATGACAAGGGACCAATCCGGTGGAGGAGGGGACAGGGTCAGAGGGCATCCGCAAGGCACAGTATGTGCAAGGACATAAGGCAAGAAAGCGCTCAGCACGCGGAAGAAACCAGGCAGGCAGCACAGCTGGGCCATGGTGGGCAAGGGCAGTGGTCGGCAAACTGCGGCTTGGCGAACCGCGGCTCGCGAGCCACATGCGGCTCTTTGGCCCCTTGAGTGTGGCTCTTCCACAAAATACCAACTCTGCACATGGGCCACGAAGTTTCAATCGCACTGTATGTGCGCGCCCGCACGTGGTATTTTGTGATTTTGTGGAAGAGCCACACTCAAGGGGCCAAAGAGCCGCATGTGGCTTGCGAGCCGCGGTTTGCCGACCACGGGGCAAGGGCACTAGGTTTGACCCTAAGGGTGACGGGGGACCAACCAAGTCTTTCTGAAGATCCTTTTAATCATCGATATTTGAGAATACATCTCTGAACCTAAAAACCCTTTTACAACACATATCGGCAATACCACGCGCATGCCTTAGGAAATGAACAGTGAGTCCCGGCCGCCAGATACCCCGTCAGCCCTCCTTTGATTCTAACGTGGAAAACAGGTGCAAGCTGGCGCTCTCCGGGGCGTTTTCTAACCCATCGGGAGTTTGCTGCCAGGTCACTGTCGTCGGTTTGCTCAAGTAAACTCATAAAAATTCTACAGGTTTGAACATTTCTGACATGGACACCTGCGGGGACCCGATGAAACTCCAGCTCTTCTGGCTCTGAGGCCTTAAACCAGTGCTTCTCAACCTTCTGGCCTTTAAATACAGTTCCTCATGTGGGGACCCAACCATAAAATTACTTTTGTTGCTACTTCATAACTGTCATGCTGCTACTGTTACGAATCGTCATGTAAATATCTGATCTGCAGGATGGTCTTAGGCGACCCCTATGAAAGGGTCGTTTGACCGCCAAAGGGGTCGCAACCCACAGGTTGAGAAACGCTGCAACGATTCTACCTTTATTTCACTTGAAATAAAGGAGCTGTTGTATGGCACTCGGGGAATATATGTCAGCGCCATCTCAGAGCTACACCTCTGATTTACAACAAAAATGAAATTCACCTCAACTGAAGATCATTCAAGATGGAGCGTCCGAAAGACGGGCCCAACGGTTTCCATTTCTTTTCCGTTGCTTGTGTCAATAGCAATTAATACTTTTGAATAAACAGTTTTAAGGTGTGTGTGTTTTTAGTTCCGGAACAATTTTAGAGATACACAAAAATGGAGATGTATTCTGTGATCACAGACCGAAAGACTCATTATTGTTAAGATGCCCAGTAGATTGACTGACATCCCCAATGAAAACCCCAGCAGGCTTTTTATATAAACCCACAAGCTATTTCTACTATTTAATACAAAGGACCTAGAATAGCCAGAACAGTTTGAAGCAAGATGGAGTTGGAAGATATACACTGATGTCAAGACTTAGTGCAGCCCTGGCCAGTTTGGCGTAGTGGATAGCGCTTCAGCCTGTGGACCAAAGGGTCCCAGGTTCGATTCCGGTCAAGGACATGTATCTTGGTTGCAGGCTCCTCTCCGGCCCAGGTCCTGATCGGGGCTCATGCAGGAGGCAACCAATTGATGTGTTTCTCTCATGTTGAAGTTTCTCTCTTTCCCCCTCTCTCAAAATCCATGGGAAAATATCCTCAGGCGAGGATTAACAAAACAAACAAAAAAGACGACTTGGTGCGAAGCAGTAGCAATCAGGACGGTGTGGTATTGGCGTAAGGAGAAATAGATCAATGGGAAATTGGAAATAGAACCACACTTACATGGTCGATTAATTTTCAGCAAAGGTACCAACGTAGCTTAAGGAAAAGGAGTCGGCCACTAATGCTGCTAGGACACCTGGGAATCGATGTGGGAAAATGCCCCCTCGAAGGGTGCTAGGAAGCAGGGACTTGCTCTGACTCACATTGTCATGGGCTCCTGCTGTTGGGTGGAGAAAGGGCTGGAGGGAGGATGAGGAGCAGGAGAGTATCAGGAGGCGGTGGAGAAGGTCTGAGCCGGGAGCTGGCAGACCAGCGGGGAGAGGCGGGGAAGGGGCAGACGCTGGATATATTTAGAAGATATAGACACCTCAGACTCCACTGCCTCAGTTTCTCCACCTGGTCAGGCCTAGTGCTGCTGTGCTTTTAGAGGTGCCACCCAAGGTGCCCTGGGTGGTGGGTAGGCTCCTTGAGGAGCCCTGACCGGGTGTGAGTGAAAGGCAAGGCCATGGTGGCTGAGCCCCAGGCCGGGATCCCCTCTGGTCATGCCCCAGCCCTGGACCAGGAGTCGCTCTGCGGGGTGGGGCTGGGGCAGCGTATGGATGTCCGCCTGGCACATGGAGGGGGGCGGTGGAAAGCGGCTCATGCAGGAGGCGGCCAGTCTCCTCTCACCTTGACCCCGTGCCCAGTGGGCAGGGCCCCTGCTGGCAGTCGGGGCCCTGTTTTCCTCTCGGGAGAGCTGTGATCTCACCGCTCCTTGTGTCACCAGCGTTTGTACCACAGGAAAGGGCAGTGCCCTGGGCTGCAGCCATTTTGCAGCAATGCAAGGAGTACATGTGCCCACAGCCGTGGCCCTGGGCCTGAGGCCTGGCTCCTCCGGTTCAGCTCAAGCCTAAACTAGAGCAGAGCGTTTGGGCCAGCGCTGCCGACACTGGGTCGAGGCCTGTCCTGCCACTTGCATGCTGTGTGGCCTTGGGGAAAAACACACCCTCTCTGTGCTGCCGGTTCTTGTGTGCAAAATGGGGGCGATAGTAGCAACTTCACGCGGGGTAGTTGCAAATGCCAGTCCGGAGAATAAAGGCGCGTGGTGCTAACCGGGAGGGTGTGGCTGTGGCCAGATCCAGAGGGAATGCTGACCTTACCCCTCTTCCATGCCCGTGTCCCCCACCAGCCGCCCTTGCCTGGCCGGGCGCCCCCCTCGCCTGCCCTGACTCGGGAGCGTGGGGCCTGATGGCCTCCGCTTTCCTCTCCGCTGCTGCTGGACAGTGACATCCGAGAGTAAGACCTGAGGATGGAGCACTAATTCAAGGGGTGAAGACGTGGGCAGCTCTGGGCTGAGGAGGCCGAGGCTGCGGGGGAGGAACCAGCCCCCACACTGGGCCAGGGTTGGCTGCGGATGCTCCTCTCGGGCTTCCTGTGCGTGTGGAGGCCCAGAGGTGGCCGGCGAGTGGCCTATGGGGCCAGCTGCCATCCGCCTCCCGGCAGGCAGGTGCCTCAAGTTGCTGGTGGCACGCAGCCCCCCAGGGCTCACAGGGGAGGGGTCGCTGCATCTGGGGGGCTTGCAGAGACTTGAAGCTGCGGCTTTGTTTGGAAATTGGTTTGATGCCTTTTCCCTCCTCGAAGGACTCGCAGCCACTGAACTGGCCCGCAGGCTTGAGTGACTGGACAGAGTGCCAGGCGGACGGGTGGGGACTGGCCGGCAGAGGGACAGAGGGACGGAACCAGCAGCCTTGGCCCCGCTCTGCTGAGGGTCCCTGCCTCCGGCTGCTGCTTGTTGCAGGAAAGGGCCTGGGCCAGGGCTGCCTCCTTAACATCACCTGTCCCTGCACGTGATTTCCCAAGATGGCTGACCGCAGCATGGCCTTCGGGCTCCCACCTCCAAGGGGGGCTGGGGTGGGGTGGGGTTCAGGGCTGGGAGGACTTAGGAAGCTGGTGGGGGGTTGTCCTATGGTGCTGCCTTGGGCTGGCCCGGACCTGCAGTTGTGCTGGGCTGTGGCTGTGCTGGGCTGTGGTTGTGCTGGGCTGTGGCTGTGCCGGGCTGTGGTTGTGCCGGGCTGTGGTTGTATTGGGCTGTGGTTGTGCCGGGCTGTGGTTGTATTGGGCTGTGGCTGTGCCGGGCTGTGGTTGTATCGGGCTGTGGCTGTGCCGGGCTGTGGCTGTGCCGGGCTGTGGCTGTGCTGGGCTGTGGTGTAGTGGTTCTGCTTTGAGGCCTGCACATGGGCTGGGAGTCGGGAGGCACGGAGCCTCTAGAGGTCAGACCGGGGTCACAGCTCAGAAAGGGAACTGAAACCTCCTGTTGCCCAGCGGTGAGCTGTCAGCCAGGCTCCCAGTCGCCAGGTACTGGTGCCCTGGGCAGTGTGGGCAGGTGCCAGGCTCCAGGGAGGCAGCCAGGACCCCATCCTGGACTGGGATGGGACCCAGACTTCGTAGTGCCACCTCCGCCTCCCGGGTACAAGGTGGGGGTCACAGGACACAGTGGGCATGAGACTCACCGCGCTTTGGTCCCCACTTTGAACCCCACTCCCACCTGGAAGCGCTAGTGCGCTCCCCACACCCCCGGCAGGCTGGCAAGGCTCAGCTGCAGGGCTGCGCTCCCCTGCCCCCCGCGGGCTCCAGCCCCTGCAGGGCCCCAGGGTGGGGGGCGAGGCCCCTGAGCCCTCGGGTGGGGGGGGGGGGGCGGCAAGGGAGGGAGGCGGGGCGCGAGTGGGAACAGCTCCCAGGGGGAGGAGGGACAGGGGAGGGCCCAGGGAGGGCGAGGCCGGCTCGGCCCACGCAGGTGGCGGCGATGAACCGGGAGCCGCTCCTCGGAGGGGGCGGGCCGGGGGCGGGGCCTGACCGCGCGCAGTCCCCACGTGTCCGGGTCTCGCGCCCGCCCCGGCCCCGCTTATAACCCGGGATCCGCGCTGCAAGCGGCCCTGCTCCGCCGCCACCGCCGGACCCGGTAAGATCGCCTCTCCCCGGCTCGGACCCGGGCTCGGACCGGACGGGAGGGAAGGCGCCGACGCCCGGACTCCTGGCTCCCGGGGCCGCGGGGATGGGGACGGGGGGCGAGGCCCGGTCTGCGGGGTCAGGTCGGTGGAGTGTCCCCTTCGCGGGCCGAGGTCCTTCCCGAGTGCCCCTTCCCTGACCAGCCTCTGCGAGCGGAGGGTGCGAGGTCCCGATCTCGCCCCGTCTCTGCTCACTCCCGGCTCGGTCTCGGCCTCTCTTCTCGGGGGAAACCGGAGTTCCACCCCCCTCGCCCTCGCCCCGCTACCCCAGCCTGGGCGCACCAGCCCAGCCTCAGTTTACTACCTGGACTGCCCGGCCGCTGCCCGGGGTGGCTGGGCGCCTTCCCTGCCTTGTGCCTCCTGCAAGGGATGTGAGCTCCCTGCCCAGGTGGGCGGGTCCTGCTGGCGCTGGGCACTGGGCACTGGGCGCTGGGCCCTGGGCTGGGGGAGGGGCCGCCCCGCAGGAAATGCCCGCCATCCGGGTGGCTGTTGCCTTTGGCCCCTCGGGCGGCTGCGCCCTGCAGGGAGGGAGGGTCATTGTGAAAAGGAGGAAACTCCTCTCCCATCACACTGGGCTCTTCCTGAGGACGCCCCGTGACCCCTGACCCCCCCCCCCCCCAGGCTTCCTCTCTGGACCTGAGGCTCTCCTCCCGAGCCTGGCCCGCGGGCTGCACATCTGGGCAGAAACAAACCTGCCCTCTGTCCTGGGAAGGATCGAATCTGCTGGGGGCTTTGCGCCCTTTCCCCAGCCCAGGGCTGGAGGCAGAGGGCCAGCTCCGGGGGCCAGAGGACCTGAGCCCTGAGGGCAGGCACCCGGGGGCCAGTGGACCTGAGCCCTGAGGGCAGGCACATCTGGGTGAGGCCTTGGGTCCGCCTCTCCGCTTCCTGACCTCAGTTTCCTCCCCTGTCAGAGCTGCCAGGGCTCAGGGCTCAGGAGGAGGTCTCTGCAGACTTGCCTGGGGCGGTGCCAGGGGCAGTGCCATGCTGGGGGCAGGACAGGACCCAGGGTCCCTGCCCTCCTACCTTAGGTGCTGGTGGCAGAGGCAGAAACTGCACAAAGGGGATGGGAACTGGGACGAAGGACCTGGAGGAGTCTCCCTTAACCCCCTCCCCCTTGGCCCCTCTCGGCCTGGGCAGGGGCCCTGGATGGGGCTGTGCCAGGGAAGTCACTCTGGCTGTGCTCAGTGCTAGCCAAGGAGCGGTGCGTCCTGCCCACTGAGCGCCCAGGCTGGGCGGGCACCGGGGAGAGTGGAGGAGGAGGGCTCCCCCAAGTGCTCCCATGTGCCCCCCTCCGCTGCCTGCCTGCTCTGGGCTCAGTTGGCTCTGATAGTAACCGTTTCTTTTGGGGGGTGAGGGTGGGGGTGGGGGTGAGGAGGGGGCAGGCCCAGACGAACCTGCTATGCAAGCAGTTTTCCCTGGGCCCGGGAGGCTGCCAGAACAGCCGGAAGCCTGCCGCTGTGCACACAGCCCCAGAAGTGAGTGTCCTGCCTGTGGGCACCCATGTGGAAAGACCCTGGGGCCTGAGGCTCTGATTTCTGCTGTAAAACGCTGGGAAAAGTAGATCTCCAGCCTTGGCACCCTCCCTCCTTGGGCGGGCATCCGCCGCATTCTTGGGTAGGCCAGGCAGTTCAATGCTATTAGCAGAATAAACACATGAGTAAATGCACTCTCTCCCCACAGCCAAATGCCCGGAGGAGAGGGTTCGAGTGATGAGATTTATGCACCCTCCCTTCCACCTACCCCAGGGCCTTTTCATTGAGCCCGGGGACTCCGCCTCCCGAAGCCAAGGCAAACTCCCAAATGACCCCCAAGGCTGGGTGGAGGAACCTTTCTGGGGTGCTGGTGGCCCCAATCGAGCCCAGTGTTCCTGGTTGGTTCTCAGGCCTCAGGAATCACAGGTTCCCTCCTGCCCTCAGCTTCCTCGCCTGTCATTTTGGAAGAACATTCCCCTCCCCCCTCCCCCAGTTTGTCTCACCAACAACATGCAGATGCAATGAGTGGGGTCTGTCCAGCAACTGTTCAGGCTGAACCCTGCCAGCGCCACCTTGTGGTCAGAGTGTGGAATTGCAGGCTGGCTCCATCACACATTGATGAGGGCAGCAAAGGGGGAGTAGGAGCTGCAGTCGGAGGGTGAGGAAATCCCGAAGTCCAGGAGAATTCCTGGGGCCTAGGTGGAGTGAGGGCTCTAAACCAATGACCGCAGCTCCGCGGAGCTAGAATGTCGGAGAGGGGTTCCAGAACATTCGCCAGGCTGACATGCGACATAGAGAATGCAGACTGGTGGTGGTGCATCCGTGTAAAGGCGGGGAGAGCGCTGTGGTCTCCTAGAGGCCGAGTGTACAGGCCACAGGCAGCAAGGAGCAGGCAGTCTGCAGCCAGCCTGGCTTCTAGCCCCGCACGGCCGTGGGCAAGTCACTTCACCTATGAGAGTCTCCACCTTGAAATCACGCACGTGAATTCACGCCCGTGGCACCGGCATGGTCTCTGCTCTTGTCATCGCCCCAGCTCTGACCTTCTAGAGTGTGTGGGTTTCCTTAGTATGGGGCGAGTGCCCAGCTGGTCCGGTGCTGCCCCTGGAGGCCGGTGGGATGGCTCTGGCTGGGGCCACGGAGAAGGCCCCCTGCCTTTCCAACGTAGGCCTGGCGTCTTGTCGTGCTGCCACCTTCTTCCCTCTGGCAAAGGACGACGGGGCTGGCATCGGGAGCTGAGAAAGCCTGCCGTGGGCAGTTCATGTAGGGTGGGGTGGGGCAAGGCTGGGGTTGGGGGAGGCTGAGTCCAGCCAGGATCTGATAGACACCTTCCCCGGGCAGGCAGCCCAGTGTCCCAGCCAGAGGGTTTTCAGGTTGTGTGGACGGCGAGATGGAGGCCTGAAGCGTGAGGGGCTTGCCCAGGCTCAGCCAAGACAGTGGGAGGAGAGTTCAGCGGGCACAGGCTCCATGCCCAGCTCTGGGCTGCTTCCCCCGCATCTCCCCGAATCCTTGCAGGCCTGGGGGAGACGGGCTGCTCGCCACTGTTTTGCAGATGAGCAGCTTAAGTAACTAGAACCCAGGTCAGGAGGACCCGTTCAGTGTGCTTCCGGGCTCACTGGACCAGGGCCGATCTCCCTTCCCTCCCTGTCTACCTCCCCCAAGCACAGGCCTCCGCTTCCTTCAGCTGCTGCTCAGCTGCTGCCGCTGGGGCCTGGCTGGCTGGGAGGAGCTTCCCGGATGCTGGGAGGGCAGGAGCAAGGCCAGGGTCCGATTGCATCATTTTCCCAGGCCGCCGCCCAGCTCGTAACCTCTGGTCACACACATGCACGCACACGTTCGCTCTGAGATGCCTGCGTCTTGCACACGGCGCAGACCCGAGGCTGAGGGCCTCCTGCCCCCGCAGGGGCGCAGCCTGGCAGGCAGGAGGGCTCACGCCCAGGGTTCCAGATGCGGAGGGGATTTTAACTCCCTCTTTGGAGGTGAGGAATTGATCGCCAAACGGCAGAATAGGCAGCATTGTCCTGAGTGCCTGCCACATGCCGGGCACTGGCAGCTGGTCCCTGTCCCCACGGAGCTCACAGTGGGGGACGAGGGCAGTTGGAAGACATCATGACCTGTGCTGTGATGGGCCCCATCCGAGGCGTGGTGGGACCCCTGAGGCAGAGCAGGGCAGACAGAGGGTGGTCTGGGTTTTGATCCTGGCTCTGCCACTTCCCAGCTAAGCAGGACTTTGAGCAGGTTCTTTAACCTGAGCCTCAGTTTCCCTGTCTCTAACACAATGTAACACACATGGACTACTCAGTTTGTAATAGACATGTTCGTTATCTTTTTTAAAAATATGTTTTTATTGATTTCAGAGAGAGGAAGGGAGAGGGCGAGATAGAAACATTAATGATGAGAGGGGATCACTGATCGGCTGCCTCCTGCACACCCTCTACTGGGGATCGAGCCCGCAGCCCAGGCCTGTGCCCTGACCGGGAATCAAACCATGACCTCCTGGTTCATAGGTCGAAGCTCAACCACTGGGCCACACCGGCCGGGCAACATGTTCATTATCTTGATTGTGGTGATGGTTTCAGGGTTGCTGGGACGGATTTGTTGGATGCCCTCAATATATGCAGTTTATTGTATGAATATGCAACAGGGTGGGGGAGGGGCTGCTCCGTGGAGACAGGCAGGCCACCCGCTGCCTCAGTGGCCCCACCACGCCTCGGGTGTGGCCCGTCACAGCACAGGTCACGCTGTGTTCTAACTGCCCTTGTGTGCCCCATCCCAAGCACACGCCTCCCCAAATCTGCGTGCTCAGCCAGGCTGCTAAAAGGGGGTTCTAGTAGCTGGGAAGGCTAGTTCAGGGCCTCTGGCACCCCCCTCCCCGACCCGCACCCCCACTGAGGCTGCTGCGCCTGGACACTGAGCAGCTTTTGGTTCTGCAGAGTGGTTCGCCAAGCAGTGACGACAGATTCCAGAAGCCAGGAACCCACACCTTCACCCAGGTACCTCCTGCCTCCCTCCGCCCGACTCCCCTCCATCCTTAATGGTCTGTTGTGTGGCTGAGGTTGCCATGGGCACCTCTGCTGGCCCCAGGGGCAGGGCCTGGCAGGTGGTTGAATGGCCAGTGGAGGGGAGAGTTGTGGGTATCAATCAGATCCACCCCCAACCTCACTGTCCCACGAGGCCTCTTCTTCCAAGTCCGAAGGGCAGTAGGGACGTGGGCCCCGGGGCTGGCGGGGGCGGGGGGGACCTGTGAGACGTGAGGAACTGCATGGAGGACGTGTCTGGCCGCCGCGTCCGGCTGTGTCCAGGCTCCTCTGCACAGGGTGGGGCCATGGGGCCACCCTCCACCTCTCTGGGCCTCCAGGCACATGGGGAGTGTCCAGTGTGCAGGCGCCTGCGTCCTGGTGGGGATGGGGAGTGTGGAGGGGTGTGGCTTCAGGAGGGAGGCGTCCTCAGCTGGCCCTGGTGATGGCGAACATCCTGTGGCAGCTTGTCCGGGAATGAGGCTTGGGGGGGGGCGGCCAGGAGGGAGCTGTTTGCTGGGGCTGGCAGGTGGGGCGGGCCGGGCCGGATCCATCCCTCACGTTCTTCCTCAACTCCCTGCAGACCATGTCCGGCAAAGGCTCCGTGGTTCTGGCCTACAGTGGTGGCCTGGACACCTCCTGCATCCTCGTGTGGCTAAAGGAACAAGGCTATGACGTCATCGCCTACCTGGTAAGGAGGCGCCGAGTGTGTCTTCCTGCCTCTTCCTGCCGCCGGCTCCCCCTCTGCGTCTGTCTTGAACCGTGGGAAAGGCTCTCCCTGCACCGCCTCCCTTTCTTCCCCGTAAACCAGCGGTTCTCAACCTTCTGGCCCTTTAAATACAGTTCCTCATGTGGTGACCCAACCATAAAATTATTTTCGTTGCTACTTCATAACTGTCATGTTGCTACTGTTATGAATCATCATGTAAATATCTGATCTGCAGGATGGTCTTAGGCGGCCCCTGTGAAAGGGTCGTTCGACCCCCAAAGGGGTCGCGACCCACAGGTTGAGAACCGCTGCCGTAAACGGAGCGTCCTGGGTGTCCCCAGGCCTGGAGATGTCCCCCAGAGCACAGAGCAGGCAGCTGTCCTGTGGGGCTCACCTGAGCAGAATGCAGGGCCACGTCTGTGTCCGGGTGGGGCCCAAGCAACTGGAGGCCAGGCCGGGGCGCAGGGCCGCTGGGAGCCCGGACACAGGCCTCTCTGTCACCGCCGGCTTCAATGGATGGTCAAGTGGCTGCACCTGGCTTTGTCCTGGGGGGCGGGGAGGGGGCGGGGATTGCGGGAAGAGATAGATAGATGGTTCAAGGGAAGCCTTTGGCCTTCAAGGCAGTGTTAGCAGACGTTGCAGCCCAGCGGCTGGTGCTGCCCAGGGCCAGGCCTGGCCAGTCCTCCCCCCCCCAACCCCTCCCAGTGGTAGCTCCTGGAAATATTCAGGTGCCCTCTCTCCTCCCTGGGGCCTCACCCTCCCATGGAAACCCCTCCATTTGAGGGCTGTTATGTGGACGGCTCTTGCCCGGGGCCCACCCTGGGGGCCGACATTCCCTGGACTGATGGGCCTCTGCTCCCGCCCCTTAGGCCAACATCGGCCAGAAGGAAGACTTCGAGGAGGCCAGGAAGAAGGCGCTGAAGCTCGGGGCCAAAAAGGTACCAAGTGGGAGGCGGGTCTGGGACAGGAAGTGGGGTTTGGACATGGTGGGGTAGCAGTGGGCCTTCCTGTTTCAAAGCTCCTTGTCCCCGACTCCCTTCTGATGGGTCCTCTTGCTTCCCAGAGGGAAACAAATCCCTTCCAGGTGTGTGAGTACACACTCAGCCACTCCTCCACCAGCCAGCTCCCCATCCATCCATCTTCCTCCTCACTCACTCATCCACCTGTCCATCTCTCTGTCCAGCCGCCCATCCACTCACTCATCCACCTGTCCATCTCTCTGTCCAGCCGCCCATCCACTCACTCATCGGCCCTTTCATCTGCCCATCCACCTGCCATCCCTCATTCATCTGCACCCACACACCCTCCTCCCATCCATTCAGCAGCAGCAGCAAACGCCAGCTGAGCTCAGCACGTTGATCGAGCATCTAGCTGTGGTGCGCAGGCCCTGTGCTGGGTGCGGGGCCCATACGGTGAACGGCCCAGCCTGGTCCCTGCTCACCTGGGCTCACAATGCAAGTGTGAGCCGCTCCCGAGGGGGCGGGGGGTTCCCCTGGCACCCAGTCGGAAGCAGGTCCCTCTGCAGGGCACGTATAGCTCACCTGGAAGGCAGCCCATGTGCTTCGTGTGTGTATCTCACAGTCCCTGCTCCAGGGTCGAGATGTAGCAAAAGTAACCATCGTAACCGCTTCCAGACCATTCTTAAGTGCAGTTGGCACCGGAAGCGAGGCGTGTGGAACACAACAGCCCATTGGTGGTCGGGGGCAGGCCCCGCTGCCCACCGTGGCTTTTGCATGTAATGATTGTATCATTATATCAAATGTTTTAGCTCAGAGTCTCCCAGAAAGGGGCTTGGGGACCCCCGGGGTGTACATTTTGAGAGCCAGCATCTCTGTCCTCTGCCCACTAGATGCCAGAACCCCTTCCCAACCCAAACCAAAATGATCTCCGGGCATTGCCAGCTGACCCTGGGGACAAAGTCACCACTGGCTTTTGTGACTGACATCTCTCTACTGCTCTAGATCTTAGGTGGCAGCTGAGTTTCATTTCAGGCCCAGAATGCTGTGTTAGGAGGGATTGAAGGACCACATCTAGTGTCCGTGGGGTGGTGTATCCGGATTGATTAACAATGTCTGCCCTGAGTACAGGACAGAGAGTAAGGGAAGAGTAGGCTGGGGTTGATTAGCGATGTCTCCTCCAGATGCAGAATGAAAATCGGAGGTGCAGCTTGCCAGGGTCCGTTAGCAGTGCCTGCCTTAGACGCAGACCCTGTACATCGCCTGGGGCTCTGCCTCCTGACGAAGGCCGCCCCGCCCCCCGCACCCTGCTGAGACTCCCTCCCCTGGGCTCCCCCGTAGGTGTTCATCGAGGACGTCAGCAAGGAGTTTGTGGAGGAGTTCATCTGGCCCGCCGTCCAGTCTAGTGCGCTGTACGAGGACCGCTACCTCCTGGGCACCTCCCTGGCCAGGCCCTGCATCGCCCGCAAACAAGTGGAGATCGCCCAGCGGGAGGGGGCCAAGTATGTGTCCCACGGCGCTACGGGCAAGGTGAGGCCAGGGGCAGGCCAGGCCGGGGGGGGGGGGGGGGGGGCGGCCAGGGCTGCAGAGGGAGACGTGGGTGCCGGGTGATGGACAGCTGGCCCTTGGTCATCGTGGGTTCCCCCCATAACTGCCAGGTGCACAGCGGACGGACTGAATAGGAGGAATATTACCAGTACGTGCGTTTCCACGCGCACGCGGTGGGAGGGATGTCACCCCATTTGGCCAACTTGAGGCTGAGCGTTGGGGACGTTGCCGCTGGCCGAGGTCACAGAGCATGCGTCACCATCTATGTGGTAGAAAGGGCCAGAAACCCCGAGTTAGCAGAGGTTCAGGGCCCGTACAGCTGGGTTCAGATCCTGGCTCCCCCCCACCCCCCACTTTCACGCTGTGTGACTTCACCCACATGCAGATAAAATGGGACCAGCTCATGGGTCGGCGGGAAGTCGTGAGTAGGGAAATTCCAATAGAGGCCTGAGTGTTCAATGACAGGGACGTGCCCTGATTGTACGATGATCAGACCTGACATAGGGGCTCCTGCAGGCAGAGGAAGGTCAGTAAGAACAGCTGTCAGCGCAGAATAAAAAGCTCCTCTGTCCACGCTGACCGAGCTGGGCAGTGAGATCCCCATCCCAGGGGGTATTCAAGGCGGGAGCAGGAGACCAGGATTCTGCAAGGGCACCTGCGGGAGAAGGCTCCTCCTTCCGTGCCAGCAGGACTGAGGAAGGGTGGCATTCAGGGCTGGTAGAGTGAGTGGGTGAGTGTGTGATGGGTCTGGCCTTGGCTTGAGCGGCTCTTGGGGGTCCAGGGAGAGACCCCCAGAGTAACCCACACGCAGTAGCCACCAGCAGTTGTGTGCGCTGCTCCATTTGGCCACCAGAGGGCACCAGAGGCTTGTATTTGAGACCTTCTGGGGCCGAGACCCTGGAGGAAGCAGCTGGAGAAGGAGGCGGCTGCCCAGGGGCCTCTGGTCCCCAAGGGCTGTGGCTCTGAGGACAGCACCCTCTGTGGCGGTTGTGTGGCCCCTTGGGACCTGGGATGTCCCTGCAGGTAACACTCAGTGTCCAAACGAGGAGCAGCCAGACTGGGAACATCTCTGGGGGCCTCCACGGCCAGCATCGTCCAGAAAATTATCAAGTTTGTGGGCAGGGGAGCCCAGGCACCTGCAGGGGCTGGGGGCTGGCTGGCTGGGGGCAGGTATCAGGAGGGGGCCCTGGGGCCCCTGAAGACAGAACCAGGGCCGGGGGGCTGGGCCTGCGTGAGGCTGGCAACCCCAGAGGCAGACCCCAGTAGGACATCTTGGCAGAACATTCTGGAAGGGTTCACCCTGCAGAGAAAGAGCTGGGGTGTGCCCAGAAGCAGAGGAGATCCAGCGAGGCCGGTCCTGAGGTTCCAGCCTGTGTCTGTGTCAGCTGCTGGCCTCTCAGATGCAGGGACCTAGGGACCCCGGGGTCCTTGTTCTCGCCACAGGGTGTCACCTTCACGCATCTGTTCATTCGCTCTGTGCACTGAGTACTTGTCCAGCATGGACCTCCCTCCTCACATGGGGGCATTTGGGGACTTGGAACCCTGACCTGGCAGGGAGAGAGAGACGGTGGCACTGAGACATCCGATGGAGCAGGTGTTAGCCCCGACGCCGAGGGGGCAGGGCGCCCAGGCTGCAGGAACAGACTGTGCAAAGGCCTGGAGGCAAGAGGAAGCGTCCTGCCCAGGGCCCAGCCCGGTGGTACCTGGTACAGACTCTGACCCTGCCCCACCAGAGCTGCACAGGAGCTGGGGTAGCTCTCCCAGGGCCTCCTCCTTCCCACCAGCTTTGGAAAAGAAGCCTGGAAATCTGAGCCTCAGACTCGGGCAGGGGCGCGGGGAACGGGAGTTTGGTAAATGGCGCCATCTGCATGGCTGGCCTGGGAGCAGATGGGCCACCCCCCTCCCAGCCCTCCCAGCCCCGGTGGGTGCCGCACCCACACTTAAACACGTCTGCACGTGTATCCGCACATGGATGCACATGGTGTGTGTGTGTGTGTGTGTGTGTGTGTGTGTGTGTGACACCTACCCCGGCCCCCTGGGGTGCTGCCAGGGGCTAGCCTGGTGCTGAGGGTCCTGGCGTGAGGGAGTGGAAGGATCTGATGGGCCTTAGCCTGGTCTGGGGCAGAGTTTGAACCAAGGCAACCTGTTTGGCTTCTGGGAGGGTCTCTGGCTCTGGAACAGATGGGTGTCCCCATGGTGGGCAGACACCGGCCCAGGGTGCTGTCGGAGGAGGCAGCAGCCACCATTGTTCTGGGGAAATGTGACGCCGTGGGGAAGAGAGTCCAGGATATGCAACGCCAGACCTCGTGCCTCACAGACGAGTCTGCTTGTTGTTATAGCTGCCCCGCTCCGGGGGCCGTGCTGGCTGGGGCCCTCGGGCAGGTGGTACTGCGCCTCATCCATCCACAAGATGGGCATTAAATAGAGCCCACCTCAAAGGCTGCTGTGATCAGTGAGCTCCCGATGTGTGGAGCTACTGAGTAACTGTGAACTGTTAGGATTAGTATTGCCTGCTGGCTGTGTGACCTTGGGCAGGTGACTCCACCTCTCTGAGCCTCACACAGGGTCAAACATCCCACTGGCCCCAGTGGCTCTCCCAGGTGACAAGCAGTGTAGAGTAGGCGCTCACGAAAGGGATTGGATGGAGGGTGAGGGGGCGGCCGATCGGCTGCCGCCCGGGGCCCCAGGAGACCGGACAGGAGCAGCCCCCGCCCCTCAGCTCCTGGCTCCGCGGAGAGGGGCTGCGGGACTGAAGCCCGTGTTCCCATGGCGCCTGACAAGACTGGAAAATAACATGTTATTCCCGCCCGGCTCCGGCGCCCGTGCAGTTTTCACAGTAGGCGAAAGGTCCCTCTGTTATTTCCGTGGCGCTGTCTCCCTCCAGCCGCTGAGCTGATGGGAGGCGGGCGGGCGCTGGCAGCCATTGTCTGCCGGGGTCTGGGCTGTGCGGCCCAGGCCAGCTCTGGGGGGCGGCCTCTTCCATCATCATCGTCAGTGTCTGGGATGATGTCCCCTCACTGGGGGGCCGGGGGACCCTCACTTCACTGCCGAGGACACAGGTGCAGAGAGGCAGGGCGACCCACACAGAGTGGGCTCTGTGCCCTTGGACCAGGCCCTTCTGTCTCTGGGCCTCAGTTTCCCTCCCTATTCAGAGAGGAGCTGAGGAGCCAAGGGCCCCCGGCAGTGAGCTGGTTCCACCCGCTCCCTCCAGCCAGCCATTGTGTAGACGGGAAGCTGAGCTCGGAGAGCAGACAGGGTTTCCGCTGGATGAGGGAGGGAGGGCAGGTCACAGCATCATGGAGCCAGGCAGGGCCACGCAGGTGGGGACCTGCAGGAAGAGGCTGAGGTGTGGGCAGCTCTCCCTGCCTGGAGAAGGGCCCCCCAGCCCTGCACTCATGTGTACCCCCAGAAGTGTGCATCCCTGCCATGTACCTAGACATGCATGCCCTCCATCTCACCCCATGCCCACAATACATGTGCAACAGCTCTCTTTAATCTGCTGTGTTTCTGCATCCCCTGCACCCCACCCCGGGCCCACGCTGACACCAGTGCATGCACAGAAGTCATGGTATTCACCACACATGCCAGGCACTGGGCACCCTGTCCTGCACACCAGCTTGGCTCTGCTCGAGGCCTGACTGCCTGTGGGGCAGGAGCTGGCGTTGCTTCTTTAAGAAAGCCATTTCCATCTTCACAACAGCTTTAGGGCCCGCTCAGGAGGTTCTCAAAGAGCCATTCAGCCGCCTGCACTGAGCAGCCCACGCTGTTGACGCACAGCACACACCACCACCCCCGTTCCCACACCCCAGCTGTGGTTCCTGACAACCCCTGTTCTGTGTTTCAGGGCAACGACCAGGTCCGGTTTGAGCTCACCTGCTACTCGCTGGCCCCCCAGATTAAGGTAAGAAGTCGCTCCTCTCAGGGGGCGAGGCCTGGGGTTCTGGGAGGTGCCAAGAACAGGGACAGTGTGCACCTCAGCCTCCCAGGGGCGGGGGGGGGGGCACCTTCCCCACAGAGAGTGCCCTCCCTCACCAGCTGCCAGGGGGCAGCACTTTCTCCGAAGGGGCTGCCCAGGTGTCTGGGCCGTCAGGGCGCTGGATGGACAGATGTCGCTGTCCTTCAACCCGTGTCCTCGCCACTCCAAGGTCTGGCCTCCCGGGTGCAAGTGGCCGGTTTCTGGGCTCCCGGCAGCCCCCCTCGCCCCGGTCAGGGCCCCTCAGCGAAGGCCTGGTCCCTCTCAGCTTCCCGAGCCCTGGCCTCCGGTGTCTTGGAATCTTTCCTGGGATGGGAAGGACCTTGGGGACACCTCTACCCAGGGATGCCGCCCAGTCCTGAGAGCACGTGTCAGCGGCGCTACCTAGCCTGCCGCCACCGCCCCGCCCCCTTCAAGCCGACCTGTGTGCATTCATTCATCTCCTCATTCATTCATTCAGTATTCACTCAGGCCAGCCTCCAAGCACAAGGCTGAGCAGTAGAAATACAATGCCCGCCCCGTGGCCACGTTAAAAAAAGATAAAAGCAACGGGTGACATCTTCCTAATAAGATACGTTATTGAGCTCTATGTGTTCGACGTGTCATCGACGTAGAAAAGTTACTGAGGTGTTTCGCGGCCTTTTTCGTGCTGAGTCTTCAAGGTCCAGTGTGAGCTTCACGCTGAGCTGGAGATGGGGGCGGCCAGGCCGGGCGGTTCCCGGCACAGGTGCAGGTCTGCGCTCCTGCGAGGCCACCTCAGGCTGAAGCTCCGGGAGACGTGCCCCTCTCAAGCCCCAAGGGGCCCTAAGGGGTTTCCACTTTTTCTTCCGTGGGCGTCTTCCTCTGTCCCTTTAACCACCCACCGCCGCTCGGGTGCCCATGGCCTGGAGGTGAGCGCTAATCGCTCTAATGATCCATTTTGACCGCAGACACCGGGGCTGCGAGAAGCCCTCGGACAGTCCGGGCCGGTGCCCGTGGTGTCTGGTTTCCGAGCCTTTGTCTGCAGAGGCCAAGCCCAGGGGCTGGGATGGGGCTCAGGCAGGGGTGCAAGCTGGGCTCGGAGCTGGGGTGAGGCCAGGGATGCTCGTCCTAGGGTTGGGGGTCCTTCACCCTCCCCACCCTCACCCCCACCCCCAGCTCCACAGCCTGGAAATCACACCGGCTCCTGCATCTAGTTGGGCCGTTGTGTGAGAGGCAGGGGCAGGGTCCTGCTTGGCCGCCGGGGTGAGTGGAGACTTTTCGCTTTGAGGGCCTATCCCTGCCCCCCTCCCCCAGGCGGGTGGAATGAACTCAGTCCCCAGTCAGCCTCTGACTCTCCTCCCTTCCTCGCCTAGAGCAGCTCAGGTTCAGAAGAAGGGAAGCAAGAGAATGGGTTTGGGAGATGGTGTGTGTCATCTCTGGTCTCTACTACCCTGGAGCAGGGCCATTGGGTAGCTGCAGGACCCTGGACCCCGCGGGGGTGGGGGGTGAGGGCTGGCCCCGACCAGGGGTGCTGGTGAGAAACCCTCAGGGCTCAGTGCGGGAGACTGAGGCCCAGGGGCAGGACCCACCTGGGGACACATGACCATCCTGCCATGGAGCTTGGGCCTCTTGAAACCCACCCCCAACATGGGGGGTCCCATCCTTCCCTGCTTAGCGGGGTCCCCAGGGACTGCATCCTCTCTGGGGAGCAGCAGGAGACCCCAGGGGGCCATTGGAGTCTCCTGCCCCTTAGCAGAGAGGCCGGCCCTGTGCTCGGGGGCCAGGAGAGCCAGCAGCAGGGCCCCCAGGTCTGAGCCCTTGCCCCATGTCCAGGTCATCGCCCCCTGGAGGATGCCCGAGTTCTACAACCGCTTCCAGGGCCGCAGCGACCTGATGGAGTACGCGAAGGTAGGAGCCCGCCGCGCCCCTGGCCCTCCCTGCTGCCCCGCACGTCCCTCCCGGGGGCTGCGTGGACCCCCAGCTTGAGGCTGGGACTCACCCCCATGCCTGGGGATGGCAATCTGTCCAGCTGCCCCCCCTTTTCCGGCCACCTGTGCCCTGGGCCAGCCAGCCCCACAGAGGTGTGGTCCCTCCCTGGCTGGGCCTCTCCCGCTGCCTCCCATTCTCCTGCCACCTCTGCGGTGTGTGTCACTCAGGGGAGAGCCGGGGGTGGGAGCCGGCCATTTTCTGCCCCTCATTACCTGGCGGCTAATTGTCCCCAGGGCTCTCCCGGGAGCAGGTAGGCGCTCGGAGGAGCCGCGGCCGACAAAGGCTGTGTCGAGCCAGCCCTTTTGAAGTACAAGTTGCAATAAAACATATTAGAAGTTTTACATCAAGATCCTTAGCCTCTCCCCAGGGAACCTTTCTTTTTAGCGACGCGATGGCAGTCCTTGACAAACAGCCTCAATCAATCAGACGGGGGAGAGCAGCGCGGTGCACACACCAGAAAATTGCTCCGGTTTTTAAATAGCAGCCGCCCGGGCCGGCTGGGGGCTCGCGCTGCAGCCGGGGTGCCACGCGGTGGGGACGCGGCCCAGCCCCGCCGCCAGCATCCCATTAAGACCTGGAGTGCTCGGCGGAGAGATCTCCTGCCATCTGTTGTTTTATTATTAAGAGGGGAGTTTACAAGAGCAAGCCCATATGTTGCCAAACAAATTGTCAAATAGCAGAGCTATTAAGGGAACGGCTTGGCGAGGCCTTTTCGTCTCCCCGATCGGACAGAATCTGGAGCATGTTTCATCTTTGAGGATAATGAATTGGAACCCCCGCCCCATCCGTGCTCTCACGCCTGCCGTCAGGGTTCGAGACAGGGCCGGGCTGACCCAAATGCTGCTCTTCGTGTAAAACATGCAACCCCAAGCCAAGCTGCTCCGGGGCTCCCCAGCAAAGGTGAAGTTCAGGGGTGTCGCTGTCCCTCCTGCCCAGATTGTGGGGAGCAGGCGCTGAGCTCAGCTTCCGTCCCCAATAGAAAGTTTGCCCCCGAAAGTTGGGCCCAGGTCCCTCCTCGACCCGCCCTCCCTCGGAGGCCGGTGTCAGACCCTCTAGGAGGGAGGCAGTGGTTCTGCGCCCAGGAAATGGTCAGAATCACTGAGCAGCAACCAGGCTGTGTCCGAAATCCAGAGCCAGGCAGGACCGGGTTCGACTCAGACAGAAATCCAGGGGCTTTCGAAAGCCCTGCTGCCAGGACGCCATCGCCGAGGCCAGAGGGCCTGCACGAGCCCCATGAAAAGCACGTCTCGCTGCCCTTTCCACGTCCAGGGGAGCAGCACTCCGCACGGCCTCATCTTGTTCACTGTCACCTTCTCTTTTTATTTTATTTTTTTCCAATTTATATTTTTATTGATCTCAGAGAGAGGAAGGGAGAGGGGGAGAGAGAGAGAAATGATGAGAGAGAATCATTGATCTTTTGCCCCCTGCACGCCCCACACCCGAGATCGAGCCCGCAACCCAGGCATGTGCCCTTGACCGGGAATCAAACCATGACCTCAACCACTGAGCCACACCAGCTGGGCTCACCATCTTCCTTTTTTAAGCCAGCATTTGAGTTTGGCTGGAAAGCAGGGCTGTGTTCTGTGTACCTTGTGGAAGATGGCTCATTTCCTGTCCTCGATTGCAATGTGTCCTGGTTGGTGTGTGGGGGGGGTGGTGGCGGGGGCCGTGGGGGGGGGGGCAAGAGCCTTTGGGCAGGGACTGTTGCTATTTTGGGCTTTTGTGGTGCTGCCCATCCTGTTCTCTCCTCCCTCCCCTCCCTCCCTCCCTCCCTCCCTCCCTCTCCTCTCTCCCTGGCCTGCCCGAGGCCCAGTGGGAAAGGGAAACCTCCACCCTCACAAAGGCTGCGGGCGGCCCTGGTTTCCCAGCCCCGCAGCCTGGCAGTGCCTTGCAGGCCCCGGGGTTCCGTCTGCACAGAGTCCGGGTCCCCACCCCCGACCCCTCTGCTGGAGAGAGCTCAGGACCAGTGTGTAGATTTGACTCTGGGCAACCTGGGGGGACTCGGTTTCCCCCCAGCATTGAGCAGCCTCTCCCATTCGCCCGTGTGGTTTAACTGGAAGAACACAAACATTCTCGTGTGGCCGTGGGCCATCTCCTGGGAACGCTTGAAAACCAATCCCAGAGGGTTTTCGCCTCATTTCTTTTGAAATTCTTAAGTGATGAAGGTACCTTCCCTCCTTCCTGGGAATGAGGGCTGAACCTGGGGGAGCAGAATCGGGAGAGATGGGGTGATGCGGGTGGGACCCGTGGGGCAAGGTGCTGACAGGGGGCTCAGGGGGCAGAGTGTCCAATCTTGCTGGCTTAAAGCGGCCAGACTGGGCCCTGAGCTGCCCCCCATGCCAGGCAAGCGGGGGAGGGAGAGCAGGACACGATGCACACGCTGGTGCCCGATCCGGCCTGGTGCCCGCTGGGAGCACGGGGTCACCAGGGACCCGCCTCATCTTTCATCCAAAAGGCTGAGTGAGGTCCAGGCCAGGTCCTTGAGCCATGGACCGGGCCACTGGGGAAGCGAAGCACAGCCAGAACCAGTGGGAGGATGGGGGCTGCCTGGGCTGTTCCGCGTCGGGATTTCGGGGTCCTGGGTGTGGCACACCCTAAGTGCTTCAGGGGCCCTGGAAGTGTAAGTCCAGAATTTTCCAGAAGGAACCTCCAAATTCAGCGTCCACTCGACAGCATCCCGGACGCTCGGTCTCGCCGCTTCTGCACGGCACACCCAGCACGGAGGCCCTCGCTGCCTGGGGGAGGGAGGAGACTGCCGTGGCTCCAGGTCTTGCTTGCAGGGGGCCAGAGTTTGGGGCTGGCTGTGACCTTAAAAGAGAACCGAGGCGGCTGGGCCTGACCCTCCTCCCCGCTTCAAGCTCCCTCATGCTGCCCTGTCTCCTACCTGCAGCAACATGGCATCCCCATCCCGGTCACCCCCAAGAGCCCGTGGAGCATGGACGAGAACCTCATGCACATCAGGTATGACACCAGCCCCGTCCACAGGTCTGCCCGGTGCGGGGAGCGCCTGCCGGGCCGGCCAGGGTGTCGTGGTGGCCGGACACGAGTGGTCCCCGCCCTAAAGGAGTGGGGGGAGGACAGACGATGTCTACCCACTTGTTCCCAGCTCCACCTGCAGCCCTGCTGGGTGCCCGGGAGATGCCGGCATCTGGCCTCCTGGGTCGCGGGCGGGCCTTCTCTGAGGATGGGCTTTTGAGGTTAAAACCTCAAGGATGAGGAGGGAGCAGCAGGGTGCAGGGGAGAGCATTGAAAGCAGAGGGAACAGCATGTGTGAAGGCCCCCTGATGTGGAGCCCTGGGCCTGGGCCCCAGAGGACAGAGAAATGTCCAGGCCCGTCTTACCACCTGCAGCTCCCACAGCCAGCTGCTGGGCCCAGGAGGTGCCAGGCGAGGTCGGCAGCGGTTGCCCCGGCAGAGAAAAGGGGGGGTGGGGGAGGGGGTGTCGAGGTGTAGCCATGTCCCTCTGTCCCTCCCCTGGTAACCTCTGTCTTCCCTTTCCCTCTGCAGCTACGAGGCTGGAATCCTGGAGAACCCCAAGGTAATCCCTTCTCTGCTCTGGTGGGAGCTGCTTGGCGCCCGTGCGGTCTGACGTGTTTGTAGCCTAATTGGAAATTTCATGGGGGGCGGGCATGGGGCTGAGGCCGAGCCCTGCCTGTGTTCCAGGCCCCCCACCAGCCGCCCCCTCCATGCTGCACTTTAAGATCCCCCCACCCCGTGCTCCTTTCTAATTGCTGCTGGGTGAATAGGGGAAGGAGATATTTCAGGGCAGCACAGAGAGAGGGTGCGATTGTGCGACAATAAAGAAACAATTAGGCAGATGAGACACTTGTGGGAGGGCCCAGCCGGTGCCCACCAGCTCTCAGGCCACCGCTGCCTCAATGGGGGGTGGGCTTAGAGCCCCGGGACCCACATGTCTGGGTTTGCGCCCCATGCCTTCAGGGCAGGCCACCCCATCCCTGTCCCCCGCCTTCCCGGCTGGGCCTCGCCCTTTGAAGTTTAGGATTTCTCTCCCGGGGGGCTTCCCTTTGTATGTCCCCCGCGCACCGTGGGAGATGGGGAGGCAGGCTGAAATCTATCCTGCCAAGAGAAAAATCTCTTTGTCCCTGAGGGAACATGTCTCCACGCCCTGGCTGAGCCCCACACCCGGTGGCTGGTTTGGGGGGGGGGGGGGCGGCTTGTCTGAGAGGGGGAAGTGTGCTGTGGATGGGGGGTGCTCAGGCAGCTGGGTCTGGGGGATCCAGGAAGGCCAGCTGGAAGGGAGGATGCCCGGAGGGTTGGGTGAGGGTGGGGATCCCAGCTTGGCTCCTCGCGGGCCAGGCTCTGGGTCTGTGTTGGCGAGAGTACAGCATGTGCAGTGGCTGCTTCTGGAGCCAGGCCTGGGTTGGGCATGTCTCTGGCTTACTTCCCTTGGTTCTGGCTGTGAGCACCCTAATCGTATGGACGAGGAAACTGACGCCCTGCCAGGGAGTAGGTGCCAGGTCACCCCATCGCAGGAGCTGGCCCTCTGGCCTCTGTGGTTCCCCCACTGCCACAGCTCCCCCACCCCTCATTCTGTCAGCCCAGCTGTGTCACTCCGGACAGGCTCGCACCCTTGTCCCCTGGAGGCTGATGGCCCCATGAGGCTGCTGCCTGCTGGCCACAGGTTTTTCCAGTTCATGCTCTGCTGACCCCACGACACTCAGGCCAGCCACCCCTAATTAGCCAGTCACTCAGCGCCCAGGGGGGCGGAGGAGGCTGAGCGGGCAGAGCAGCTTCAAGGCAGGGTGTCCTCCAGCCTGCAAGGCCCGGAGCATGCTGGGAAAGCGCTCCCCACCCTTCTCCCAGCGGCGGGTGGGCTCTCCCCTCGGGACTGGGGCGCAGAGCTGAGAGCAGCCGTGGTGGGGGGCAAGTCCCTGTGTGACCGGCAGCTCCCCCACCTCCCAGGCCTCCTGTCTAGGGAGGACAGTGGGCGGATAAGTGAGCGTCAGGGAGGGTCTCTTTAAGGATTCCGCCACCCGGTCGAGGCGGGAAGGTTCATGTGTGGGTCCCAGAGGTCAGAAACCCGGGTCTGAACCCCAAGTCTGCTTCCATTGCTCTGCAACCTTGGGCAAGTCACTCAGCCTCTGAGCCTCCGACTGCTCATGCACACAGTGGGGGACCACAGCACCGCCCTACTAAGCGTCTGAAAGGCGCCGGCCTGCCCATGGCACAGGGCACGGCCTCAGTCCTGGGGCTGGGGGTCCGCCCTCCCCCCGCAGGGCCTTTGGGAGGAAGTGACCACCGTCCCCTTCCATCAGGACAGGCTGGGCTGGGTGGGCCCAGGGGGAGACCTTCTCGCCACGGCGCATGGAGCAGCCGTCCCTCCGAGGGTGAGGGCCCTGCTGGCCGCGGCTCCCGGCTGCCCCAGGTCCCCCATGCGTCTCTGGACCTGATGTGGGGGGGGTTCCTCTGAACCCAGAAATGAGGAGGGGCAGCAGTGAGGGGCCTGGGAGACACGTTGCTCCCTGAGCTGCCCGGCCCCCTGGGGAGGAGCTGGGGAGACAGCTTCGGGGGCCTGGGCCCCCTCCCCCTCGCCCAAAAAAGCCGGAGACCTGTCGAAGGGAGGGTGTGGAGGCAGATGGTGGAGCCATTTTCTGCCTCCGTGAGGGCTGATTGAAGAGCAATGAGGCAGCTAATGCGAAGAAAGATAGAAATTTACTTGCTTTAACTTCATAGGGCCCACAGTGAAAGGGGCATTCAGTGCCGGCCGCCATATCTGACGGATGAATAAACCATCCACAGCATCGATCATGCCTCTACATCATGGTTCAGTTCACGGGCCATTTGCTCCCAATCTCTCCTCCTCGGCCTGTTTCATGCTTTCTTTCGCCTGCTCCCCCCGGCCCCCCACCCCTCTCTCTCTTTTTTTTCTTCACTGTCTTCCCTCCCTCCCCAACAGCCTCCCCCCAGATGACATTGGAAGTGAGCCCTCCCGCTGGGATGGATAAATAGATGGTATTGATACTCGGCTACAAACTATTTGTCATTTGAACTGGGCTTTGAGGAGGGAGAGCGTGAGCCACCTTGGAATGCAAAGCAAATGTCACTTTACTTCTATTTAGTTATTTTCTTTAATTGGCGCTGTCAGGGTGTCGGAAGCCGCCACCGGCTGCCTCCTACTTCCCCGGTGGAGTGCTGGGGCGCTGTCCTCGGGGTCTTGCATCCTCTCCTCCCGGTGCAAACCTTCCCATCCTGTGGCAGGAGAGAGGGACAAGCAGAGGGTCGGGCACAGCGGGGTGGAGGTGGGAGGGAGGCGGGCTTGGGTGGAGGGTTCTGGGTGCTCAGGGATGACACCCCAGTTTGAGCTCAGCCTGGACTGGGGGGCCAGAGAGGAGCCCTGGGCGAGTGAGGAGAGGCTGCTGAGTCATGTTGGTCACCCAGAGACCCAAGTTCGGGTTCACTTGCCCAGGGATGGTGGGCAGTGGGGCGCAGTGGGGCTGGGGAGCATTTCTCTGAACCCCCCAGCTGCCTGCCCCCATGCCTAACCACACTGGCTGTCTTTGGCCACCCCCCTCATGCTGTTTCTCAGCCCTCAGGTCACTAAAACGGCTGGGAAACAGCATGGGGCGGTGCAAAGAGCACTGGACAGGGAGTCCAGACTTCCCGGGACTGGCTCCCACACCAGTGGGGTCAGGCAGTCTGATTTGAACAATCACTTCTTTGTCCTTGGTTTTCTCTCTGGTCCATGGAGACATCAGGCTGGGGGCCCTTAAGGACCCAGTTCAAATGACAGTTGTAGCTGTAGTTGATTTTGGGTCCTTGTTCCTGCCCCACATATGGACACGGTAAGGAATGCGGCTGGCCCCAAGTCACGTGACACTTGGAGGTGCCAGGGGCTCCGGCAGTCCCCGTAGGAGCTCAGAAGTAGTGCCCAGGACTGAGGGGTTCCTCAGGGGTGTGGAAACTGGGGTGGCCATTCACCCTTCCAGAGAGCCAACAGGCCGAGTGCCCTCAAGGCGCTCTGATGGCCCACCCATCCTGGAGGGGGCATCACCAGGCTCCACTCCGCTGCCCTTCCCACCTGCAGAGCGGGGGATAGCTGGCGCCAGGCCTTGCTGGCATTTTCCTGGGTGATTTCATAGCCAGGAAAGACTCTCCCTGAAGTGGTCAGACAGTCCCAGGCAGGTCATTTCTTCCATCCTACATATGAGGCTGCTTGCCCAAGGCCCCAAGCCTGAGGCCTTGACTCCACCGCCCTGAAACCCAGCACATGTTTGTTGAGGACCTGGTGGGTGCCCTGCCCTGGCTGCAGCTACGGCCCCTCCCCCTCGGCCTCTGTCTTCATCTGTAGATGGGGTAACAGTGCTTGCCCAGGGTGCTGGAAGGACTCGAAAGAATCTGTGCATGGACAGGGGAGTGGGAGTATTTGCAGGGTTTTAAAGGCAAAGATTAAGGCACTGCTCTTCCCAGGATGTCAGCAGGTGGACAACGGCTGGGCCTGGGGTGCCCACAGCAGGCCATGAGCAGTCAGGCCCGAGAGGCCCCGTCCTACTGGCACAGCGTCCAAGCCAGAGCCTGGGGGGGGGGGGGGGGGGGGGGGGCAGGTGCGGGGAGCCGAGGCCTCAGAGACAGGAGGGAATTTTGAGAATTCCAGGCAGCCGGCCGCCCTCCGTAGCTGCGTGGAGACGCGAGGCCCATTTTCTGACGCGCCCAAGGAAAAATATACATAAGGGTTGATGTGTTTTCAAATGGGTTTTTGCTTTGCTTTTCTGTTCTCTCCCTGTGAGTATTAACCTCGGGGACCCGGGGCCGGCTCGGCCCGCTGGAGCACCTGCTGGGGTCACGCGTAGTCATTAGCTTTGCGGTCAGTGCAGAATAAACCCCAATCCTGGGAGCCTGCGAGAGCGTGCGCGCCCGCTCCCGGGAAGCCCGCCAATGCGCCTCGCGCCTCCAGAGTCGCCCTTTTCCTGCCTGACTTGTTCCTCTCCTGCTGTATTCTACCTCCAGCTGTGGGGGCGTCGAAGGAAGAGATGAGATCAAGTTGAGGGGAAAAATTGTCTGATTTCTTGCGCCCTTTGTTTCCCAGGCCCCTGGCAAGCGGGGCCGGCTCGGGCTGGGGGCGGGGAGGCCTGCTGGACTGTGCCAGCGGCCCCCGTTTCTGGAGAGGGGTGGTGATCTCTGCAGGAGGTGGGGTGCAAGGAGTCAGGGTCCGGCATGGCGTGATGTGGCTCTGGGCACCCCGGTCACTAACCTCTTTCTGTCCTTTGTCAGAATCAAGCCCCTCCAGGCCTGTACACAAAGACCCAGGACCCAGCCAAAGGGCCCAACACCCCTGACATCCTTGAGATTGAGTTCAAGAAAGGTAGGTGGTGGCCCGGCCCACGTGGCTCAGTGGTTGAGCATCAACCTATGAGGTCACGGTTCGATTCCCGGTCAGGGCGCATGCCTGGGTTACGGGCTCCATCCCCAGGGTAGGGTGTGCAGGAGGCAGGCGGTCGATGATTCTCTCTCATCATTGATGCTTCTCTCTCCCCGCTCCCTTCCTCTCTGAAATCAGTAAAATATATTTTAAAAAGAGAGGTAGATGGCCGCCCTTCAGAGCTTGAGAGGATGGGCTCGGGGCCCTGGCTCCTTATTGCATCCTGGAAGGCTGGGCACGAGCCCTTGGCACCCCTCCTGCATTTCTGGAGGTCAGAGTTCTGGCAGGGGCTTCGATGGCTCCCCACCTCCCCCTTCAGACCCATGGAGCCTCCAGGCTTGGGAGGAAGGCACCTCGCCTGCTGTCCACCAGCTCACAGGCGCCAGGTTCACTGTGAGAGCGTTCCAGCCCGAGCAGCCACTTTGGGGAAGTCACTCGGCTTAGAGAGCTGGCCCGAGGGCCGCACTGACCCCACAGCTACGGCCTCAGCTAGCCCCCAGTCAGCTGCTTGACGCTTCGCCCACGCCCCAACCCGGGGTCCAGACCCCACTCTTGCTTGAGTCCTGATCTCCATCCTCACTGCTCTCACCAAGAAGTGTTTGCTGGCCTGGCCTGGGTGCCCAGCCCTGGCACCAGGGACACCCTTAGCTCTGGTGGACGGAGGGGAAGGCAGGGCAGGGCATACCTGGTCATGGGAGGAGCAGGACCAGGCTCGGGCTAAAGCAGTGGTCGGCAAATCGCAGCTCGCGAGCCACATGCGGCTCTTTGGCCCCTTGAGTGTGGTTCTTCCACAAAATACCACGTGCGGGCGCGCACATACAGTGCGATTGAAACTTCGTGGCCCATGCGCAGAAGTCGGTTTTCGGCCTGGGCGAGTCTATTTTGAAGAAGTGGCGTTAGAAGAAGTGGGGGTACGTTCGCTGAGGTCGACCCCCCAGATTGAGGACGTTTTTAGCAAAGGCCAGCTCAGGAGTACCCTAATTAAGTTAATAACAATGTACCTACCTATATAGTTTAAGTTTAAAACATTTGTCTCTCAAAAGAAATTTCAATCATTGTACTGTTGATATTTGGCTCTGTTGACTAATGAGTTTGCCGACCACTGGGCTAAAGGCTCGGGTGGGAGGAGAGGGCCTTTCCAGGAGGCTGGGGAAATCAGGGAGGCTTCCTGGAGGAGGTGGTATACTGGGCAGGAGTTTGAGGAACCGAGAGGGGGCGTGAGGCATGGAGGCTCTTGGAACTTTAATTATTGCCTCTCCCTGGCCTTTCCCAGCAGCCTTGCCGAGACAGCGGGCATGTTCTTCCTCCCCATTTGTTCACACCCTTGAGTTTCATGCACTTGGGCACCTAAGGATTCTCGGCCTGAGGCCCCTAAAGGCAACTGGAGCGCTAAGTCCCTCTTGTGCCCACTCTGTCGGGCCCAGCCGGTTGGGACATCATCTCTGAGAAGATGGTGGGGCAGACCCAGGTAGTCCCCCCCTCTCCCCTGCCACGACCCCCCAGGAGCTCAAGAGAGCCATGGGGGCGAGAGAGCCGGACAGGAAACGTGATCCATTTTCATGATTCGGGGACTGTCTGGAACAAAATAGACGGGAGGAACCCTCCCCGGCCAGTCCCCATTCACCCGCTAGTTAATTTATTTGAAGTTTTAATCTAATTATTAACTATTTTAAAGGCTAAGAGGCTTTCTCTGGCAGCAGCACCAACAATGTCAGCCCCTTTCTGGGGCAGGCCCCGTCCACGGCTGGGCGAGGGAGGGGACAATGGGGCGGAGGAGGCAGAGAAAGGGACCCGGGAGAGGCGGGGGGTGGCAAGAGGGGCTTAAGGTTCATTATTGGGCAGACTTACATTTAATAGCAATTTACAACCAAGTTATAAAACCCCTGGAAATGGGGGTGAAGAATGGGGCGGCTGACAGCGCCTTGAGCGAAGCCCCTCTGAGCGGCGCCCGGCTAATAAAGACTCGAAAGCCGCTATTGAGCCCTGATTGGCACCCGGTCGCCGGCTCCATGGTAATGAGCTGGGCAGATGGGTGGGGGATTAGCCGCCAACTTTGAACAGCCTTTCTTTGTCACTGTTACAGCTCTCTTGTTAGCCCCCTAATACATTTATTGCTCATTTCACACCGCTCGAGAAAGTGCCCCTTGCTATTCAAAGTCAACCCCGAACCCACCCACTGGCCCCCCCCTTCCACCCCCTTCGGTCCCTCGCGAGCGGCCGCCTCCCTCCTGCCCTCCTGCCACCCCAGACCCCACTTCTCAGAATTCAGGGTGCCTGCTGGAGCAGGCACCGTCTCACCCCCATCAATCAGATGGCTGCGTGCGGGACTGGGGTGTAGGGCCGGGGGCCGGGGGTCTGCCTGACAGACACGCAGGGTGTGTGTGTGTGTGTGTGTGTGTGTGCGTGCACCTCGGCCGGGCGGCCCCCCGGTAACTGGTGGGACAGAAGGTGCTCCTGGCATAAGACAATGGTGGAGCGTGAAATTCAATTAGTTCAGGGCCTGGTTCCAATTTCACAGCCCCTAAATGCAAAAGGGGCAAGGAGAATGGGAAGGGTGGGGGAGAGCGTTTTTATTGCATTTTCCCTTTCATTCCGGGGGGCTTTCTCGCCCCTCCACTCCCCCCAGCAGGCCTCAACCTGCACAGGGCTTTTCACGGAGTCATTTGGAGTCCATATCTGTCACATCCATTTAAGGCGTTGCGGGCGGAGGGAGAGGGCGGGGTGGCAGGCCCGGCTCCCCCGGAGCTCCAGCCCCAGGCCCACTGCCTTCCCCTCCTGCCTCAGGGGTCCCCGTGAAGGTGACCAACGTCAAGGACGGCACCACCCACCGCTCGTCCTTGGAGCTCTTCGTGTACCTGAACGAAATCGCGTGAGTGTCCGCCCCGCCCCGGGAAACGCTGTCTGTGGCCAGCACGGGCCGGCCATTGCGGCTGGTGGTCCTGCCCAGGGGCCCCGGAGCCAGGCCTGCGCCCCACAGGCAGCCTGGCCACCGCCCCCCTGTCTCTGGTTGGAGTCCCTGTGGCCCTGTCTTGGAAGGTAACACCCCAGGGGGTCTCCTGCACCTCGGAGCAGCCCCCTGGAGCCTCCAGCTCTCGGCTGGCTCTGGGACCAGGAACGATGAGTAGAGGTTGGGGCTGGTGCCACGCAAGGTCCAAATAGGGAGGTCACAGCAGTTACGCCGTAAACCAGTGGTTCTCAACCTTCTGGCCCTTTAATACAGTTCCTCATGTTGGGACCCAACCATAAAATGACTTTCGTTGCTACTTCATAACTGTCATGTTGCTACTGTTATGAATCGTCATGTAAATATCTGATCTGCAGGATGGTCTTAGGCGACCCCTGTGAAAGGGTCGTTCTACCGCCAAAGGGGTCGCGACCCACAGGTTGAGAACCGCTGCCTTAAACTCACCCTGTGACAAGCGACCTCTTCTGTGCCTGGGCCTCAGTTTCCCCACGTGTACAGTCTTCTAAGTCTGAGGACATCTGAGGGAATGCCTGGCGTCCTGCCTGTGGCCCTGGGGCGGGCATAGCCCAGATGTGCCCCAACTGCGGCCGCGGGTGGTGGCGTCGAGGCCGGGCCGGTGGCAGCGCCCGGCCCCGAGTGACCCGCTCTCCCCACAGGGGCAAGCATGGCGTGGGCCGCATCGACATCGTGGAGAACCGCTTCATCGGGATGAAGTCCCGAGGTGAGTCTGCCGCCCCCCGCGGGGCCGGCCTCGGACCCGGGGGCCCCTGAGGTCCCCGTCCCGTTCAGGCATTGCGACTCCCCTGCTCCATCGGTGACTGGGCCAGTCCCTTCACCCCCACCAGACTCAGTTTCCCTCCTGAGATGGGGGTGGAGGGTGCCTTGCCACTGGCTTCGGAGGGTTTTGTGGGAAGAGCTGTCCCAGGGCAGGGAGGAGCCTGGGGGTCCAGGAGGGCAGGCTCTTCTGGGCCCGGTTCTGAGGCAGACGGTGCAGGGCTGATTTGGTGTCATTAAGGCCGGACAGAGGCCGGCTGGCAGGTAGGGGGGTCCTGCCAGAGAGGGCGCCGTGGGCTGCACGGGCGCTGTGAGCAGCCCGGAGGTGGTGGGTGGGGGCTTTTCTAGGCCAGGGCTGCCACCTCGGCTAGACTGCCCAGCCCCTACCGCCTCTGGCCAGGCCAGGAGGGAGGAGAGTTTGGACCCCAAGCAGGCGCCTCTTTCTTCTCTTCGTATCAGAGCCTGTGACCCCCTTTGTCCGTCACTCACCCCGTCCTCGCCACCACACCCTCCCCTCGAGGACCCAGTTTCCCCATCCATACCAGGGGGTCTTGGCTCCCTGTGGGCCTGGGAGTTCCAAGCGGGAGGGGGCCAGCTTTCAATAGTGAGAGCCCTGGAACTGGGTACCTGAACTTTTAAATACGGCCATGGGGTTGGGGTTCCCTGTGTTGGCAGGTGTTCATATCGCTTTGCTTAGGGTCGATCTAAAAAGATAACACAACCAGATAAATCCAGGCCGAGGTGTCATCATGGCCTTCGCCCTTCAAGACGTTTAACGAAGATCCTAAAATCCAAAAAGAGCTGATGGCAGATTTCAGCTGTTGGAAAAGGGGGCTGGTGCGGGAGGCAGGATGCTGGGGTTCTCACCCCAGCGGGGCCCTGCCCTGCCCTGCCCAGTGACCTTGGACTTGTCATTCCTGGGCCTGTTTCCCCAGGTGCCGTGCGATAGGCGCGTGTGCGGGGAGTCCATCCTTGGGGCTCTGAGCTGTTAGGGTTTGCCTCCAGAAGTGTGGGGAGTGGCAAGTGGCCTCGGCCTCTCCTCTGTGGGGCTGGGCTGTGATGGAAACAACCTAATTGAAACTCTCTTGGAAAGGCCTTGCGGAGAACAATAGTGCTGATTAGCTGCTGCCTTTTACCCTCTCTTACCTTTGTCTCTTACCTCTATTCACATCTGATTAAAAGCCCTTTTGTCTCAGTCTGCCCTTGGGAGCCCTCACAATGTAAGCCCTCTGAGGCAGACCTGGGAGGGACCTTGGGGAGCCTGAGACCAGCACCCTCAATGTATAGAGGAGAAAGCGAGGCTCAAAGTTACAGGCACGGGGGCGGCAGGCCCTGGACAGATGCCCCAGATCCAGACAGGCTAAGAGCTTTAGTCTGGAGTGTGGCCCATCCAGGTTCTAGCCCGGGTATTGCAGCAGGACCTGGAGCAGGGGAGGTGCTCCACAAATGACTGTGGCCCCAGGAGGATGCTGAAAGGACAGGGTAACCTATGTCCTCTGGGAGCTTAGAGGGGTCCACTAAGGGCCCTATTGTCATGCCCCTCCTGTGCCCTTGGCAGGCATCACTAGTTGATTGTGGATGTGTCTCCGTGCATCAGGCAGTCATGACCAGTCTATCAAGATTGATATTTATGGTGAAAATGAATTTCCTTATTGGGAAGCCAAGCACTGGCCTGAGGTCACTCTGAGGTGGCCTCCTGCTAGGCAGGGAGAGCCAAGCAAATTGGAACTGAAGGAGGTAGTGATAAAGGCCTGGTCTGGACTGTTCTGGGAAGACATCCTGGAGGAGGTGGCAGGAGAATAGGCATCAACCGGTAGATTATGGGCTAGAGAAGGTGGATCGGGAGGAGTAGGAAAAGTAGGAGGTGCCCCAGGTGGCCAGTTGGGTGGTGGGTTGGATCTGATGGGGGCTGAACCCCTGGGGACCTGGCAGAGGTTGGTATAGAGCAGTGATGGCGAACCTATGACACGCGAACTCATTTTTTTGGTTGATTTTTCTTTGTTAAATGGCATTTAAATATATAAAATAAATATCAAAAATATAAGTCTCTGTTTTACTATGGTTGCAAATATCAAAAAATTTCTGTATGTGACACGGCACCAGAGTTAAGTTAGGGTTTTTCAAAATGCTGACACGCCGAGCTCAAAAGGTTCGCCATCACTGGAATAGAGGGTCTAGGCTTTGGTGCCCGGCTTGAGTCCCCATCCTGGCTCCATCACCACTGTGAAAGCAACAGCCTCCATGAAACCCAACTTCTTCTGTGAAATGGGTTGTGTTAGGTCAAATCTGGAGAGCTCTTGGCCCACCATAGGTGCTGAGCCTGGATGGTAGACTCCATCTTTTCCCCAGAACTGGGCGCCATCACCATTGCAGGTCAGAGCCAGGAGACTAGCAGGCAGCTCTGACTTCTTTGGTAAGAATGCCACCCACCAGCGGGACAGATGCCTGCCCTAGAGCCTGCACCCGGCCCAAGTAGTGTGTGTGTACCCGAGGGGGCCTCGAAGCACAGGATGCCGTCACACAACTTGCTGTGTGGCCTCAGGCAAGTTGCTCTCCCTCTCTGAACTCCAGCCGTCCAAGGTGGGGCAAGACGAGGTGATGTTGTCATCTCCCTTTGGAAGTTCTAAGTCACCTATTTTCTTACTTGGTTTGGGGGGTGAGAGAAGAAAACTGTTTCCTAATTTTAGGCGGTATCTTGTTATTTCTCCACTCCCAGTGATTTGTAGCGAGAAGGAAAGAGCGGGGCAATAAACTGGGACACTATGGATTCTCCCGCGACGGGGTGTCTATTAAGTCTACGGTAATGGGAGAGGCTGCTAATTGCCAACTCTATTGAGGGCAGAGCAGGAGGACTATTGTCCGTATCTCTGTGACAAGGGGAAATGACACTTGTATCGATTTTACAAAGCTCATAATTGCAATTCGTTAAGGGCTTGTTTATTTGTGTTGTGTTTCGTTTTCTTGTTTTTATTTGGTTGGTTTTCTGTGTGTTTTTCCCCCAGGAGTTGGGGTGTCAGAGAGTTGGGCAGTGCCGGTGCGCTGGGTCTGAGGTGGCCGGCTCAGTGGCATCGGGGGCCGTGGGGGCAGGGGGCAGGGGGCAGGGGACTGGGGAAGCCGCAGTTGGAGTAGCTTTCGCTGTATTGTGGCTGTTCACATCGTCATTATCACATTATCTTTTTAACTCTGGAGGGGGGCTAATTAAGTGAAGTAAATGAAATCAGTGGGGAGGAGCAGGGGGGCAAGGCAGGCAGGAGGAGAGCAGGGAAGGAGCCAGCTCATGTCCTTCGCTCACCTTGCTCCTCTCCCAGCCTGGCCCCCCAGATCTCAACCCTCCTTCCCCTTCCTCCTCCTCCTCCCCCCCTCCCCCTCCTCCTTCTCCTTCTCCTCCCCCTCCTCCTTCTCCTCCTCCTTGCCAGCTTTCTCTGCCCTCTATTCTTTCTCTTTCACTCTTTAACCTTCTCCCTCCAACCAACCCATCCCTCCCCTCTCCTAACTTCCTCCTTATTCCTCTACATTCTGGCTAAGAAGGAACAAGGGCTGACTGCCCACTTACCCACCTGCCCACCCACCAAAAGCTTCACACAGATGGAACCTTCCAGGTGGAGAAAGGAGGGAGATCTGCAGAGCAAAGGCATTTGCCCTTGCAGAGGCCTGGAGTAGCCAGCCCTAGAGGCCCACCCTGACTCCCAGGAGCATAGAGGATGGCTAGAGTCCCACCATCACTTGCCTCCCCGTCACCATAGCAACTGCCTCTCTCCTTGGCCCTGGTACCTACCAGGGGAGTCCTTGGGCTCCAGCCAACCTCCCTTCCCCGGGTGTTTCCAGATCCTTCCCTCTGGATATCGCTTTCCCCAAGGACCAGAGCCTCTGGTACAGGTGCCCGTGCCCTCGCCCCCACCCCCGGCCTCCGGCTGAGTTCGGATCCCGCTCAGTTCTGCCAAATTGCTCAGTCTGGGCTAACCTGGCAGCCTCGGGGACCGATGGGAATGGAAGTGGCAGCAGCTGTTTTGGTCCCCACCTCTTCCTTTTGGTCCAGTCTCTTGCACCCCCGCCCCCAGCCCCGCAGTAATTATGGTGTGATTGAAGCCGCTCCGCGGAGAACTGCTGACACCTCTGTCTTTTTCCTGCAAACACGGGGAGATGAAAATAGACACTTGGAACCGCTGTGCGTGTCACTCCGAAGATGTCTGTTGTCTCTTCCACGCGACGCCGAGTCTCAGCTGTCATTTCCTCCTCCTTTTGCTCAGTGGTTTGTATGCTGACTGTCAAAAGCCCCAAATCCATAGTCTTTTAGCATCAGGTTTCTGTCACCGGTTTTTTTCGTCATTTTTTTTCTCCAGAAGAAATACACAGAAATCATCTACCCTTACCCCTGTGGAGAGGAGAGATCTTAAGATTCTCTCTCTCTCTCTCTCTCTCTCTCCCTCTGACACACACACACACACCCCAGCAGCAGCAACCAGAAAACAAGCTTTTGATCAGTCACAATTAACTTTAACACCTTCGTAGAAAAGGAGCAGGAATATTAATTGTGCTGGTGTGTCCCGTGGCTGCCTGGGAGGGTCGACAGCCGGGAGGCCGGTTCTGAGGGCTCAGGAGGGGGTAGCTCTGCCCACCAGGCACTCGGGGACAGCACGCCACCGGCCTTGTGCCCTCTCTGCACTATTGGGAGGCGATGCTGGGGAGTTGCCTAGAGACAAAGCCATCAGTACGCATGCCCCACGGGGTGGGGTGAGAGTAGGAAGAGAGAGTCTGGGCACGTACCTTCAGGCAAGTGGCGTGGGACTTGTGGGCCCCAGCCCCGGCCCTGCAAATACAGCTTCCGCCATGCCCCACACTGGCCCCGCCAAGGCCAGGAAGATGGGGGGCGGAGGACAGGTTCCCCAGGAAAGAAAGTGAGCCCGGCTGTATCGGCCTGCCCACGATGGCGGGACGGGTGGGGGGGGGGGGGGGGACTGCCAGTGTGTGGGCTGTTTTTTTCAAAATGTGGTGAAACTAATCATCAGAAGTCTGTTCCCAAACCAATGAATCCTGAGTTCCGGGTCTGCCCGGCTGAGGAGACCGTAGGCCTGGACATGATCTTGCTTTAGGCGACTCTTGAGAAACGGCTTTATTCTTGGGGATAAAGCTCCTGGGGCTTGAACACTGACCGCTTTAGCATTGTGGCTGCTGTTGCCATTTTGGAGGCGGGCGTTCCCAAACGCTCAGCACACGTTTGGCTCTGCGGAGGGCTTTCCTCGGTCCATGTGCCCGGCGCCTGCTGGAGACTGTTGGAATCCTGGGTTTGCAGCTAGAAGTTGGGAGAACACGGGGTGATCCTAAAAGGCCAAGTGCTTCCGAGTTGGGACTTTCCTGTGATCCCCAGGCTTGAGTCCTCAGGGGGCGGAATTCCTGGCTGGTCCCATGACTCAGCCTCCTTTGGATCTGAGAGTTGAAAACAGTCTCCTTTTAAGTTTTTGCAGTTTTTAAAGGATGGTTTAAAATTAAGGTAAAATATACATACCATTAAGTTTACCAGTTTCATCGTTTTTAAGTGTCCAGTTCAGTGACATTCGGGACATTCACACGGTTGTGCAGCCGCCGCCATCCATCCCCAGAACTTTCTCCTCTTTCTGAACTGAAATTGTCCCCCACTAAACCCTAACTCCCCCGCCCCCCGCCCCTGGCAGCCAGCAGTCTCCTCTCTGTCTCCTGAATCTGACGTCTGGGGGCCTCCTGTCCGTGGAATGGCGCTGCACTTGTCCTTCCGTGGCTGTTCTCTCACTCAGCATCGTGTCCTCGGGCACATCCCGCGGCAGCCGGGGTCAGAGTGCCCGTTAGGTCGGGGGAGAACATGTCCTTGTGTGGCTGGACCCATGTCGATCCACCCGGCCGCTGACCGGCATTTCCGCTGCTCCCACCTTTTGGCTGTTGTGAGCAGCGCGGCTATGAACACGGGTGTGCAAATCCTTTCGAGGTTTTTGGTGTGTGTTTTTAAGGCGGCAGCGAGTTTGGAAAGGCGATGGTGGTCCATTGTCAGGCTAACTGAAAACTTGCCCCTTTCATGCTGTGACGTGGAGAGGAAAAGGCACTTCCTGGGTAGCGTCCGTGGGGTGGAGCAGTTATGGCCCCTCCTCCACTGGGTCGGACGGGGCAGTTTGAACAGGGTCAGCTGCACATGCTCAGGTGAACTCATTCGAGAGGCCGCGGCGCTGGGCCAACAGGGCTCTGGCCATGTGCGTGGGCGACCCCGCCTCTCAGTGCCTCGTGTCCTCCCGTGGAGCGGGGTGCTGCCCGTCGGACATCCCGCAGGTCCGCTTCCTCCCGTCTGGTCCAGGCGGGCTGTTCAGCAAACGGAGGAACCAAGCCCGAGGCGGTGGGCAGGGCACTGAGCAGGACGGTGGGTTTGGGCCCGCACCGCCGGCTGACCCAGCGCAGCAGACAGCACCGGCCAGGGGCTCGGGGCCTGAATTCAGTTTCCAGCCCCACCTTGGACAGGTCCCTTTGCAGGCCTCGGTGTCCCCGCCGGTGCAGGCCTAGGTCACACAGCAATGCTGAGCCCTCTCAGGAAAGGTGCAAGTGGCAGGGGACTTCTGGGCCCCAGCCCGGCCCTGCAGATACAGCTTGTGCTGGGAGTGTAGCTCAAGGTCAGGGTCGCTCTGCAGAGACACGGCGCCACGGGCAGAGAGAGGCCTGGCCTGCGTGCACATGCGGGGACACGTGTGCGCACAGCATCCCTTCCCTGGCTCCCCGGTGGAAGGGAGGAAGGGATATTTGGGGCCCTGGGCTCCTCCGTCGTCGGTTTAATTACAGGTTTTCAGCCGCGGGCCGGTGGGCACGCATTGGGAAGGAGGGGGGCAGCTCCGAACCCTGTCATTTTCCAACGTCTGCGGCCTCTTCAAAGGGGGGCATCCAGACATTTTCTCCGCAAGCCGCAGAGTGGACTGTCGTGGCCCCAGCATGAACATAATGACAGATGCATTTTGCAGCAAGCTGGGAGTGAATGGGTCCGACCGGCTTGTCTCCTGTCAGACGAGTCATTATTATTTTTTTTTTTTTGTCATTTGCTGACAGTTTGGGTTTCATGTGTTTCTCTCTTTTTTTCTCTTTTTCCCCCTGCCTGGAAAAATGGCTAGGTATCTACGAGACCCCAGCAGGGACGGTCCTTTACCACGCTCATTTAGACATCGAGGCCTTCACCATGGACCGGGAAGTGCGCAAAATCAAGCAAGGCCTGGGCTTGAAATTCGCGGAGCTGGTGTACACCGGTGCGTAGTCCCCGCCGCTGCCCCTCCCCTCCGGCCCACCCCGCCCACGCCCACAGCCCCAAACTAGCAGGTCAAAGGAGGTCAAGTGGGGACAGGAGACGAGGGAGCGAGGAGGGGATGCCAGGCCCTGCCCAGCTCATGGGGTGTCGAGGGAAAGGTGCCGGTCCCCTGAGGTGTCTGCTGCCCCCGCCACCTGCAGTCTGTATGACTCCAAGGATGCATCCGGGGTCCCCCCAGGCAGCTGATCTTTATTCAGCAGGTGCCAGTGCTAGGCACTGAGTGGGGACAAGCGCTGTCCCAGGGGGTCCCCCCAACTCTCCTAGGAGCAGCCAGCTCCTTTTACAGATGAGGAAATTGAGGCTCAGAGTGGAAGCAGTGTGTACAAAGGTACACAACAGGAAGTGGCCTCGCTGGGTGTGACCCTAGGCCAGGCTGTCTCCAGGCAGAACCTGGAGCTCCTACATTAAGCAAGGGAAAGGCTGCCTCAACCAAGACCTCGGCCCCAGGCCCGGGCAGCGCGTGAGCCAGACCTTAACCGAGGAATCACCAGGACCGCCACATGCCCAGCCTGTGCGTGGGTGACGTGAGCACGCAGTGCGGGCGGGTTCCCACTTCCCAGGCGAGGAGACTGAGTTTCTGTGCCTTACCTGTTGTCACGGGGTTGGGACCCAGGCCTTCTGACCCCACGCTGTATAACGCAGTCCTCAAACCTGGCCCATCACCGGTTTTTGTTCAGCTCGTGAGCTAAGGCTAGTGTTTATATATATATATAAGTGGTTGGGGGACATTTTTTAAAATGTTACCCCTTTGTGACACGTGGAAGTTTCTACAGGGGTGCAGTGACTGTGAGGAGTGTTTGGGTGGGGCCATGCTCTTTTCACAGGTCGTCTCAGCAGGGACCACATGGCCCACAGAGCCCAGAGGACTGCCCAGCCCTTTCCAAAAACTTTTTGCTGGCAGCCTGTTCTCTGCCCTTCATATCTCCCTGATTAGAAAAATCTCACCAAACAGCCACTGGGGGACAGGCTGCTGCCTGCGGCCAATCTTGACAGGCACAGGGGCCCTGGATGTCAGGACCCTGGGGAAAGTTAATATCCTATATAATAAAAGGCTAATATGCAAATCAACCAAGCGGCGGAACAACCGGTCGCTATGATGCACACTGACCACCAGGGGGCAGACACTCAACACAGGAGCTGCCCCCTGGTGGTCAGTGCGCTCCCACATGGGGAGCACCGCTCAGCCACAAGCCAGCCTCATGGCGGGGAGCTGGTGTAAGCTGTCAGTCAGGCATCCCCCGAGGGCTCCCGGACTGTGAGCAGGTGCAGGCTGGACTGAGGGCCCCCCCGCCCCCCTCAGTGCACTGGGGCCTCTAGTTAATAGTTAATAACTCCCTGGATAAGCCTCCGTGCTCACCTCACCCCTACTGCACCTGGAGATTTTGATTTTGGGGGAGGGGACCCTCCTAACCACTGTCACTCATCTTGGCATTCCAAGAAGACTCTGTGGTTATTGGCTGGCGGCGTTTCTCCTCCCATTGTTTCCGGCAGCTTTGAAGCCGGGCCCCCTGCCCAGGTACACACAGGTGTTTAAATGCCATTGTCTCCTGCGGACGCCCTTGCTCCCAGGGTTTCAGTGCTGGAGGCGGGTTTGGTAGAGTGGGAGAGCCATTAGGACATGGCAGGCTGCGATGGAGGGGCGCACACCTGGCCGGGCTGCTCCCGTACAGGGGTTTCTCCGCGGCCGAGGAGGGGCCAGGCCCCAGCCTCAGGTGAGGACACTCGTCTGAGGGGTCAGGCTGCGGAGGGGCGGCCGTGGGCCCAGGACAGGTGGCTTCAGAGGCGTAGCTCTCGGCCTCTCCAGCAGATCCCAGGGGAAGGTCAGAGGCTGGGCCGCTAGCAGGGGTGGTCCTGGGGCTCCGCGCAGGCACGGGGAGCCCTGGGTGTCTGAGGCACGGCGTGGCCCTGGGCTGTGGGCTCATGTCCACCAAGCACCTGGGCTGTATTCTTGCTCTGTCACCCGCCGAGCGCTCTAAATCCCAAAATGAGTTACAGGATTAGGAGGTTTCAAAGGACGTAAACCTCAGGGTGGAGGAGCAGGGGCTGCGTGAGGGCCTGGAGACATGTCCCGGGCAGGTGTTACTCATATTCACATTGCCCAGGTGCCCCTGATGTCCATGCCCCCCAAAGATGTCAAGATTGGCCTCGGCAGCAGCCTGTCCCCCCAACAGCTCAGAGGGGCTGCTTGAGTGATTTCTCACAGAGATGTTCTAGGCCAGGGACCAGCCTGAGCAAGTCACTTGGCCTCCCAGTGCCTCGGTGTCTCCATCTGCAAAGTGGGGATAATGATTCTGCCTGTAGTGAGGACTAAACGCGTGAATGTTTCTGAAGCATCTAGAACAGCGCCTGGCACGGCACGCTGTTCCCCGGTGTAGGAAGTAACTGCAAAGGCCTGGTGTGGCTTCCGAGCAGCGTCAGGAGACAGAGGCCTCGCCTCTGGTTGGGTTATGATCTTGGGTAGGTCTCTCTCCTCCCTGAGCCTCGGTTTCCCCTCCTGTAAATAAAGGGCACCAGGTCTACTAAGCTCCTGTGATAGAGCCCGCCACTCTGCTCTGGCACTTGGCTTCCCCGGGGCCCCTGCAGTCTTGGAGCACAGGCAGGGAAACTGAGGCCAGGGAAGCCTGTTTTCCTCAGCCCCCTGCTAGAGGGCCTGTTTATCATGACCACTGTCTCCCTCTCCTCCTGCCCCATCCCCAAACCTCCTGGTCTGCCTGCATGACCTTCTCCCTCCAAGAGCAGCCTCGGTCCCGGGAGACCCTGCCCCCACTCTATAGGTCATCCTGGCAGAACCCCAGCTTCGGGACCCATCTCATTTGGGGGCGTGGCTCGCCTTCTCTCCCCTCACCTCAGTTTCTTCAGCAGTAAAATGGGTGTAATGTAAACTCGCACAGAGTGTTGTCATTCCCCGTTAGTACAGTGCTTGGCCCAGGTCTGGGACCTGCAGGGTCTCCCCCGTGCAGCACACCAAGCTCACTGCCCTCCCCACCCCCGGCTGGGTCTGCTGGGAAAAGAAATCTGAGCTGAAGACCCTTGTGCGATGAAGACCGGAGACCCTGTGATAAAGCCCAGGCCAGGTGCTCCCACAGGGGTCTCCATGCCCATCTCTCAGCCCGGGAACTTAACGGTCTAATCATCCCGACCTAGTCAGAAAGATGGGGAGGGGGGGCATTGGGGTCCCCTACCCACAAGGGTCTAGAGCAGTGGTTCTCAACCTTCCTAGTGCCGCGACCCTTTAATACAGTTCCTCATGCTGTGGTGACCCCCAACCATGACATTATTTTCGTTGCTACTTCATAACTGTAAATTTGCTACTGTTATGAATCGTCATGTAAATACCTGATATGCAGGATGTATTTTCATTGTTACAAATTGAACATAATGAAAGCATAGTGATTAATCACAAAAACAATATGTAATTATATATGTGTTTTTCCGATGGTCTTAGGCGACCCCTGTGAAAGGGTTGTTCGACCCCCAAAGGGGTCGTGACCCACAGGTTGAGAACCGCTGGTCCAGACTGAGTCAGGAGCACTCACAAGCTCCCATTCCGGGTGTCTGCCTCCTGCATACAGTGAGGACTGGCGGAGGCCGTGTTCAAGTCTCAAATGCCTGCATCCTCTCGTTGCACCCACACAGCCCCCTGGGGAGTGCTCAGTAATAGCATCTCCTCGTGCGAGCGAGGAACTGAGGCACCAAGAGATAACCTTGTGTGTCGAGGTGGAGCTGGGATGTGAACTCAAGTGGCAGGTCACTGGGCAGGAACCTGACCTCTTCTCTTCCTGCCCGGCCTCCCCCACCTCTGCAAGCCCCCGGCCCCATCCCAGAGGCGGCCCGCGCCCCTTTCCCACCGAGAGCCCCAGCCCATGCCCCTGGAGGCCTGGAGCCCCAACAATAGCGCAGACCCCCGGCTGACCTGGCCTTTTATCAGGGCAGGAGATCACGAGCCATCTGGCCCCACAGCTGCCCAGGTGGGCTCACCTTCCCAGCTCCATTTCAGAGAAACCCTACCCTCCAGCGTCCTGTCCCTCCCCCAACCCTGGCCGGCCGCCTGCTGGCCCCTCGGCAGCAGCTAGAAAGGAGCCGCTGTCCCGGTCTGCGCCTGCCCTTCCTGGGGACTGAGCACAGCTCCCCTGGCCTCCGGGCTCTGGGCACGGTGGGTGCAGTGAGGAGAGAGGGGAGGGGGTATTCCTGTTTCTCCGGCCCTGGCGGGATGCTCCGGCCCAGGCCCCTGGCGGCTGTGTGATCTGGGGGAGGTTTCTCACGGGCTGTTCATGAGGAGTCAGAGCGTGGGCCCACATTTGCAAATGAGAATATAACACCATGGAGAAGTCAGGTCGCTGATTTCTGAGGGGCCTGCCCAGCCTGGGGGTGGGCCTCTTCCTGGCTCTTGGTCAAGACACCAGTGTTCACAGCAGCCCCTGAACCCAGGGCCTCCACCCGCAGGAAGCCCACCAGCCCGGGAGGGGGCTACTGAGTCACCCCTCAACAAATGGGGACACAGAAGTGAAGGCCACATACACAGGCTCTTCTTTTTTTTAATATATTTTATTGATTTTTTACAGAGAGGAAGGGAGAGAGATACAGAGTTAGAAACAGCGATCAGCTGCCTCCTGCACACCCCCTACTGGGGATGCGCCCACAACCAAGGCACATGCCCTTGACCGGGATTGAACCTGGGACCTTTCAGTCCGCAGGCGGACGCTCTATCCACTGAGCCAAACCGGTTAGGGCTATACAGGGTCTTCTTGCCCCCAAAACTGCCACCCGGCTGCTGGGCCCAGGTGACACGAGCCTGAGTCTTGCCCGATCTCCTGTCCTCGTAAAACAGCTCCCTGTGGGCAAAGGACGGGGTCCCTTCACCCCAGCGGGTTAGTGTCCCTCCTGATCCTGGGGGACAGCTGCTCCTCCTGACCCACAAGGTCACAGGTCGGGGCCTCGGCTCATCCCTGGGTGTGGTCGTTCGCAAGGACACGCGACGCCGAAACTCAACGCCCTCACGTTCCTTCCCCTCAGGCTTCTGGCACAGCCCTGAGTGTGAATTTGTCCGCCACTGCATCGCCAAGTCCCAGGAGCGCGTGGAGGGGAAAGTCCAGGTGTCTGTCTTCAAGGGCCAGGTGTACATCCTTGGCCGGGAGTCCCCGCTGTCCCTCTACAACGAGGAGCTGGTGAGGTAGGTGTCCCCCACCTGCCCCCTCTGGCTCATGCCCTGATGGCCAGTGCCCCTTCTGACTGGCTTTCTCATCAGAGATGTGCCTGTGCGCGGGCAGGGCAGGGGGGTGGGGAGAGAGGCACCAAACGATCGCCCGGATGTAGAGTTAGGAACCGTGGCCCCGGCTGTGCGGAGGGAGACCCGGGGCGCTCTGGCGTGGTCACTGAGAAGTCATCTTTGAGCTGATCTCCAAAAGAGTTCGTCACGTGCCAAGGCTTTGAGCCTTGGGAGAATCCGGAACATTCCGGGCACCACAAGAGCGGGAGGGACAAGGGGCCGGAGCGTGAGGATCTTAAAGGGAGGGCGTGATCGGATCTGTGTGTTTCGAGGGCCCCTCCGGCTGCTCTAGAGAGTGGATCTGAGTGTGGTGGGAGTGGTGAGGGTGGCACCCAGGGCTCCCTGGGCCCTGGGGGTGGCCTGGGCCAGGCTGATGGTTCTAGGAAAGGAGAGAAGCAGGCAGATCTGGCCAGTATTCAGGAGGTGGAATCCAAAGGGCTCGGCTGTGGAGGGAGGCGGGCAGCTCCCGCATCAGCCTGGGTTTGGGGCACGGGCAGCGGGTACCTTCTGGTGGCAGATGCTGAGTTGAGAATGTTCTTGAGGAAAGAGCATGCTTGGGGGTGGGTTTGCTTCGAGACAGGCCAAGAGGACTACCTGGACATGCGGGTCGCGTCGAGGAGAAGGTGGGTTGGGGACAGTGGACAGCGGTAGACATCTCGATGTCCCCTGACCCAAGAGGGGCCTGTAGGGTCAGTGAGATGGACAGGAGCGAGGAGAGAACCTGGGGGCTTCCTCACAACACGCCAGGCGGGGGGGTGGCAAGGCCAGGGGGCTGGGTCGTAGGTAGCCAGCAGATGCCCATTAGCCGCGCCTGTGATTGCATCGTGAATGAGAGTGGCCTTGACCGAGGAGCGAGGCACCTGTTTGGGGGTCACCTGAGAGGTGGGGACAGACTCCTGGGGTACAGACAGCTGCACCTGACTCCGGGCCCAGCTTCACTCCGCCTGAGGCTCGCACCCCCGTCCCGGGGGCCAGGTGAGAATTACAGCACGAGTTTTGTTTGGCAGTCAATATAATTTTTCTCTTCCCCTCTCTTTGCCATGTTGAGTTTCTCCCCCCTTCAATCTTTCTAAACACTTTATAAGCCATAAATATAACCGAATCAGTTTAGATCAGTCGGGGTAAATGTCAAATTATCTTCTCTCTTTCTCTCTCTGGCTCTTTCCTCCCTCCCCCTCCCAGTCAACAGCCTCTAATAATCTGTCCAACCCTTCATTAAGCCTTAGAGTCTCACTCAGGGAGATTAAATGAATAAAGTAAAAAGGGAAAGGGGAAAAAAAGAGAAAAGCAGGAGCATTTATTCTCACTGTGTCTCCGACGAGTTCCCTTTTCTTTCTGATTTCTACATCGCTGACTTGAAAGCCCATGAGTGACAGCGTCACAGGGCCCCGCGAGGAAGCCGCGAGAGGTAGCAGAACTGGAAATGCCGCGCACAGTAGGTAGAAAGTAACGTAATTATAGAGCAGGTCAGAGCCACTCGAATGAACAGAAATAAAAGCACAGAGGTTTTCTGTAGACTGTCAGGGGAGGTAAAAAAAAAAATCATTGTAAACTCTTTTCCACCCCCCAACCCCAGACCTCGGTTTGAAAAAGAGGTTTGTCGGTTCCTGAGAAACGTCCCTGGGAACGTTTCGGCAGCCTCGGCCTCGCAGGACAAGTCTGCCCCAGCCGGGGCCCTCACCTGGCGAGGCTGTGGGGTGGTCCAGAGGGCCCCTTTGGGGAAGGGGGGGAGTTGTTTTGCCACAGGAGACGGGGTGGAAGGACAGATGCACAGGCTGGGGGTGGGGAAGGGCTCCTGCCTTCTCCCCCAGCCCCTGCCCCCAGACTGAGCACAGGGACCCTCGGACAGTGGGAGCAAGGCCAGTGTCCCTAGGCTGCTGCTTTGGTTTGGCCCAGTTTTTCCTCTGCCCGGGGAGGGGTGCCACGCTGCAGCCCCTCTGAAGTCTGACATCCTGTCCCCTCACTGGGAAGGTGCTGGTTGGTGGCTGGAGGCTTCAACCAGCTGGGCCCTGGAGGGGCCGGCAGAGGTGGAGAGGAGGGGGGTGGGGGCGTGGGAGTTCTGTGTGCCAGCTTCAAGCCCCATGAAGGTCAGGGCAAGGGCAGAGGGAGAACAAGTTTGGGGTGGGGGGCAGGCCAGAGATCCCATTTTTGTTGTTGTAAAAAGTCCACAAAGAGCCAGTCAGAGGCACAGCCTCGGGGGGCTCAACATGGTGCGCACTCCCTGTCCCCTCCCCTCCCGGCCCCACCTCTCCCGGAGAAGGCTCCTGAGGGGACAGGCCGCCTCCTTGTCACGGAGAACCTTGAACCGGCTGTGTCCTGAGGCTGGAGTTTGGCAGACAGGAGGACAAGGGGCTGATTCAGGGCAGGGCCTGAGAAGGGGCCCGTGAGAAATGGGAGGGTCCCCCTTCCCGCAGAGGATGGAGGGAGGCCCTGTGGAGTCAGACCTGAGACCACAGCGCCCTGAACTTGTCCTCAAAGAGCTTACCACAGTCCTGATGAGCTGACAGGTGATCGGTGGCTTCCGTCTGCCCGCCCATGGGCACTGTGCTTATCTAGCTCCGGTTCCTCGGTGCCTGGCACGGCTCCTGGCAGGCAGGCAGTCGGTGCCTCATGAATATCTGAATGAATGAATGAGCGGATGAACGAATGGTGCAATAGTCTGCCCGTTCCGTACGCCAGGTGCCAGGTGCCAGCCATATGGTTTCACGTGGAGCCCCATTTCCAAGGGAAAGACCGCAGCCCGGGGCGCAGGCAGGGTGCTGGCCTGAGCTCTGTGGTGGGGAGCGGGGTGCTAGGACGCACAAGGAGGTAGCGAACCTGCAGGACTGCGGCTCAGAAGGGTTTCCGAGGGCAACTAGGGGGAGCTTCAACTACCGACTCTGGGGGTGGAAGCCGGAGGTGGGGAACGAAGGTAAACATCTGTCCCGTGCGTGCGGTTGACCCGCACTTTCCATGACCCTGGCGTGGGGCGGGGGTCCCGTGTGAGGGTGGAGTAGACGGGGTCTGGCTGGTTGGACACACAGGTGGAAGGTGACTGGGCAAATCCTGCCCTGAACGCTGGAGCCTCCCTGCAGCTTGAGGGACCCGCTGTGCAGATCCCAGGCTGTTCCCGTGTGCGCCCGGGGCTCCCCGGGCCCTCAGCCCCTGGACTCCATCGCTGTTCCTGGACCCCCCACAGTCCCGAGGGCGGAGCCGGCTCAAGCACATGTCCTCGGTTTACCCATGCGGTGCTCTGGCTGTTGGAGGACCTGCTCTTCCCATCTGTGCAGCGCCGGGGGTCCCCCGGGTGCGGGGACAAGACCGGGGGTGCTGACAGGCTTTGCTCTCTCCTTGCAGCATGAACGTGCAGGGCGATTACGAGCCGATCGATGCCACCGGTTTTATCAACATCAACTCCCTGAGGTGAGGAGCTCTGGGTCCTGACGGGTCCTCAGCACCCCAGGTGTGGGGAGCAGACTTTCTGGGGCCTGACCACTCTGGCTGCTGCCTGCCCTGGACAAGCCCCGCCTTCCCGTCCCTCCATCCACAGCATCCTCGGGGTCTGCTCCCGTTCTCAGCGGGGCCAGAAGGCACACCTGTAACAGCCAAAAGGGTCCTGGGGACGTGGGTTCCCGATTCTGGGGCCCTACTCTTCGAATCTGACATTTACTGACACCCTCTCCACCTGCAGGGACTCCCCTGGGAGCCCCAGCAGGTCACCTGGCCGGCTCCTGCCTTCAGGTCGCCATACCTGAGCTGCAGGTCCAGCTGGGAGCCATCTTAGCCACATGGCTCTCCTTGACCCAAGGGGGTGGCACACATCTGAACCTCAGACCTGGGTTCAGACCCCTTCAGAACGCGGGAATCCCACGTGGAGTGGTGAACTGTGCCTGCTCACAGGTGCAGGGAAAGCGGGGTAGGAGCTCATGGAAATCAAGCTTGCGGGGAGAGCCGGGCAGCGGGCCCTCCGCCTGGGCGTGACCCTGGGGCTGGCATGCACAGGGGCAAGCGGGGGCATTGATTGCCAGCAGCTACCAAAGACTAAGCCACGTCCAGGCATCGCCTAGGTTGTCTCATTTAATTCTTACACAAAATGCAGCTCTGGAAAGGGGCCCAGAGAGGTTAGGTAACTTGCCCATGGTCACACAGCTAGGAAGCCGGGATGCTGAGTCCAGAAGGGTTTTAATCACCAACTTCCTTCTCACGGGGCTTGGCGTTGGACACATGCGCCAGGAACACACCACCATTTCCTCCCAGAGCCAGGCAAGATGGGAGAGTCTTCAGATCCAGCCCCACCACCCCGGACACTCTTCCCTCCGAGAGTCAGCTACCTCCACCTCCCTACCTCCTTTGCCCTCTCTTTGTGTTTTATGACTACAAACCTTTTAAATGTCTCCAAACACAGTGGGTTTTCATAATGGCCTCTTCCTGTCTCCCATTGCCAGTTACATGTTTTGTCTTTAACAATGACAAGCAGTGCGCCCCGCCCCCCCTTAAAATAAATTAATTACATTATCCTGATTGCAGGGCAGAGGGAATGGAGGGAGGAAAAAGGACAACTTCACACACGTCTTAACAAACAGCTGCCCCCAGACCCCAGCTCTGCCTGCGTTAATTGAGGGGAGTGCGTGTTGTTATTGTTCATTTACATTTCTCTTTGTTTCCAATCTGGTCTACAGGCTGAAGGAATATCATCGTCTCCAGAGCAAGGTCGCCGGCAAATAGACCAGCTGACAATGAGGCTGGGCCTCCTCACTTTGCCCATCTCCCAAGCACAGGCGCTAATTGTCGTGATAATTTGTAGTTGTGACTTGTTCTCCGGGGCGGGGCTGGCAGCCTCGTGGGGGTGCCAGGCCCCAGCTTTGTTCCCTAGTCCCCTGTAGCCTACAAAAGTGGTCAGTGAGGGGAAGGGTGGGGGGTGGCTATGGTGGGGAGCTATAAGATGACAAATAAAAAACAAGGTACATTAGTCTTTTGTTTCTTTATTTCTGCAGAGACAGAGGCAAGAGTGTGAGAGCGTGTGTGTGCGCACGTGTGTAGTCCATCATGCCTTTGTGTGTTGTGATTGAAGTGCCCCCGAAGGCCGCCTTCTGCGTGAGAATCTGTTTATGTGGAAGAATCGACCCCTCTCTCCTCCGGCAAGAAATGGGGGATCCAGAAATGCCCACCTGGGTCCAACTATAGCCAGCAGCCTGGCATTTGTCCCCAACTGTGGCCCTGTGGCAAGTGCCAGGGAAACCAAGAAGCGTTTAGGTGGCGCTTGGGAGCTGTCCGGCCCACAGTGCCCAGCGAGCTCCTGAGAATGGAGGAGGAAGAACCCGCAGTAAAAAGAAGCCCCAGGGGAAGGGAGAGAAAAAGCAGGCGCAGAACTGAGTGGGCGCTTAGGGTGTCCACCTGGCCTACAAGCTTCCCTCTATCTCCTTCCCAAAACTGGGCCCCACTAGCCACGTGTGTGCTGTGACCCCGCCCCCTTGGTCGTGTCTGATTGGAACACGATGGACACCTACCCAGAGCTGGGCCAATCAGAATCTCACTCCCAGGAATTGCACCTGGAAAAATGGCCAAAAGCAAGGCTATCTATTTGGTCAAACATTTAATTAACTCACCCTTAATGCCTTGGCAAGGCCAGACCAAACGATTTCACGAGCCTTATGCGGCCCGCAGGCCGGACATTCCCCACCCTGGATTTAGGACTTAAGCTTGGTGAGAGAGTTGCTGCTACTTACAACCAAAAGCATCTTTACCAGGAAGACTTGAGCGCTGGTTGCTCTGGGCCCTACCCTGGCTCTGACCTCCACTCCACAGCCTTTGTCAATGAGGGTTTCTTTCCAAAGAAGCTTTGCCTTCAAAACTTTTTCTCTGATTACAGAAGTTATAAAGGAATTACTTCATATTAACTTTGTGTCAGGCACAAAGCTACACACTTTGTTCACATTATTTCATTGAATCTTCAAAACAGTACGGTGGAGATGCTTTTATCTCCGTTCTGCAGAGAAACTGACTTGCCAGGGTTCACTCAGCCAGCAAGTGACAGGGCCAAGAACCAAGTCCTGGCCTCGCTGACCCCCCAAATCCTGTGTGTTTATGTCTGCAACCATTGTGACGTGCTCATCGTCCTTAAAAAAATAATAATCCTATAAAAATAACTACCACCCATCATCTTACCACTCAGTTACAAACACTGCTTAAACTTAGTGTATTTCTTCTCAGTCACATATTTCTAGGCTTACAAATATTTTTGCAGAGTTATTAGGTTGAAGTATTTTTAAAAATATATTTTATTGATTTTTTACAGAGAGGAAGGAAGAGGGATAGTTAGAAACATCAATCAGCTGCCTCTTGCACACCCCCTACTGGGTATGTGCCTGAAACCAAGGTATATGCCCTTGACCGGACTCGAACCCAGGACCCTTAGTCTGCAGGCCTGCTCTAGCCCAGTGATGGCGAACCTATGACACGCGTGTCAGAGGTGACACGCGAACTCATTTTTTTGGTTGATTTTTCTTTGTTAAATGGCACTTAAATATATAAAATAAATATCAAAAATATAAGTCTTTGTTTTACTATGGTTGCAAATATCAAAAAATTTCTATATGTGACACGGCATCAGAGTTAAGTTAGGGTTTTTCAAAATGCTGATGCGCCGAGCTCAAAAGGTTCGCCATCACTGCTCTAGCCACTGAGATAAACCGGTCAGGGCTTTTTAAAATATTTGTATTGATTTCCAAAAGGGAGAGAGAGAGAGAAACCTCAGTGATGAGAGAATCAATGACCGGCTGCCTCCTGCACGCCCCCCACTGGGGATCGAGCCCACAATCCAGGCATGTGCCCTGACTGGGAATCGAACTATGACCTCCTGATTCATAGGTCAATGCTCAACCACTGAGCCACCATGGCCGGGCTAAGTTATATCTTAATAAAGCTGTTAAATATTGTTTCCTAATGTAATTGTTGGGGGAGGTGTGGCCAGTGGGAAAGAACTGAGAAGAGCATGGGCCGGAGCAGAGCCAGGCTGGGGTGGTGACAGTGCTGGCCAGAGGTGCAAAGGCTTCTCCAGCGGTGGCAGGCGGGAGGGGCAGCGTGAGCCGTTCAGGGACCAGACGAGCTATCTGACTGCATCCTGGCTGCTTCCCCTTCCCTGTGAGACCTCCGCCGCCCTGAGCCCGAGTTCCTCCGTTCGTAGGATGGGAGCATGTGGGCCCTTCCACCCAGGGATGTTGGAGAGCCCACTGAGGCTCCGGGTGCGCCATCCGGGCAGAGCCAGGGTCATCGCTCCTCCGCGGAGAGGCACCGCCCGTCGCAGCAGCCGCTGATGACAGCGCCCTTCGCACACGCCCTGGCGGACAGTTCAGAAGGTCCTTCTTCCCTCCTTTATGCCTCAGGAGCCTCACAGCTGTCACGTGAGGAAGGAAGAACCCCATTTCTCAGGGAAAAATACATGAACCTCGGGCGGACGGCTGGGTGAGTCTTCCCCCGGGTCACCACCACTCAGATGAAGGCGGAGCGTTTCCCGTGCCCCCGAGGCTGCCTGGCACCACGGTGAGGCTGCTTGGACATCACAGGTTCAAGAAGGAAAAGGAGCCGAAACCGGTTTGGCTCAGCGGATAGAGCGTCGGCCTGCGGACTGAAGGGTCCCGGGTTCGATTCCGGTCAAGGGCATGTACCTGGGTTGTGGGCACATCCCCAGTGGGAGATGTGCAGGCGGCAGCTGATTGATGTTTCTCGATGTTTCTCTCTCATCGGTGTTTCTAACTCTCTATTTCTCTCCCTTCCTCTCTGTGGAAAATCAATAAAATATATTAAAAAAAAAAAAAAGAAGGAAAAGGAGAATCATGCCTTCCCTTTAAAAAACCTATGAGGGCACGTTGGGTAAAGGAGGACGCTCAGAGGCACCGGGGCTGCCTCCATCACAGCACTGATGGCAGGGGCCAGGCCGGCGGGGGCAGCTTGCTTGTCTGCTGCGAGCTCTGGGCTGGGACTGCTCCCGGCCCTGCAGGTTCTCTGAATGAGGAAGGCGGGCATGAACGAAGGAGGCTGCACCTGTCCCTGCTCCCTCGCTCTCAGCTGATTTCCATGAAGGTCTGCAGCTCACACGTGGGCAATGTGCCCTGCCCCAGGCTGTGTGTGGGGGAGGGGGGAGCAGCGTGGTTAGGGAGGGGCGCACACAACCTCTGCCCCCACAGAGCCTGCCCCCAGGCCCAGGCCTTCCCATTTCCAGTTCTCCAGTGCCGGACTAGAGGGAGAGGGAGCAGCCCTCTGGAGCTGCCAGGAGCCAGGCTGCTGGGGGAGAGGCTAACGTCTCAAGGGGACAAGGGTGGCGTTGAGATCTGTCACTTCCTGGCCCCAAAGCTCCTCCTGTCCACCCAAAGGCTGACATCAGACCATCTTGCCCCAACAGCAGCCTCGCCTCTCACTTCCCACTCCCAGGGCCCGGCCCGATGGCCCCTCTGGAGGCTCTAAGCCAGTGGTTCTCAACCTTCCTGATGCCGCGACCCTTTAATACAGTTCCTCATGTTGTGGTGACCCCCAACCATAAAATTATTTTCGTTGCTACTTCATAACTGTAATTTTGCTACTGTTATGAATCGTCATGTAAATATCTGATATGCAGGATGAATTTTCATTGTTACAAATTGAACATCATGAAAGCATAGTGATTAATCACAGAAACAATATGTAATTATATATGTGTTTTCCGATGGTCTTAGGCGACCCCTGTGAAAGGGTCGTTGGACCCCCAAAGGGGTCGCGACCCACAGGTTGAGAACCGCTGCAAGCTGACCGTCCTTTCTCAGCTTCACACCTGGCCCACGTGAAACTCCCCTCTCATTGGGCAGTTGTTTATCGCACAGGCCCTCTCCCCACGCCCCCTCTTGGAAGCAAAGAGCGCGTGGAATCGAGATTCAGGGGCTGGGCCTCAGCCAGCCTAGACCCGCCCACCCGTGGGGCCTGCTGTCCTTTCACCGGGATCTGGAAGTGCCTGGCAGCTGTGGGAGGAGCTGCAGCCCCAGCGGCTGGGCCTGGGCCGGGCTCAGAGCTGATCTGCAGGCCTCTCAGGCTGGGGAAAGGGCTCGCCTGGGGTCAGCACAATCGATATCTCATCTGCAGCTCTCCTAGCGGAAGTGATGGCTATTGGAACACGGTAATGGGTGTTGTCTAGTGGAAGAGACTAATCTTCCCAGCTGAGGAGGGCTCCGCAGGTGGCCCGTGCGGCTCACAGCCCCCAACCCGGACTGTGGAGGCGCTTTTAAAGCTGCAGTGGCCTCGCTGCGTGCTGGTGTCTCTCCCAGCACCTTCCTGGCACAGAGCCTCAGAGGGGGCCGGACCCAGCCCTTCTGAGCGCGCACTGGGAGACCGAAGCCAGTGATCTGCCCAAGGTCACACCCGCAGTCAGAAGAGAGCCAACCGGGCCGGCCTGGCTCAGGGGTTGAGCATCGACCTATGAACCAGGAGGTCACGCTTCGATTCTCATCTGGGCACAGGCCCGGGTTGCGGGCTCCATCCCAGTGTGGGGAGTGCAGGAGGCAGCCGATCCATGATTCTCTCTCGTCACTGATGTTTCTATCGCTCTCTCCCTCTCCCTTCCTCTCTGAAATCAATAAATACATACATATATTTTTTTAAAAGAGCCAAACTAGAATCTGGCCTTCAAACCTGCTCATCCAATAGCACCCAAAATGCTGGCCATGGCAAACCCAGGGCCATGAGCCAAACTTAGTCTTCAAGTATGTCGGGGTTTCCTACTGGCTGGCTCGATATTTCCTGAAAACACTAGGTTTCAAATGCCATTGATGTTGCCACAGTCCCCACCCCTCTCTTACGTCTCACCCTCAGCCAGCCTCCCTCATTTTGACCTTGGATCAGTAAAACTGAGGCGCTGGCACAGTAGGGTGGGGAGGGAGAGACTCAGCCTCCCCGCCTGGAGAAGTGGGGTCCACCGCACAGTCTTCCTTACCTCGGCGTACCCTT